GAAAGAGGCTGGCCAGAGGAGAGGGTCGGCAAAATCAGCCAGCTGTCGGTCGATGTCAATCGCCATTCGTTCCCGGGCAAATGCGCCAACACGTCCGATTTCTGTTCGAAAGGTTAGATATTTGAGTATCAATGTATTTTGCAATGTTTACCATTCATGTTAGCTGGTGACTGAGCCAACGTAGCTGGTGCACCAGGAGAAGTGGCATGCGAGAGCATAGAGATCCGGCTCATCAAGCGAGATGCAGCATGGCTATCAAGCGTTGAGCCAAGAACGGTAGCATCAGAGAAGATATTGGCAAGGCAATCAGTAGCCTTCGAAAGCATAACCGAGAAATCATCACTGGCCTTCTGGGCCTTAGTGCGAGGAGCTTTAGCTGGGGCCCTAGTCTTTCGTGTGGAAGGTTTCGCTGCGGGGACACTGGGCTCATCAGTCGGCTTGCTTGGTGATTTCAGCGATGGGAGAGAAATTGTAGATTCAGGTAAGACGCAGTACACAGCATGGCTGGCAAAACGGCGAATAGCATCAGCCAGAAGATGCTCGCTTTCACCGATTTCCAGGGCGATCTTGCTTTCAGGAGAAACGGCATATTGCCGGGCACCAGCGAGCGTTTGTGCGGATCGTTCAAAGTCACGCAACTCCCGCAGACAATAGGCTTGTTGTCTTAGAATGTCACCCTTGAACCGTAATAAAGATTTGGACTGAGCTTCAGAGAGGGTAGGCTTTGGGGTTGGAGCTTTCTTGGTTGTTTTGGGCGCGGCAGCCTTGGGAGCAGCGGTTTTGGATGCGGCAGAGCTGGTTGCGCGGGTGCGTCGGGTGGTAGTTGTGGTAGTAGGTGTTGGTGTTCGCCGGCTGCTCGCCCTAACCCGCAACTTGTCCATCTTGTCTTCGAGGTCTGCAGCAGCTGATGCCTCCACGCTGGCAGACTTATCTGCCGAAGTGATGGTTGTGATAATTTTGTCCGCCTCGAGAAGGGCACGAAGTGCCTTATCGAACGAGCCCTGCGTCTTGTAAAGAGATGCAAGTGCCATTTGGAAAGACACAGTTTCAATACTTTTCGATGTTTGCTTTGAGGACTCAGATGCCGCAGCAAGATGTTCCTGTCCTTCGCTCAGGTGACCACCGAGAATTAAATGGCAACCAAGCTGCGTTTGTGCTGCGAGAAGTCGAGCATTGGCATCGAGGGTCCTATCAATTTTCAGGGCTTGCTCTCCATAATAGATAGCATCCTGGAACAAGCCATGGTGGGCAGATAAGGTCGCGAGGTTCAACAAACAGGTGTGGTGAGAGCCCAGGTGCGGCCAAAATGGTGCACCTTGAATATAGCTGGCAGACACATCTGGGCTAGATCCGTTCTGGGATAGATCAAGCTTTGCAACCCCATCAGCAACGGCATCAACATCAGAGGGTCCCGCAGCGGGCAAGGATTTGTCTTGCTTTCGTTGAGCAATTCTTTCGACCTTGGCCCAGATACGGCAGTTAAGTCTCACAGACAACTTCGCAAAGTAAAGGGCTTGAGTCGCTGAGCCCTGGGCGGAGAACAACCGGGATTGAACAAATGCAGCATCTGCTACCAATCTCTCCCAAGAGATTTTGGACAGGACACTCAAGTTGCCGAGTTCCGTCTTCTGGCTTTTTTCATATAATGACCGAGCAGCAGAAAAAACAGATGCAGCTTTATCACTTTGTCCGGTTTCCAGAAGATATTCAACCCGAGCAACTTTGTATGAGATGGTTGCAAGAGCAGAAACTTTAGTTTGTGTAAGATACTGCTCGCCACGCGAAAGCAGGTCGCCTGCCCTTTGGCAATATCCCAGTCGGCAGTTTTGCAGTACTAAGCGGGAGAGAATGACGATTGCATCGGAGAGATCTCCTGATTGTTGGAGCTCTGTGGCACGCAATATGAGCTCCAGAGTGGAGAGCTGAGCCTTCCAGAGGCCATGGATTTCCGTATAATCGACTAAAGCCTTCAACTGCAAAATCCAGTAATCTGTATCATTGACACAATGACTTAATGTCTCCCAATCAGCGCATTTCTGAGCCAAAGAAGTCCACGACCCAAGCGTGGCATCCAGTTCACTTGGGTCGATCTTGCCGTGATGGAAACCGATGATAATGCGCAGTGAATTGCTGATGTGGATGGCAAAAGAAGCGAGATCGGTGTCTTTTCCGATTTGCAGACCTTGTTCCAAAGCATGAGTTCCTTCGTCTAACAAGTTTTCAATCAAAGATGACTCTAGCGCAGTAGGGTGCTCCAGTAGAAGACGTAAGGATGAGAAGATTACACGAATATGGCGGATTGGGTGGAGTTGAGAGTCGTAGAGATCGAGAAGCGAGGAAACAGCTGAGCCAAGCATCAAGCGGAACTCTTCTTCGCTGGAGGAGTAGCTGTGCATATCGACGAGCAAGTCCATTTGCCATTCAAGAAGGATGCCTCTTGATTCAAATTCAAGCTCAGCGTCGTCATAGACAGCAGATGATTGTGCGCTCTTTCTGCGCAGCTTCATCTTCAGTAGAGCAGAAAGCACGCGGCCAAGCATAAAGCCAGGGCTTTTGGGGTCCTGGTTAACTGAACTTGGACTATTTCCCTCGCTGGTCTTAACAATCTCTTCCAATGTGCCAGAGAGAATGTATTCCTCGATCGATTGTCGGAACATCTTCTCTGAATCATTGTACATATTGCCTTCGATGTACAGATGAGCCGTTCTCTCGAATTTCAGCGCTGCAAACGCTGTGTTGCGCTGTGAAGGTGAGCAACCTGAAAGCAGCTGGGTAGATTGTTTGAGAAGAGGAAGAAGCTCTCGGTAGCCCTGCCCAGCTTCTTTTTCTTTGATGTATCGAGACCAGAACAGGTTGGAGAGCTTTACAAGTGCCATGCCCAGGTTTTCTGTCGTCTCTGTATCCTTCTCATCAGGAGTGTCGATAGTTGAGAGTAGGCGATGGCAGTCAGCGAGGATGGGGAGCATGTCTTCCCAGGGCGGATATTGGGACATGATAGACAGCTTCCCAACTGCGACGGCGGAGTCAACAGCGGCAAGAACAATGCTCTTTGAAATGTTAATGCGGTTGTTGAACATTTCAATCTCCTTTTCATCGCTCTCCTCGGTTGGGTGGCGTCCGACATAGCGCCTAAGGAACCTGAGGAACGCCTGGAGGTACTCCCTGATTTGGCTGGCAGCTTCACTTTTTTCCTTTCCACTGCCAAGAGTTTTGGCAATGGCTTCTCCAAACCAGGCAAGAGCTAGCTTTTTCAATCTTGCAGCTTCAACGAGAAGCTCATCCAAGTCATTCGCACTGCCTCTTAACTGCAACCCTAGTGATTCAGTTGCCTCAGAGGTAGACTCTAAAGCTTCAGCCAGGAACTTTTTCGATGTCTTCAATGCCTGGAAATGGACGGATGCGATCTTACATCTAACCGTAGCTAGCGAAAGACTTTGTGCTTTGGAGAGTGGGCTGATGGCTTGTGTGAATAACTTCATGGACTCGTCAAAGCAGCCTGCGTCGAAAGCAAGCTGCCCCAGGAGAGTCATGAGTTTAGCTGCTTGGGTTGCGTTTTGCGTTTCTGATGATTTCTTTTTGGTTTCGGCAATGGACGTCTGTAGGTGTGTAACTGTCTTGTAGATGGCGGCAAACTCGGTCTTCTCGATTCCCTTGCTGCGATGGGAAAAGCTGCCGAAGTAGCGAAGCAGAGGATCGAAAACTTCTTTGCTCTCATCACATGTGTGACCTGACAACTTCCAGCTCAAACATCGAATCTCGAGAGAGAGTAGTTGCAATGTTAATGAAATGGTTGGCTTTAGACTATTGGAAGTCTCGTCTTTTGATAGCGATGTCCCTGAGCAGAGGGATAGAACAGTGTTAGATAATAGCTGAAGCTGAAGCGCAGCTTTGTCGTTTGATAGCTGCCCTGACTTCAAAGCAGCCAAAATAACCTGGGCAGGGCTGCTAGAATCGGATAATTGCAAAGCAGGGCAGAGTTTCTGAATAGTCGAGGCCCTTCGGTCGGAAGCAAATAGTCGCATCACATTCGAGTGAAAGGGAACGATCAAGCCGTACAGTGATTTCGCGTTGGCGATATGGGTGAAAGTCAACAAATCAGACATCCGTTCTTTTCCTTCTTCGTCCGTCGAGTCCTTCGCTTCAGTGGCTTTCTTCCCAGCCTTGCTGCTATCCAGGTGTTGTTGAATTCTCCGCTTAAGGAACCGGAGCTCTTTGTATGCCATGTCGTTCAATCCCAGAGATATAAGCTTTCCAGCAAGAACGCATAGCCCCTGCTCAAGTTGCATATTCCGGAATTCATTATTCCCAGTATCCGGTTTGAGGGCGCGCAATGTGGACAAAGCAAGTCTCGCGCACTCCGCAGACGATGCAATACCCGCGTCAACGCCATTGGCTTCATCAGCCGATACATTCTGTCTCTTCGCCACAGAGCCCTTCGAGGCTTCCGTCAAAGACTTCAATGTCGCATTGAACACTTCCGTAGCAAGAACCAGCTTCTCCTGAGACGACAAGCCGGCCGCATCATGATCAACAAGCGATTGCAACGCAGCTTCATTTCCAGCCTTAGACTTAGTCGCACGGGCAGTCCTAGCCCGATTCGTAGCAGGTGCCGGTTCGCGGGTAGATTTCGTTCGTCTCGTGGGGTTTTCAGTTGCTTTGGACGACCCGCGGAGGAGTGTTGTGAGGGACAAAACAGTAGCATCGGAGCAAGTAGTCGTAGAGCAGAGAGCCTGCTTAACAGACTCCGTCAAGGAGCTGGCCGGTAGGACGGTGACCGCCATGTTGCGTGTCTCGAAGCTGCTGCAGGACTGAGGTCATCGCGTTCCGGAGTCTTTGATGTGCAATCGCTATCGGGCCAAACGGGCGCGTTGTCGCAGCAACAACAGCGCTAGACCATATTGGGTGAGTGTTGGCGCCTTGTCGCCTCAGGCAGTCTCTACCTCTTGGATCTTTTCCCGCCTTCAATGGGGAGAAGACAACTTGTGTTACTGACGCCAAACATGGTTGCAGCTTTCGGGTTTAGGTCCTTCCGGGCTGGACGACAGATCATTTCCTCTCCATCTACATTACTTGCTACTAGGCAATCCTGCGCTCCCGCTGTGCGGTCATATTCGACCTCCGATCACCTCCCGAAGATCGCGGACACGTCAGTATGGACGGCGATGATTCCTAGGTTTCTTCGGACTCGCCCGCGCAAGGATCCTTCAAAGGAGAAATCTAAGGAGTGGAATCCCGCTACTTTCTACATTATTATCTTTACTCTGATCGGCTCGCAGGCCATTCGCATGATCACGTTGAAGAACGGCTATGCGGCGTATACTCGGTCGACGGATGCGAAAATTGAACTTCTGCGAGAGGTGATTGCGCGCACGAAGAACGGGGAGAAGGTCGATGTGGAGAAGTTGCTTGGGACGGGCGATGAGGCGAAGGAGAGAGAGTGGGATGATGGTATGTTGGCTGCTGTACAGCATTTTACATGGTTTGAGCTATAGTGTCTGACTTGTCTTTTCCACTGCTAGTATTGCGCGAGATCGAGGCAGAAGATTCCTTATGGCATCAGAAAGCTAGCGAGTCCAAGTCTGAGGAATCCAAGACCGACAAGACCGAGAGAGCGCCCACAAAACCCGCACCTGCACAGCCTGCACAAGAGAAGGACTCTGAGACTACCAATACGGGGTCGACACGGAAGCTCAGATTCTACTGAGGGGTTCCATCACTAGTGTTCTTCAAGAGCAGCTTCTTCTGAGCTTGGGACCTATTGATGAGCACGGCACTCAGTGTCAACCAATATCCGACTGGTCTTTCGACTCCGACGGGGCCACGTCCGCATCTTGCCTTGGGTTCTTTAACCCAAGACCCGCTTGTATTAGCGGGATATATCCTTTGGATATGAATGTAACACCACCTGTACAGGGAATTTGTCCTCACGTCAAATTCCGATACCCATTTGCCTGCCCACTTGCAAATCCCACTTCATGTATAGTCTCCCACTGGGATATACAGACGAACCTCACAGCCTCAAATATATATCAGATGAGCCTAGAGCTAAAATTGAAATTTCTCTACATTTACACATGACCTTGACAGGAATAATATCACAAAATAGAAGCGTAAACCTTGTCTAAACTCACTGAGTCCGCCAAAAGTAAAGTTGAAAACGAACACCGGAACCATCCCAGATGATATATATGATTCTGTATGATGTATAAAACCCGTCACCACAGTCAGGGACCTCTATTGCAACCCACACACCATCTTTCCAAATCTATCCGCTGTTGATACAATGCACATACACAACACACAGCACACACAAGATGGTCACAGATCTCGAAAGCACCAAAAAGACGAGAAATGATGCAAAACCTGGCCTCCCCCAGATTCACCCCACGCCCCAAAAGTAAGAACAGGCGAAGGGCAACGAGGAGGGCAAGATCCGAGACAAAGGTGAAAAAGATCTCATGTTAAACCAAGGAAAAGAGAAAAAGAAAGGCCGAAAGAAAGTAAGTATCGCTATCAAAGAAGAAAACAACTCAAATCCAGGATTGTGGCATAAGGCTCTAGCAGCCACCCGTCCTTACTGCTTCGATCCCTGCATGAATTTAGGCCACAGCTCAGGCCGAGGAGCCTGTACACGACCAATGTTCTGGTCCAAGTCCAGAATGAGCTTCAGCGCGTTCCGTGACCGGAGGTAAGGCAGAGGCGCCTTAGCCTCCCGGCCACCAACGCCAGGCTCGACATGGCCGGTCGGGGTAACGTCTTCGCGGGTGCCGGGCATGGGAAGCATCTTCTGTAGGACTTCGTAGGCGGCTAGTGTGAAACCGAACTGCGGGGAGGAACGCAGGATACGGGCGGGACCGCCCTTGAAGAAAGCTTGCAGGCCTTCTTCCTTCCAGACGGTCGCGGCGCAGTGGCGGAGGCCAGTGTACTTGGTGTCGCCCTTACGAGCTTCGACCTGCAGACGTGTCTTGATCACGTCGCAGGGTGTTGTCAGGTAGGCGGCGGGCATACCGGCGATGGCACCTGCTGTCAGGAGCTGGACGACTCCAAGCTTGTTGGTTTGGGTTTCGCCGAAGAAGTCGGACTTCAGGTGAGCGTATGTGGGGAAATAGATGGCCGAGAAGGGAACTATATGGTGACGCAGGTTAGACATGGATTTGAGGTGTGGATTGGAGGTATCGGCTTACCATCACGGAGGAGACAGGCGCTGGCACCCTTGTATAGACCCATCAGACCCAGGTTCTTGACGATCCAGAGGGCTGAGCGGCGAGGAGCACCCTCGACGTTCTTTGCGATTTCACCCTGGACCTGCAGACGAATCTTGACAATCTCAAGAGGGTTGGTGAAAACCTAGAGTGAATTAGCCTTGGTCGCTTTTCAACACGGGTATATGTACTTACCACTTGGCAACCACCGGCAGTACCACCGGCCAGAATCTCATGGGCGTATTTGATGCGGTGGGTGTCCTTGTCGGTGAAGTGTCCACGAACAAGGTCGTTGACGGTCAGCTTAATAGCCTTCTCAGGAGCCACACCAATCAACTGAGGAATGACACCAGAGTACAGGCCTGTGAAACCCTCGTTGCGGATAACCTTCCTGGCGCAATCGATGGAGTTGTTGTACAGTCTCTCACCAGGGCGAGAAGTGCGCTGATTCTGCATACGGGTTTTGACCAGATCAATAGGGTAAACCATGAAGGCACCAAAAGCACCAGCAATACTTCCCAAAGCGAAGTGGTGCACTGACTCCAAAACGCCGTGCAGGACAGTCTTGGTCTTCTCAACGGCTTCGTGTCCAGCGGTGATGGCCTGACCAGCCACAGCCACGGGGATACGCCATGAAGCATCAATAACCTTGGCGAAGTCCTTTTGCGACAGACGGCCGGACGGCGCATCGAGACCCGCGAAGTGGAACAGGATATCGGCCTCCATAGGGGTGAACAGGGAGAAGCGGGTGACACGAGAAGCCTCGTTCAGGAAATCAGAGCGGGTAATCTTGCCATCGGTGCTCTTCCTGGTGGCCTCGCGGACGACCATGTCGATGATGTCCATCTCGCGCATGATGTTCTGGAAGGCACGCACATTGGCGTAGGAGATGCGGTTGCTAGTCGAGATGTTGCACAGGGTAGGGAGGTTCTCCAGCACATGATCGGACAGCTTGTGTTTTGAGGTCTCGAGAATAATGCGCTGGAAGTCCTCGGGCTTGATGAAGCCATCACCGTCCTTGTCGAAGATGTGGAAGGCTTGACGGATGCGCTCACCCTGCAGACCGCGCAGCATCTGGGCGAATTGGGGGTAGGTCATGTCATGGCGGGTCTTGGAGCGGCCACCGTACAGCGAAGCCCATTCTGAGTTCCAGTCAAAAGGGATGCTCTCAGGACTTTTGTTCAGGTTGTACAGGCCCTGCACAGTCTCGAACTTGACGGCACCGGTGCCGTCGATGTCGAAGAGTCGGAAGGCGATCTCATACTCGGCATCGGGCTTCGCGAGGATGTTTTCAAAAGTGGCCCAGTCGTTGAAGTTCAGCTTGCCGGTTCTCCGTCGGTCTGCCACGTTGAAGAGGATACCGTATTGTTCGCGCTTGATCTTGTGCTATTTTGGGACACAATCAATCAACAATTGCTCCGGGTTTGATCTGGTCCATACTCACATAATCCTCCTGCTTGGGGGCGACGGCATTAATGAAGTTGTCCTCATCCATGAACAGCTCGCCATTCTCGTCCTTCTGCGCATGACGAATGAAGTTCGCGCGCGCTTGGTGGGACAGGTGAGGCGCCTCTGTGCTGCCCAGGAATTGTTCCTTCACGGCTTCCTTGACACTAGCCATTTTGTGTCACAATCCTAAGAGAGTCCCAAAAGTTCACAAACACACAAAACTGGGGGAAGGGAGAGAGAGTGGAGAAGGGGAGGGTTGAGTCAAAAGGAATGAATAATACAGGGCTCCGCCGAGAGTTGGCTCCAATCTTTCTATTTTTATTTTTATTTTTTATTTTTTAGGGTTCTAATTCTTCTCGGATTGATTTAATATGATACAGTACTTTAATCACCCGGGAGTGTTGGAGTTGTACCTGAAGGAACGCGGATCGAATTTTCACCAGGGCCTGCTATTTACCCGGGGGGAGATCGGTCTTGGAACCGAATCACAGTTACCGCCATCCCTCTGGAGCACAGATCTCCGCATTACTGGCCCTACCGGGACAACTTACTAAGGAACAATAAGGAACGGGGTTGCCACGCGTTATAATGGAACACATTCTGATTGTTCGAGAATATTAGTACCCTGACGTTTGCCACCACGTTAACCCGAGCGATATTCGGGGACGAAAACAAACAGTCAGCTATCGAAGTGACGGGTTCGCAGGGGGAAACCGGGATATGTCGCACGTCACATGGTCTTTCGGACCGGTGAGTATCCTATGCGGAGAGTTGGAGACTGCAGGTCTTTTCTCAGCCACCCGGGCTCACTCGGCCCAACTCCGCTTATGTCTTCTCCGCAGCTGCCCTATACCTGGTAGTATATCTGTATAGTCGCTGTCTTTAAGTTGACATGAGAATTGGCCATTATAATATCAAGTAGCACTATTTTAAGGCCCTTCACTATCTTGTATAGCCAAGGTGGTATGATCGCATAAACTTACCTATTCGAGTAATCCCCATATTCCCCAGTGCACGTCCCTCACAGCTTGCAATTACCAAACTCAATTGCTGTTGGAGAGAGCTTTGCATGGACAGCAGGCAGCATATAAGTTAGAGCTTGTATTTGAGGATGTCTATCTATGTTGGGGTAAGCTCTGGGGGGGGAGTACTGTAAGTTATCCGATGTCGCAACTCTCACCCCTCACGTGTACATGTTACTCCATGTTTCGACTTCGGAGATCTCCTCACCGAGAACCTAGATTGTCAGGTGGCCTTAGGCAGCCAGTCTAACCGAGAGTGTGAGTGCCCTAGAAAGCGATCCCTTTAGGTCGCGCTAGTAGAAACAATTGACCGAGAACCCTGTCTGTTACAGAGCTGATAGCCCACAAGCTAAATTAAGCTATAGAGTTATAATATTAACTTTTTTTCCTATCCTATGCCGAGGGAGATAAGTAGTTTATCAGAGCTTAAATTCCATTGCAGGTTAAGCTGATGTTTACCACCGTCCAACAACCGCCTCATGTTGTCTGACCTAGAATCATTAGATTGTGGGGTCAACTTTAACAACCATTGGATCGAACCACGCGAAAGACGGTTCGGGAATATAGTACTTGGTTGTAGAACTCTACATTGATGAGGTCACCCACTCTATATTGTTAATATCCAATTGGGACTAGAGTCAGGCGACCTTAAAGCAATATATACTCCAGTATGAGCTGTCCTATCCATGACATATCTTTGTAGTAGCATGCTCGGTCTTGTTTGAAATACTCAGGTGTGGATGAGGCGAAGAACAGCCATAAACATGTAGAATGAGGCATCTGAAGAAGAGCGGGGGTTTGTGTAGTATACGCTTGCAAATTGGATGGCTTAATCTGCTATGTTTTACGACCTATTCCTAGAGGCAAAATATGACGCGACCTATATCATACGTGAGATTAGTAAAATGCCGGTGAGGCTACCTAGACATATTTGAGAAAATAATGATGCTCCAACACCCCGTTATCCCGACATATTGATGCATGGATACGTAATTCCAGCTCCTGTCTCGAGTGGCTTGATGTCTACTTGCGGAACTGTACTATCGGGAAATTCATTGACACGTTGCCCATCACAGTAGGGGAGTTTCCTATTACCGCCAAAACGCAAGTGACAGTGAGTCCAGTATAGGATCCCTGCGATTGACGCTTTCTTCTACATGACCCGTGAACAGCCAAGAAATAGGAGAAAAAGAAGAAAAAGGCATACAAAGATTTATGCTAGGCTCTCCTGCGTTGTTTTCATAAGCTTACAGTTTCGCACGCTCTGCCCTGCTTTCAATGCCAAGTACATCAAGTTAGCGTTGGAACTACGAACATCTTGCCGAGAGGCGTACCGAGCACCTCAGGGCTGAGTAGGCTGACTGGGTCCGTGGAGACTAGTTAAATGTCCGCCCGTGACTATCTTTCCCGAAATATTAGGATCGTTGTTTGTTTAACTCGTTTAAGCTCATCGACGCCGGAACTCATCGTATCCGCATCGTATCCCCCTATCGTATTCCCATCGTATAGATAGGCCGAGGCCATCCTCAATCTCTGTACCCTCTCTCCATGTGAAGAAAAGGAAGTATAGGGATATGCTTGAGTATTTAGATCAAACCGCCGCGTTTGAACCCATCGACATGTCTGCTTGCCCATTTTACGAGTTTCTCACTGTTTTGAAATGTCCGTCATGCTATTGTTTGCCCTAGTCATAGCTGGCATTTTTGGACCAATTGGTTCATATGCAACTCCTGTGGGTCCATCAGCTTGTTCCAACATTACCTTGCATTTGGGATCGCCAAAGGTCGTCAGCAGTGAGCTCAATCTGAAATATATCAACAGCACTGAGTATTACAATACTCTGCAGGATGCTTACAAACCATCCTGCATTGTCTACCCCAAGTCCTCTCAAGACGTCTCCGTGGCTCTTCAAGCTATCCGAGCAGCGGACAGTCGCTTTGCAATCAAGGCCGGCGGCCACAACCCAAACACGTTCTATTCATCCGTCGACGATGGCGTCCTTATCGACTTGAGCAGCCTCAACGCAAAGTCATACGACCCAGACACCACGCTGGCTACATATGGACCAGGTGGTACATTTGGCGACTTATATAACTACTTCGTGCGATATGGCCGCACGGTAGTCGGCGCTAGACTTGCCGGTGTTGGAACCGGTCTGGCACTGGGTGGTGGCATGAGCTATCTCTCGCCCCAGTACGGAATGGCCTGCGATTCATTCCGGGAATTGGAAATTGTTCTACCGGACGGTGAAATTGTAACAGCATCTAACACATCCAACCCCGATCTCTTCTTTGCATCCCGAGGAGGCGGCGGCAATGCATACGGCGTTGTGACAAAGTATACAGTGCAGAGTCGCCCAGCTGGCCAATTCTTCGCCGGAAACATCATCTACACCTTCCAGCAGAAAGATACCGTCCTCGAGGCAATCAGAAACTTCATCCAATACAACAACAACCCCAAAGCAAGCATCATCGGCACATACGAGAAACTGCCCACCCCAGACCTGAACCTAAACCTAGACGAAGTTATCATCATGTTCCTCGTCTACGATGGCCAGGACTCTGGTAGTGCATTCGCAAACTTCACCAGCATACCCTACTTGATCAACACGCTTAGCATCAAGACCTACCCAGAAGTAGTTAACATGCCAATCCCATACGCCACCGAGATCTCCCGAGGCGCCAACATCTTCCGAGTTGGAGTTCACCGCACCGACACCGACGAGTACAAAACAGCCATGGACAAATGGCGCGACTGGGGCGAGTCAAACAAAGGCAAATACCTCCTTCTCTCACTGGACTTCCAGCCCGTCCCCAAGAGCTTGACAGATGCCAGCAAGGCACAGGGGGAAATGCCATGCAGATGCCCGACGGCCCGTGGTTTTGGTTGAACTATTTGATTACCACACCGCCGTTGATGAGTGGGCCTGATTATGATGCTGTTCAGTCTAGCTTCCGGGATATGGTTGCTTCGACTACTAATGCTGAGGGTCTGCCGTTGTTTATTAATGATGCCAGCCATGACCAGAATCCGCTTTCGACTTTTTCGACTTATGCCAAGTTGCAGGAGATCAAGAAGAGGTATGATCCGGATAATTTCTTTGCTGATAGGACTGGGGGTTGGTCGTTTGCTTAGAGGGTGGTATGTCTATATGAGGATCATGTTTGATTAATCAATTTTTCTACATTTTGCTGTAGTCGAATTGGCATACTGTATGGCATGCGATTTGCTATCATAAGCGCATATTTTGATTATGGGCAGCTAGACTTTCTCTGCACGCTACCTGTTTTGCAGGCCTCCAAAATGCTCCGTTTGATGCGGTGAAGTGATTTTGAGACGAGAGACATAGATCCACCTGCGGAACGTCAGTTTGCCTTGACCTCGGTATAAATTTACAGTATTTCCTGCTGCGTCTCATTTTCCTTCTCTTCACCTCTCCAGCTACACAGCTGATTTCCTACATCACCGTCAGCTTCTGAAGACCACATATCAGCGCCATGGCAAACAACGGCGGCCATCTGCTCTGTCCGAGCTGGATTTCTCGAACAATTCTGACGTTCAGTGAGTGCTCATCCCTCCATAAGGCCGTGGTCCATCCCACTTTCTGTTTATTGGACTAACTCAATTCTACTGAGGTAGCATCGCCAAAGATCGCGATTGGTTCGGTGATGATTATACACTCTTCAAACCCTTCACCGCGGCTATGACCAGCGTGGGGATCGAAGCCATTGGGTCGGAACTGTCGAGCTCCCCACAAAGACCTAGTTCAAACGGCATTATCCGCTTAGAGAACGTACTGCACACCCTAAAAGCGTTATGCAGCACCATAGGGGCCCCTATTCTGGAAAGCTTTAACGTTGCAACCGATTTTCGGTCTTCAGATGGCCCTGGTGCCATTGTCGACCTCCATTCTGGTCAACCCTAACATATTTCAAGCCTCTCAACGAAGGCCGCCGCCTCATGGACGTCCAGCTGAGCGACCCCCCAGTGGGTCCCTCTGTTCGAAATTTGGCGTTTGAACTAGGTGTTTCGTATATGATTCACACCTTCTGGCCCGCGGAGGAGCGGCAAAGATTTGAAAGCACCGTATCTACCACACCAGCTGAGAAGGCCTGGGTCAAGAAGCACTTCGGAAACGAATTCAGATTTCTCCAAACCTACGGATTGAGCACAAGGACGGAGACCACGAAAAGGTCGGGCGATTGTGCAAACATTGATGAGCAATGACGACAGCGAGTAATCCACGACTTCAAACCCAGGTTGATCGACGTGAAGAGTCGAGATGTCCAGACAGGAATTGTGGCCAGATGATGATGTTTATTGGGAATGCAAAACTCGCAGGACGGTACTTCCGCTGCACGGTTTAGGTATTCTTACCCATTCTTGTTATGAACAACCACGCCATGAGCAGCACCTGGTATACCAGACTGCCATTGATATCTTTCTACCCACAAATCTGTATCTTGACCAATGAGCAACTAACAAGACATCTTCGGATATGGCTGCAGCCGTTTGCTTTCTTAGCTCCTAGCTTGAAATTTAACCATGCCTATGATCATGCACTTGATCAGTTGCCGGACTGGGTACATAAGTAGTATAGATTAAAGATCATCACAGCAAACCTTCAAATCCCACCCCAAGACCTAGTGTGAAATCATGTACCTTTTAGCTCCCATGCTAAGCATGGGGGTTGGGGGTAGCCATTTTAAGCAGACTATTGCAGGTTCAATAAATATCGCCACTCAATATGTGGTCCAGAAACAGCCACGAATCTCTTGCAGAAGACTACTTTGTTGCAGAAGTCATTCTGGGAGTTTCAGTTGTACTATCTGTTTCAGTGGCCTTTGGCTTCGGACTCTTTGTAAATTGTTCATAATTCAACCCTTAATGACGCCCTTACACTAGATATAAAGATGAGACAGTAAATTGAAGCAGATCTGATTATTACTTGGGAACGAAAGCACTGAAGAGTATAGACATTGGAGCCTAGCCTTTACTACTTCTTCTTATTATCCGTGATGCAGAAACAAATGATACTATTCTCCGTCAATAAGAAACCCATTTACGTCACCGACCATCAACATTTAATACGTCTGGCTTTGTTCTTTTTCAAATTTGTTGACTTGCACAAGCCGCTGGGTGGCTGTCTCAGTCTTGTGGAATCGCCAGGGCTTGATTTTCCGCTCAAACAGTTCATCTAACTCAGCAGCGGATCGCCTAGATTTAAAAAAGTGTTAGCAAAGCAAGAATACTTCATCGATGTCATGTTCAAGCCCTTACCCAGCAGTCTCAGGAATTAGCAACCACATGCCAACAACGAACGGAAGGCCAACGCCTGCATAAAACCACCCTGTCTTCAAGCTCCAGTTCCATTTGCTGGCATTTGTCATGTATGGAACAAGAACGTTCATCACAACACCAGCAACACAAGTTACTGCCGCTCCAAATCCGGCAGTATAAGGCCTGAGGCGCTGGGATGATATTTCTCCGATATATCCCCAGCCAGTCGCACCATTGGTAGCCAATCCGCAGTCTGGGCATATCATGTTACTAGCAGCTCTTCCAAATCAATAGGGTGTACTTACTCCATAAGCAGGCAAACATTATGAAGATGTATGTCGATGCCTTCACCTGAGGACAAACCCCAATGATACCAATGCCCACACATGACACCCAGCAGAGTGTAGTCCCCGAGCAGGCGAGTAATCTCCTTCCCAAGCGGTCGGCAACCGTGATTATGACGATCACCGTTGCAATTTGGATCGAGGTTGTAATAACCTTGATCTTGAAAGGGTCGGCTAGTCCAGCCTGTTGGAAGAAATAGGTACCAAATGTCCCGAAGAGACTAAGTCCGATCAACTGCTGGGTGAGGTTGGTCCAGCAGGAAATCACAGTGCGAAGGCCATTTGTGCCCTGGAAAATCCCGTACCATTTCTCTCGGCGCTGCTCGGCAGCAACTGCGTGCTCATGCTCGATGGCCATAGCCAACACTTGATACTGCCGCTCCAAGTCATAATTGGGTACTCCACGATTGAGCTTGAGGAGTTCCTTCTTGGCCTGGTCGACCTTACCAGCATTCACGCACCAAGCAGGAGATTCTGGGACAAAGATATAAATCAAAATCATGAGCCCAATCTGAGCCCACTGGGTATAGATCGGTGTCAGGTAGTCGGTTGGGTCAGATCTCGATAGATGTTGGAGAGCGATTTGGGCAAAGAACGAACCCAAGGACCACCAGAAACTGTAGCACATCAACAAGCCTCCACGAATACGAACAGGTGCAACTTCTGAGATATATGTTGGTATAGTCGATTGTAGACATCCCACTCCAATCCCAGCCAGGAGCTTCCCTACCAGCCAGACTTGCCATGACCTAGCAAGACTCTCGGCAAGCACACTTCCCACTAGAATTACCCAGTATGTGTACATTGCAGCCTTTCTACCATATCTACTGGAGAGAAATGGCAGTGTTGTCATACCAATGATCTGGCCGCAGGACATGATCGAGCTCCAGCCACTTAGTATAGGCGATGCGAGGATAGGCTTTCCCGTTTTACCGATGGTGGTGGCAAAGCGGGCGACAAATCCGGCGTTGGCAATGATGCTGGCATTGATTCTAGAAGAAATATCATGTCAGACATAACAATATCAAAGTCAACCTCACGAACCCTGACTCACCCAATCTGGTACCCATCGGTTGCCGCACTGAAGGCCATTGCAAAACACACGATTGTGCAGATCTTGAACGTTTTGATTGTCTCCAAAATGCCCAATTCTTCGTACCCAGTGACTCCTTGACCCTTGGTCGCGGCATCAAAAGTTGGGTCAGACTTCTTGAATCCCTCATCTGCGACGATCTCGTCATGTTGCGCCGAAGCCGTCATTTCGGTAGAACCCTTCTGTGGTCCCATGTTGAATGATGATTGCCGCGAACCTGCGAGATACTATAATCCCAGACAAGTAGAAGAAGTACGTGGGTGTCTAGGGGTTTTAAACCTAGGGCTTTGGCTAGGCTAGTGTTTGACAAGTCCAGTCACCACATGATCTATACAATGAATCCCAGCACTGGCTTCAATCTCGGTTTCCATTATCCCGAACTAAATTGTTATATTTTCACTCAACTGATATACATTAAGTTCCTCAAAGACTTTGCGGAGTACCCCGGAGTATCAAAACTTTGTGGATCCTGTCAAACTCCAATCCCCGCAACTTCCCCAGTGGCTTGGACCCTTAGCAAAGTAAGATAATACCCAATAATAAATCTCTAGACTAGCATAGCTTTCCTAGATAGCCGATGAACCAGTAAGAGGCGGGTTCCAGATCACTTTTGCCTTTGCTACTGGCGTCGTAGTCGACTCAATAGCCGGCGGCACTACTAAGCCAAAAGGAACTCGGTTTGTGGGGATTGGCTTTTTTGCCCCCTAAAAATCGAGTGAAAGGGTCTAACTGTAGGGACAAGGGCATCAGTAAACTATACCTCTTAAGGGATAATTCACGACCCTTAGCGTTCCTGGAGGTTTGTGGCGCCACAAGGTCTAGCGCCACAAGGTCTAGCCCCAATGGGTGGGTAGATGGTGCATATCGGGATAAATAATGCCGTCGAACGGAATGTTGGAGGTGCCAACAAGCAGTTTACCCATCCCCTGAATTTTGCGAGGCAGGCAAATGAAGTTTGCTGGTAAATTTGTATTACGGCAAGGTACCCATCAGTCTTACCCTTGCTCCTTAGTTACTGACTTTCGAGATGAATGATAACTATAGATGATGCTTTGAGATATGATATTTGAGATATTAATCCAGTGCGTACTAAATACGCTTTTTGCGTCGCTCATTGAATGACTGCTTTAGGTAATAAGCAGACTTCTTAGGAGTCCTGACAAGTGTATCGTACTCGACATGTGTGATACCATAGCGCGCGCCATACCCAGCGGACCATTCTGGGGATATCAGTCATAAAACAAAAGTGGCGGGAGAATTGAACATACCAAAGTTATCCATGAGACTCCATGCGCAGTAGCCTTGTACTATGATACCATCCTCATAAATGGCCCGCGAGATAGCATCCAGGTAAAGACCAAAATACCGTATCCGAAAAGTGTCATTTACAGCTTCCTCGAGGGCCATCTGGCTTTCGCCTGGACAAGGACAGCCATTTTCTGTAATGACGATTGGAAGGTGGTAACGATCCCAGACCCAGTTCAGAAGCTTTCGAAACCCATCTGGGGTAACGCGAAGCCACGACATGCCAGAAACGGGTCCAAGCATCTTTCCTTCGTTATTTGTGGCGACTTCCTCCACATTCCCCGTGCAGTCATCCTCGGCAGGTGGATCCGGAAGAGCACGGGCAAACTTAGTTGAGTAGTGATTCATCCCATAGTAGGCATTAATTGGCGCTGTCTCTCGGAGAAGTCTCATCTCCTCAGCGGAGAACTCTGGTAGCCGAGGGCCAAGTCGGGCACGCATTTGGGAAGGGTAGTCCTTGCCCAGGAAAATGGGGTCTGCGAACCAGCCGATGTAGAATTCCAGTCTGCGTTGGGCAGCAGCTTTATGCTCCTCGCTATTTGCGTCCCATGGCTCGTAGAAGTGGCCATTCAGCACAATTGTTATAGACCCATTCTGAGCAGGTTGGAACTCTGTCGCATAGATCTTCACGACAGCTGCATGGGAAATAATAATAGTATGGCCAACCCGCCATGGCTCTGTCCGTGTGTCATGACCAGCAGCAGCACTATGGCCAGGAGCAAGCACACCGCTGTGGTGACCAAAGATTGAGATAATGTACGGCTCGTTGTAGGTAACCCACTTCTTGACACGATCGCCAAAGCGAGAGAAGCACAGCCGGGCAAATTGCTCGAAATCAGCCTTGAACTCAGCTGTGTTCAAGAAAGCGCCATATCGATTATAGAGCTCCTGCGGAACATCCCAGTGGTATAGAGTGACAATTGGCTCAATATTCCGGGCCAACAGGCAATCAATGAGCCTGTTGTAGAATGAGATCCCATCTTCGTTAACCGGGTCATTACGTCCACCCGAGGGAATCACACGAGACCAAGCAATGGAGAGTCGATACACGTCCACCCCATAGGAGGCCATCAAGTCAACGTCTTCGGACATGCGATTGTAGTGATCACAGGCCACATCGCCATTTTCTCCATTGGTACGTGACGGTTCGAGGTGACTGAACGTGTCCCAGATAGATTTGCCTTTGCCGTCCTGGGAGGCACCGCCCTCGATCTGGTATGCAGCAGTGGCCGTGCCCCAGAAGAAATCAGGAGGCAGAGGTAGCTCTTCCACCTCGCGAGGCTCGCTAACCCATTCTTCGTTGTCGGCTTGGAGGACAGTGTCCTTCGCCTGGAACATGTTCACATTCATTTTGAGATTGGAAATACTTGAGCAGGTAATCCGAGAAGATGTGACGTCCTTAGAAATGTGCATTGATCCGGGAACATGTCGGTTAAAAAGACGATATCTTGATGGAACAGCAGTCGGCCTTTGAGCGCGGCATCTGAAGTGTACCCTCCTGCTGACCTCGGCGTAATTCATGTCCCCCATGGCAGGTCTTCGCCTTTTCATCGCACCGACTCGGTACATTATCACACCGAGGAAGCCATTGCATAGTCCTGTTTAGATTTAGGCAGATCTCCCTCATCATTCCCTTCAAGCCACCGCAGTGCCACTACCAGTCGCATCGTGCTAAAGCAAGACCATCCGACCAGCACTTTCAGAATGAAGGGTTCCCTACAGTTGCAACAGGTTAACTCGGTGGCTGTCAAGCCCACAGGCCATAGCGGGGAAGAAACGCAATGGCGCTGTGATCGAATCGCCGCTCCCTGGGGCCCTACTACGTCTGGACCGGATGCAGAATGGCTGTTTCGCAAAGAATTTGAAGTACAACCTTGCGCGCAGGCCAAACTTTCAATCACTGCCCAGGGAGTCTATGAGGCAGAGATCAATGGCCACCGTGTTGGAGACCACTTCATGGCCCCGGGATGGACAGCTTATGATGGCAGACTACAATACCAGACATACGATGTCACATCACTGCTGTCCGCAGGGAGGAATTGTATTGGAGTTCGTGTTGCTGAAGGCTGGTTTTGTGGACGTATTGGCTTTGAAGGTGGCCACCGGAACATCTGGGGACCTCATCCAGCCTTGATGGGCCAGCTCGAAATCTACTATCCCAATGCCATTGTTGAAACCATACCTACAGACAGTACTTGGTTGGTGACAAAAGGTCCTATCCGGCGGGCAGAGATATATAACGGAGAAAAATACGACGCGACTCACGAGGTCCCGTACTGGTCGACATTTGCGCCTGAGGGGGCTACCAATAGTGCTCATGATTGGGTGCCCGTTCTTTGCATGCCTCCTTTGCCGGCGCAAATCGAGGTCGTGACTGGAATTGGAGAGCCAGTCAGGCGAACTGAAACTATTATGCCACTTCAATATATCCGGTCGCCGTCTGGAAAATCAATCATCGACTTTGGTCAGAACCTGGTTGGATACATCAGACTGAGAAACATCAAAGGTCGTCGCGGCCATAAGATCACCTTATCTCACGCTGAAGTTTTGGAAGATCAAGAGCTATGCACCAGGCCACTTCGTGAATGTGATTCTGTGGACGAATATATTCTGAGAGGTGACGAGAACGGCGAGAGCTATGAGCCACGATTCACATTCCACGGATTTCGATATGCCCAGATCGACGGGTGGGGAGGCGACTTCAGCTTGATGGACTCAGTCGAGGCGGTTGTATGTCATACAGATATGAAAGAAGCCGGCTCGTTCTCATGTTCCGACGAGTTGCTCAATCAGCTATACCAAAATATCCGTTGGGGAATGAAGGGGAACTTCCTCGCTGTGCCAACCGACTGTCCTCAGCGAGACGAGCGATTGGGCTGGTCTGGGGACCTCGCTCTCTTCGCTCCTACAGCAGTTTTGTTGTTCCACTGTTTCGACTTTCTCAGGAATTGGCTTATCGATGTTTGGCATGACCAACAGGTTCTGGACGGTGTTCCCGCCATGGTTACCCCCAATGCTACACTCCCAGATCCAGTTTGGTGTCGCCGAAAGCCTTGTGCCATATGGCATGATGTTACAATTCTGGCACCGTGGGCCCTTTACGAAGAGACGGGCAGTGTCGAGATTCTTGAAAAACAGTACGAGAGCATGACAACTTGGATGAAGATACTACCCAGAAACAGGGAAGGTTGCACTCATCTATGGGATACTAGTATCTTCCAGCTGGGGGTAAGATACCTAGGCACCCATGACTCTCATTTATCTCAGTTGCTAACACGATACTCTAGGACTGGTTAGATCCGGATGCTCCAGCTGACGCACCCTGGAAGGGCAAGACTGACGCACAACTTGTGGCAAATGCATTTTTAATTCACAGCTTAGAGCTTATGGCCCAAATCGCTGACCTTCTCCACAAAGATGAAGACAGGCTGAGTTATGAAAAAGAGTCCCGAGCGGCCAAGAAAGAATTCCAAGAGGAATATGTGACCACTAACGGCCGCCTTGTATCCGACAGCCAAGCAGCCTACTCCATCGCGATCTGTTTCGGTCTCTTGACGCCCGCACAACAAGAGCGAGCTGGGAGTCGCCTGGTCTATCTTGTGAAGAAGAACAACTTTCGAATCGGCACAGGGTTTGCCGGAACACCATTCCTGTGCGAAGCCCTTGTCTTGACAGGGCATATTCAAGTCGCTTATGCAATGCTTCTTGAAAAGACTTGTCCTTCCTGGTTGTACCCAGTGACCATGGGAGCTACTACTATGTGGGAACGGTGGGATAGCATGCTTCCAGACGGGAGAGTCAACCCTGGAAAAATGACTTCCTTCAATCATTATGCGTTTGGCTCGATCGCCAAGTTTTTGTTTGATAGAGTCGCGGGTTTACAGAGGACCGGACCTGGCTGGAAGAAGTGCCGCATCGCGCCGTGCATAGGCGCTGAACTCTCGGGGGCCTCGGCTTCCCATGAGACTCCCATGGGCCTTGTTTCCTGTTCGTGGAAGACATCGAATTTGTCTGAGAAGCAAAGCAGCCTAGAGTTGAAAGTCACTGTCCCATACGGCATGGCCTGTGAGATTATTCTGCCAAAGGGCTCGGGAGAGCTGCAGAAGACTGTTGGCTCTGGAGAGTGGACATTTGAGACAATCTTTGTACGAGACTACGAGTGGCCTCTCAATCCTTTACCTCCAAAATCATGAGCACAGAGGTGTGATAGTAGTCTATTTTTATTTTACTTTATTCAACCGCTTTACTTTTCAGTATCTTGTCCTAGAGCTAGAGTTCCATTGTAGATTTAAATGAATTCTATTGCTAATTCACGAGATATTTCCGTCACAACTCTATACGAGAACGGATGTGCGGTTGTGAGGACCACATTTCCGACTAACAGTATTCTGCTATATGGCTGCCTTCGCAATCCATTCTCCCGAACGTTTCGGTATCCGTAGAAATAAAGGTTAAAGAATAGAGACCATGTAATGCTAGCAGAGATTTGGGAAGTGATACTAGAAAAGTAAGAAACGCGAAGCTTGCTACTCTCCAAACCCTCCATTATCGATAACAGCTAGAGGCCAGGCAATTTCAGACTGCACAGACTTGTCCAAATACTCTGCGGCAAGATTGACCAAGATCTTTCCCCAGCCTTCCATCCACCAAGCCTTATCCATGACATGTAGAAGTGCCCCGTAGTGAGCGAGCGTCACTAAAGATCTCGGTTCTTTTATCAGCACTAGATCCAGGTATTCGGAATCTATTATAGCAGGCCACGCTAGAATTGGGCTCTGGTTCTCGCTAGCGACGCAGGCGTCAAAAACATGAAGGAGATGCTTGATAGATCTTAGTACGATCGTCCGTACACCATCCTGACATTGAGACTGGCCGTCCTCTGCCTGTTGTTCAAACAATGCTTTTAATTGAGCATGAACCTCACGGACTTGCTTTGATCTTTGGCGCTGTTGTGCACACCGTGTCAACTTCAACAAGAGCCTCAGATCACCCTGCTCGATCCACGGCCGAGCATTTTCTACAATTGATGCAGCCCCACGGACTAACTTGAAGACCTCAATCACTTCGTTCACATTTGTGGATCCGAATACTAAATTCAGACCGTGGTAAGCAAAGGAAAAACTGCTGATAAGAAGGGAGCAGGCGAAGAGGGCGTGACAGTTCGTCGATGTCATGTGACTTAGAAGCGGCGCACAGAGAGACAATGCGAGGCTGTGATGTTGTATTGCGACTTCAGTATATCTTTGGCGAGAATCAGGAGATTCCCGAGATAGATGTAATGCCGATATAGCAAGTATACTGTGCATGACAAACGGGTAGGCCAGTCCCTTGTGAGGAACATGTGTCTGGAAAACTTCAATCAGGTCTTCGTTCTGTGCCAGCGATAGAGCTATCGCCGTATGCCAATGATGCAAAAGTTTGAGTTCGCCCAGGGGCAGGATGGCTGCGCTCCCATTACCCTGCGGGGCTGTCGCGGAGCCCCAAAGGGGAAGATGCTCAGGATGAGAACTGTTGAATGTGCACGAGAGGTATTTTTTCTGGCAAGGACCACAACAGGGGCGGGTCTCATCGCATTTGATCCGGCGCTTCTTGCACTGGGTGCAGCCGTGATGGGATTTCGCATGCGAGCGCCGCAACGGCATGGTTATCAGACGCAATACTCGAGCTGAGGTGTGTGCAGGTGAAGACCCCCGCAAAGCAATGACTCAGCGGCATGGATCACAGCTTGGCATAAATTCAAAATAGCCTTGTCTTTCGCAATATGTCAAGAAACCTTTGCCACTGGTCCAATGATTAGCGATGCTAGTCACTGTGACGATGCGGGAATGTCACGCTGCCGGGGCATCACCTGGTACTTCTGCAATTTCACTCAAAATCTTCATTCGATCGTCCCGATTAGAGTCAGTAGAGGAACAGGGTGTGGTCCTAGTGCAGTTGGTTGCAGGGCACATCAAGCACATTGGCCTGTCACACAGTCCCGAACGCCCATCACAGTGCACTAGACCCCGATACATCCCGTGCACAATATTATTGGCCGATAGAAGGAAGCTTTCCAAGTATAGAAACCAAAGTGTGATGAGGTGGTGATTCATGCGTCGTGCATGGAGTGGGCGCTTATGGCCCCTATGTTCCCCTCTCGAGTATATAGGCGCCGCATCCTCCCCAGGGGCATCCAATTTGCATGTTTGAGATTTTTGCTATTTTCGCTTCTTCTATTTTCGTCTCGCGCTTCGACTTGGCTGGCCCAAGCGAGTTTCTTCATCTACACTGCTCCTTGCACGTCAATAATCTGTTTCCTCTCCTTGCATTCCTACCTGGGACATCTTTGTTGATCAAAGTCTCCCTGTGAACACAAGAAAACATAACGTCATCGGTCTTTATATTCCTTGAAATACTATATTCTTCTTCAACTTTGTCTTCAGCTTCAACCTTTGTGGACTCTATACCATCATAATGCTTGCCACCAGTGCCCGCTCCATGAAGCCAAAGCTTTCCTTGAGTATCTCTGCTGCCCAGAATACTACACGGCCAACACTGTCACTCAAGTCACCAAGTGCTCTTCCTCGCACACCTGCCTCGCCTGTCTCCGCGGCGAGCCCGACCGCCAGGAGGTTCTCAACTCTACAAGTGCCAAGCTATTCATACACAAATTCTTGCTCCTCAAAGAGCATTCTCAAGAAGCAGTGCGACTCTCGCTCAGGAGCTGTTGACAAGCGCATCCAATTCAAAGTCACACCAACAGTCCACTGCGTAACACCTATTGAGAATCCGGATGAGTACTACGGCAAACACACGAAGATGACTCGTGAAGAACGACGGTGGACGGTCCGACAGTGAAATGAGCGTGTAGCTTTTGTATCACTCATGACCGCCTATGACTGGATTGATGGTGATCAGCTGGATAGCTATGGATGATCTGGGCGCTGTCTGTTGCTGCAATGGCGCTGCGCTTCGGCGCTCTGGGTCTCTGGTTGATCAAAACCCCTCGCATGCTTGACAATTTCCTGAAGTGCAACAATGATGGTCTATGCACAGAGATTCCTGTATCAAGATGTACATCTGGCCTGGGATTTGAGAGACGGTTCTCCCGGTAGGCAACGGTGTCTTTCGCGCGTCTCGCTCGCCCAGAGTCTTCTCAATACTCTTTGGGACAGCTCCGACTACTTGGATGCACCATTGCTGCACATCCTGTCGCTGAGGGGAGACTAATGTATCAGTGTTTTGAGAGGATTATGTTTTATGACGTTATGATGGGAACTGGATCGAAGATTTTGACATGAGTATTGCTGTTTTTTAACTTAGTCATTCGTTACAATGAATATATCGGTGTCCGTCGGACACCTCTATACTGACCGATTGAGGATAAGCGTATAAGTTTGCCAAAAAGATCTTGATCAACAGTAATCCGTCGATCAATAAAATACCACATTGGTAATCACCTTAGGGCTTCATTCGAGGGCTTCTCCGGTCCGTGCGGGTCCGATCTTTTTCGCCCCTGGCGCCGCTCATCCAGTCAAGCACCCCAGCAATGCTATTCCCAGCGACTCCCGTCGCAGCCCTACGCAGATCAGCACTAAGCATCTCAAGGAGATGTCAGACCTGCCGCCGTGGCTTGCTCACGTTGGCGATCGAAACATCATGGTAAGTTGAGGCGATCGCCCAACCCAAAAGGAAAAGACATGAAGCTAACTGCGCGCCAACAACAGTGATGACACGTCGGTAGCCATCGTTGAGAAAACAAAGAAAGCGGCAGGAGACGCGGCCAAGATTCATTTCCTGGAAAATATCACTGCTGACACCCGCGCGCATCGAGGCATCCATCCTATCATTGCCCTCGAATCGCATCAGGAACATCTCGCAAACCTCGTCCAGAAAGCGCTCAAATATCTACCGGAGTCGAAGATTGGTGATGGACTTAAGCTAGCGGATGGGTCGCGTCGCCGCATACCTGACTTTATATCGGCTACAAGAGGCCCCGGTATGCGGTCTAATCTATCCGTCGGTCTTGATACTGGGAAGGCATTGTCTGCCGCATGGCAGATCCCCATGGTCGGGGTGCACCATATGCAGGCACATTTATTAACGCCCCGACTTGTTTCATGCATGGAGAATGAGAATGAGACCAGCGCCGAAACACAACTACCAACACCAACCATTTCGCCCGAATTTCCTTTTCTATCCATCCTCGTGTCTGGAGGCCATACGATCTTGGTCCACTCCACCGGCCTCACGGAGCATAAGATCATAGCAATAAGCGAGGATATAGCCATAGGAGAGGCGCTGGACAAATCAGCACGAGACATCCTGCCCACGGAGCTATTACAAGAAGCAAAAAGCACCATGTACGGCAAGACGCTAGAGCAATTTGTTTTCCCCGGAGGGAAAGCCGATTTCAGCGATTACAGAGCCCCGGAAACCCGCGGCCAGGAATTGACTACTCGCCAAAACAAATGGGGGTGGTATATCACCACGCCATTTGCGAATACGCGAACGCTACAGTTCAGCTTTTCTTCGGTGTCAAGCATGGTTGGGAAGATCATTCAGAAGAAAGATGGCGAGATGTCCACCGAAGAACGAATTGATCTTGGCCGGGAAGCCATGCGCGTGTCTTTTGAGCATCTTGCTTCGCGGACTGTTATGGCTCTTGAGATGCTTCGGCCGCGTGGTACCGCTGACAGGGATCAAGTCAAGACGCTCGTCGTCAGTGGTGGCGTTGCGGCGAATCGGTTCCTCATGGGGGTTCTTCGATCCTTTTTGGATGTGCGCGGGTTCCAGGATATCAAGGTTGTCGCGCCGCCTGTTAAATTGTGTACTGATAATGCGGCTATGATTGGGTGGGCTGGGATTGAGATGTTCGAGGCTGGGTGGCGCTCTGATTTGAGCGGTCGTCCTGTGCGAAAGTGGTCTCTTGATCCGCAAGCTGAGGATGGAGGGATTCTCGGTCCTGCTGGTTGGTACCGGGTGTGATTGTTGTTGTAGGATGTCTGTGTATATTAGTGATACCCGTGAACCTCATTGTAACGTTATAATAGCGTTGCGTTATGTAAGATAAGGCAAGCCCAATACCATCTCCATGTCTATACCTACCCTTCGAGTTCCTGGACTGTAACTGAATATAATTTTCTGCAGGAGCGATTGTGCTTTATCGACATGTAAGACCCGGAATTTCAGAGACGCCAATGCCATGTAACCTCCATCTCATCACCCATGAATCCTCCTCCACAGTAGGGTATCGATGATGCGCCGTTGTAACCTATAAAAATGAACCAAGCTCGCGAACCGGCCGACTGTGCGACACAAAAATTGCGAGAAAAAGAAGTGGCAACTGTCTCGTTATGTTCAACCGCCGATAGGGGGCCCGCGCTGTAGCGATGTAATCTGTTTTCGAAGCTCGACGAAGAAGTCCTTCCCGTTTGCCATCAGGTGCGCTGTAATAAGGTTATTCTCCATTCAATCAAATGATGCAACCGGGAGACGTACGCTTGGAGCCCCAGGCTCCGCTAGCTCGGTTGGGCGCGTCTTTGGCGGTAGGCTTGTAGATGTTTGGCTTCGATTCTGTAGGAAGGGCAACGAGTTAGGCTTGTGCAAGTGTGTAGGCAGATAATAACATACCCCGGGGTCCTGAGACATGAGAAAATCCCGTTAGCTTTGTAAATCCTTGAGCAAGGTCAGATATGGACAACTATACCTCTCTTCAAAATGTTCTTGGCCTCTGCGGCATTGAATCCCCGTACAGGGACATGTTGCTCTTGCGGTGCGTTCGATGCGCCCCAGGCAGCATTGCCATCGCGTGCGCCGCCCTGTCCTCCTGTCTTGTCGCGATTTCCGCCGCTGCGCTGCGAGGACTGGCGACTAGGTCCACCCCGCCATCTACAGTAGGATGATACAAGCAGTTAGTGAAGCTGGAGGACGCGGAATGTCTTCGGTGGCAAATGCGTACCTGTTTTCGCCGGGAGAGCTCATAGTGTATGTGTGGAAACGACGAGTGGGAACAGAATCAAAAGATCGCAAATAGCTTGGGGAGCTAGATATGTTAAGTTGACGCGGAGGTTGCTTAAGAGTTCCGTTGACACCTGAGGCCACAAAATGACAGCTCGGGTGTCTCCGCCTTGGCCAGATAACCAAACACTCCTCCTCATCGCGCTTCTCAGCTTTGACAGGCCTGGCGTCATTTGCGACTTGCTGTTCTTAAGTTGTCGCATGTGAAGCTTGCGATTTATATTTCGCCGCCCAGCTTGAGTTGGTCGCTCAACGCAACTTGGATCCGTCCGATTGACAATTACCCCCGACGATCCACACCCAGTCCCTCACGCTCGTGGTGTTATGGCGCCGTCTATTAGACACTCGATTTCCGGTCGCCCATCACGTAGTCGACCCAGATCCTCTTTGAAATCATCAAACAACGGGCTCCTCGATTCGCCTGAGGGCCCTCCTATGAAGAAGCGAAGGTACATTCCCGGCGGTCCTGGAGGCGGAGGAAGGTTTATCGACGCCGACGGCACTATTGTCGCCGAAGAAGAATCACAAACACCGAAGACATCCAGTGCTCCCCGCCGCCACTCTGCAAGTGCTCGGAGTCGCCCAGCTCCGCGTGAGATCGAACAACCAATGCAAGCCCCTCCACCGCCACCTCCCCTTGTACCAACAACACCACCCTCAATGACGCGTCCGAGGCGCGATAAGACCCAAAATCGGGGTCGCTTTACCTCCTCCACGGCTGCTGCACTTGCTCTTCAACAAGGTGATGGCTATAAGCCACGCGAAGAACGCGGATGGGAGGAGTTCCACCCCGACTTGGATATCGATGGCAAGCTTGCAGTCTTCAGCTCCCATGAAGTCGATGCTCCAGATGCTACAGCAGAATCCTCGAGCTTGGGATCATTGGGTGGGGCGAACGGGCTGGATAGTCCAGGAACGCCAGCCTCTTATTCAGCTGACGCCTCGTCTCCATTCCCGATGAAACGTAGGCCTGGTCGTCCACCGCGTCGCCCTGAAGCTATCTTGAACGCCATGTTCTCTCATCAAGGACAGAAGGTCATTCCACCGCCTGGTCCTAATCCTCGGGAGAAGTTGACGCTGCCAAAGCCGTCGTTCAGGATGCGTGACCCCTTCACATTCTACGAGAAAAAAGGTGTGGGCCACCAAAATTATGTCGATCGTACTATGGCAGCTGTTGGTTACCAAGAGAGCGATCTGTTTCTCCGTCATGACCGGCGTTTTATTCGAATGACCGAAGGCACACAAGAAGATGACTTGGATGTCATTCAGCCTGCTATGACCGATGACGTTAACACAACGACTGGACGCGTGGAATATGATATGGATGAGCAAGATGAGAAATGGTTGGAAGAATATAATGCCAAACGTCGCGAAGATCAGCTTGAGCCCATCAAACCGGCTGTGTTTGAAATTACCATGACCAAGATTGAGAGGGAATGGCACGCCCTTGAGAAGCGCATCCCGAAGCCAAACCCCAAACCACCACAGACCGGGCGGCCTCGCTCCAGTTCAGCTGCTGCTGTCAATGGCGAAACTGCTGGACCAGGCGAAGAGCAGGACAGCAAGTGTGCTATCTGCGATGATGGCGACTGTGAAAACGCAAACGCCATTGTTTTCTGTGATGGTTGCGACCTTGCGGTACATCAAGAGTGTTATGGTGTGCCTTTCATCCCAGAAGGCCAGTGGCTTTGCCGCAAGTGCCAGCTACTAGGGAGAGGTGCCACGAATTGTATCTTCTGCCCAAACACTGAAGGTGCATTCAAGCAAACTACCTCGTCCAAATGGGCCCATCTGCTTTGCTCTTTCTGGATTCCAGAAGTCTCTATTGGCAACCCATCTCTTATGGAGCCAGTTACCGATGTTGAAAAAGTCCCTCGCAGTCGCTGGAAGCTGAATTGCTACATCTGCAAGCAGCGGATGGGTGCCTCCATCCAGTGCAGTAACAAAAACTGCTTCGTGGCCTTCCACGTCTCATGTGCACGCAGAGCTCAGCTGTATCTCAAGATGAAGATTGGGCATAGCCTCATGGACTCTCACCTTCTCAAAGCTTTCTGTGACAAGCACGTTCCGCATGATTGGCGACTGGAGCACGGGACTGATATTGCAACTGCTGATGCCATGGAATACTACCGCAATACCATGAGCGGTCGACGGTGGGGGGACAGTCAAGCTGTGGCACTTTCAACTGGTCCGTCACATCCCGTCATTGAGGGTGGTGAAGATGACCTCGCTTCAGCTCCTCGCATTACCTTGACTATCGGCGGTAATAAGCGCAAGCGCGTACCTCGAATGATATGGAAACTACCCTCGGGTGCTCCAGTGATTCCTCAGGTTGTTTTGAACTCAGTGGTTGCCTCCCTTCAGCGATTCACGGTCCGTCAAAGAAAGCAATATGCTGAGGATGCATCCAAGTATTGGACGCTGAAGCGTGAAGCGAGACGTGGAGCCGCATTGCTCAAGAGACTTCAGTTGCAGCTCGAAACATTCTCCTCCATGGAGATGACACGAAGAGACTACGTAGCTATGGGTGTTCCCGGGTACAAACGCCTGGAACGTCGCATCGAATTTGGCGAACGACTTTACAAGGATCTCGATCGATTACGGATGCTATGTGATGAAGTGAAGAAACGAGAGAAGGAGAAGTTGAAGGATGCCGAGATGCTACGGAACATTGTGGATCTTGTCTATTTCCCTACGTTCCCACTACTCTGGCCGATCCTTGAGAAAGCTCAACTGTAAGAGACTCTTGAAATTTTGGCATACCTTTTACTGACTCTAAACCAGGCTTGACGGAAAGGGTGTTTTTGCTCCTGGCTTGATGTCAATACGACAGAGATTGAATGAGCGTTTCTATCCATCTGTTGCTACCTTCTCTGCCGACCTGGCTAGCCTGTTCACGTCAGAAATCGGAGTGGAGCCTGCTGGCGACACCGCTGAACTACAAGCACAGATCAGCGGCCGTGCCCCAGAGCTTAGCTTGGAGCAACGCGAGAAGCGAAAACTGGCCAAGCGCATCATCAAGGTCATTCAGCCTTCCCTGGAGGATGCAATCAAGAAAGAGAGCGAGTTGAACCGCAAACCATTTGAGAAAGAATTGAAAGAGCTGGACGTGATTCTTGACCACAGTGTTATGTCTCGCGGTGGTGATTCTCCCGAGCCAGAGGGTGACACTGAGCTGTCTGCCCACCCTGATGCCATGGAAGGTGTCGAGGAAACTACGGAGGCTCCATCCGAGGCTCAACCCGCTCCAGACCAACAGCCCCCGAAGATTCTGGTGCAGAAGGGGCACCCGCAGAAGACCCCGTGAACGATGTCTATGCATATCATCGACACCCAACGCCTATCTTGACCGAGCAGGACCAACAGCTGCCCCTGGCTCAAGGTGGCATCCAATGGTACATGCAGCCATTCGATCCTGTTGGCACCACCGTTCACGAGGAACGATGGACAGGACGGGATGTTATGCGTGGTATGAGCGAGGAGCTCAGTGAATTGGACGAGGACGAACTTGAAGGATTGAAGGACTTGGTGGATGATGAAGAGCTCGGGGGTACTGCCAATACCAACGGCGCTCCAGCTGCTTCTCAACAGAATAACCGTCGGACGCGACGTTTGCGTGGCTCAAAATAATGCTATACTTCATGAGCGCGAGGCGTAGGGTGTCCGGGATTTGATTTTAGCGAGCTTTTGTATTTCTAGCTATAGCTAATAAGACCAATGGCGATCTAGTCTTGGCGCATTTCAGCTGTTTGTTCTTAGCATGAAGCCCCCTGCTTGCTTTGACTAGCCCGTTTTCCAATTCTCTCAATATCCTAATTTTCCTTAACGAGAGTCCTTAACGGAACTTTTTAACGATAATTCGTAAACCGGTGTGAGGCGGTTGTGCTGCCTGAATTCTCGGGTGTTGATCGTTCGATTTTCCGGGCTCTTATCGTTAAACCTCGCTTTCTTCCTCCTTCCATCTCACACCTTTCGGTCTTTCACCCATCATGGCTGACTACGAGAATGACAACGGCCGTTACGCCGGTAAGTCCTTTTATTCCATGATATACAAGTGATTGCTTACTCTGGATTAGACGAGCCCCGGTACGATCGCGACCGCAGCGCTTCTCCTCGCGATGAGCCTCGAGCCGACCGCGACCGTGCTCGCAGCCGCTCCCCCAACGGCCGCTCCGACGACAGGTTCGTTTCATCTGAACCAATACATATATCTCCTCTCTAATCAACCCCTACAGAGCTCCTATTTCCCGCAAGCCCATTGAGGAAGAGGATGAGGGCGCCATCAACTCCGGCTCCAACCTCTTCGTCACTGGCATTCACCCCCGTCTGACTGAGTCCGATATTTCGCGTCTCTTCGAGAAGTACGGTGATGTCGACAACTGCTCCATCATGCTTGACCCCCACACCAAGGAGTCTCGCGGATTCGGTTTCGTCAACATGGTTACCGCAGAGCAGGCCGATGCCGCCAAGGAGGGCCTGCAGGGCGAGGTCATCGAGGGTCGCACCTTGAGCATCGAGAAGGCCCGTCGCGCCCGTCCCCGTACTCCTACCCCCGGAAAGTACTTCGGTCCCCCCAAGCGTGGTAAGTTTATCCCTGCCCCACTCTATTGCTTTGTCCTTTGTCGAAACTTACACACTTCCTTTGTTAGAGGGTGGTGGTGGTGGTCGCGGAGGTGGTCCCCGCCGTGACCGTTACGATGACCGCCGTGGCCCCTACGGAGGTGGTGGCTGGCGCCGTCGCGATGACGACTACTCCCGCTACGGTCGCTACGACTCTTACAATGACCGCCGCGACTATGGCCGCGACTATGGCCGCGATTATGGCCGCCGTGACTACGGTGGTGGTGGCGGTGGTGGTGGTGGCCGCGACTATGGTGGTCGCCGTGAGTCTCGCGATGACTATGGCTACCGTGGAGGTGCTGACCGCTACGGCGGCGGCCGTGAGGATCGTTACAGCCGCGATGATCGCCGTGGTGGTGGTGATGAGCCCCGTGGTGGAGGAGGAGGTGGTGGTGGTGGTGGCTACTACGACCGTGACGCTAACCCTCCCTCTTTTGATGCTGCTGGCCCTCCTCGTGAGCCTCGCGACCCTTACGCCGGTGGTGGTGGTGGTGGCAGCCGTTCTTACGAAGGTCAGGCACGCAGCGGTGGTGGCGAGGACCGCTACGCTGGCAGGTAAAGTGTCTTTCCTAGTTTCTTAACCAGAAGAGAGACCGGTCCTTGAATTGTCTCGCTGGTTTCGCGTTTCTTTGCCCATTTCTCTCCCCAAATTTTTCGTTTTTGTTCTGGAATTGCTTTTAATGCGGGATTTGGGCGACGGGCCACGGGGCGTCGTCTTGTTTTGTCAATTGCTTTTTCGCATCTCGTCTCAGCAAAACGGACCATCGGCCTTACTGCGACCGGCTCGCCAATACTTCATCGGCTAGTCACACTTCGGTTGCTTGATGATGTGTCTCTTTTATGTCTGTTCGCGACGCGACTTCGGGAATTCTTCTGGCGGCAAAAAGGGAACAAAACAATTATCGCTGTAATTCGGATTTCTATGGCTCAGCATTTTCGTCACTCACACCTCCACCTCTTCACCTCCACAACATCTCCAGTAACCGGCTCGATTGTATTCGACTCTCTCTAAACAACTCTGAATGAACAACCATTCGCCCTCTTTCGCCAAAGCCGTCGACTTTGCGCTTGTAGTACCAGCCCTTTAACTGCAGGCGTTAAACTATCCTTGGATATCTGATCAGCTTGAAATTTGGTCAAGCTGAAGGTGAGATGTGCTGCAAGCTAACCTGCAGGTTTTATCTTTTTTGGAATCTTCGTCTTTTTTGGCTGGACTGAAGTGTGCTTACCTTCCATAGGATATGTGTCTCATATGTACAGTATGTTCCTACACAGGTATGGAAGTCGCTGGTCATTCAACCACTGCAAAATATGCAGTCTGGTGAAGATTGCTGGCAACAACCTAAACTGATTCTTGCATCAAAATTTTGGACATTTCTAGTAATCTGCCTATATCACAGCCCTAGACCCACGCATAGATATATATCTGTCCCTTTAGACTGGTCGAGTAGAACTGTCAGCCAGTTAACCCGTAGCTTGTAATATATAAGCCCTCTTGTAGAGTCTTGGTCTTTTACCTTTCCGTAATACACGGCAGTTACATTCAGTCTCGCGCGTAAGTTCCAAAGCCATGAAAGACAGTTGTTGATATTGAAGTGGGTATCAAATGGTGAGCAGTGGGACAAAGCTAAGTCATACCTCAACGCATACACACTGAAGTATGCTTAAGCTAACGCAATGCCTCCAAGGGTAAAAGACAAAACAATCAATCAGGCAGACAGAGAAACCACAACCGATGCCCCGGTCCAAAACATCTACGCCAGCGCCACTAAAAATCAAACGCCCAGCAGAAACAAGCATCCCACCATCCAGTTCGCTTTACTCCGAGTCCTTCTTACCCTCACCTTCGACCTCATTACTCTTCTGAAGCAAGAATTCACCAAGTACCCGTAAAGGATTGGCAGGTCTAAAGAAACTAACATCAGCACTCTTATTACCCACTTGGAAGGAGCATGCACAACTCACTGTTCTCTCGCAACAGACTTCATCCCTTCAAGCAAATACGGCACAATCTTCTCATTCAGATAAACCCGCGCAGGCGCACCACCAGGCCGGACTTGCGTCGCAGAGAGGCCGGATAGATCTCCCATGGGAGTGTTTGAGCCGTTGGCTTCGCCCATTGCGGATGTTGGTTTGGGTTGTGGTGCGGGATTGGAGTTGGAGTTGAAGTTGGGGTTGAGGTTGGAGTTGTTATTGGAGTTGGTATTATTCGGCGGTGTCGGGGCCGCTGGAGCTGTGTTTGTAGGAGTTTGAGGCTGGCGAAGGTCAATTGATTGAGTCTTGGGTTTGGTTTGGGTGGTTGGAGGGTGTGGCAGTAGGAAGTTGGTTGTTGGAGTGGGCTTGCGGAACGGAAGCTGTGGAGCTCCGTTTTCTTGTCTTTCTTTTTCCGTGAGGGGATGGAGGGATAGAGAGGATTTGGGCTTACTGGTATAGTGGTCATTTTATAGATGGGGATCTCTATATCTATCAAAGGGCTGTCAAAGGGGGATTCCTGTTTCTTCTAGGTTTCTTTCTCGTCAGCCTGCAGGCTGTTGCTGTTGGGCATGTTGCAAACACGACAAACAACTTACAGTTATATCTGCACGTGATCTCGTGTTCCAAAGTTTCGCGAGACACGTCCACTCGTGTCTACATTGAGGGGGTTTGGTTGCTTAAGTCTGATTGCTATGGAACCGAGACACCATGTCCCTATTGGACTTCTGGGAGACACAGCGGCCTGTGAAACGGCGGCGGGCCTCTGAGCAGCCGAGGGAGAGTAACAATGCAGAGGCGGGGCCTGAGATAAAACGGCCGCTGAGTCCGAGTTTGAGTCCGAGTCCTTCGATCGATGTGAGGGATACACCTACAGCAGAGGACTTGGGATATATTCCCAGCAGCCAGACGGATCTCGAGACGTCACTCCCTGCCATCAAGACCGACGAGGATGCGATTGAAGAGTATGAGACGTCCAAGAATGATAACGAGCCTGGGTTGCATGTGAGACTACGAGATGGAGTCTGGCAGAAAGGCAAAAGCTCTATCTATGTTGATGCGTTCAATTTAGCACTCGAGACTGTGTTGGATGAGGAATCGCATCTGTTCGACGAGACCGAAATGGAAATCTTCAGCCAATGGCGGGAGCTCTCTTATGAATCCCAATATCTGTATGTGTTCTCGTAAATCTAACTGTCTTTTCCTTAATACTGATAGAGATCCAGCTATGTGCGGCTGTTCCTGCGCAAGACCTCTGCATGGCATCGTATCAACAGACTGAACTATTACTCCGATATCTCGGATTTGTTCTCAGTCGCCGAAGACCTGCAGAGAGAGCGAAGTTTGCCTGACTCGAATCTCGGGGAAACATTTAGATTCGCTGAGGGCATAGAAGAGATAACAACGCTGGAAGAGGCGTCATCACTTCTGTTGCTCGAGGAGCTGAAAGTATTTGCAAAAGAAGCCAAGGTGCAAGGTAAGAGCAAGAAAGAGCTGCTGGCAGGTCTTCGCGAAACGAGCCAGACACAGACAGGACTCAAAGACACGAACAACAGAGATGGCCACTTTACCCAGAAGATACTGGACCACACGGGTGGATGTATCCGGCTCTCGTCCATCCCCCGTGCTCTCTTCGAACGAGTGCATCTAGTCTTCTACCGATCAACCGAGTGGACCGAAAAGTCCCTCACAACAATAATCCTGGCCAAAATGTCCAAGAGAAACTTCCCCGAGTACATCGTCTGCCGCTCAAACTCGATATTCTCATCCAGAGAAGCACTATTAGAATTCGAGGCCGCCATACAAACCCAGTTTGCCATAGATAACATCCTCGAATTCAACGGTCCACCCACAACTGAATCCCTACAACAAATCATCGACCTAGCAAATAAGTTCCACCCGCGATGGAAGGAACTAGTCAACCAAGAACAACAAAAAGAAGACAGCATCTACGAAAGCGGCGAAGGCGCTTATCTGCGTCGGTTCTCGCCAGCATGGGTATTCACCAGAATCATCCACAAAAGCCTGCACCCGCTCGGCCGGTTCAAGGAGCATAAACGCGAGCACGAGGTTCTCGAAGAACTTCTCGCTCAACGACTCTTCCATGCTGCGCGGCGCGGCGCATGGTATCAGCGTAAAGCATTGCTGGAAGAACATTACATGGCGGCTCTGACGCCGGCTGGGGATCGCAGTGAGGAGAATCAGCGGAAGCATTGGAAGAGGATTGCGTTGAAGACGTGCGAGAACGGGTTGGAAGACCCGTTGTGTCATCTGATCTTTCATTATGATTTGCAGAAGCGGATTACGAAGCTTGAGAAGGCTCTTCGGGTGGTTAAGCGTGAGCAGCATGATTTTGGTCATGTCATGCTTGGGAGACCGGCTGAGCGGATTGTTGAGGGTATCCGGGTTGACACGGAGGATATGCCTCGGAAGGGGAAGGCGACTGTTTGGGTTGATGAGAGGGAAGGGGGTGAGTGTAGAGTTGAGAGTATGTGTTTGAGCTGGTACCGCGATCATGGCTGGAAGGGGTATCACTCTGAGGGAGGTATTGTTCGGACCTTGGTGAGTATAATGAAAAACCTGGAAGAGGAGTCAGCTAACACTATGACCTGCAGTTTGGTTACCTCTTCTACGATATTTTGTTTACCTACGTGCCCAACGTCTTTCAGACGGCATTTCAGACATGTCCGCTGGATCTACACACGGATGTTTTCTATCCGTCTCGTGCATCTGAAATCAATCATCGGCTGGTTGAGATTACGAATGGTGACGCAGAGCGTATTATCCGGGAGATCCATTCTCGGGAAGGCGAAGCGCAGCCCTGTGCTGTTGGTCTTGACTGGTCCTTTGATCTGGAGGACTTGGTTGAGATCGTGCAATGTTTCCGCGGCGAAGCTCTTGCTACCATCTGCAAGGTCATGGCACAGGAGTATCAGCAGCGCGGCGGAGGCATCCCGGATTTGTTCCTTTGGAATTATGAGACGCGGACGGTGATGTTTGCTGAGGTCAAGTCGGAGAATGATCGGCTGAGTGATACTCAACGGCTGTGGATTCATATCCTCTTGTCTGCAGGGGTCAAGGTCGAGCTTTGTAATGCTGTTGCGAGGGAAGTTAGAACGGAGTGAATGGGAAGAATGGTCATGTTTGTTGATTGTCGAGGGCCCGGCGATAATAGAAAAAAAATCTAAATATACAAAACAAAAAGGGCACAGGTTCTGTGATTCAGTCAGCATTCGTACTCAACTTGGATGCGTCTTGGAGATGGGGCAGATGCCCGATGAACAACCTCTTCTTGAAATAGTTTATAAATGGCAGCTTATATTTTCTGATGAATTAGTGCGGCTTGCAGATTCACTTACCTTCTCACAACGTCCACCTCAAATCACCTGCGTCTGCCTTGTCTTCCTTGCGGCTTATTGGCCGTCGTCTCCTCCTGGGACTTCTGCTTGGTGTCCTCTTCCTTGCAGGCAGGCTTCTCCTGGTTTGGCCATTTACTATTTTTTCATTAGCCAAGGCATTCAATGATCCGAGTAAGGCATTCAAGTGATCAAATGAGGAATCCAAGTGAGCGTAAGGTATCCAAGTGAGCGTAAGGTATCCAAGTGCAGCGTCCAAGTAGAGGGACAAAGTGCAGTGTTCGCCTATACCACGGGGTAGACCTGGAGGTTACTTACTGACTCCAAAAACGTTTAACACACCATTCAACAAGAAGAACGGCTCTGCACAGGGTCCATATGGCGAAAAGAGTCCAAGGTCTCGGGGAGAAGCTCTCAAGGACGAAGGAAAGAAAGGCGTTGGTTGCATTTTGGGGGGTAGGGGGGTCTGTCGAAGTGGTTTGAGTGTTTGCTGTAACATCACATTAGCATTTAGTAAAGCGAGACTTTATGAAGTAGACGTAGACGAAGGACTTACCCATCTTCGTGTAAAAAGGGTTCATTTTAGAAGATTTGAGAAATGGTTACAAGAGAACAGTTCAATTGCGGGATCTACAGTAATTACACTCTGGGAAGCTGCTCTGTAGGCAAGAACGTTCAAAACAGGAAGTCACTATCCTAGGTCAACGACACACTCATCACGGGGCTCGCATTAGTAAGGTCTGCCTGAGACGAATTTGTTGGGGCTATACAAGAGTAGAAACCGGGAAGAAGACATTCCTAATAAGGCGCCTAAGAAGACGCTTGGAAAGACGAATAGAAACACACTTAATAGTATTTTCATCAAGCTAAATCAGGTACATCTCATATCATGGCGATTAAGCACACCCCCAACATCAAAAAGATGAGAATGAAACATATAACAATGATTTCACACCGAGACTTGTCCGTGAGAACTGCCTTGTAGCCGATGAGCATCCTTCCGCCCTTCAGACTGAATATCAGGTGGTATATTGGTTGCCGGGTCAACTCAGACGGGCTTCTCTCGTCGCCACACATCCCAACGGGAGGCAGTCCCCAAATCGAAGCTCGACAGAGCGCATCATAGTAGGAAGTAGACAGATTGAGATCAAAATCCGAATAAACAACCTCCTTCTGAGCTTCGGTAAGGTCTGTAATAGATGATACGCGAGCTTTGCAACATTCACATTCATCAGTACAGTGCCCAACCCCAAGCTTGCGTCCCTCGGGGATCTTGCGATTGACACAACATCCGCAGCTGAAACCACAGCACCCTCCCCTTGCAGCACAGCACTCGATAATATTACGATGCAGGTACCATTGAGAGTGTGATCGCCAAAACTCGAATGCTCTGCGTACTGGACCGGAGCAATCATATCGATGCTTCCACCATTCGCGTTCAAGGAGCCAATATCTCTTGTTCAGAACCTGGAGCTGAATCTGGACGGCTTCCTCTCGTGTTTGATTTCCTTTGTCTTCCTTTTTGGTCTCTTCATGTGAAGGCTTCCAGTTTTGCAAAGACAGCTCTCTTTGAACTACCTCCCGGAGTTCTAGCTCTGTTCGGAGAAGCGGGAGTAGGGGTGATTCCATCTCCGCATCCGATTTCGACCAGCGATACTTCTGGAGCTCAGTGTATAAGCCCTTCCGCTCCAGTCTGCTCTCACATACCATGATTGCAGCACGTCGAGATTTTGAGGCGTGGTGGGTTATGTGACAAGTTTCCTGGTAGAACACAGAGTGAGTCTCTTTATCCAGACACCTGTAGCAGGGACCGACAAGGCTTACTGGTTCAAGTCTATGTTGGCGTTAAATCCCAAGGACTTGGAGTTGGTGACATGAGAAGGGAGGATTTGACTTACCCTTTTAAGGTTAATATGTCAACGGCTCATGCTGATGCAATCTCCACTCCATATATGAGAGTTAAACGTTCAAGAGATGTTAGGTCACGATTTGCAAGCCCAGATAAAGATGCTGGGGGTGACCTTGGGTCCTAATATGTTCGTGTTATTGGATAATCCAGCTTCTTGTCAAGTCACAAATGATTAAATTCGAGTATTACATAGAAATATACAAAGACATGAGATGGGCATCACAGTAATATGTTCGAGTAGCAACAAAAATACAAATATATTCTTTACTTAATGATAATACTCCTTATATACACCGCCAGATGTGAAGGTCGACCAATTGTGGCTAGATGGTGAGTGTTGAAACATCAAAGTCCAGCAAGCCCTAAAAAGAACCAAAGTCATCCAAGGGATGCCAAGAGAACGCAGACTGGCTGTAGTTTATTGCCTAGGGGTGCAAATGATGATTGATTCTAAAAGCAAATAGATATCAAATGTTTATGCTCATACGGAAAAATCTACAACTACTCAAAAATCTAGAGCATTCATGAACAAGGGTATCAAATAATAATCGTAATCCTTTTTTTGTATCTAGTAGAAGATAAACCCCCAGATACGACGATCACGACGATCCGATGGGTTCCCTCCGTCAACCACACATCCTCCCAAAATTCGCTTATGCGACGAGGGTGGAAGCGGTGGCGCTCTCGTAGCGCCAGGTGGGGGGCAGGACACCGACGGTCTTGTAGTAACGGGACAGACGGTGGATACGGGACTCGATCAGAATGAGGCGGAACTTGGAGTCCTTGTCCTTGCGGTTGCGCTCGAGGTGCTTGCGGACAGCGACGGCCTGAAGAGTGAGCGGTTAGCATGCTCTGCATGAAATTGGATAAAAAGATGGGCGGAGAAAAAGATTTTTACCTTCTTGATCAGGAAGTAGAGGTCCTCGGGGAGTTCGGGAGCGAGGCCTGTATTCCAATCTCTCTGTCAGTCAAGATGTTCTGAACCAAGCAGAGGCTTAATTGCTGGTGCATTTCTGCGACCAGTGTCGGGGAGAGAGTCGAGCATTGCGCTTCGAAAGTGGCATTTCGTGGAATCACCCAGAAAAGTTTTCTTAACACAAATATTCGCTCTCTTCACCCGACGGAAGTGATTATGCGGGCGGAGGGAATCGTACCGCTGGACTTCAAGATACGGAGGATCTTGTTACCTATCGCGAAATGTTAGCAAACGCCTTCCTTCACTGGAAATTTTCCGGAATTCCATACCAGTCACAAACTTGACCTGGGCAACACCGTGGGAGTCACGGAGGACAACACCGATCTGGGAGGGGGTGGCACCCTTCTTGGCCAGCTTGCAGATGTGGTCCACGACCTGGTCGGGGGTGGTCTTGAGCCACGCGGGGGGAGTGCGGGAGTAGGGGATGGCGGAGGAGGCAATGCCCTTGCCCTTGCTGTGAAGACGACCCATTTTGGTTGGTGATGTGTCCGGCGGAGGAAATCTGGTCGGTTGTCGGCGTGGATGAAGAGATCGAAATCCGAGGAGAAGGTGTGGGCGGGAAGACGGCCTGTGTGGGGTCACGTGCCTCGCTTATTTCCTCCTGCGGGAAAACTTCATCTCTTCGCTCTTCTAATTTTCTTGCAACTTCAACTCCCAGCAATTTTGTTTCTGCGTTTGAGTTGTCTGGAATTGATGTTTTCCATGTCAACTTGAGTTATATCTCACAATTTTCATGTCGACTAACCCCCTATTCGCCAATTATCGCCAATATCAGGTCAGTTTCCACTTTTTTTCCCGTCAGCCAACCCATTTTTTATGATGATACAACGCATTTGTTTATACTTTATTTTCTGGTACCTCTTATGTCAGAGTTGGTGTTTTCGGACGCCTTCTCGATGATCTAACTGGACTTCTGATCAATCTCTTTCCTCAAAACTTTTGTCATTGAGTTGCTTGACCGTTGTACTAATTACGGTTATAGGCTTTGATCAATATAGCATTTTAACTACTGAATGAAGAAATATCTATCCTTTTTGAATCATCGTTCCATTGTACAGTCATGTCTTGAAATTTCAGGCATGGTATATAAGTTTATCGCTTCATAGTGTACAAATATGTCCATGTGGCAAAACTGAACCTTTGTCACTGGCAAGCTCAGCGCCGTAACCGTTTGGATATCCTTCGAGTCTCTGTCGTATGAGCAGCATGGATTATACCGTCTGATTCCTTGCGCTTTTTGCCCTTGGGTGTCTTGACGGCTACATCTATATCCTCGACCTTGACCTTACCGTCCACGTCTTCCTCTTCTGGCATTTTCAAAGCGATGGCAGTTGTGACGTCCGTCTCAATCTTGACCTCGGACTTTGTCTCTTCCACCTTCACATCGACCTTCTTTGTAGCGGCAAGTTTATCTGCAAATGTCCTCAAGTCTGCCGTGAAGAGCACACTATGGGCCCATCCAGCCTCCTTACCCCAGAGCTTGCGGAAGTGATTTGCAACAGCATCGTAAGTAGTCTTGTTCAAGGTCTTGCTGGAGCTTTTGCCGAACCGGTAGTCTCGCTGTGCGATTTGCCACACTGTCGCAAGTCAGAAAGAAACCATACGGAGGATTGAGATCACTTACCATGAGTATCAACCGGCACAGACTCCCCCATCCAAGACCCATCAGACTTACACAGTCTGCCACTTTAGGTCCCACTCCCTTGAGCTCTAGGAGCTTCTCATGAGCTTCACGGTATCCATCTCGCCCCTCTGGTTTCATTTCGTTGCTGGGTTTGGGTTCCACGCCGAATGCCGGGCACTCAGGGTTGCTAAGACGATCCAGCCAACCTTTCTCCCGCATCTCAGCTATTGTCTGAGCAGTTTCATAGATGTATTTAGCCCGATAGCCAAATCCTAGCTTTCGGAGCTCGCTTTCCGTATTTGGGCCGGTTAAGCGTTCGGGCTTTGGGAAGTCGAAGTAAGTGCGGCCGTCAATTTCCGCCACGCTTTGTCCATATATCGTGCATAGCTTTTCCACCATTTGGGATATGCGAGCGATGTTATTGTTGCTGCTGCAGATGAATGAGACCAATGCCTCCCAGGCATCTTGGCGCAAGATTCGAATTCCGGTGAACTGCGAGGCCTTCTTCTTGAAATTTGGGTCGTTCAATGACCATTGGGAGTAGAGATCGGTCAAACTGGGCGTTAGGTTGAAATAATGGTTGATAATGCGCACAAGCGGGTCTTCGACATCGTTGTGGGAGGAATGTTGCAAGGCGGCATGGATGTGAAGATGGGGAGGAGGAGTTGAGCGATAGTACAGGTATTCAGAATCCTGTTTTAGTGAAAGAAAGCGCCCATAGAGGACACATCGCCATTCTTCGTTGTCGGGGAGGTGCTGCCATCTAAAAGGGTCAGTTGAGTCTCGGATATAAACGATTGTCAACAAACCTAAAGGATTGGCCGCATCGTAGAGTTGTGTTGATACAGAGCTCACTCAAACTCAAAGGCAGCTTGCGCCACTCAGTCAGACTTGTCGGATGCATCTTTCCGATCTCAAAGAAACTCTGTGTTTCTAGATTCGCCAAATAGGATAAGTTCGTTTCTGCCCGTTGAGGATGTCTTCCCAGCGGGCGGTGACGATCCGACCGCCTGCAGCTCCGGGACAGTGAGTTTTCCCCTTCGCAGTCGACAGAGCTCCATTTCCGCAACACAGCTCAACATGAACGGCGATACCTATTCTTCCAGAGGTGAGACGCATCCATATACCCACAATTGAATACTTTCTAACATACTTCCTATAGACTCTGGACGCTCGCGCGATTATTATGTAAGTGCTAACCTGTCTTTGGTCGCAACCACGGCGATTAACCCAATTCTAGCGCGACGAGCGACGAGATCGAGACAGAGGGGACCGCGCCGAACGAGGTGACCGTGCTGATCGCGGCGAAAGAAGACGGTCACGATCTCCTCACCACGGCTCCCGTGGCGATTCTCGTCGCGAGCGCGAGCCTAACTCCTACTCAACCAGCCGCGACTACCGTGCTCGCGAGCGCGAAGACCGCTACTCTGGCCGACGTGACGACAGAGAATGGGACCGTGGTGACCGTACTGAGCGAGGTGAACGGGGCGAACGTGGAGGTGACCGGGGTGATCGCCGTCGCCGGGACTTTGACGACAGACCCCGTCGGGACTTGTTTGACGACCGACGAGGCGGTGGCCGAGGTGGTGACCGTGGAGATCGAGGAGATCGCGGAGACCGTGAAAGAAGAGAGCGAAAGAGAAGCGCCACACCCCCGCGGCGAAAGGAGCCTACTCCCGACTTGACAGATGTGCCTTCTGTGCTGGTCCGGCAACGTCGTTTGACTCAATGGGATATCAAGCCTCCTGGATATGAAAATGTCACGGCCGAGCAAGCAAAGATCTCAGGTATGTGTCTACGCTTCCGTTCCATGAGTTTGACTAACAGTTGTAGGAATGTTCCCTCTTCCCGGAGCTCCTCGCCAGCAGCCCATGGACCCCAGCCGCATGAAGGACTTCTTGAACCCTCCCACTGGCGAAAGCGAAAACGCTGCCCTTAAGCCTTCCAACTCCCGCCAGTCTAAGCGTCTTTTCGTGTACAATCTCCCACCCAATGCCTCGGGCGAGAGCATCATTTCCTTCTTCAATCTCCAGTTGAATGGTCTCAATGTGATCTCAAACGTCGATCCCTGTATCTCAGCCCAGGTTTCCGAGGACAAGTCATTTGCTCTCTTGGAGTTCAAGGACCCCAATGATGCCACGGTTGCATTGGCTTTCGATGGAATTACCATGGCGGACAGCGGCGATAAGGGACTTGATGTGAAGCGGCCAAAGGATTACATTGTTCCTGCCGGCGCAGAACAGCCCTACCAGGAGGGTGTGCTGTTGAACGAAGTGCCTGATTCACCCAACAAAATTTGCGTTTCTAATATCCCGGCCTACATCCCCGAGGAGCCCGTCACAATGCTGCTCAAGTCATTTGGCGAACTCAAGTCATTCGTCCTTGTCAAGGATGCCTCCACCGAGGAGTCTCGGGTAAGTTCTGAGCTCTTCCCAGTCCTACATGTCAATACTAACCTTTTTAGGGCATTGCATTCTGTGAATATGTCGATCCAGCTGCTACCCCCATCGCCGTGGAAGGATTGAACGGCATGGAACTGGGTGACCGCCACCTTAAGGTCGTCCGCGCCAGTATCGGAACCACCCAGGCCGCCGGCCTGGACATGGGCGTCAACGCCATGCAGATGTTCGCCAAGACCACATCCCAAGACCTCGAGACCACCCGCGTCCTGCAACTCCTCAATATGGTCACACTCGACGAGCTGCTCAACGACGAGGACTACGAAGAAATCCGCGAAGACGTAGGCGAAGAATGCAGCAAGTTCGGACAGATCCTCGCCCTCAAGGTCCCCCGCCGCGGACACGGCGCCGGAAAGATCTACATCAAGTTCGACAAAGCCGAGTCGGCTACCAACGCCCTCAAGGCTCTGGCCGGACGGAAGTTTTCAGACCGTACGGTCGTTGCCTCGTACTTTAGCGAGGAGAACTTTGATACCGAGGCCTGGTAAATTAGGACCACTGTGCTTTTTATCTTATTTCCTTTGATGCAGGCGTGTTTTCTTTCTGGGGGCCAGTCGCTTTAGGAGCAGGGTGGATCTCACATGTGTACCATATCAAAATGCTCACATCATACTCGGGTCAATGAAACGGTAGCTCTTCTGAGTGCCTATTGAACATGATTTTTTAAGTAAATTGTAATCTCGTTAGTTTCATAGATATCCGTAAATATAGTGAGTTGGAAAGTTCGACTCTCACTACTATATCTTCATACTAGAACATAACCAGTCAAGCTGAACACAATAGCTTTCAGTCAACAGAGTACTAGGAAGCCCAAAGCCCGCTTTCGCGGGAAAGCATGGTCTCTCGAAATGGCAATCCCTCCCGTTGGTTAGCGTCGCCGCGACTTACCCACTCGCAAGTCCTAAACTCCAAGCTATCATAGCTATTCACCCACCAGCATCCCCCATGCACGCCTCTATAATATGACATAGTCCTAGCCATCTAACCTTCAATTTACTCCGCACTAGAGATCATCCACAACGCGGGGAAGGCGGAGAAGAAACAACACATTCACTCATTCATAGATCAACAACCATCCCCGAATCTCCGTCCCCCTTCCACCCCCAAGCCAACCTCAATTGCTCCCGCATACTAGTAGTAGGATACCCATACTGATCCTCAAGCATAACAAGAACACCAAGCAACGCCACCTGCTCCTCCCTCGCCGAAAACCGATCCCCACACATGCCAATAGCAACACTAGCAGTAACAAGCCCAGGCGGACTATGCAAATTCGACAACGCAATCCCACAAAGCCGAAGAACAATCGCGCGAATCTCCTCGTCAACCGACCTCATTGCTGTTCGCTGGCCTGGTCCGAGCCGTGGTAGCCGTGGATTGTACACTGCTAGCAGGATGCGTGCTAGTTCTAGGTGTTGCAGCCCGGCTACGTGGCAGTTGTTTAGGTACCAGAGTTCGGGGAAGATTTTGCCGTTTGCTGGGTCTGGGGCGCGTGTGTAGATGGGTTTGAAGGATTCTGGGCCGAGGGTGTTCCAGAAGGTTGAGAATGCGACTAGGGTGTCGTACTGAGCGAGGCGGGTTTCTGTTTCTGTTGTTGAGAGGCGGCGGTGGTAGTGGGAGGTTGTGTTTGGGGAGTTGGGTTCTTCTTCTTCGGAGCCGAAGCAGAATTGGAGGACGTCTGCACAGTGGATTACTAGTCTGTCGGCCCAGACGTAGTCGTCTGCTGGTTCGAAGCTGCGGTATGGTTCGCAGGGCCCTAGTGGGAGACGGAAGGCGCGTTGTTTTGAGAAGGCTGTTATTATTTCTTGTCGGAGGGCGATCCAGTAGGCTGCGTGGCGGAGGCCGGTTCCTGATACCGCTGGGATTGCTTGGGCGTCGAGGAAGATTTGGATCCCGCGGAGAGCTGATTCGTAGTCTTCGCCCATTGAGGGAACTGCATTTGTTAGCTTTGTTTCGGGGTCATGGGGGAATATTTGGTGGCTGACTGTCAACTTCTTCGTAGAATCGTAAGATCACTGCTGCTGCAAGGAGGTTCTCATCTTGAGCTTCCCGTGAGTGGTCGGATAGAGAGACGAAATGTGAAATGCATCGGTTGTGATACTCAATGGCTGTGGCCGGAGTCAGGTTGGGAAGAGGTTTGCCTCCGTATACAACTTGATTGCCGACATAGTACTTCTTGATTCGGCTCAGGTGTCTTGCTGAGACTGTACAGATTGCGTTGAGCAACGGTGGACAAGTGCGTGCTCGCATTGGAACAGTACATGCAAAATGTCTTTGTCCATCGCATATGTCAAACTATATAATCAGTCAGTCGACAATTAGACTATGTTTTAAGCACATTTGCTCACCCAATGCCCGAGTTGAACCACGAAATACCGCATCAGGCATGCCTCATGCTCGTCGAAATAGAGCTGCGGTATCTCTGCGGGAATCATATCCATTGAGCCGATTGATGCATGACTGTGATGGCTGCTGTGAGACAAGTGAGGGGATGTGGATGAGATAGAAGAATTATTTGGGGGCGAATGGTGCAGGTTGTATGACGAATAAGTCGTAAGAATATCATTCTGCTGTTGAGGAATGAAGTGCTCGGATGAATGCGACTCCACTGCATCACTTAGAATAGGCGGCTCTGTGACAAGAGTCTCCGTCGCAACTGGCTGCTCAGTTGCAGAAGACTGACTTCGGCGTCGTTTTACTGTGCACGGCGACACCTCACCTAAGTCGAGATAACCCCGTGCAATTTCGGCTGTTTCATCGACATACTTGTCATCGACTGTGTCTCATCAGTAATGGAACTACAAAGACAGCATGCCATGACGCAGTGTATCATAGGAGACCATGTTCATAACAGAAGACAATATCACAAACTTACCTTGAGCAATAGGCACCCAGACCTGATCATCGGCAAAGTCGGCATCATATCGGGCACTAGAGCCATGACGAAAGCCGGACGGCATAGACTGCCAGACGCACGACGAGCCCGAACGCTCACAACGCCGACATACCGGCTTTGTGCCGTCACCTGTAACGTACCGAGTGGTCAATAAGAGTCTCGGGATTGAACCCGGCATACATCATACGTGCATGGGGACAGTAATCGGAGACTTACACTTGACATGTCGGTCTGCGAAGAAGTGATTAGTCAATATAGATGCATGTCAGGGAGCAGGAGGCTTACGACGGCATTCCTGGCTGTTTGAGCACACTGTTAGTGATAGAAGTTGTGGAGATTCAAGGGTCCTCACCAGGGAACTGCCTTACGCATCGTATGATTTTTGAAGTGGGAGAGAAAGCAGGTTGAGAGATGTGGACAGTTCAAGGCAATTCTCGGCGCCACCAACCCCGGACCGTCAAGTGCGGGGAAAGCCGGGGTTACTCCGCCTTCTACTCTTCCATGCTGGTTTCTTGCCTTTCTGACTTCACTTCATAACATATTCATTCAAAATCTGTTAAATTGATAGTTGGATGTGACAGTTGAAACTGATGCGTAGTCGCATAGCTACGAATCATGTTAAATCGGCGTCATGTTGATCTCTTGAACAAGACCCTCGAGGCGTCGGCAACTATAACTCCACAACAGCATTGATGGCATAATGAGAATTGTATACCTATTGAATCCTTGGATATCGTTTGAATATGACACCGGCATCCATACTGTATTTGCCTCTTCGGACGATCGCATTGTTCTCGTGTGGAGCTGGGGGTATCGATATGATGCTCTGGGTTTCTATCTCGTGGAAGCTCAGGTCATTGAACCGATTTCCTTGACTGAGGACTGAATATCAGTGTTCTGCTCGACATGTTCTCAAGCATGATTTCCGGGTGGAATATGCTCGGTCATTGAAGGTGGAGCAGCAATTCTGGGAGTGTCGCAGGGAACAAGTGTATAACTATATACAAGTGGGCACAAGTGTTTGCATTTAGGGCCCGGATTTTAGAGCAGACCAAATCAGATCAAATACTGAAGAACAGACCGATACAATGGAATTCGAATTCCATGGATTTCCTTGGCATATGCAAAGATGATAATTACCTGTTCAGGCAACACTCGCGTATTGGCCAAACCAAGCAGTGGTCAAATACAGTATGTTTGCTCCATAATAAACTGGCAATTGAACATGCCAAAAACAGTCAAACGCCGGAAATGCGGGGGAAATGTGGAGACCCAAAGACTGAAGTAAGCGTCGCCGAAGAACTACCAATTCCGGTGTGATCGACAGCTGCAGGGCTTGTGCAGCTCGAGCTCAGAAATTAATAGAGGGGTCCAGCTATAAAGACAGCCACCAAATCCCCAAGTCTCAATTGCTCTCTACTTCCGTTATCCGCTACCCTCTGTCTCCATCTCCATCCACATCCTCACACAAAATGTCCGAAAAGCTCCAAGTAGCAGTCGCAGGCATTGGCCGCATGGGCATGCGCCATGCCCGCCACTTCGCAACCCTCACACCCCGTGCCGAACTCATCGCCGTCTGCTCGCCCGTGCAGGCCGAGCTAGACGCCGCAAAGAAGGAGTTCGGTGTACGCACATACCTCTCCTTCGACGACATGCTGGCCAAGGAGAAGACCCTCCAGGCCGTCGTCGTCGCATCCGCCACAACCGTGCATGCCGAGCAGGCTATCAAGGCCATTGAGGCTGGAAAGCATGTTCTCTGTGAGAAGCCGTTGAGTACCAGTCCCGAGGTGGTAAGTATACATCATATACTATCTTACATATCTACAGTGAACCAGAAGAAGCTAACAGAATGTCATAATCAGTCCCAATCCGTAGTCGACGCCTACCGCAAATCCCAAAAGAACCACCCAACCCAAAAAGTAATCTGCGGCTTCTCCCGCCGCTTCGACGCCTCCTACCGCGACGCCTACAGGCGCATGGCCAACGGCGACATCGGCACACCATCCGTCTTCCGCTCGCAGACCTGCGACAAGCTCGATCCCAGCGGCTTCTTCGTGGCGTATGCCGAGTTCTCCGGAGGTATCTTTGTCGACTGCTCGATTCACGATATCGACCTTGCGCTTTGGTTCTTTGGCGAGGACAGTCGTGTCAAGTCTGTGACGGCTGTTGGAATCACGGCTGTGCAGCCTGATTTGCGGAAGCACAATGACCGTGATAATGCGGTTGGTATTATTGAGTTTTATGTATGTCCATCCTCTCCTCCCATCCCCGTCCTCCCCTCTCCTCACCTCTCATTCTCTATATCTACATCTATATCTATTCGATGCTAACCTCGAGAAAAAGGGCGGCAAAATCGCCCAACTATACTGCTCACGTATGATGGCAGCCGGACAGATGGACTGCACAGAAGTATTCGGCACAAACGGACAGATCGCCGTGAACACACAGCCGCAATCCAACCTGGTGAACCTATTCGAGTCGACCGGAGTGCGCCGCGAGATCCCGCCTGATTACTATGGCCGATTCCGCGAGGCGTTTGTCACTGAGGCGAATGAGTTTACTGCTGCTTGTCTTGATAACCTGCCTGCGCCTATGTCGCTTGAGGGGGCTGTTGCTGCTGTGCGGATCGGGTGTGCGTTGCAGGAGAGTTTGATTTCCGGAAAAAAGATTGAGTTTGATGAGAGTGGGAAGAGGGTTGAGGTTTCTAAGCTTTGATTTAGATCTGTTAGTATTGGTTTAGATTTCTTAGCTATAGGTGAATATAGATTGGTTTGATTTACTTCTTGGTTTTGTATGCTGATGATATTGAGTAGCTGTAGTGTCTGCTTGACTAGTTATTTTGGGGTGTGAACTCAACAGCCAGCCAACGCTGGAGGCATATGCGACGTATGACCTATTACGCTGTTTACATCTACATGATTCAAAGATTAAGCTGAAGCGCTGAATTGACTAACACACGGACAAGCGGCGAACAACCAAATGTCCCAAAAGGTAAGGAAAAGTAACGAAATGAGCGGGTAATAGGGCACACGGAAAAGCGGCAAGACAAGATATGGCGTAGCAAAAAGTACATCACAAGAAGTGAAAAGGTCCCAGGCCGACCCTCGCAGGGTCGAATTATCAATCAATCAGAAAAAAACCATTCTTTTCGGTGCGTGGGCCCATCCAGTGAGAAAGCAGTTGCGTTAGTGGATAAGGGAGTGTGATGGACAAGTAAGGAAAAATAAAAGGGAATGAGTGGGGGTCTCTGTGTGCGTGGAATATAGGCCAGACAGATACAAAGACACAGGCAGCGTGGGAGTAATAGGCATGGACATTAGCGAAGAGAGAAGCCCTTGCGTTTGCCTCCCTTCTCTTCGATGGGGCGTCCGCTTTCGAGGCGATTCTTTTTCTCCTCGAGTTCTCCGCGCTGGCGATCTAACTGATCCTTCATCTCGCGATGTCGGGCGTAGAGTTCGTCTTCGCTCTGTTTGAGCTTGCTCTCTTTTTCGGCGACCTTCTGCTGGAAGACCATCTTCATTTCGGCTTCCATCTTGGCCAGCTTCTGCTCGTGGAGGGCGCGCTCCTCCTCCTGCTTCACGGCAGGGTTGACCTCCTTGAAAACGCTAGGGTCCTGAGCAACACCCATCTGGGTGAGCTTGTCGGAACGGTAGTTCTCGTACAGGAAGTTGTTGGTGTGCTCCTTGAGCTCCTCCATGTGGGTGCGGATCAGCATCTGGCGCAGCTTGACAAAGTCGCAGTGCTCCTCATTGTCGACTTCGATGATACCCCAGGGGTAGCTACGGCCACGGACGCGGCGACCGTCAGCAGTAGTAACCTCAGAGTTGGCACCGACGACGGCGAAGGGAACCTTGGACATGATCTCCTGGTTCTCGGCAATGGTCTCCTCATCGTCGAGCTCGTAGCGGGGACCCTCGAAAATCTGGATGGAGTGTTGTTCGATATCGGCAAGAATCTAGAAGAATTAGCCTCGACAATATCAATCGACTTGGTATCCACAACATACACGCTGCTTGAAAGCGGCAACCTCCTCGTCGGTCAAGGTATCAGCCTTGGCAATGACGGGAATCAGGTTAACCTTGGTGTGGAGACGGCGCATAACCTCAATGTCCAGGGGCTTCAGGGAGTGGCCCGTAGGCTGAATGAAGTAGACACAGGCGTGGATGCGGTTGTCGACAATGTTGCTGCGGTTGACCTTGTTCTCAGCCTCGAGGTAGGTATCGTAGCGCTGCTCGATGTTCTCGACAATTGGGCGCCACGAGTCATCGTTGTTGACAAAGTCACCGAATCCGGGGGTATCGATCACGCTCAGGCGGAGGCGGACACCGTTCTCCTCAATGTCGGCGCTGGTCGACTGGATCGACACGGTCTTGGGGATGATATCGGCGTTGGGGCCAGTGCGCTCCTTAGGGGGTAGAGGGAGGTGTTGAACAGGGTGTTCACGAGGGTGGACTTTCCGAGACCGGATTCACCTGGTTGTTTGTGAGCATGGGATGGTTCGGTTGATCGATCGTATGATTCCCCCACTTACCAACAACCATCACATTGAAGTTGAAGCCCTTGCGAACACTCTTGCGGTGCCACTGGTTGGGCAGGTTGGCAAAACCGACGTAGCCAGTAAGCTTGCGGCGAACAACGTTCTTCATGTCGGTGGCAGCCTGGGCCACAGCCTTGGGGTCGCGGGAGGTGACGGTCTGGGCATTGCCGGAGCCCATTGGGTTGCTGCGCTCGACGAAAGGCGAATCCATGCTGTTGCTGGGGGTGGGCGAGTCCCGGGACGCGACCGGAGACGCGACGGGGGAACCGTTCGCAACCGGCGAAGCTTGAGAACCTATCAGCATATTGTCTGGAGGGAGCCTGTTCGGGATGGATTGTTTCTCCCGATCACGGCTCCAGCGGTAGGATATCTTACACATTGCGAGAATCTGGGGTATTAAGGAAACCGGAAACTGCGTATTAAAATCCCCTGACTGATGTCAGTCTTGAATCGTCCAATCGTCCAGTGGGGTCGAAATGTCGCGATAGGAGAAAAAAAATCGGGGAGAATGGGAGGATTCCAGGGGGAGCGTACCTGAAATCAAAAAAGGGGGAAACAAATCAGTTAAGCGAAGGACCAAAGAAGCTCAAGAATTCAAGCGAAGGACAAAAGAGAATGAGAAGAGCAGGTTGGAGGAAGAGTGACTAGGGAAAGAAAGGGGGGAGATGAGAGGTCGGGCCCAGCTATTCTGCAGTTGGTTTGGATCCGCGTCTCCCACCCCGTTATACATGTACAGTAAGTTACTTAGAGTAGACTGGTCTCAAATGGATTATTTTAATAGCCTTGCTTTATTTATTGTCTATTGGGTTGTTGTTAACATCTAGGACACGCTACACCGTCAATTCCTCGGCATGGGGACTACAGCATGCAGGAAGCAGAAATAGGCACAGTACCTGTAGTTGCATGTCCAATTGATTTCCTAGTCGTGTAGAGTACATATAGTATCCATGTGACTGAGTTGCCAGATAGCAGTTTCTCCTGAGATCAGGGGTTGAGATTGCTCCACTATTCACGTGAGATCCACCTAATCTTATACTTCCGATTTTAAGAAAAACAAAACAATTTGGATATTTTGATGCTATACACCTTCACCTACTTCTCAGTCTTGCTCTTCTTCGCTGGTCGCTGGTCTTCACCATCCGATGCATCTCCCATTTCGGCATCACTGCCACCGCTGCTCTCGTGGTCCGAGTCAAACTCTTCGGCAACATCAGAGTCAGAAGAAGCGTCGAAGTCCTCGTCGACTGACTCCTCGTCTTCATCTGCAGATCCACGGTCAGGACGGGCCTCATCATCACTGGAGCCCATCATTTCATCGTTGTCAAGAGCCGCAGCAATAAGTCCAGAAGCCTAGATGTATAATTAGCACGGGTCATAAGACGGGAAGGGACAAAACGTACCTCCTCGGCCATTTCGTTCTTAATGCGAATGTTCTTGGCTTTGAAGAAGTCCTCAAGCGATTTTTGCTCCTCGCTGGGAAAGTTAGCACATTGCTCGTGAGAATGATCTGCAGTACGTACCGGTTGATGTTGCTAAACTGATGCTCGCCCAAACCACCCTTCAGGCTGACTGTGATATCAAAGGTGCGGCTGGCGGAGACAGCTCCTCCGACACGAGACATCGTGACAATGGCGATGTTCTCCATTTGAATATAAGTCGCGGGCTTGGGGACGAACATGAGGCTCTTGTCCAAGAAGTACAGAAGACCTTCGTTGGCCTTAATTGAGCACTTGACACCATGGTGACCGTGGTGGCTGACAAAGTCCTTGGAGGGCATGATGACCTTCTTTCCGGACAGGCCGCGGAAGATCTTGGTCACGACCTGGTGAATGGGCTCTTCGTAGTGGGCCTGCAACTTGTCCTTGTACTGGTTTTGCATCAGGTCCCTATAGACCGGTTAGCGTATGTAACACAAACTGAGCAGGATACTGACTCTGTCATATTAAGTTCAAGGCTGATCTCCTCATCCAGCTTCAGCTGCATGACCAGGAATGGATAACGAGTCTGACCCTGGCGCAGAGGAGGATCAAGGCCGAGCACAATGAGTGTGTGGGTATCATCGTTCTTGGGGAGGAGGAAGAACTTCTTAATGGCCGAGTATTGAATCTTGTAGTCGTATGTCTTGCCGCGTAGCCGGAAGGACGATTCGTACATGTCGATATCGAAACGACCTCTGGGGGTGAGGTGCAGAACATCCAGGAAGGTAGCAAAGGTATCTCCCGCGACGTCACCAATCTCAGCCTTGTCCATAAGAGTCTCGTAGAAGAGGTTGGCAGCGTTCTGCTCCTCGACATCTTCGTCGTTCTCTTCTTCTTCGCCCTCGGCGCCCTCGGTCTTCTCTTTCTTCACAGCCGTTCCGGGAATGTAGAACCGCATCTCAACCAACTCATCAGGACCCGCAGCGGCCTTGCGGCCCCGGTTCTTTGTGCTTCCAGGCTTCTCGGCAGCATCAGCTCCTTCACCCGCACCAAGCGCAAATTCAATGGCGACCTCATTTCTTCCGGCCAAGTTGGTGTTTGAGATTTCGGAGTAGGGGACTTCGAAGGCGGGTCGGTTTTGCACGTTAAAGGCAAGCTCTGCTTTTGTGAACTCCGCTTTACCCCAGTTCCATCCTCGGATTGCGTGCTCGCGAGTCTCCACGTTGATACCATACCAGACCTTGAAGGCCTTGCTTACACGGTCAAAGTCCTTTCGGGCAGTCAGTCGCCTAGTCAATGGACCCCAAATGATCAGTGGGACATACCTCTTGGTCGAAACCATCTAGCTGGATGACTCCTGATGACCGCGATAGGATCTTCAGCTCGAAACCTTTCGCCGCGCGACTCCAGTGAGCTGCGCCAATGTTGTTGCTGTCGAGAGTGAAAGTATCACCCCCGCCGGAAGGACGCCAACCCAGACCACTGTCGGCAAGCTTGCATTTTCCAGGCAGCTTGGAAAGGTCAAGGTAGATGTTATCGAAGCTCTCCCTGTGGAATGGTCAGTGTCTGCCAAGAAGCAAGACTCCTGCGCAAGGATCTTACATGATGGAGGTTGCGGGGTTCGTGAAGTCGCGTCAGTCGAATTAATAAAATGCAGCTATTATGGGTAAAATAGTCAGGAAATGCGATGAAAATGGGTGGTGGAGGATGAGAGAGAGCTGGGTTGAAAGCTTTAAGATTTCAGTTTCTGGAGTTCGCGTTGCGGCGCGCCGTAGGGAGGCGAGCCACTTCAGGCCAGAAAGGGTTTAGCGTTTCAGCCTGAGGCAACAAAATGTATATCCTCCTTGAAGCTATGTTTTATCTCATTGTTGTGAGGGAAAAGTGAATACTAAGCTGTTATTCATCTTGGAACTTACCGTATATTTTAGCAAGAGATCTCATTTGAATATCGACATCTTTGGGGTTTGGTGTGATCATCATGTCGACTAAAAATATATACGAACAGTAGGCAATCAAGATTCCAAAAGACAATCCCTAATACTTTGAAACCCGACCATGGTTAAAGGCCCAGCGATAGCTGTCCACAGACGAACTACTATCATCTGACCGATCAAGTACCTTGCCAATGCTCAGATCATGCATTTCAGTGTTGCTGCTGCTGACACAGCTTTCTCGACAAAACAAGAAATCCTCTGGTTCTTACGTTGGACCTCGGGGATCAGAATGGACTAACAAAAATGTTGCTACCTAGATGCTTGTGCATATGCATATAGCATAAATCCAGCCAGTCATGAGCATATATAACTCGGGAATTGGAACTGTACGGTGAGACGGTAAGTTATATGTGAAAGGATAAGCCACAATCTAGCCTGCATGTGGATTTTGAACAGACCAATCAAGAACCATGTCCCAGAAGAGTGCGTGTGTATTGCGCAAACTGAACAAGATCGTGGGACTCAGTTCTATATTAAGCGAAACGAACCTGGGGCTGGATCAAGTTAGGTCAAGTCTGAGACAGATCCACATGATGTGTTAGCGCAACGTTTGGGGTGGCGATGGTTTAATAGATCTGATACTGTAGATGTACAGTATATGTACAGGAGATGTCAATAATATGCTACACGTATGATAACATAACTTAGCATAGATGATCAAGGCTGGGATAGCATGACTTCACAGGGGAGAATGGCAGTGTTGATACCACGTCATTACCGGCAAATTAGTACTGTATTGTAGATCCTCATTCTACTCCGTGTCCCCTGTCCTGGTAGGATTGAGATTGGGTGAAATAGCAATTGGCAGTGTTAAATACAAGTTTGTTTCTCAGTTTCTGTTTCCCCTCAACTCATATCAACAGTTCTATACTTGAACACAACAATTCCAAGGTTGATAACGGTGGACTGATAGAGCATCGCCCACGGTTCAGAGGTCTCCACCCACGGTAGACAAACAATACGCAACGCTGATTGGCTACAGCGCGTACACTAGCGTGGGTTGAGCCGGGAATCCCGTAAAATTGGTAAGTTTGAGTAAGTTTGGGTAATTGAAGTGTTTCATTTCACAAAAACACGCCCCCCTGGGTCTCTTCTTCTCTTCACCTCTAGTCATTCGTTGATTCCCTCGGGCAGAGAGACTTCGGTCTCAATACATTCCTTTACATTCCTTTGGATCTTTTCTATGCCACATTCTTTACATTCCTTTCTTTCCACGCGTTGCGGCCTGACGGCCCTGGATTCTTAATCCCTGCCCTTCCCACACTCGCTTCAACTATTTCAACTAGACTACACTTCTGCCCGTCGTCGCTCTCACAATGAGGTTCTCTTCATTGTTTGGGCCGGCGACTGGCTTGCTTTTTGCGGGCTTACCAACCCTCTTCGCCCTGTCATTCGAGTCGGTATCTGTTCCAGAACTAGACCTAACCTCGCTGGGACGGGTGTCAATCACCGGTGATTTCGACGGCGTCTCGCTCTACCAGTACAAGGAACAGTCCGAATCAATCCCTCGAAATGGCTCGCAATCCCTTCTGACTCCGTTACCGAACGGCATCCTCACAAACCTCGAATCATCCGATGCGCATATCTTGGCCATGTGCCCCTTTACACAAAAAGATGGAACTTTTGCGGGTATTTTCGTCGGTGGTAACTTCACCAGCTTGGGCGGAGTTGAGTCGCCCGGTGCTGCGCTTTTCAATCCCAATACCAGCAAGATCACTGCGCTGCCAGGCCTTTCGGGCTCGGTACAGGCCGTGACTTGTGATCAGAGCACCAATCGCGTTTACGTCGGAGGAAACTTTACATACGAAAATACAACAAACGCTGTTGCTTGGGCACCTGGCGACGGCTGGAAGGATCTATCGTTCAATGGTCTGAATGGGCCAGTCAGGTCGATCTTGAAGGCGGATAACGGTCACATCATCTTCGGAGGATCGTTTGATTCCCTCGGCAACAGTACCAGCTCATCAAACGAACGGCAAATTCTCAACCTGCAAAATGCGACCATCACCTCCGACACAGATTCATCCTTGAGTGGCTACTCCGATCCCCGCAATATCATCTGTTCGACAAGTGGAAAGGCTGCCAAGGGCAGCACCTATCTGCTTCACGACTATGCACCTGGATTCTGGAGAGCAGACCTTGGATTTGACTTTTTCCCAACCAAAATTCGCCTATACAACACTCATCTGGATGGACGTGGTACTAAGGACTTCTTGCTCCGAGCGCTCCCCGACAATGGTATCATGAACCTGACTTACACCGACGAGTCAGGCAACAAGGCCAGTTGTGACTCTTCCTGCCCGCTTTCCAGCAGCACTACCGAGAAGTACCGTGAATTCACCATGGTGAACCCTGTTGGTATGCGGGGCCTCCAGATCGAAATCTTGGATTGGTATGGACAGGGAGCCGGTCTGAACGGCATTGAAGTCTTCCAGGATCAGATCCTGACATATGCCGTTGACCAATACAACGAACCGACCTGCGCAGGCATCGAATACCCAGCCAAGTCGACACGTACAGGTTCATGGAATGTCGAATCTGGGTATGTGTCCGCGAAGGTAACCGACTCTGATGCCTCCTCCACTACTGTCACATTCCAGCCTGATATCAAAAAATCCGGCAACTACACCATTAAGGTCTACACGCCCGGTTGTACCCAGGACGACAGCTGCAGCTCCAGAGGAATTGTCAATGTTACGGCCACTCTTTCAAGCGGCTCTGATTCCGACCAACCTGGTCCTGCCTACTTCTATCAGACCAACAACGACGACAAGTATGACACATTCTACACTGGTTACGTCGACGCAAGCAGCGACTCTTTCCGACCAGAAGTCACCATCAAGGCCAAGGATGGTCAAGGAGATATCACCATTGTGGCATCGCGCGTCCGCTTCGAGTTATTGTCAAGCACCGGTGGTCTCAATGGGCTGTACGACTATGACCCGACCTCCAAGACAGATACCACCGATCTCACGAAGTCAGACATCAACAAGGCGGGTACCTCCCTTGATCATGATGCCTTGGTATCATGTATTGAGGAGTATGACGGTGTGACCTACATTGCCGGCAATTTCTCTGACAGCAACATCCACCACATTGCGTCCATTACAGATGGAAATGTCACAGCAATGTCTGGCTCTGGCTTGAACTCCCCAGTGCTGGCAATGGCTACTCTTGATAAGACTCTGTATGTCGGAGGCCGCTTCACTGATACCTCGGATGGGGGAGAAGACGGCCTCGAGCACGTAGCATCTTACTCTTTCTCCTCCAAGAAGTGGTCCGCCCTGGGTGCCGGTTTGAACGGTCCTGTTACCTCAATTTGGCCCGTTGAACTGAACGCATCAAGTTCGATCAATGAGACTATTGTCGCTGTGAGCGGTGACTTTGACCAAATCATTGCTTCAAATGGAAACCCCGCGGTCTTCGTGGCTGGTTTCGCCATCTGGGTCCCCTCCAAAAAGGACTGGCTCCAGAACCTCAATGTCACCCAGATGCAGTTCGGTGGTCAATTGTCGGCCTTTGCTTCGCACAACGACACGCTCATTCTGGCTGGCAGCCTCTCTACCGACGGTACCACTGCTGGTAGTGCAGTGTCGCTCCTGGAGTCCGATGGCGCCCAACTCATCCCTCTTTCAATGAAGATTGACCATCGAATCTCGAGTACCGGTCTATACTTCGGTGCATATGATACCGGTGATGACCGCAACCTCACCATCTACGGTGGACATTTCAGCGCTACTGGTAGCAATGGATCGACCATTCAGAACGTTGCCATCCTGAACGGTACCGATGAGACCATCTCAGGCCTACCGTCAGGTATCGACAGTAACTCAACGATCGCTTCCATGCTCGTGTACAACAACACCCTCTATGCAGGCGGAAACTTGACCGGCAAAATTGGCGACGAGACCTTGAGTGGATTTGTGATCTATGACCTCAGCGATAACAAATTTGCATCGAGACAATCCTCCGTGGAAGGCTCGAATGTTACGGTCAACTCCATCGTCAACCGACCCAGCTCATCTGAAGTCTGGATTGGAGGCAAATTCGAACAGGTCGGGACATTCCCTTGCCCCTCTGTCTGTTACTTCGATTCGACCAGCGGCGAATGGGGCCGACCGGGTGTGTCTCTCGATGGCACCGTGACGGAACTCCAATGGGCAAGCAAAACCAAGCTCATGGCCGTGGGTGACCTCCTGGTGGAAGGCAACAAAACCTCAATTGCTACTTACGACACCAAGGCCCAAGCATGGACCTCTTTAACTGGTGCATCTCAGTCCGACCTCCCTGGAAACATCACTGCGTTCACCCCCGCCAGTGAAGACCTCTCGAAGTTCTGGGTCGGAGGTACTGCCAGCAACGGTTCAGCCTTCTTCTTGAGCTATGATGGTTCTAAATTCCACTCTCCTGGTGATCTTTTCTCCCAGGGCTCGGTCATCCGTGGTCTGGAGTTGCTCCCTGTCACCAAGGATCATTCAGAGGCCTCTTTATTGAACAACTACCAGACGCTGCTGATTATGGGCTCCCTTGTGATCCCAGACTTTGGAAATGCATCCGCAGCACTCTACAATGGAACCGCTATCACGCCCTTCATCCTTTCCTCGAAGTCTGATGGGCAGTCTGGTAGCATGTCAAGGTTCATCTCCGAGAATAAGAACACCTACGCCAGTAACACGAAGCACCACTCCAATGGTATCGCCGTCCTGGTGGCCTTCTGCTGCGCCCTTGGCTGCGTCTTCCTCATCGTCCTGGCCGGTGTCATCCTGAACAAGGTGCAGCGCCGCCGTCAGGGCTACGCAGCTGCTCCTCAAACCTTTGGTACCGACCGACCATCCGATATGCAGCGTCTTCCCCCAGAGTATCTCTTCAACTCGCTGCGACAGCCCAACCCCAGCGCCCCAGTCCTTTAATGCCCCTTCCCCAAAAACACTTACACCTCTGATCGTTTTCAAGGTTGGCGTTTTTGTTTTGTTTTTATCGAAAGCAACGTTGCTATACCCAGCTCTCATTAATGTTTTATTTCCGTTCGCCTGTGTTCTCGCGCCGGCAATCACGCGATCTCATCTTCTTTTTATTTTCTGGCACATGTGGCCGATACAGTCTCTGACAGTTCCCTTGTGAATATGCGTCTGATTTGATGTACCATATGCCGATTTTTTGTCACCTGGATGTATGTCGCAAGGGACATTGGAGAGGCATGTAGATAGCCACGCTTGCGTGGACAATGACACGATTAATACAATAAATACCCTTTTGTCGAGAAATTCTTCAGAGATCCTTCATAGTGAACTACAATGTACAACAATAGAATCGGACATTTCTCCGTGTAAATCCGCAAATCCTTTTGAGGCCTCAGGAACAATTCTGTGGGGGCCGTCCCCAGGTCACCTGCCCTCCCCCCGCAAGTCGATCTCCAGGTTTTTGTTTCCCCCATCTTCCCTTCGAATGTTGCTCCGTCGCATTCATACCATTTCGGTATGAGATCAAGAACTGGATGGTAAGTTCGAGTCAAAACGTACAGTACTCAATACTAACGAATACAGCTTAACGTGTCGAACTCGGAAGCTGAAATGTGAGACCCATCACTTTTGCGCCCCAATATCCCATGTTTCCCTTTGAACCCCGACTAAATCATCGCTAGGCGACGAGCAAAAGCCCGAATGTTCCCAGTGTCGCAAGGGCGGCCGAGAATGTCGCCCGAGCGAGGGTGTCGTCTTCCGCCACCAGCAGAACGCGTCGATGAACCGGAGTTCTGATCAATCACCAGAAGGTCGCGGTAGTTTGAACGGGTTCTATTCGTATAAGAACACGTTTGACAAAGATAGTGTGTGGCTGGATGTTCCAAAACATGGTAAGAAACTAGGAGACCGATTGCTTTGGACAAGTTCTGGATGAGTGCTCATCTTATACCCTTGCAGTCATCTTTGTCGATAACTCCGATCCATACGCCGACGACCTCGAAGCCTCGCTGGGTGGTCCCGGTAGCTCAGCCCTGACACACTCACCAAACCACAGATGGGGAAGTAGTGGCTCCCGAACAAGCGATGCGGAGACACAAAGATTGGAAGCCTTGTCGGCGGTCGCATCACACGATCGTTTCCCATATTCTCCTTTAGAACACTCCGTCTCGGATAGTGCCTCCTATAACTCTCCTCACGGCGGCCGGAGCATCCTTATGCCCCCGGCTTCTCCTGCCATGTCGCTGTCGTCCACCAGCAACAATACCAATATCAACTTCCTCCTCAACCCTTCCCATTCGATGTCGCCACCCATCGATCCAAGCATTCAGCTCTCTGATAGGAGTACGATACTGCCGTCGCGGCCGGCACTCTCACAGAGAAGCATATCTCATGCTCCAGATGATAATGCAGAAACAGATTTCGAGACTGCGTTCCTCCTTCGACATTATTCCGAAGGCCCAGGCTTATGGTAAGTCTCTCTTCTTTCAGCTTGGATGAATAAAGAGTAACAAAGATCCGCAGGATGGACCTATTCGATCTAGGAACATATTTTGCATCATACGTCCCAGTCCGAGCAAGATCCAACCCGCTCTTAAAGTTCGCAGCATGCGCATACTCAGCCAAGCAACTCGGCCGTGTAAAAGGTGCAAAAGCCCCGATGGGTGGTGTATGTACCCAGCAAGCCGCCATGGAACTGTGGCCTGATAAAGACCCCGATTTTGCGTGGTATGGGGCAAAATATTATGAAAAAGCAATCCAGCTGTTGATGAAGGAGCTGCAACCTGATGAAGGCCTCCCTCCACTGAGTACACCGGAGGCGTTCGGTCAATGGCAGGCTTCGGAGTTGTGTCGTGATACCGATAATCCGCGTAAACGCCGGAGAAGGGTTTCTGATAGTCGGCTTTCGCATGGTGTTCATTCGGATGAGGTGCTTGCTGCGACGGCCATTTTGTCAGTGTATGAGTTCCTCGATGCAGCGGGACCTGCTTGGAATCGGCATCTGAGTGGTGTGAAATCGCTGCTTGATATCGCTGAGGTGGGCATGATGCCGCTTGAGCAACGTCCGTCGCCTGGCGATGGCTCGTATCAAACGCCTAAGAAGTCAGGGCTTTCTAAAGCACGACGGGCGACGTTTTGGAATTTCGCCAGACAGGACTATCTGGCAGCCTGTGAGTGATTATCTCGACAAATTGTATTCAACCCCACTGACAGACGCAGTCATCAATGAATGCCACACGAGGCTGAACACAGACGACACAGTCCTTTGGACAGAAGCAGGTCTGCTCCTCGATAATATGGGCTTCCTCCGCCCAAGCAACACAGGCGCAGCAGGGTACCCAGAAGGCGAAGACATGATGAAAGAAGACCTAATAAGCAACGGCCTAGTCTGGATCCTATCCAAAATCGTCAATTTCATAAGCTCAGGCGACAACATGCACCTAACAGACAACCGCACCGTCCCCGGCCCACTAGGAGTGACCCAACAAGTCCTCCTAGAACGCTGGTACCGCCTCGAATCCGAACTCGACGCCTGGTACAACGGCGTCCCAGAAACATTCAAGCCCTGCGCGCGAATCGACTCCTCCCGCCTCACACACCACCGCCGGCCTGCCGAAAACGAAGATATCTCCACCCTCCAAGAAATTTGGTTCAGTTTACCTATGTGCGCTTCCACCATGCAGCATTATCACATGGCGCGCATCTTGCTGCTCATTAATAAACCGCACGAGTCAACTAGTCGCCGCAGCACGATCACTCTGCGTCTTCAATCGTACCGCTCTATCGAGGCGGAGATTGCCTTCCATAGTCGCGAGATTGTTGGTATTGGACTTTCGCGTCCGGATGGCAGTGTGCGGATTAATTCGCTCCAGCCGCTTTTTGTTAGTGGGCAGTGTTTGACTGATCCGCGTGAACGTCGGACCACTGTTCGTTTGCTTAGGAGTATTGAGACTGATTTGGGCTGGGCCACTGAGTATCGTGTTCAGCAGTTGTTGAAGGAGTGGGGGTGGGATGAGAGTTCGATTCGGTCGCCTGATTCCTGAGAAGAGTCTTGGTCTTGGGAAGACTAGCTTTGAAGTCCACTCTGATCAGTTTGCTGCGTTGCGGTTCTTCGTGCGACAGCACAAGGTTCGACGATATGAGACGAAGTGGACGGCTTCCTTATAGATACCCGAACCTCAGCCCTCTCCACCAGCCACGCCGGGAAGTGGCTCAATATGGGGAACAAAACATCGCAGCCATGTGTATATGGCCAGCGACATGAGTGATGAACCACGACAAATGTTTAATATAAGTTATAGTATTAGTATCTAGGGAGGGAAAAAAAGAAAGAGTAAACCTGCTCTCAAAAAAAAGCAAGATAGAAAGACACGACACTAAAAAACCCACAACCCGACTCGTTTCTGCAGCGTTCGGTTCAGTTTCCAGTCCCAAATCTTGTTTTCGCAGCCCGAGCCCGAACCGTCGATCAGCGGGGGTAGGGCTGCCCTCCGAGCCCTGCCTAACCGATGGGTGTCTCCGGGTATCTCGTACCTATAGAGTACTTTTGCATCCCGATTCTCCTATTCTTCTTCACAAATAACGTTAAACACTCATATTAAATCCAACCCTACCCAATACATATGCCTCCCACCTAGTTAATATATCAAGACTCAGACCCCAAGATGCAGGTTTCCCGTCAGACCTACAAGTATGTTGTCACCGAATCCACTCGTCCCCACTGATTTACCATCCGGGGGGCAACTTATCCGAACACAACTCTTTTTTCCCCCCGTGTCTTGCGCTTAGCAAGATGACGGTAGTTTCCGTATATGCCCTCGGCGTCGGGTTCCCCCCGGCTTACTTTGATTAGACATGCCGGGGCTTGTGGGGTGTGGGGTTTGGCTACTGTACAGTAAGGTGTGTGACGCCTTGCTTGCTTTTGGATGGGGATGAGGATGGGGTTATAGTAGATAGGAATGGAATGGAAAGTATGGCGATGTTTCCTATCAGGTTCTGGGCTGGGTGTGATGTGATGTGAATGATACCTTTTGATGAAGTAGGGATAGTCGGAGCTGTCACATAGATTAACTTATATTAAATATTTCTTGCAGGGTCATGTGGGCTGTGGTTTATAGTTAGAGTGTAGGAGCACGTGGGGATTAAGCTTGCCAAATATAGAAATGGGCTAGACATCACTGGATGTTCACGTCTTGGTCAAAACCTGATCTGGTAGTAAGTTTTGGGAACTTTGGCAGAACACATGGCTTTAGTGGGTGTGAACACTGTATACAGATGAATACGGACTCTGACAGTGAATATCCCAGCTCTGAGGTCGACTTGATAAACCGACGTTTGCTCTCTATCGCGGAGAAACATGAAGCAAGAAGCCGGTGTAGTCCATTCACATGGCGTCGGTATAAGATGTAGAGAAGGGGTGCCTAGTAAACCCAAAGCCGACATGCATAAATCGAGGACTCTCATTCCACTGGTTGTGCTGTTGTCCGCTTGCCTGTGTTGAATGAATGTCAGACTTCCCTGGCAAGGTAAGGAGATAACATCAGGCATCAGACTGTGCACACATCGTATATATTAGATCTGCTCTGCTGGAATTGTATCTTGATGGGCTTCCTCTTGACACGGTGATTTGGTATAGTTCGAGTGTCTGGAGTGCTTGTATAATAGTAGTTCCCAGATTTGCACGATAAACATCAGGACATTCGAAAGACAGTATTAGAGAGAGAAAGGAGTGGGTTGACGCACCGTATGCAAGCGCTCTCCTGCTGCTTCTACCAGCACTGACCCCATTCAATCTCCGACACCGAACAAGTTCGCGACACCTACCACTGCGCAAGCTGATAACCACTTGATGTGGCCCACCACTAACCAACCGATCTAGGCATCTGGGTGTTCACGCCGGTCGATGCACAGACAGGACATGCACAACGCTGTGCCCGGATTGGCAGCTCAACTTCAGAGCGAGGAGTCTGTTCTTGTAGCCAAGGGTATCGACAGAAGCGAATGATGACCAGAAGAGGAAGATAGAGGGAGGATAAAGCGAGAACAGGTCTAGCATTGGTGGCGGGGTAATCCCACTTAGCGCGGGCGTTGGGGCTGTACAAGCCGTTATTTCAATGTTGGATCTGTGAGGATTACAAGTGGACACAATCGAAATGAGCGATCACGATAATGAGGGGAAAGAGCAACGCCAAATCGTAGATCATGCTCTGGGTCGAGTGTTTGGCTGGTCTGCAGTCTGTAGGGTCACGGGGGCTGAGTGGCTGGCGCTGAAATATGGGAGGAAGTCGATGTGATCTGCGTATGAGATCCTGAGCTAACGTTTTCCTACTCGGATCCGACTCGAGTGGTCGATAGAGAGAAATAGTGAGCCAACACGAGGATCGGGATGCTGTGGTACACCGGAAGTAGAATCAGCTTATGGGCATTGATAGATCGCATACTGTAGGACCATTACAGACATGGATTCTCCGATTGGTCTTGTTTAGGGCGAATGCTGGGGGATATCACGGTGGGGGGTGGGTTCGTGGTGGTGATTGGGTGGATTAACGCAACTATGGCAAGGTATTGGTGATACTCTGGCTAGGTGGGAGATGGAATTCGTTGTAGAGACTGGGGAGAGACTGGGATTGGAATGTTGGAACATACTACTTGGCAGGGGCGAGGTGCAAGTTCAGCTTTGACTTTGATCTGTACCTGTCAGCTGTCAGCTATAGCCTCGCGCAGAAATGCAGAAATGCAGAATTGTGGAGGCGAGAATAGTTCGTAGTGTAAATAGTTTACAGAATACAGAATACAGAATACAGAGCCCAGAGTCCAGAGTACAGGCTAATTAGTCTAATTAGTTGCAATTGTATGACGCTAAGTCCAAGTAAGTATAGTCCCGGGGGGCAACTTAACAGGGGCAGTTAGATCTAGGCCAGATGCACCACCCGACCCCCCTCCTCCAGTGGCGTAAACTAGAGACATTGCCATTTTCTCAGTTGCGATTGTACAATATCCCAAAAGTGTAAAATGTTCACATATTTTCGGCAGGTTGGATCAAATCCCTAAAGTAAGTTGTTCACGTTCCTCAAGCCGAGTTCCAGAATGTTAACCCAAGAATGTAGATCTTTGCCCCCTGCATGTTCGCTTCCAGGTAATATTACCCATGCCAAGGGCTCGGGATTGAGTTTGACCTAATTGCCATGCGCTCGTGTGAGAACAGACCTTGGTCCGTTCAGTCTCCACCGGCTCTATAACTTATACATCCCGTTCCCACACTTAGGCTCCTTTTCTACTATCTCAACTTTTTGACACGCGCGATCCTCTCGCGCTGGCGCGTTCTCTCGATAGGATAATGCAGCTTCGCCCAATATGGCATCCTTGAACGGAGACTGTCCAGCTCCTTTCCTACAGGAGTCCCTCTTCCCAACCATCGGGGGGTTTGTCGATGGTCGTTATTGCGAGGACATATCTTTTGGCAACAATACTTACTCATGCTGTCTGCCATGTCCGCTCGCTGAATGGAGATATGACGCTGGTGAGTTAGGATGCACTGGGTATATCGTTAGTGTCTAATGCGCTACAGATCTGGACAAGAAAATCGATGTCGCGAGCTGGATCAGTGTTGCTATTCTCCCGCTCTGTATATTCTTGCTGGCTTCCTACGCCGTTTTACCGGTCAAATGGACTCACCGTCACTATTTGAGTATCTGCTTCACGCTAGGCATTTGTTGCATGGAGGTAAGTTGATTGCGCCTGCTGTTCTAGTCCTATACTAACGATGACTAGATCGCTTTCATCATCCCCCTCGGTGCCAAACCTCAGCAATGTTACAATGCCATTACCCCAAATGACATGCACTCTGATCTGTCCTGCGCATTCTCCGGGTCTTTCTTACTATTTGGCGGATGGATGGTGGTGATGTGGAGTTTCATTCGCACAATCGCCTTCCACCTCCAAGTCTGCTGGGAAGTCGTCCTCGGACCTAAGTTCATGTGGGGAGCCTTCGTCTGTGGCTTCGGTATCCCAGCAATCGGCCTAACTGTGATGCTGATCCTAACGGGCGTATCCTTCCGGTTCGGCGAGATCTGCCATATCAATGTCACCCACGCTCTACAGGACTACTGGATCCCAATCATGGTCTTCGCCGCCGCGGCGCTCTTCTTCCAACTTTCAACAATGGGCTACTGCACCCATATCTACCTCCGCTCTCTCTTCGACAGATCCGCCTCAACAACAAACAGCTCCGGCCTCCCCTCCTACGACGCCAGCGTGCGCACAGTAACCGCCCGCCAGGCCTACCGCCGAATTCGCCGCATCCTCCAACTCCAATGGCGCGGCGTAGCCCTTGTCTTAATCATCATCGCCAACGTAATCTACTTCGCAGTAGTATTCATCGAGCTCGACAACGCCACCGCCCCAACAGCCCAAAACGTCGAAGACGCCACACCCTGGCTCCTATGCCTAGTGGAAACCCGGGGCGACAGAGTCGCCTGCCGCTCCGAAGCAGCAGCAATCGGCCCCAATGAAGCAACCATCCTAGCAGTGGTATTCCTCCTCTCGCTAGTAGGCTTCTGGAACTTCATCCTCTTCGCCCGACCCTCAATGTTTGCCGGCTGGCTGGACCTCTTCAAGCGCACATCACGCCGAAACGAATTCGTCTCCGCCGATGCGCACACCCGTTTTGTTGATAACAAGGGTTTCGAGATGCTTACCACATCCGTTAAGAGCCCCGATACGTTCATGCGTTCGCCTAGCCCCGTCGAGCACCAGGACCGGGCCCGGAGTCCGATCGCCAGCCCTAGTCCCGCTTTCGACCGCAGGGCCCATTTCGGACAGGAGGCCCGCTATATTCGGCCCTCCATGAGCTTTTCGGGGCCCAGACCGCCTGAGTCGCCGACGACGGTGCGTGAGTGGGATCCTCAGGCGACTTTTGCACCGGGGTATACACGAGATTAATGTTTTTAATTGCTTTGTATTTGTTACGTTTACATGAGCTTTTTTTACCATCTTTTTTTAACTAAAAGAATTACTCATTTGGTTCTCTTCCTGATTCTCTGTTTCAACTGTCTCTCAAAACGAGGCTGGTTTAGGGTCGCGACACTGGTGTTACAGGGTTGTCTCACTCACTGTTTTTACTATGCTGGGGGTGTCGAGGCTAGGAAAAATTCCCACGTGTGTCTAGTTCGTTTCAACTTCGTCTCTAACCTAGAGTGGATATCTGTAGTTCCCACACTTATTTTTAATACATCTGTACGTGAACGAAACATACTATGATTGCATCCCGTATACGATGCTCCACCCTCGACTCCAATCTCAAATCTACTCCTATCCCCACTCATCTCCATTCTGCAATTTAAATCTTAACTTCAATTTAATTTGAGATTTACATCTCGATCTCATCCACTGCGTTGTACATATTACTCTAGTTATAGAACTGAACCCCGCCTCGGTATGCCCGAGAGATAGATAATGTGATTGTGATGGGATGGCTGTGATGAGTGTATACAACCCTGAACCCTGTTCAGCACTGCGCTCACAGCATTGTACTTCTGAAGCCAAGGTTCGAGGAGTGGATATCATAGGTGTGATTGTAGTTTCGACGGGTTCCGTACCCACATTCAATGCTACTTAGTTACTGATCTTCCACCAGTACATGTACATGCATACTTACCGTAGCCAAGCTCTGCAAGACCAGTCTGAACATTAACAGTGGATACCTAATCCAATTCAATCCAAGTGCAACAATAGACCCCCTAAACTCCGTACAATAATAAACACTGCGACACACGTACCACATCCACACCTACGCAGCCACACGGTACACAATACGGGAGGGGAGTACGGAGTACCCGTCCCACAGAAGCGAACCAAAAGAACCAAGGTAAAGAAAAGATTGGCATATACCAAGGCTAAACTAAACTAAACTCAGCTCAACAGCGAAACCCGGCAACTAACCCGTCCGTACGATCTAGAATCCTTCGAAAGTCAAATCAACAACCTAAAAGGCCAAGGCCAAGGCTAAGGCTAAGATACCAGGTAACCCACGGGATATGCGAATACGCACGGAGAATCTCAAAGGCAACCCGTTATAAGAGAAGAAAACAGGACCCAGAGCAGGCAAGAAGGCTGAAACTAACCAGCCCCAACGTGGCAGGAGCGCCGTTCCTGCATTGACTCTCCCTAGGGGGTGCCTGCCCAACTGGGTGGAGTCGGGATGTCGTAAGCCCCGTTGGAGTACAGACTCCGGTGCCGTGCGGCGCTAGTATTGTTACATGGACGCTAGTTTAGGTGATAATTTGATTAGGTGAGATTTCTAAGCGATCCTGTTACATTATTGCTATGGTAGAATACATCTGATACCTGGTGTTATATTAAGAGGCTGGGTTTTGTTAAGCTACTTGGGCAGGGTCCGGGGTTCGGGGAGTTTATTAGATTGGCTTTTTGGTGGGTTGGGTATGTGATGGCGAGAGGGATTTTTTTGTAGTCTTGGAGTTTGTCTTGGTGTGAGTCTAGATCTGTTGTGTGTATAGGGTCAAGAGTTTTAGATTAAATTGGTTGACGGTTGAGTGTCAGATGTTCTACAGAGGATTGAGTGGTCTTGTTTTTGGGGTCGGAGTATGGGGGGACTTCATTGTTTGACTTGGCCATTGTATGTTTCTTGTTGAATGGGGTTATGGTAGTTAACTTGCATTATTATATTAACAGTTATAGATTGATTCAATTGTAATATTCAATCCCTATACTATATACCCAAAGAGGCAAGCAGTACCCCGCATCCACACCCGAACCCGTTCGTTCAAACTGCAAACTTCAAATTTCAGTTCGCAGTACGCCATTGACCGCATCTGGACCCAAAAAGTAGTCTGATCAACCCTCGAAATTGATCGGCCGGATCAAGCCTACCCTGCCCCAACCCAAACTTACAGCATTGACATACCGAATGAGCATTAGCCCCTCTTCCCCACCGACACAGCTACCAGAGTTACTGGAATTGGAGTCGAACAACCGGCATTTAATGTAGCCATTCTGGGCCTAGGAGTGCGGGATTTACGGAGTACCGGGCTTCATGCCCATTGCGTAGTGTGCTAGTTAGATCGCATGTGGCATGTGGGTATATGGCATGAGGCATGTGCTTTAGCGGGGAACATGGTGTACACGCGTATTCAAGTCCGGGGTCTGGGAACCGGGGTAGACGGCATTGGATGCGAACAGTTTTTTGAGATGGAGGTGTATCCATTGGGATCTACGTGGATTGACTTTGCACTAGGGAGCCTCATGCGGCGCCGAGGTACATGTGATTTCTATAGGCTCATGGTTTGGGGGCTTGGGGGTTAGGGGCCTTTTTGATGTGCTTGGGCTTTTTGTTTTGTTAAGTCTGTTAAGTAAATTGTTAATGGTTATAAAGGTTGTAAACTGGTGGATGTACAGTAGCGTAATGTTATATCGCCTACCCTACAGTAAACTTCTAGCCCTAACATGGCCTCCATACGGAGGACATACGGGTCTATAATAGATTCCATAATGTTTGAGCATCGGCTGTAATAGTGTGGGATTCGCGAAATGTAGTAAGATAAGTGCAAACCCAGATGAATGATATGAAAAAGAAAAAAAGATGCTGTCATGTTTTTACTAGTATATCACCAGCCTGGCAACATAACTGCATGACAAAACACATTCTTCAGATCTAGAAACACAAAATATAATCCCAATTTGGCAAAATATAGAAAGCAAAGGAAAGACAAGTAATCGTCTACAAACCACCAGCAGCACAGATCTTCTTAGCCTCATCCACACGTTCCGCATACCGAGAGGGATAAGCTGAGCCCTGCACCTTCTGGCAAAGCTTGCCCACCTCCATAGTCTTCCAGCCACTAACTCCCTTCATACCCTTAAAGAACTGGGCGGCTGACTTTGCGGCATCCATGTCGGCAGCGATGTCTGGATAGTACTTGGCGCGTTGCTGGAAGATGCCCACACTATCATAGTCCGAACCCACGGCATCATGGGGATAGTTGAGTGAAGAAGGGACATCCTTGTTGGCGTAGATGAGGATGTTCGACTAGAGAGCGTTAGAATAGATTCAAAGGACTGCAGAAGATGCCAAATAGTTCTCACCTCAACAAGAGCAGTTGCAATACCAGCAAGACAACCCTGACGACCTAGGTCTTCTTTCTTCGCTTCTCCAATGATAGCTTTGGCATGCTTGGACTGGGTCGATGAAAGACCGGGCAGATTGCCGCTGCTACCACCACCATCACCACCGCTGCTGCCGTCGCATTTCTTGGTAACGTAGCTGGAGCTACCTGTTTTCACGTAGTAATCGGCAACGTAGCAGCCATCAGCGGTTTTGTCCCAGATGCTGTCGCCCTTGACGTCGGTGCCGGAAGCTTGGCAGGTGATTGCAACGTCGGTGCCCTTCTTGTAGGATTTGACCACGGAGTAAGAAGTTCCTGGGCCGGAGCGGCAGTTGACGGTGTCTCCGGTGATGGGGTATGCGTTGATAACGGGGGAGAGGAGTGCGAAGGAGAGGGCCACGACTTGGAAATGCATCTTGATGAGCTAGATGTTGAAAATTGATTTCTTGGTTGCCGAATTGTTCAGAGTATTGGAGTTTGCGATGGTATGAGCTGATGGATGAGTGGAATTCGGGGATTCAACAATGGCTTTATACCTCAGGGTCCCTTCACTGTGATCCCCAGAATGTTCACTGTGAAGAATGTGAGCCCTCGATCCCTCATTTTGGACCCCACGGATCTCGTATAGAAAGTCCCCGTTTCAAGGCATTTCTAATTCGTATTCGCAAATTACTTCCAAAATCCCGTGTCTAGAGCGACCAACGTAAGGGGCTGAGAGCAAGAGTCCATAGGGCCAAATCTATTTTCGAACAGCAGATCTCGTATATCCCCGTGAAGAATCCAGTGGTATGCAGGTGCTCGATGTTGACACGCTTAACCGGAACCTTGTTGAAGCTTGGCAACTCGTGTTCCTGAGCCTTGCCTGCCAGGGCACAACATACACCCACTAAAAATAGCGTGGATTCGTGCAGATCACCCGTATTTGATCCAACACTTTACTTGTGATTCGAGGGTTATCGTCGGAGGATATTTAGTGTATACTACGTCGGAAAGCCACAGCTTCTTAAGGGGCCGATGTGATAATTTTAGAGACTAGCAGGCTGTTGAACTCGTATCTTTTTTGGTCTCTCTTTTCATGAAGCGATGAATGTTGAAACTGGGATACCATCTTTTTGAGGTCCACATCCATAGGCTTTGTTGAGTATATATATACACTTTGTCTTCTTGCACATGTATACGACTGAGTATTCTAGTGAGTGAATATGTGAACGATAGGCCAAGAACTGTGCGTGTGTGTGTGAGTGTGTGTGTGTGAGTGTGTGTGTGTGTGAGTGTGTGTGTGTGTGTGTGTGTGTGTAAGAGAGAGAGAGAGAGAGAGAGAGAGAGAGAGAGAGAGAAATCAGGTTTCTTTACAGGGCTTCTCTCGGAAGGCTTTAGGTCTATATAGGCTGGGGAGCACTTAAGAATCTAAGGGTTACCAAGCTGGGAAACCCTAGCAAGAATTGTATAAGAACTGCATAAGCATCAATCGGAGAGCAACCCGAGAGAACAAGGGCGAGGCCTCGGACAAATATCGGCCCTATGCACCAGGCAGGCTGCATGTCTTGACAACCAGGTCCTGTCAAGTATTAAAGCTGGGAACCAAGTCAGAAATGGGTTCTATTCAAAGCTAAGCTAAATCTATGTAAAGGAAGTGTCTCTCCCGAAACACGGAATTTTATTATCCTCTGCTTTTATTATTTTCTAGGGATAATCCTTATCAGACATGTAATAAGAAGTTCGCCGATGAGGATTGGCCGAAGTATGTATATGTTCACTATCTTAGCCGATTGGTTAAGTTATAGCAATCGATTTACAATGAATTAATAGGTCGACGTCATAAAGCTGCTTATTTCTCACCAATATGGAAAGTATGAGCAAGTTACAGGGCTTTCTCTGACCTTGAGCATATATTCTATTCGCTGGGTATGTGACGTGTGGTCTCTCCACGGTGATTGTACTCTACGTCTCTATGGCCGTTTTTGTATACATTCTCGGAAGAGCTCGGATCAAGCTTGAAAACTCCTATATCTCTTGCCTAATTAGATTAAAATCGAAAGATAAAGATCTTAGCTGATCTCTATCCACAAATAATCCATGATCTGACATGATCTAGCCGATACACGAACTATTGGAGAACCCTGCGGGTGGATGAAAAAGGCCTTAGTGCACTGTAGTGGATCAGTCACACCGACTCGACGTCGAAGAGGCCAGATACTCGACAATAATGTAGCACTTTGAGCTCCCTACATCGTAGATATTGTAGATAAACTTGAATAAGTTCTCCGTATAGATAGTTGCATCATCCCGAGTACCCGACGTCACCATGGCAGAAGGCGGAGAGTCGAAGCTCCCTGTTGTGTGTTACTTGTCTCCCCGCTCTTCCCAGCCACCTTCTTATCTCCCACACTCTTCGCGTTTTCGCTTTTCTCCCATTCATCTCACTTGGAGCATCTCTGATCCTCTACCTTTTGCTTCAAAAAAGTCCCTATGGCTCCTCCACCTCCCGCGACCTTGCCTCTGGGCGAGAGACTCAAGGCTTTGGCGCAGACCCTGCAGTACGTATCCTTTGATTTGTGTCAAATTGCGACACTTCAATGCCTTGTGCTACCAGTACTAACGACATGTCACGTTGCAGGTTTGCTTGGTTCGTTGGGTAGGTCGACCTGCTAAGCACACCATGAAGGCCCGAATTCGAGGTCACTAACAATCTCCAGACATGTGACACTGTTGCTCTCGGTCTTCCGCTACACCTTGTCTTGCATCTTCTTCAACTACTACTCCTCCTCCGCCCAGATCGCCTACCGCTTGACTTTCATCTCGGCCGCCGTGACTTATGGAATCGTCGTGTACAAGGGACACTTCGCTCGGGGTGCTCAGGGAACTCCCGTCCAGATTTTCACCAAGCTCCTCTCCGATGAGAATGTGCAATACCTGGGTGAGTGATTGGTGATGCGACGGTGATAATTGAAGCTTACAGGTGCATCAGGAATGGCCCTTGTCTGGCTGTACTCCCGCCAGCTCATCCTGGCTCTCCTCCCCTTCAGCGTGTACTCGGTCTTCCACGTTGCGACCTACAGCCGCATGTATCTGATCCCGACCCTGCAGCCCGCTGCTACCGGCTCCGCTGGCCCCGCCTCTCCTTCATCCCCCTCCAAGCCTGCCGCTAAGCAGTCGCCTCTCGCCGAGACTATTGGCCGATTCATCAAGCAGTACTACGATGCCAGCATGGGTGTTGTCGCTACCCTCGAGATCGCCTTGCTGTTCCGCCTTGTCCTGTCCGCCATCACCTTCTCCAAGGGCAGCTGGGTCCTGTTGGTTGTCTACCTGTCTTTCTTCCGTGCCCGCTACGCCCAGAGCTCCTTCGTTCAGCAGGCTGTCCGTCAGCTCACCGCCCGTGCCGACGCCTCCATCTCCCACCAGAGCACTCCTCCTCAGGCTCGTCAGGCCTGGGAGACTATCAAGGGTGTTGTGCGCCAGGGTTACGAGCTCACCGATATTACCCGCTACATTGGTGGATCTACCGCTGCCAAGAAGCCCCAGTAAATGTCGCAAAGACATGTGCTAACTATCTTTCGATCCTGGAAGCTCCCATTTCCAGGAAGTAACGTGGCTTTGGACAATTGCTAAAGGTGCTGATGCAAATTACGACATTCAGGGAATTATCTTTCCCGTTGTAATGTTCTCCCGTAAGTGATGAACATGGGGATGCAGGTGTATGGGACTTTCATGTCTCAGATATAGAAAAGATGCGGACGAGGAGGTTACCCGCCATGATGATGCAATACGCAACGACATGTGTTTATTATTCTCTAGAGTTTTGCGATGCATAGTTTCTGTACTTGCTTTTCGCTTGCCAACATATCTTGTCTCGGATTCAATTTACTTATTTCAAGTGCGCAATTATTTTGAAAAGTTCTTCCACAGTTGACAATCCTTCAATCCTTTACGTATAGTCATTCTCCATGCTTTGTATGAGCAGGATAGCAATATCATGATGAATCGTATTCACGGCTACAACTAGAGAATACCTGGAAGTCTACTGGGGTATATAAGTCCTGAACAGAAAAGACAACATCTGGCAGAGCAATATAATGAAAGATGTGTCAACGACTGCAAACAATGTTCGGATGCTGGCTGTGTCCATGTTGAAAGAGCGCTTTAGGTATCTGACGCCGTGAAATTTCATAAGAAAAGCTGAAAGTATAGGATGATGATTTGTACGTGTATTTCGGTACTATCTGGTTTGATGTTATGTCCACGCTCTTCCAAACAGAATCCAAAAGTATAGTTACCTCAAGAGTAAATAAATATTGACGCCTCAGGTGCCAACGCCAAGTACAGTGACGAAATCCCGTGATTGGTGCCTCAGGCGGCATATCGGGCTTGGCGGCGAGAAGCCGATCAGAATTTTGGCTTATCAACCAACTTGCAACCATAATACTCAACTCTTTCCTCATTCCTTGTCACTCTTTTCTGTTACCATTATCTCCTAGGGGTGCTACCCTTCCAGTCCATCTCTCAGCACCCCCAATTTCCCGCCTGGTCCCGGCCAACACTGCCCGGGGCTGCAGTTCGGCGTGATATTGCCATGAGCCTGACCTCGCGAGTGGCCGGTCTGTTCTCGCCAACGCCGCCTTCGGACACATCCGCGACACCTTCGGATGAATCCTCTGCCTCGAAATGGGCACATCCCGGTCTCAATGAAATAAGTCACGCCCAGGATAGCGCTATGGCGCTGGTGGAAGAGGAGGAGGCTCGGCCGCCGTATTTACATGTATGATTGTTTCCGACGGCGTCATGATTTGTGCAAGGCTAACATGATATCGGATTATAGGCCATGTTGGCTGGTGGTACCGGAGGAACATGCGGAGACATGTTGATGCACTCGTTAGATACCGTCAAGACACGACAACAAGGCGATCCGACCCTTCCTCCCAAATATACATCGATGGGCCAGTCGTATGCAACCATCTACCGCCAAGAAGGATTCTGTCGTGGTTTATATGGTGGTGTGACGCCGGCCCTCCTCGGCTCGTTCCCCGGCACTGTGATTTTCTTTGGTGTATACGAGTACACCAAGCGTTTCATGATCGACTCAGGGATCAATCCCAGCCTTGCATATCTATCCGGTGGTTTCCTAGCAGACTTGGCTGCATCAGTTGTCTATGTACCATCCGAAGTGCTGAAAACACGACTGCAGTTGCAAGGTCGATTCAACAACCCGCATTTCAACTCGGGCTATAACTACCGGAATATGAGCGATGGGTTCCGTTCGATTGTGCGCCAGGAAGGATTATCAGCATTGTTCCACGGATATAAGGCCACCATTTTCCGCGACCTTCCGTTCTCCGCGCTCCAATTCGCATTCTATGAGAAGGAGCAGTCAATGGCTAAAGAATGGGTTGGAAAGCGGGATATTGGGTTAGGCTTGGAGATCTTGACGGCTGCTACTGCCGGCGGCATGGCTGGTGTTATCACCTGTCCGATGGACGTGGTCAAGACACGCATTCAGACCCAGAAACACGTCCCAGAGACCCCGTCCTGCTCTGGCGCCAGACACACCGTCGAGCATGTTCCCAAAGAAAGCCCACGCCCACATGCGCCAGCATCTTCACATTCTCATACCCCACGAGCACACTCGCGCCCTATTTCCACATCAGGAGCCTCCACATCAATGCCACCGCCCGGCACACCGCGCCTCGACACGTCATCTGTGTTCACCGGGCTGAAGATGATCTACCACACGGAAGGCCTTGCGGGGTGGTTCCGTGGCGTGGGCCCACGAGGTGTGTGGACTAGCATTCAAAGCGGGACTATGCTGGTCATGTACCAGTACCTGCTTAAGCAACTCGAACACCACCAAATCCTGGAAGAACGACTGTATTGAGGCATTTCATCTGCATTTCCAGAGCATTTTTCTTTCTTTTTGGGAATGGGGGCGTTTGGATTTACATGTTATGACCCCAGGTGCATTGAGCACCTTGTACACTGTGTGCCTGATAGAATAGACTGGGCTTATAGTCCCCTGTACAATAAATTCTCATTCAACTCTCATAGATCAATACCAATACAAATAATGCCCAGTAAATACAACAAAGTGTAGGGCAGCGAACAAAGAGGACGCGCTAGCGTGTTTTGTTTTGATCGGCGGTAAACAACCTTGGAATTACCGATACACCTCCCCTCCTTGCATCCTCTCTTCTCCCACTCTAACTTCTTTATTTACTTACTCTTATTTGATGCGCATTGGTCCGATATCCTCCCTCGCATCTTGATTCATTACCATCATGTCATCCGCTCTTCCTTATTTGAAGTCGCTGAAAAAGGGCGACCTGGTCGAGTTCGCCGACTCAACCGACCTGAATGGGTGAGTTTATACCTGTCGCGCAATCACGAACGTGGTCGCATGGACTAATTTGACTGATTTCTGACTTGTCTGGGGTATAGCGCAAGCGGTCTCAACAAGATGGAGCTTGCCGTTGCGCTTGACAATCACCTGAACGCGAACCGTTCCATCTTCTCAGGTGTCAAGTCGCTTTCTGAATACTACTCGCGCTTGGCCTCGCCGCCGCGTCGGGGATCGCCTGTGAAGCGCGAATCCAAGCCTCAGACTCCTGGTCCTGCGACAAAAACTCCTTCGCGCCGCGCATCAGCCAAGAAGGAAGTCAAAGAACAGAAGGAAGAGCCTAGGTAAGAATGACAATGTCTTTGCATGCATGGAATGGCCCCATTTCTTTGTCGCGCATACTAATCTATGCATTAGTGAGGATGGTGAAGACGTGGCCGCAACCCCAAGCGCGCGCCAGACTTCGCGTCGGATCTCGCGCGCTGCGCCCATCACAGATTTGCAGAGAAATCTACCTATGCCTCCTTCCCCTGCTGTCGTGACAGATGTCATTGATCGCCAGGCCAGCCGGGTTCGTGAGGGGCTTGAGGATGCATGGACTTCGATTGGTGTATTGGACCGGTGCCACGCTGTGCGCGAGGCTCTGAGCAGTCTCAAGGCCATTGAGATTATGGTTCTGCTCCTCGAAGGAGGAAGTGTTGTGAAAGAGATTGTTCCCATCCGCTACCTTACCACGACTCCTCCCGTGCAAGCCGCGCAGATTCCCGCCGTTCCTATCAAAGTCCCTGACCTCTTTGTGCTGCTCACTGGAGCTTTCTGGGCGCCTTTCTCGCTTTGGCTCATCACCTGCCTTCTCCTGCCTCTCACTGCCGCCTATTTCATCAACCTGAGCTGGCAGGCCTCTACCACCGTGCGCCGGACTCGCTCTAGTCCCAACCTTGCTCAATTCGACCCATTGACCTTCAACATTGCCAAGGCGCTGCTGGTGTATATCGTTTTCGGCAACGACTTCAAGTTTTGGGGTGCTTTCAGCACTTTCGCTCTTCGAAAGATCTCGGCTTCTGTTCCTGGCGGAACTTTCGGACTGTACACCGGGACTGCCGTTGGCGCAATCGGATCTCTGTACGAGGCCATCCTGAGTCGTTCATAAACAGCATGTGGCTTGTATGTTGCAGGGCTGCACAGTGACTCTAATGTATTGCAAATCGAGACAGAAATGCGATCCAGTAGTACTGGTGGCTTGCTTGCGCTGTTATTATTTTGACATTTGCCTCTCCCTTTCTCTCTACGCTCTCTACGCTAATCCAGTATTCTTCTGGATTGGTCTCCCTATTGGTTTGATATCCCCTGCTTGAGGGGCTATCACATATCCCTCTTGCCGCTATGTATGCTTTTTTGATTGTTTGTGTTATTGTTCTCGAGGCTTGTCTTTTTTGATTGTATGCGTCCAAGTTTAGTGCTTGGGTATGGATGATGCGATATGCGATACTGGGTTTCTTTCTTCAACCTCATTTTCTCTCTTTCTTGGTGTCTTGTTCAAGCCAGAGGAAGGCGCCCTCGGTGTTGTGTCTGGTTGTGGTTATTTGATTACTTTTTTTGGGAGTTCCTCTTCCTCATTTTTTTAATGACCGATTTGTGTTTCAAATCTTTAACATTGGGTATCAGAGAGTAATATGAGTAAAGCTGAAATGGTCATCTCATCGTTCACGTTCATGATCCTCTCTTCAGCCTCGTCGCCAACTCCACCGTAAACAACACCGGCACAGATGTCTCAACTTCCACCTTGTCCGCGCGGATATGGTTGCTCGTGGATATCTGTCCTCCAATCTCAGTATGCCATTTCTCGACATCCCACTCAAAGCCTTTGGTCGTAATCGAAGCAGGTGCGGAAAGCGGAATAATCCCAATGTTCTCCTCAAAGAAATACTTCGGCTCATCCACTTCACGCCGCTTCCGCTTCTTCGGCGACTCGGATGTAATACCCGCCCGTCTCGTAGCAGGCGTGTGGATTATATTCTTCCCAGTCTGAATAATGAACGTAATACTCTCCTCAGAAACGAGGTAAAGGTTCCCACCGGCAGCCGGCTTGGCGCTGGAACCCGTGGATTTGGTTTTGCTTTCATTCTCGCGGATCGTGCATTGCGTCTGGGTCATCATGTATAAATGGTGGACTTGGGAGAAGGCCTGGTCAACACGGCCGCCGAGACCGCCCAGGATTACAATTTCCAGAGGTGAGTCCTTTGATTGAACGGATGGCGTAGGATACGGATCTTTGCTTGTGCTGCCGTTTGCTTTGACTGAATCGTTTGGGACACGAGGAGAGGCAATGATCTCTGCTGCGTGTGCATTGAGGTATTTTAGACATTTGGTAAAGTCTGTTGAGTATTGGTCTGGGTCTTCTATGATTGATACTCCGAGGTTCTCGTAATGTTCTCGTACTGATGGTCGGATAGAGTCCAAGTCGCCGATTATGGCGTTGGGGGGCTGTATCCTCTGGTTAGATTTATATCTTTGCTGGGCGGTGCAGTGCTGATGTTTCAATTGGGATATATCTTCGCGAGCGAATTTCCAGTTCGAAGATACTGCAAGGTAGGTTTCATAGAATAGATAAATCTCACATCATTAGATTCGGTACCATTCGATTTCATCATATCGTATAGTCGATTGGCGCCTCCATCGGCACAGACGATATAAGATGCTGAAGTAGGGTCAGCATATCTTCTCTGAACTGATTAATTGTCCTATGATTTCCATGTTAATACTCACCATATTGGCTTAATACTCCGAATGCGTTCTCGTTGATTGGCTGATTGAGGACGAGCAAAGCGTACGGAGACGGACTCCCTGATACACGGAAGAAGCGACTAGGATCCCACTCCATTGAAAGAGTAGTACCAGATCGGATCTAAAAGTCAAGGTAGGTGTTCGTGAGAGAGTCCGAAGTGACGATATAATTATGAGCCCCGGTGGAACGTGACTGGCTGACCGAGCACGATCCTCAGGCCGAAATCCACATCCAACTTCTTCCGCGCTTCGACTTCCCCGATCCCCTCAACACCTTCTTGGAGGACCTCTCGATTCTCACACAATGTTCCGTCCCGCCGCTCGAGCGCTCGCCCGCGCGCCTGCTGTCGCATCCCGTACCCCGGCGACCAGCCGATTCATAAGCACCGGTCCGACCAAGTCGAGAAGCTGGAAGAACACCGTCGTCCGGCTGGGCTTGGCTGGTGGTGCTATCTACTACTATAACACGAGCAGTGTCTTCTCCGAGGAGCCGAAGTGTATGTCTCGTCGATTGGGTTGCCATTGTTTCTCGTTACCGAGGGTTACAAACCGCGACAATCCTGTCAAGGCCAATGGTATCTCCGGATGACCAATCGTCGCTAACTCTTCTGTCATCGCGCTCTAGTCTCTCTCCTCTCTTCCAAAAAGCAAAATGGCGATGATGCCACCTCCCAGACCCTCGACTCCATTACTCCCAAGATCCGTCAAGAACGCGCCGCCGCGCAAGCGTCCGAGCCCGCCGCTTTGGAAGGTGGTTTGAACGCCCAGGAGCTTCAGGAAGAGGCTGGTCAGGAGGCTGCATTCAATCCGGAGACTGGCGAGATCAACTGGGACTGCCCGTGCCTCGGTGGCATGGCCCACGGGCCATGCGGAGAGGACTTCAAGGCTGCTTTCAGCTGCTTCGTCTACTCTGAGGAGGAGCCCAAGGGCATTGACTGCATTGAGAAGTTCAAGTATGTTGTGCTGGTATATTTGACGGTGATGTTTATTTACTAACGGTCTTCCAGGGCCATGCAAGATTGCTTCCGTAAATACCCCGATGTCTACGGTGCCGAACTGGAAGACGACGACGAGCCCCAGGGCGACGCTCCCGCCCCCTCCGAACAGACCCCCACCGCCGCCGAGATTGATGCCGCCTCTCACCCTGACGAGAAGCAGACCCGCGCCAAGGACGTCAACACCCAAGTGAAGGCCGAGACTGTCGCCCAGGGTGAGAACACCGAGGGCGACTCCCTCGTCCCCAAGGCTGCGTTTGATGCCGAGGATAAGAACGAGTCCAGCAAGGCTTAGAGCTGAACTCTCCTTGAAAACCTGCATTCTGTTTGACGCCATCCTTCCCCCGAGGCAATTTACCTGTCTCTCTTCTGTAATGCACATCAGGGACAGGGATTGGAGTTTTGTATTATATAGACCCTTCTGCCATCTCTCCATATCCCGTTTTGATCCGTTGATGCATGCATCCCTCTGATATTTCAGCATATCCATTCCCCGATCTGCGCGCTCCCATTTGTTCCTGATATTTCCTCTCTGTCAATGTGTAACTATGTGTATTGGTATGCTTCACGCTGTTGTCCGCTGGACAAACAAAAGAACGAGGGGAAATAGAATAGACTTGTTGCATTATAACCTATACTCCGTATATTCTTTTGCATGTCACATTTAGAGAAAGCGGTATTTTGTTCCTATTCCAAAGTCACCCGACAGCCGTTTCGACAGATCATAGCATTATTATATACAACCTTTTATTCGCATTAAACTGGCATTCAGCCATCACAGCCCAGCCTGTGCTTGCCTGTCCGCCAGCGATATAAAAAATAAAACCAGCGCCTCCAATCCAAAAACCCGAGACTAGAACATCCATCCATCTATACTTTCGGACGCTTCGGAAGACCATTAGTCCCCTGTTCACGCTCAAGGGTATATTCAGTCGTAACACGAATAGCCATATCACGCTGCGCAGCCTGTTCAGCCTGCCCAGCGGCAGGCGATGCAATCCTCTCGCCGTCAAGGATATACTCCTGACTTCCGTCACGGCTCACCTTCGTCGCATTCAAAACACTATCGAGCTCGAAATTCCCACTCCTCCTCGGGCGGGATGTGACGAAAGTCTTCGTCTTCCCAGAAGCCCTCGACCCAAATGCATTATAGCCGTCGCCGTTGTAGTACGGGGATTTGGAGCTCTTGTGGTTTGACGAGCCCAGCCAGCGTGAGTTGCGGAAGAGTGGTTTGATTCCTGGGAGGGAGACGACGATTGCCGCGACGAAGCATTCTCGGTCGGCCCAGCCTAGGGCTATTGGGAGGTTTGTGATTGAGGTGAGGGAGTAGTAGGCTCGGAGGACTGTGCAGATCATGATGAAGATTCCCGATGAGAACATTATCACTAGGATTAGTTTGCGTTGGAGGGGAACTTGGAGTTTGGCGAGGATTGGGATTGGAATGAGAATTATGCAGAGGTCCGATCTGGTTGGATGGGTTAGGGCTTTGGTTGAGTAGAAGAGGGCTGGGGGAGAGCTTACAGCACGTTAAAGACGGCGATCACGATGTATAATGGGGGTCTGAGAGTGCAGTTGTCTATAGATCCAGTAAGCTTGGGTGTTTTTTTCTTGTCTTGACAGGACTGGTGAGAATTACCTCCGGGGTAGGGCTTGATTTGCCAGTTCCGTTCGACTGGTGTGCACAGACAGATGTGTGTCAAGAGACATGCAAGCCAGGTCACCACGCAGAACCCTCCTGCCGCCGTGACGAGATGACGGTGCCAGAGTCCTTGTCTGTCATGTGTGAGATGGGGAAACAGATAGTCATAGACGGTTGACATACGTGAGCTTCCAGTAGAGACAGAGAAGAACCCCTTTCAAACACCAAATATAGCAAATATACCATATCCAGTTCATGAACGCCAACTTGGATCCAAGGATCATGTTGTGCATTTTGCTATCTGGGACTAGCATGGCTGTTTTGTCGTTTAACCCGATGTTGTTGCCAAATAGCCCTGATTAGATGTCAGTTTTTGGAGTCATCATGGAGCCACCGTCTGTTCGTACCAAGTAGGTAAATGATGATGGTCTGCATAGTCCAAAATATCTGTTGTAACAGTGTCAGAACCAAATCACTTATCACAATTGAGTAAAGTCTGACGTACCATTCCAGCAACTGCAAAAGCATCATCAAGTCGGAGCCCACGAATACCTCCCGTGGTCAACCTGGCATATAGCCGGACAATCAAAAAGACCATCCCAATGCCATATTCTGTGAAAGTCTCAACGGTCAAGGCATCGGCCGACATGGTGGCTGTTCAAACGAACGACTATATCAGTTGATCAAAGGAGTTGCCTTTGACAGAGATGAATATACCAAGGTCCATAAAAAAAGAGAAAGGAGTGATATTAGTATCAACTAGGGCGATACTGTCAGCGAGATCGCCGTAACTGATAAATCGAGTTGGGCAATTCGGTACCTCAATCACGCTGCCTTCGCCGAGATCTACTCCATAGAAGAGTGGTAGTTCAGGAGACACGTCCCTTGCGAAGGATCAAGCTTCTAGCCCCCTAGTCCGAGGAAGTGGTCACTGGAAACAAATATCGTACTAACATACAGTACACTTGACGGGGCTGTTCTGCACACTAGTGAAGGGTAATTCTCCAACTGAAAATCCGCCAGTTTGGCCCCGAAATTAGGCCACAGACTAGTTAGTATGAGGCAAGACCCAAATGCCCGAGCAGGATCTGACTATCTTCGTCTGTCCGGGATGAGGATTCCGATGCGTGGGGCTTCTGATTCGAGAAGGGGGAAAGGCCCGTTTCAGACAGAAACTGGCAGGTTGATCGCCCTTCTGTCAGACTCGAAGACAGACACGGCTGTGGAGACCCTGCTGCAAGTAGATAGCCACTGATGGCTTCCAGGGCTTCGCCGTCTACGGAGTCCATACACGGGACGATTCATATTTGGTCCAGGCGGTTCTCAGCCGTCTTCTGTCTGTACATGACACATCTATAAGGTTGACTAAAAATGGCCAAAGTTGCTTTGATTACAGGAGGAGGTAGGACCCTCATGAATCCATGAATAAAGATACTAACACCTAATGATATAGCAAGTGGAATGGGCTTAGCAGTAACAAAAGCCCTATCCGCACGCAACGACTGGCACATCCACATCCTGGACATCAACGAAGAGCGCGGAATCCAGACAGCAAAGGAAGTACCGAGAACAACATTCCATCGCGCAAATGTGACCAAATACAACGATCTTGCAGCAGCATTTCAAACCGCGTTCTTAGAAAATGGTAGTCTGGATTTTGTTTTCGCCAACGCCGGAGTCATTGAGCGGACAAACTTCTACGCCACACACTCAGAGACTGGCAAGGATGTATCCCCGCCACCAGAGCCAGATCTGCTCTCAATCGATGCTGATTTGAAGGGAGTCGTCCTAACCTCTTATCTGGCTCAGCACTATTTTCGCCATTCGCCCCATGGGGGCAAGGGTTCTAGCCTGGTAATGACCGCCAGCTGTGGTGGACTATATCCATCTTTTTATTCGCCCTTGTATTCTGCAGCCAAATGTGAGTCTCTTGTTCCCTGTTCCGAGTGATCATACTATCATATGTTGTGGTCGATATGATCTATCAACTCTTATCATATCATTTCAACCCTACAGTACTGCGGTAAACCTCCCAGTCTAAGCTAACACCCTCTTCTACTCTAGTCGGCGTTGTCGGTTTTATGCGCTCTATCGCCCAGCACTTCGCAGCAGGTGGAACCCGCGTCAACGCCATCTGCCCGGGAATCGTCCGAACCAACCTCGTCGACTCGAACGGCTGGGATCGTTTCCCACCGGGCCGGTTCATCGAAGTGGAAACGATCGCCCGTGTAGTCCTCCAGCTCGTGGATGGGGGCGAACCTGCGGGCCAAGGTCTGACAGATTCTTCGGGCTCGCATCTGCCTCTTTCCAGACTGTATGGAGTCGCAGTGGAGATGTCGGATAGCGGGTTATACTTCCGTGATCAGCATGCTTTCTGCGATGATGGGATGCGGGAGGTTATGGCGGCGACAGACGTTGAGAACCAAGTGGGTGCTATTCTGAATGCTGATTAGATGGCCTTTGCCTGCGGCACTTTGTCTGTTTTGGCATGCTCCTGAGTGACATATGTACTTAGTCAAATCAGACATTAGTTTAGCAGACTAATGGGGTCTCATCAAACTTTACGAATCCTTCAGCATGTCTCCTTCTATATTGGGTGCTTGGCAGTCTCGTAGCTTTTTGCCCCGGTGGCATGATAGTATCCATGTTATGCACTTTAGGCATTAAAATATCAACCAAACACCGATTGGAAGGAATTCTCGGTCAACTTCCTTGCATTTCTCATACCAAGTATTTTTTTTAGCCCCCAATTGCATTCGGAGTAAATTTAGGCTTTGCTCCACGGGTCAGCCAAAGGCGTTTAACCGGCGCCAAGGTTGTTGCAGGATAATCTACGTGCTGTACGTGGAAACAAAGATACAATTTGCACAATCACATGGGTCAAGTGGGCCAAACGCAACGCAATGTTCAACTCGATATCTCAGAGCCGATCGATCGCTTGTGTTCTACAGTTAACAGAAATCATGGTACACGGCCCGTACGGGGCGAGCTTCCCTTGTGGAGTAAAGCTTGGACAGCTCCGGTCTACTCCAATACTGTATAAGTTACGAAGTGCAGATCCTCAAGGTGGACAGGGGTGAAATAGGTGGATACCGTGTGAGACTGCAGGAGCGGCAAGAAACATGTCTTATGATAGATGAGAGCTCACACTAACACTAGAGCAGACGTTAGACCCACACGGAACAGAATGCTGCCGCCGCAAATGAAGAAAAGTAAATTGTTGGCTGAGGACAGTAAGATTAATTGATTGAACGACGATCCCGGTGGAGCCTATTTGTACTTGTGGCGGCTAGTGAATTAGGGCATCGGTAGTCTCGGGCGAGACAGCACTCTTCCCCGGTCTTATGGGATTGCCTCCGGCAGCTGGGAATCTTCGCCATGCATCATGCGGAACAAAGGTTCCCAAACAGTTATGGCTCGCTTAGTGATGTGGCCATTTCCGGGTTTGGGCATTGGGTAGTAGATCAGTTTCTCGGCTGAGCACTCTAATAGTTCACCTGCCATGCCGGTGGAGTCTTCTAAAAAGGTTTCGTAGGCGTTGAGAATGGTCTGCACAGGGGTGAGACTGAGTGGAAGGGCTGGAGTTAGTACTCTGTGGTGCTTTTTGAGGTGCACAGAACTTACCATTCAAGAGTGACGGCTGCAATCATCTCAGGCGGGACAATAGGTGTGTTCACGATCCCGGGCATGACACAGTTAATGAGAATATTTTCTTTCTGCTTCAGCAAAGGCGCAACGCCGCGGATGAAATGGTTGACTGAAGCCTTGGTGCCGCAGTATACCGGATAGGACTGGTGAGGGAAAACGCCACCAATGCTTCCTGTTACAACAATGCGACCTCCAGGCTGCGGGTTATGGCGCATGAAATGGACTGCCAATTGAGTCCCATACACAACGCCTTTGTAATTGATGTCCACGACAGAGAGATCAGGGGGTGCTGGGATGTCATCGACGCCGTTTTTCTTCGAGTCGTAAATATAGATGGACGAAGTATCAACTATGCCAGCGTTGGCGCATAGCGCATCAATGTGACCCCAAAGCTGATACACGGCGCGGAACACCTCTGCAAGTTGTGCATAGTTTGAGACATCTGCGGGAAAGAAGCGGGCTCTCTCTTGAGGGAGTTCTTTGAGGATGGCCTCGCCGGCCTCTCGGCGTCGCCCTACACAGGCGACTTTCCATCCTTTTTTGCAGAGGTCTTTGACGAGGTCAATTCCCATGCCAGACTGTAATGTTCTGTGGGTCAGTAATTTCTAGCGGGCTGTGCGTGCATATTCCTTGTACTGACAGTGGCACCGGTGACGATGGCAACGCGGGTTTCTATGTGTGAGCCCATTGTATCGGAGATGTGATAGTGTTGGATAGTCGGTGGAATTGATTGAAAACGACAAGAATATCAGGCAAGGCTATTACCGGATAGTCGGGTGCTCACGACTCAATTATCTGACCGCAGGGCTCGAATCTGAATCATAGTCTATCATTCTAGTCAATCTAGTGCAAGCCGATCCCTAATCCCGGCCGGTCGTTACTGAAATCGGAATTAGTCCAACGCCTTTCAGTTCCCGTCTGGATTGAAATGAAGTGGAACACTTTCCACATTGCTTATTGGCCGAACTCAAGTAAACCCTAGCTCAGCCGTCGTATCATGGCGCACGCTATTGCCTGCGGTGTTTGCCATGTGTTTCCAGGTGCATTGGAAGACCCATCTAGCCGATAGAAGCTTATTATGGAAGTCGTTTAAGACTCTTTTCTCTTCTTCCCCTCCTCCTAATCGACTATATCCTTGTTCTACTTCACTATGGCCGTCGACGCAGAAAAGGACCCGGTGCAGGAAACCGGCTCTGCAACAGATGCGCCTAGCTCGCCTTCTACTGTTGCCAATGACAATGGCCCTGCTGGGCCGGCTGAGCCGGTCGTCACTTTGAAAACATGGATTGTCTCTTCGGTAAGCGCTTCTGGTCAGTTATCTGGCATTGATGCTAATCGATATGGTCTACATAGATTCTTTCTTGCGGTTACGGCCTTTCCTTCTGGCCTGTTCCCGTCGTGGCTGCAATTGGCACCATGATCTCTGCTGATATGGATGACCCGACTGGGTACATTTGGTTTGTTCCTGTGCGCACCACTTCAAGCAGTCCCAAGGAACAAAGGCTGATGCAATTTTAGGCATGGACTATTTCGATCACCTGTGCTTTCTTGATATTGTATGTTCTAGCCTAACCCCTGTTGTCGTTGAATACTCATGATAGTATACAGTGGCCCGAACACTGATCTTCTGGGTCGGCGGTGGTTCTTGGTTCTGGGTAACTTGGTAAGGTCCAGTTGTATAGAACAGAAGATGCGTTCTAACCAGTCCTAGGTATGCTTCGTTGGTCACATCGTGGTAGCATCAGCCAAAACCACAAACCAAGTTATTGCTGGCCTTGTAATCTCCGGATTTGGCGGCGCAAACTGTCAGGTAAGAAATATCCCAGTATCTTAGGGTTCTGATCCCAGCTAAAAACAGCCTAGATGGCAGCATTCGCCTTACCAGAGCTTCTCCCAAACAAATGGAGACACATCGGCGTCGTCATAGCCGACTTCACTGTCTACATCGCCGTCATCGTAGCACCAGTGACAGCCCGATATGGCTACGAGATGGGAAACTGGTCCTGGAACTTCTGGGGCGTGGCCATCTTCCAAGGTCTCTCCTTCTTCGGTCTTCTGTTCCTCTACCACCCACCAAAGCACCCGTAAGCCAACCATTCCCCGGATCCAACAAGTAGAAAGCAACACAAGCTAACATTCAATCCAGCCTCGGAATCCCATACAAAGAAGCCTTCAAATCCCTCGACTACCTCGGCGCCTTCCTCTTCATCGGCGGCGCAGTCCCCTTCCTAATGGGCATCGTCTGGGCAGGCGTCTACGAGTCAAATGACGCACACGTCGTGGCACCGCTAGTAGTCGGCGCCGTCGTCCTTATCTGCTTCGCGCTGTGGGAAACCTTCGGCAAGCTCAAATACCCACTTACGCCAACCTATGTCTTCGCCAGTTCGTGGGGTAGGGATTTCACTGCTCCCGTCATTGCATTGGGCGTTGTCAATATGTTCTACTATTCTTCGAGTATTCTATGGCCGCAGATGATCATTGCGTTCTATACGAATGGCGGTGCGGACTGGAAGTATTCTGTTATTCTGTCTTTGCCGCAGGGCTTCGCTATCTTCTTCGGTGCTATCTTGCTTACGCTTTTTGGTAGCAAGTTGAGGCATTGGCAGTGGCAGCTTACTGGGTCTGTTTTTGTTATGGTTGTTTTTGGGTCTTTGTTGGGTATTGTTACGCCTACTAATAAGGGGACTATGATTGCTTTTGTTTTCCTCTCTCAGACCGGCTTTGGTTGGGCTCTTTATTTGAGTATTGCTATTACACAGATGGGTGTTGAGCATAAGAATTTGGGGGTTAGTGGCGGTATTTCTGGGTGTATTCGGTTTGCTGCTGGTGCTGGTATGTCTAACCCTTACTTGTCTTCGATTGTGTCTGCTATACTAACTTGAATCTTCCACAGTCGCGACTTCGATCTATCAAACTGTCTACAGCAACACCCTCAGCAAGTATACAGCGATCTACGTCCCTTCTGCTGCCATCTCTGCCGGTCTCCCCGAGTCAAAGGTCACAGATCTCATGACTGCAGTAGCCCAAGGCGCCGCTGCATTGAAATCTTATAGTCCAGCCGTGGCTGCAGCTGCAGAGGCAGCCCTCGGCCAAGCCTACTGCAAGGCTATCTTGTAAGTACCAACTCTTCCGTGGCGTGAAGTCTCCATAAGAGAGCCCCGATTTCTAACTATATCTCCTAGTGTCGTTGCCATGGTCTCAATGGCCTTTGGTATCTTTGGTCTTGGAGCTTGTCTGTGCTGCAAGGATGTCGATTCAAAGATGACCAACAAGGTAAGATATAATGTTCTCTATGTTTGGATTGTGATCATTTCTAATACTTGCTCTCTTTAGATCGAGGTTTACCTTGAGAACACGGATCTCTCAGACCGGAACAAGTACCACTAGATTATCCTGCTGGGATGGCAAACATGTCTTGAGCTCCGTGAGTTCAACACAGGTGAACAAAGCAAGCAACGAGAATGTTGCAAATGTCGGAACCACAATGCCGGCTAGCCCGTACCTGGGCGAAAGAGAAAGGTTACCTGGGAAAGAAACAGTTTATAGAGACTTCTACACAAAATAACATACGTGCTTCGGCCTAATGAATATAATACTCTCGCTTACATACCAGTCTATCAGACTCACAATCTCAAAAAAAGGGCAGTCAAATTGGAGCATATTCTCTGCTACTAAGTAATAGAGATCCTGCTTAACGAGGGTCTAGTGCATACATAACAGAACTGATTTCCTGTTTCCATGTCAGGTCATATCGTATTCTTCCACCATCCACCATCAAATTCTACCACTGTCGTCCGAATCAACAGCACCTGCCATCATCCACGAAATCCATCCATGGAGATTTTCTTTGTCATGAAAATGGCCATTCTCGGAGAATATGTATGAAGGAAGGTATGGGAAACCCGGCTCGATCCAGCGTGGGTCGTTTCCACGGAGCTGGGTAATCGATAGCTATGGGAGTGTGTGAAAGTGATCTCGATGGCAATCGCGACAGGAGCAAAACCATGATTTGTTGACGAAGGGAGGAAGGAGTATGGTGCATTTTTCACAAATGGCATTGCGCCCTCGTACTCTCCTCGTAAAGCCACGTATACCATTGATTCAACGCTCAATCTCGAGTCAAGATTTCACAACCGCAGCAACGGCCGTCGGTTGATAACACTAGCACAGACACAGACACTGGGACTGCTGTGTATAATGTGGAGCAATACATCCGATCTGAGTCCAGGCACGGTATGGCATATTCAATAAACCTGTTGGAGTGTCTGTGGGCAAATAGACCTCAGTCCAGACAATGCAGTATTCATTACCAGTTGACATCGCTGAGCTGGAGTTTGCGTGAACGGAATGCAGAGCGGTTGGCGCCAGCTTTGTCCATTCGCTGGCTAGTCGGCGTGCGCTTTTCCTGGGTTGCTTCGGCGGGCTCAGGCTCGTTTGATGCCTCGTAGTTCAGGACTAGATTCTTGATGCGTTGCTGCTCTTCGCGGTCGGCTTGTTGTTGGCTTCGCATGGCGATGGCGAATGTTGAGTCTGATGGGAGATCGATGGTTCGGGTCTGGATATTGTGAGTTTCCTATATACACTTGCACGGCGAGCCTGTGTGTATATAAAGACTTACCTGTTGCTTGTTGCCCTTCTTCGTCATAAGCGAGAATGCCATTGTCTTCGGTGCGACTGGGACAGCAGGAACAGGCTCAGGGCTCGAATCACTAGGCAAGTTCTCGCGGGGAGGCCGTTTCATGGGCAAGGGGATATCGAAAACGGTCTTGCGTTCGAACCGTCTGGAATCCATACTCTCGGCCATCATCTTCTCGAACTCCCGATCGAATTCAGCCTCGGTGGCAGGGTCCCGCTCCTCCTCTTGACGAGTGACAATGATCTGCTCGTCTTCGGATTCACTTTCGCTCTCGTCATTCGCCTCCTGGTTGGGTCCGGAGGCCTGGGATTCGTTAGAAAAATGGGTTCCTTGCGAGTGAGCTGGAAGTGAGCTCACCTCTGCTTCATCACTAGATTCCTGCTCTTCATCAATGTCAGGGATTGCATCTTCCTCGAACCCCTCATCAGACGAACTGCTCTCCGCTTCCTCTTCCTCAACTTCTGCTTCCACCGGTCTCTCCGAATCCTGCACGTTGTAGTTCTGAGCAACAGCCTCGCTGAAAATTCTAGTCGCTTCTTCTGCATCTGTGGCAAGCTTCCACTGTGGGCGGATAGAAGAGAATGTATCCTGAACAAGGAAGTCCACATCCATGGGCAGTGGGTCCTTGGTGAACAGGTAGTACTGGAAGAACGAAAGGAAGAAATCCAGTTTCTTCTTAGCTGAGCCACGATCAAAGCAGTGGCCACACGTATCGAGAAGTGTACATGCCAAACGCAGACGGAAATAGTCGTCTGGCAAGTCGAGCATGGTAATTCTTCCAGGAGCCGGGGTACCGCCTTCATGACCAAAGGTGATAATGCGGTACAGCGTGTCAAAAATGACAGGGGAATCAATCATCTTGTAGTTGTAAAGCTCACCCAGGTATTTGACTTCCGCAATGCGCTTCTGATTAAACTTGAAGTCGTTCTGCTCGAGGCCAAGTGTGATCTGCTCCAGAATGTTGTCAATGATTCCGATCACGAAATCCTGGTGGTACCGGTACAAGGCACTGGCGAGAATTGCCAAAAGATGGATACTGCCATATTTGACCTTGACTGGTTTGCTGAACACGCGTTCCAGGATTTCGACAACCTCCTGCTCCTCCCAGTGAAGTTTGCGAATGGACTTCAGAATTTTGGTGTAATTGCGCTTGTTCATATCCAGGTAGATCAAGCGGCGGATGTACTGCTCCATGGGGGTACGTTCCTTCTGCTGGATGGCAGGGCGTGGTGGCGGGTCTACATAGTAGATGGCATTCTCGATGACCATACGCTCCTGTTGAGCCAGATGTTGCACGGCCTTCTTGCGGCTCAGAGTCTCAAGGAAAGATGCCATTCGGGGCGCTGTCTCCGGGTTGCGCAGCAAGTAACGGCCGCAGTTCTCGAGCAGATTTCCGATGATCTCAATGTTCATGCGTGAGAAGTCGTCAAGCGAAACCTTGAAACAATGGAAGATGATATGCTCTGGAACCACGCCGAATTTTGTCAGTTCGGCTAAATAGCGCACATTGCCCATGCGTACTTGGCCGAGGAACTCCTTTGCTTTGCGCCGCTGCAGACTTCTGAACTCCTCATCAAGATAGGTGGTAATTCCTTGCGGGATATCTGGAAGGTACTGTCCAAGTGTTGCAACCAGGCGAGAATATAGCGGCAAAAGATCAATGCGGCCCTTGGGGATATCCGACACAGCTTTGACAAGTCTGTTCCGTGATGCCTTCGAGTTGACCCAGCAAAAGTCCAGAGCGAATTGATCGACTTGGTCCTTTGTCTGCAGCTCCGAAAGCTTGGCCAAAAGAGAATCCACCTGGGCGCCCACGGTCTTACTCGCGATTGCAGTCGATTGATCATCCGCCTCCGCGGCGGACTTCTCATTCGAAGGCTCTATCGAGTCATTAGTATCGCCGTCAGACTTCTTTCCAGCCTCTTCTGCATCACTCTTCTTTTTCTTGCCATCTTCCAACAACACCGCCGGCACCTTCCCCTTCAAGTCGACTAGATTTTCGTAAAAGCGTCTCTCTTCTTCGTCTTCCCAGATTCCGGCTCCTTCACCCTGACCGCGCAGGTAATCAGCGGTCTTCACAAGGCCGATCCCACCATTAGCCGAAGCATCGGTGGCCTCTTTCTCAGCAAGCTCGGGCATCTCGGTCCCCAGGGCCTCACATAGCACCTGAGTATTGGCCACGAGCTTCTCCAAGGACTTGGTCTGCTTTTCAAAGTTCGCTTGACGGTCCTCAAAGATCTCGCCGCTCTTCACGTATGCTTCAGCATTGCGGCGGTTCTGCGCTGCCAGTGCCCTCTGGTCCCGAACCACATGCGCCTTCACATCATCAAGATACCGATTCAAAATGTTTCTGAATCGCTGCTGGGTCTTCTCGGGGATCAGAGGTAGATCAGCTTCGGTATTTGGTTCGCCGTTGCTCTCGGTCTGGGCATCGGCGCTGGAAGTTGTAGCACCATCCGCCTCGACAGTCTTCCTGCCATCTTCTGCGAGCTTCGAGCCGACAATATCCCAGCTGAAACTCTTCACGAATAGCACAGCAAGCGGCAAATTTGTATGGTCGCGGTCATGTCCGAGCAATTCCTTCAGAACCTCCAACGGGAACGGCTCAGCCTGCTTGTCCTGGTCCTTCGTTCCAGCAGCCGGCGATTTCGCCTTGAGCGGCGTGTCCGAGGGCTTCCCACCGATCCCAACGACGCCATCCTTGCCCTTGGCGCCCAGATCCTCAGGCCGCTCGACGTCATCCAGGGTCTTGAGAACATTAACCAGCCAAAGCTCCGTAATAACTCTGAGAAGAACGCGATGACGAGACAATCGGTCCTTCTCTTCCCGTTCGCGGATTTCCTGGGTCAAAGCCTTCAACTGTGCTTTATCCGGTGTGCTCAGACCCCGGCCGAGCAGCCAACCAATCTGTCGCGTAAACTCCCATGGTCCGAAACGCTGATGCAGCGCGCTGACAACTTCAACCCCTGCGGCGATTTCTCCGGGAGATTTGAGCTTGCACAGACCTTCATAGCAGGCGGAGATGATCTCAGAAAGGTACTTGTGGAGCGAAAGGGTGCGGATGTCAGCGAGGAAAGTGGAAAGGGCGGAGGCACTGATTCCGGTCCGAAGACGTTTAATGAAGGCGGTGTTCTTTTTCAGCGCTGAGTCGAGGGATTTGCTCGTGGTGAATACGTCTGCGTTGGTGTTAGTCTCTGTATCATTTCGGATATGGGGCGGGACCGCGAGGCAGTTCCAGTTCCATCCTCATCGTCACCACCGTCACCAGGGAGGGAGTTGCTCGTACCGGATTCGCCTGCCCAGGCTCGCTCATTTAGGTCGCGGAGCTCCCCTGTGAGGACATGTTAGATTTTGCGGGGTGAGTCTTGGGTCTGGATTCTGTACTTTTCCGCTGGCGATCCATCTTCTGTGTGTCCACAGGTTCAATCGTGGGGTCCTTTCTGAATGTCCGAAAGGAATGCGCTTAGGTGACTGAAATGCCACATTGGGGAATGGAGAATGTAGAGAGGAGAATAGTAATCCAGAGCTTCAGATAGAAAGCTGGAGAAGCCCGAGTTCCAAGTTCCAAGTTCCAAGGCGGTGCGGAGGTGATCGCGGACATTTTGCTTATCCGCTTGTGCGATAACGTTACTTCATCTCTTCTTTTAGTCAACCCTGGAGGACATTCATGGACATAGTATACGATATGCATTCTGTTAGCTTTTACTTCCATCTGACTGCTACAAATACCCCAGACAAATCTCAATCCCAATCCTAATCCCACCCCCACTTCCGCACCGAAAGGACGATCCCAGCACTAAGCGCAAGCACAAGTATCCATCGTTTCAGATCCCAATCCCAAGACCTACTTAATCCCCGCTATGAGCCTCCGTAAATCCCATCTCCTTCCCTGGCTCCGACCCAAGCAGCCGTTCCTGCTGCTGATGCTTCTGATCCTGGCTACTCCAGCTCTGCCGACGATCAAACGTCGGCTTCCATTCATCCCGGTTCGAATTGGTCGACTCTCGTTTCTCGGAGGAGTCGAGGTTTCGAGATGCAGGGAGAATGGCAATTTCCTCCCTGTGCATTTCTTCGAAGGGATTGTGTTCTTCGTTTGAGGGCATGGTGGGTGGGAACAATGGTGGTAGATAGGTAGATGGATGGAGTAGATGATAGATGGTAGATGGTAGATGGTAGATGATAGATGGTAGATGGTAGATGCTAGATATAACAATATGATATGTAAGAGTTATCTCGTTCGTTTGTAGTATAACGCAACACGAGATATGATATCAGATGTATGACTCCCTAACCCAGCTCATAACTCATAGCCTCTTATATGCCCTCCTAGTGAGGGGTATGCAAAGTGCAAGGTCTATTTGAGTGGCGTGGTATCTAAGATCCCGGGAGATAAGGGTCTCGCAGAACGACCTCGTCAAGGGTAATAGAGAGAAGTATTTCCTCTGCGATCGAATGGGCGATATCCGATGGGGATGATATACAGTATGACGTGGGGTGGCGATGGAATTACACTATCCCGACAAATAGAGCGGCTATGATTCGGTTTGTGTGGAAAGGTTGTTTATTGCATTTTTAAATTATGACAGCATTGACGGGTAGCTTTTCAATTGTTGTGTTGGTACTTCAATTGACATGGTGACGGTGATGGTGATGGTGTTGATGACAATGGCATGAACCCTGCAGCGAGGATCTGCTGTATCACTTCACTGCTAGGTGCTACAGGAACTCACGTTTATCACATGAATGTGATATTATACTGAGTACATGTACGTACCAAGTTTGCATACTATTACTATGATTGGTGACGGGACATCCCTAGGTACTAGTACTACACTCCTCCCCTACTTCCGAAGACCAAGTTATAATAGTGACACACTGAAATTGACGAGCTAGCGTACAGGTCATGATTGCGTTTAACCATCGAAAAGCAGACCCAGGAAATGGCAAAAACCAACGAGGCAAAGGCAGAGGCTAAGGTACAAGTATAGTCCGCAAGGTACGCGTGACATGAGAGTCGACTGTCCAGAGACAGATACACAAGTGAAGCTCGCAAAAGTTCTTCCCAAACAAGAAAGAGGCAAGTGCAACACACAATGAGAGCTAGTGTAAGCAAGAGTGTGAGGGCCCTGCAACGCAAACAAAGCAGTCGCCTTCAAAAAGCATCGTGGGAAACCAAGTTTTGGCTCTATAAAGCCCACCAGAAACCAAGCCGATATACAGGCGCTTTTGGGACACCACATATCGTACAAGACAAGTCGATACTGAGAACAAAAAAAAAAAAAAAAAAAGGAATACCCCAAAAAGCAGCAGAGCGAAAAGGGAAAAGAACAAGAATAATCAATTAAAATCAGGGTATGCCTCACGCCACGCTATGCGAGTCACCCTAGTCAAGCAGACCGGGATGACAAAGAATCACTGCAAATATGTACTGAGAAAGCCCATCCGATGACGGAAAGACACTGGGCCTTTGGGTCAATGACTCATTTGGGCTTGCGCCAGAAGTATTGCTGATGAGATGTTAGTAAGGATCTGAAGTTGCAAATATTCATGGAGGGACATGGATGGTACTTACCTTGTGCTGCTTCCGACAGTTACGCAGCCCGGGCTTCCGAAGATCATTCACCACAGCAGACCGTCTCATCACGTCGTCATCCTCGTCAGGGATGTAATAGTATTCACTCTCGAGGGGCTTGCCTGCTGCATCCTTTCCTTCACGGGCAACTCTTCCGATGAACTTGGTCGTTTCAAGGATGGTGCGGATCTCAGACTTCGATGGGCCAGAGACGTTCGCATGGCTGGATCGCCAATACGCAGGAGGGAGGTTGTTCAGGATGGTAGAGAAGGGTGTCGACGAGAGGCGGGAGAAGGCCAGTTGGTTGGCAGCATGGTTTCGAACTCGCTCAAACCGTTCATCGGTGTACTGGGGCTTGGCCTCGGAAGTATCGTGTTCCTGATTCTCGTGGGCTTTGGCAGGCTGTCTTGGAGACCGGGTGGGCTGGAGGGGCTGGGCTGGCAGCAAGCTGCGCGGGGAGCGAGCAGTCCGAACGGGTGAATCACCTGCACGGAAAGACGCCATACGGGGAAGGAGGTTCTCGCCAAATGGACCGAAGGAGTGGACAATAGGGTCGTTCTCCTCGTCATTGTCGGAGAATTCCTCAGATCTACTGTGGTCGCTGAACTCGCTCGCGTGCGAGGTATTGAGAATGGCAGTAGCACAACGGGCACTCTGGGACGTCACACCGGTGACAGTGTTGTGACGCTTCAATGGGGATGGCTCATCTTCGAAGACAACAACATCGACGCGAGAACGGGAAGGTGTGAAGATAGGTGAGGATGGGGGAATGGCACGCTGGACAGCAGGCGACGGAGACACAGGTGAAGCCAGACGCTGACGTTCCAGCAGTGGACTTTCCTGTAGTTCTCGCCGAGACTGGCGTCTCTGGGTTGGTGTGGCTTCATCACTGGTCTGTTCCGAGTCGGTGGACGGGCAGTCCCTCCTGTCACCGCGAGGCCATTGCACCAGCACGCGAGCATCATGAACATCGATCATGATATCCGCATCTTTAATGTCCGACGTGAAGGTCTTTCCCTTGGCTAGGTCATATTTCCTGCCTTGGCAGTGGATCTTGATACCATTCCATCCCATGCACACGATCTCAACCCTATCCCGATCGAACGGGTTCGGAGCAGGCTTATATGTAGCCTTGACATGAACACGAGAGATCATGCGGCTGGCAGCGAGCTGGTGATGGCACGAGACACTGGACCGACCCATCAGGATAGGCTCCCCATTCTCCAACAGCATTATCGAGGGCACGGCAGACAGGGGAGCCCGTTCGAGGGCAGCGGAAAAAGAGCGTGGCAGCGAAGGCCGGGAGGCAGCGATGCCCGGAGGGGGAGACGACGACATTATATGAGTCGATGAGGTCGGGACTGGCGTGGGATAGGTCGAGACTTCGGGTTCGCGTGCTACACGTTTGTGAGGCCGAGGAAGGGAGGGTGATGAGCTCAAAGGCTCAAAGGCAGGCAGCAACGCCGCTGGACGTTTCATGCCGGCAGCTTGAGCAGCAATGCTACTCTTGAATGGAGAAGACTCCATTGTATTTAGTGGGACGAAGTCGTCACGAGCTCACACTCACGAAAAAAACCCAGAGTCGTGGTCGAGGACCCGCGTCACCGCGTGTTGTATGAACAGAGAGAAAGACCTAGAGGATTATAGGAAGAGACGTAAAAGACGTCAAGGCCTCCCCTAAAGAAAAGGGTGTGGGTGGGAGGAAAGGAATTGGTCAAGGAGAAAGGAGGAGAAGCATTGAAGAAAAAGGTAGGTGTGTGGTGGTGGAATGCCCTGGGGCGGAGCGTCTCGTCCCTGCGCGGAAATGCACGCTTACAGCCCGAGACGCGTTCGATAGGCGCCCACGACACTCCACTATTAATTCGCGATTCTAATTAATTATATAGGTAATTGAGATATACATTTCTAATAAATTATAGCAGAAAACATGAAAGGGCGCGACTTGGAGGGTTGTTTTGCTGTAATTCAAGGTGTCAACTCTATACACTTCCAAATGACAAAGCGCGTCCGCGTCTCAAGTCACGTGTTGGTGACCTCACGCGAGTTTTGGTAGCTACGGTCACCGCAGGAATGGTATTCTCTCATATCCAACATAGTTAACATTGTTAAGTATGTATGTCAAAGATCAGACATGACCATATCCCAACTCTTGAACATGGATGGCCTAGTCAGATCCTTCAGTACTAGTGGCATCTAGGTATTGAACAAAACCCTGACGACTTTACAATTAGCACAGAACCACAAAACCCCACTGCTGTCACGAAATGGACATCCGACCACCCAGTCGCGTTTCTCCCAGCCCCCAGTTGAGCTGATTCACTTCCCAGCCAACATAATTTGGTACGTGATTGGTCTAGAAAGTTCTCTTCTCCAATTGCCAGAAAGGAAATATAAGCGGTTAGGAGCTGGAAAACACTTGTTTTTGCTTGGAGTTTTCAAGGTGGGGCCTCGGGTAGTTTTCGATTTTGATGTCATGTGTTTTGATGCAATTCAAGTCCTGTTTTCACGAGATCTTAAGCTCTGCAGTAGCTGTGACAATTATCCTCTAACTGATGATCTTGAGATGGAGGTATAAGGCCTACATATGACTTTGTAGCACATTGAATGCCTTGTACATTTGAACACGTGGTCCGGGTGTCAATATGAGCTTGTTCACGAGGATATATATATGGACGGTATGGAAGCTTGAACCCTGATTTTCTGCAAATATTATACAGACAACTAGAACAAGGACCAACGATGAATAGATTAATTACTGATATCAACCACTCCTTGTATGATCCCTGATATAACTATGCATTTCTATAGCTCTTGTGTGGGGATATGCATCAATGTAGGTGATCTATCACAAACCATATCAAGCATTCGCCACCACAGGTAATAATTGGCTACTCCCTAACATTAGACGACCGTGCATAATCATTGTTGGACGACATGTGCTTGTCAAATGTCAGAGCCGCTGGCTTCTAGATTATACATGGTTGGTTCTATGGACATGGTTGACTATAGAGGTATGCATCCGTACAAAACACCCATGATAGATTATACCGAGTAGAAAAGTATGGAAACAAGAAAAAGAGATTGTGAAATGAATGCATAAAAGAAAAACGCTCATTCAAAAATAAGGCAGTAGATCTCACTCGTACTAGGCCACCCTCATGTATGCTGGGTGTCAGCCTGGAAGTCAAGTGGCTGGCTGACCACCCACTGTTACAGAACCAGCTGCAGTCCCTAGTCCATTCTCCAGTGTCAGTCACCGCTTCACCTTAACCTTCACCACCCGCAATCCATCAACACAGTGACAAAACCCAAAGAGAGAAAAAACGAGCAAAAGATCCAAAGCTCTGACGACCAAGCCGAGGACAAAGGAACGAAGAGATAGATTTAATCAAGACTGATTGGTATCCGAAGAGATACAGAAGAGAAATAAATCTAACCGTGACAATAAACAAATATCGTTCCCGTAAAAGTAATCGACCCGGGGGAAAACATGGTCGTAAGAAATAGAACAAAAGGGGGCAACAAGGATTGGATGGTTTCGGTCCAGGTCACACATAAAACAAGATAGAACCTAAGATACACAGAAAGGAAAACACGACACTTCAAGTAACCATGGTATAGACAAGTGCACGTGTGGGAGGGAGATGAGGGCGGTCCTTCTTCTCGCCTTCGTGCCATTCGGCCGGGTGATGCTCATCGCATTGGGTGCTTTGTGAAGACTGCCACCGACTAAGTCATCGACACATTTACTCGTAGAAGACGTAGTAAGCGTTGCCGGAGGTGACACCGACCTAGAAAAGATTGATTAGTATGGATGAAATCTAGGATATTCAAGAGTAAACTTACAGTGCAGCCGCTGTTGCCGCTGATAGCACCCTTGGAGTCGTAGAAGGTGCCGCCCTCGTAACGGCACTCGTCGCTGAGGTTGTCACCGACGAGCTTAACATTGAAGTCGAGCTTCTTGGTGGTGGTCGGGGTGTTGGGGAAGATAGACAGGAACTTGCCGGCCGAGGTGTAACCAACGCCGAGGTTGAGAGGAGCCCAGTTACCGATGGGCTCGCTGCCGTCACCCCACTGGCAACCCTTCTCAGTGGAAACACCCTTGGGGTTGACGTAGTACTGGGCGGAGGTGGACTTGCCCTCCCAGTTGTAGTAGGTGTCACCGTCAGGGCAGGTAAGGGGGTGGGTGGCACCGGAGACGGCAGACAGAGGAACGGTCTCGGACTCGGTACCGGGGTAGTCAGTACGGCAAACGGCGACGTCGCTGGACATCTGGTTCTTGACGTGGACACCACCAACACCCTCAATGCAAAGCTGCTTGTGGGCAGAGTTAGTACGGTAGAGCTTGCCGCCCTTGCACTCCAGACCACCGACAGACTGGCCAGTAGCACCCTGGGTTTCGGGCCACTGGGACTTTTGGTAGCCAGCGGGACAAGCGTACGAGCACATGGCGCCACTGTGGCACTCATCGCCGGTAACAGCGGTGACAATGTCACTGACCAGGTCGTCGACCAGGGTCACGTACTGGATACCAGAGTAACCGCCCAGACCAAGGTAGTCAAGGGCGACGGCACCGTATTCAGAGGGGAAGGTACCGCAGTCGATCTCTCCATCGGGGAATTCGGCGGTGAGACCAGTGGCACCGGAGCTGCTGGAGCTGGAGGAGCTGCTGGTAGCGGCAGCAGTGGCAGAGCTAGTGGAGCTGGTGGGTTCGACGGTGCTGCTCGAGCTGGAAGGAGTTATCGCAGCGGCGGTCTCCTGGAGGATAGCGGGAGCAATGGTGGAGGTAGGAGCAGGAGTGGAAGTCGAAGTAGGAGTGGCAGTGCTGGAGGACGAGCAGGCAGCGGCAACGGCGGTATCGAGCCACTCAAACTTGTGGTCGGCAAGACCCTGGCAAGCCTCGTTGATGCTGATCGCCTCGGGGGCACCGGACTTGGAAGGGTCCAAGACGACGAAGCTGTACTCAACGGGACCGGTGTTGACAATCTCGGTCTCGGTGGCGCGCTTGTGGCGGTGAGCGTGTCCGTGGCCATGGGCAGTCGCGAGACCAGCCGTCGCCAGCGCGGCAACAGTGTTGGAGAGCTTCATTGTATCGATTCAAATCTGTTGACAAGGCAAGTGTTAGTCTCGTCCAATCCATATTGTGCAATTGCCGCCATATGTCCATCGTGCTATGTATCGAGCTTATATCAAGTCGCATCACTCAAACGCGATGCATATCATCTGATAGCGTAGCGCGTTATCGCATTGTTGTTTCGTTGCATAACTTGCGAGGGCCTTGTCCCTCGATCTTAGCAGACGATGGACATCTAATCGCAAAACCTGTCCCAGATATAAAGAACGGGAAATGGCACGTACATCAAATCACAGCAAGCTGGCACGGTTTCGAACAGGCTGTACAGAAGAGAAGGACAGTGAGTTTTCCGGATCAAATGAGTGTGTTAGAGAGACAGAATCTCTCTGGTCGGATGGGATAACTTCGAAAGAACTGCAGACTGGGGAAGAAGGGAGGATACAAAAAGGAGGGGGTCGGGCCATGTCCCAAAAGCGTTAGCGTGATACTTTCCATTACCAGAAAAGGGGGAAGTATAGTCTCACACTGCCTAGTGGGCCTATATGCCCTTGGCAACTCCTATTCATATGTAATTAGCATACCGTATAGGATACAATGATACATTCATACTTGTATTCATCATTGCCTTTACTTTACCAGATTGTGGCTTTCGTATTCTCTGTTCTCTGGTCTTTGTTTACTTGGTCCCTGGACCTTGGCGTCCAAACGAGATTAAACTGCCAGGGGCAACCAATCAACAAGCTATCCGCGCCCCCCTTGGGGCCCCGTTTTTCAGGTACCCCAATCAGCGTTCACCTCAAATTCCTTCCGTATCCATGGGTACCAAACGTTCAATATTTGACCATATGATTGCCATGTGTTCATAATATTGAGTACAAGTATAACGTTACTTCCAGTCCGTAATCGCCACGCCAGGGGTACTCGGACCTACGTTTGTACCTACCGTGCACTGTACTCCGTACAGTAACTTAACGTTACCTTATTACGGTTTACACCCCTGACAGAACAGCAGGGGACCTCTCCTGGCAGACTCTGCTTAATACCTCGTTCATACCGTAGAAAGTATAATTAATTATCTGTCCGAACATGTATGATATCAGGGTGGTTCGTAAAGGAAACTATAATCACTTGCGATGACGACTCCACGCCTTTTTAATTAAACTCAGAGCGCATCTCCATTACCCACTTTCCTATGCAGTAGCGGCACTTGCTGTTTTATAGCCGATTAGCACTCCAACACTCAGGACATTGGAATTATAGTGATAGGCGAGCTAGAAGCCGGTCTAGTCGATCCACAGCAATCTTAATTCCGTACACGGCACGGCCTTGTCCGCGTCATAGCTCTAGCACCCTAAGAAAAACAGACGTATCAAATCCAACGTCCCGAATTCTGGTTCGCCCATTTTATCCTGCATCTTCAAACTTCAAACTTCGAGCATTGGATATGCTTTTTATACTACAATGCTACCAAAACTGACCTTCATTTTTAGTATATTTCTAGCAAACAATAAAGAGTAAGGCCTCAAGTCTTGCTTTTGGTAAAACACCGTCAGCTCCACACAATATGCTTCCCCAATGGTTCTGGTCTATTGTTTTGCTGGTGCCTACACTACATAACCCGCTGCACACATTTTTACACGACAGATCTCAGCTGGTATCGATGCTAACTCCATCGGCCCGACTCATTTCCCCACAGTAATTCTCGTTTAAGCGGAGTCGGCTGCTGGTATCAGACAGATCGTGGGGAGAGGCGTGCGCGGCTTCTAGGTTAGTGACTGTTGGCGTGCACCGTCCACTCCACGTTTAATCATTTATATATTGAAACTGGGGGCATTTCACGGTTGGCCTGTCGGAGAGCTACCGTCCATATCAGTGTTGATAAATTTCTATTGCCCTGTTTTGCTGCCAACGTCACAGACATTGCCAGTCTCTGAGGTCTTATTGGTGAGGGTTTAGTGCATGGCGACATACGGTAATGTACTACATAACCTGGACTGCTGAAGTCTACACGATCTAGCTAATGTTGGAAACCCTACGTATTTTTAAGATTATGGTACATTACCTGCTGTCCTCGGCGTATTTCGTACCTTGCAGCATCGGTCATGCACCTCCTTTCCCAGCCGCCTCGACACCGCCAAACCAGCCACCAAATTAGCTCGTTAGCTCATATCTTTTTTTTACCAATGCATATCATCCAAGATTGTCACCTTGGGGTCTGATCTTCGCATGATCTCCTTAACCGTCGGCGGACGTCTATAAATAGTCAGCCAAGCTTGCCGCGGACTTGGCACTCTTATGGAGAGACGATCAATTCTCATATCCTTGTTTAGCCAGAAGCGAGGGGTCTCCTCCGGAACATTTTTAGACAACCTGAAACATACTAACATTGTGGTGACAGCAGAGCTTATTCCAGCCGCATTACATCTTGAAACACCCTTGTTGAGATGCAGCACGTGAGACATCTTGATCAGCTCTAGTCATTTCGGTGACCAGCTGCTTGGGATGGACCTTGCGTCCAAAATTATATTCTTTTTATGACTTGTGTTGCATCGCATACCGTCGATGGCTGGATCTCCATCGGTGTCGATATGAATCTGTTTGTTTGATTGGTTACACAGAGGGGACCCTTGCACGGTTGGGATCTCAGTTGATCTGAGAGACGGCCGGCCCTGCAGAATTGGTCGTAGATGAATAATGAATCGCAGTTGGGGGATTGGATGTCGCCTTCGCTATGTTGCGATCGGGATTGCGAGAGACATGTCAGCCAAATAGGCCGGCAAGAGTAGTATATGCACGTTCCCATATCAGTTATTAGTATAGCTTAATTATTACAGCAGGCTCTTGCGAGGTCGTTTGCCTGCTGATGTCTCCATGAAGCCATAGAGTCCACATTGTTCAGCGTTATCAATAACTGATGGATAAGATATGGGCCAAGAAATCCAAGAAGCCTCACCATTGCCAATTTCATTGGTCAATAGATCATCTCTGAAGACTTCCACAGCCTGACCTAGGGCATTGAAGAAATGCAAGACTCGCACACTATGAAGATTTCAGGCTTGATGGCTATACCCGTTGACGCCTCAGGCGACAAGGCACTCACTGTGGTCTGGACTGCCAAGCCGGACAAACTGCCACCGCCTTCCGATTTTTTTTTTGAGTCCCGATATCATCGCAAAAAAATTGGAGAAGTTCAACGAGTCTACAACTTGCTAAAATGGGCTCCTCTACTACTCAACTTACCTCCAAGGTAGCCTCTGGCTCACCTTACCAGCTCGACAAGCCCCAGGTTAGTACCGATGACCCCCGAGATGCAATTGCGCGAAGTACTTATCGGACTCGAATTAGGCCCTCAAAGCTTCGTCGGCGCTGTTGAAGCACATCAAGTCCTCCCAGGACGAGAAGGAGAAGTCTGCGACCAAGAAGACTTTGATTGGTGATGACTCCGATGACGAGGATAGCGCCATCAAGAACGAGGCCATCTGGCTCGTCCTCACCACCAAGCAGCACGTGGTGGACAAGAACCGCCTGAAGCCCGGCAAAATCGCTCTTCCTCACTCTCTCAACACATCTCCCTCGCTCAGCATCTGTGTGATCACTGCCGACCCCCAGCGCGGTGTTAAGGACATCATCGCCGACTCCTCTTTCCCCCAGACCCTTTCCGGCCGCATCGAAAAGGTCATTGGCTTCTCAAAACTTAAGGCCCGCTACCAGAGCTTCGAGAGCCGTCGCCAATTGTTCTCCGAGCACGATGTCTTCCTGGCTGATGACCGCATCGCCATGCGCCTTGTTCAGACCCTTGGCAAGATCTTCTACAAGTCCAGCAAGCGTCCTATTCCCATCCGTATCGCCGAGATCGAGAAGGTCGATGGCAAGCGGGTCAAGAAGGATCCCAAGAAGAACAACAACTCCAAGGAGGAGGAGAAGAAAGCCTCCTTCGCTGCTCCCCTGATTGTCGCCAAGGAGATCGAGCGCGCCCTGAACTGCGCTCCCGTCCAGCTTGCTGCTTCCACCACCGCTTCCGTCCGCGTCGGTTCATCCAAGTTCACCCCCGAGCAGCTGTCCGACAACATCGCGGCTGTTGTTAACGGTCTGACTGAGAAGTTCGTCGTTAAGGGCTGGAGGAACATCAAGGCTCTGCACATCAAGGGAGCCAACACCATGGCCCTGCCCATCTGGCTCGCTAGTGAATTGTGGGTCGAGGACTCCAACGTGTTGGAGGCCGCCCCTGAGACCGAAGCTATCAAGGACTCCAAGAAGCGCAAGTCTACTGGCGACGGAAAGCTGCTTGAGGAGAACAAGACCAAGAAAACCAAGTCCGCAGATGATGAAGAGGAGGCCGCATCAGTGGCCGCCCGGAAGGAGAAGCTCCAGAAGCTCAAGGCTCAGGCTCTCGAGGATGGCGACACAAGCAAGGCCGCCGCCCCGAAGATTGCGGGCAAGAAGAAGAGAAAGTCGACTTCATAATGGTTTTAGCTCTAATGTTTCTGCATGTAAAGGTATTTCTGGCGTACAAAATATCACGTGTGTCTATTGTTTCTACAGTCATATATTACGCTAGCAATTGAGATCAAATGATTCAGCCAAAATTAAACTCTCCAACTTCAACGAGACATAATCAAGTAGATCAATTCCTCCCATTATCGTTCTTGATCAGCCTATATGATCACCGCGTTAACCGAGTCCGACCTCGGGAGGCGGTCTTGGCATCCCGACGATAGCCACCATCACATCACCGTGAATCGCCGAGCTTCAATCTTGACCTTTCCACATTGAAAGAACAACGACGATTTCTTCACCAAGTTTTCAACATGATTCCAATCGCCAGGCACTCTGTCCTGCGGGCTGCCCGCACCCAGCTTTATCCCACCCGCACACTGAGCCAGTCGGCGCTCGCCCGCCTTCTCTCGACCCTCGCAGTCCTCGAGCAGCGTGATGGCAAGCTGCAGTCCTCGTCCTTGTCCGCAATCGCGGCTGCACAGAAACTCGGTGGCTCAGTAACGGCCTTCCTCGCTGGTTCTGGTGTCAAAGCTACCTCCGCTGCCGAGGCTGCTAAGATCAAGGGCATTGAGAAGGTCCTGGCTGTTGAGAACGACGCCTACGAGAAGGTACAACCCATTCTATATACAGCGACTGTTGTATTTCAAGAAGCAACAGCTAATGTTCGACTTTTGCGACCTGCAGGGCCTCCCCGAAAACTATGCGCCTCTCCTCGTTGAGAATATCAAGAAGGGCGAATTCACCCACATTGTCGCCGGCCACTCCGCCTTCGGCAAGAGCCTGCTACCCCGCGTGGCCGCTCTCCTGGATGTGCAGCAGATCTCAGATATCACCGGCATCGAGAGCGAGGACAGTACGTGTACCCCGACGAAGAATCCTGACATGTGATACCGCCAGCCACTAACGCCGACACAGCCTTCGTCCGCCCCATCTACGCCGGCAATGCTATCCTGACCGTCCAGTCTACTGACAATATCAAGGTGATCACGGTGCGAGGCACCGCCTTCCAAGGCGTCGAGACCGAGGGCGGTTCCGCCGAGATTGCCGACGGAGCGGACCCCAACGCCCCCGCCTCGACCGAGTGGGTGTCTGAGGAACTGGCCAAGTCTGAGCGTCCCGACCTCGCCACTGCCACCCGTGTCGTGTCGGGAGGCCGTGGATTGAAGTCCAAGGAGGAGTTCGACCGCATCATGCTTCCGCTGGCGGACTCGCTTGGCGCTGCTATTGGTGCTTCGCGTGCTGCTGTTGACAGTGGTTTTGCCGATAACAGTCTGCAGGTTGGTCAGACTGGTAAGAATGTTGCGCCTCAGCTTTACCTCTGTGCTGGTATCTCTGGTGCTATTCAGCACTTGGCTGGTATGAAGGATAGCAAGGTCATTGCTGCTATTAACAAGGATCCTGAGGCTCCTATCTTCCAGGTAGCTGATGTTGGCCTTGTTGGTGATCTCTTTGAGAAGGTTCCTGAGTTGACTGAGAAGGTGAAGAGCGCATAAGCTGGCTGCGATTGTTTGTTTCTTTTTGTATCATGACCTATCGAGCAGGCTGGTGCTTTTTTTTGTCTGTTAAATCAACCGTACAGTATACCATTGACTAGAGGGTTAGAGCTATCTTTGGCTTTCTAAATCTAACATTTTCTTCAAAAAATTTTTTTTTGGGTGTCTTTTGATATTGCCGATGTCGCCGAGTAATCTTATTTTGTATAGGGTAGATATGGTTACATACTTATAGCCCGATGCATAGGATTATGGCTCAATCCATATCTGTTCTACATGTTCTAAGTCTTATTCTCAAGACAAGTACATAGCTCAGAGACCGCAAATGTGAAGTACTATGCTTCCAAATCGGGACTAGCGCGTCTCTCTAGCACGCGTCGCGTCTTTATCAGAGGGGAATTACATCGGACCTTCAATTCACGGACATGACAAGTCCGAATGCTTGAATGCTTCCCTCGTCGCCATCATTTTTGTCCTCATTCGATCCCGCCCTTCACCTCCACTCCGAAGGTCCTGGCAACGCTGACACCGCCAACCCTCCATCTGAATCATTCTCCGACGACCTTGAGGCAATTCACCAGCACCACCTCGAACAAACACGAAATCGAGTTGTGATTCAGCACCGGGCTTGGGATTTATCGGATGTGTTTCGCAGCGAGGACGATATAAGACCCGGTTCGTTACTTCAACATCAATTTCCCAAGTTGTATACTGACCGGAATCGAGCAGATACGCCCACGAAGAATACCGCTACAACACCCAGAGAAATTGGCCGTACTTCCATTCGGAATTTATCATTTATCCCTTCCTCACCACCCGTTTCAAAGATGCCGTTCATTTCATCACCCGGCGCGCTCGCATCTGACAACGCCGCCAACGATGCGCAGAAGAGAAAGGCCGTAGAAGTGGATGAAGGCCCGAAATCGGCAGAGCCAAAGCGACAGCGCATGGTTGGAGGTTTCGTCGATGACGACGATGATGACGATGACGACGTTGCCGCATTACGCGATGAGCACATGAACAGTCAACACGACTTGCCGGACCATTTTTTCCAGGAACCCGCATCGACCTTGCCTGGCATACCGCCAGTGCAGAAGCCCACGGTAGCAAATAAGAATATCGACTCCACGCCAAAGGCTTCTCACCAACTCCCCTTATTAACACCACGACCTGCGCCGACAGCCCCCAAAAGGTTCCAGATCAAGACATGTGCCGGCAAGACACACAGTATTTCTACCAAAAAGGCCCTGGCTCCTGTCTCTTACGAACAAATGATTGCTAGTCGGTCTGAGACAGAACCTGGAAAGGCCAAGAAGAGTTATTACGGCATCGACATACACCAATTGCTAGATGATGCGGCCAAGGAGACGGAGGCAGGGAAGACAGCACCCAAACCTCAAGTCCAGGAGAGCATTGAAACGAACAACGTGACTTCCAAACAAAAAAAGATTGACTCTGCAATGTGGACCGAGAAATACCGGGCTCGCAAGTTTACGGATCTCATTGGAGATGAGCGTACCCATCGAGGAGTGCTTCGCTGGTTGAAGGGGTGGGAGCCAATCGTGTTCCCAGGCCTGGCAAAATCTAAAGCGAAAAGGGCTGCCCAGAAGGATGAAGATGAATTTGCGCATCGAAAAGTTCTTCTGTTGAGTGGTCCTCCCGGTCTCGGGAAGACCACACTGGCGCATGTATGTGCCAGGCAGGCTGGTTACGAAGTCCTTGAAATCAACGCCAGTGACGACCGCAGCAGGGATGTAGTCAAAGGCCGCATTCGCGATGCGCTGGGAACAGAGAATGTCAAGGGTATGAATGTTGAGGTCGGCGAGAAGAAGGTCCGCCGCGCCGGCAAGCCCGTCTGTGTTGTTGTTGATGAAGTCGATGGTGTCGTTGGTGGCTCTGGAACCGGCGGAGAGGGTGGCTTTATGAAGGCCCTAATTGACCTCGTCTTGCTTGACCAACGAAACTCGAAATGGTCTGCAGAAAACAACGGCGGTAAGAAACGCAAAGGTGATAACTTTAGATTTATGCGGCCGTTGATCTTGGTTTGCAATGATCTTTATCACAGCAGTCTTCGGCCTCTACGGGCATCATCCATCGCGGAGATGATTAGTGTTCGCCAAGCGCCCCTGGAGAACGTTGTTCAGCGAATTAAGACGATTTTCGTCCATGAAGGAATCGCTTGCGATAGTGATGGTGCCCGCAGGCTTTGCGAAGCAGCCTGGGGTCTGGCCAGCAGAAAACAGCGCAGCGGCAGGACTACCGGATCTTCCGAGGGAGATATCCGTAGTGTCCTCGTTGCCGCAGAATTTGTGGCACGTAAACTCCGAAACGAATCTTTGCCCTCATCACTCAGACTCAGCCGAAATTGGCTTGAGCAGCGAGTCCTCAATGCATCAGCTGAAGGAAGCTCTTTCTTCAAAGAGCTAAGTCGGGGCGGTGTTCGTGAGATCGTGAACCGTGTCTTTACAGAGGGTGCCGGATTCTCAGATGCACCTGTCGGCATGAGTTTCCAAGATCGTTTCGACGGCCCTAACAGCCGTGTCCCCGTCGGCGTCGCAGATCTGCGCAAGCGACACGCCATCAACCGACTACGGGAGATGGTAGATTCCAGCGGTGACCAAGACCGCTGTGTCGCGGATTGTTTTACCTCGTATCCTATCCAGCAATACCAGGATGACAATTACTTCTCCAAGCCCAACACAGCCCACGACTGGCTTCATTTCCACGACACGATGTCTTCAAAGGTCTACTCGTCTCAAGAATGGGAATTGATTCCATATCTCAGCCAATCGGTCGTTGCTTTCCATCATCTATTTGCCACGGCTGCAGGCAGAACTGAGATTGAAAAGAATGATGACGAAGAGGAAGTTGAAGAGGCACATCCTTTCTCAGGACCTAGAGCCGATTTCGCTGCCTTTGAAGCACAGAAGGCGAACCGTGCCACCTTGACAGCGTTCCATAACTCCTTCTCAGCACCACTGGCCCGCATATTCCGATCATCTGAAAGCGTCATTACAGATTTAGTACCTCACTTGACCCGGATGCTCTCACCAGACGTGAAGCCAGTTATCATCCGCGGAAACGGGGACCAGAGGAGTTCCGCTAGCGTTCGAAAAGAGTCAGAACGGGCACTCGTCCAATCTGCGGTGGGTGTCATGAGCGGAATGGGAGTGACATTTGAAAAAGTCCGAGTTGAACAAGACGGAAACCATGGTGGATGGGCGTACAGGATGGAACCGTGAGTGAAACCCCGGGAACTATCCAATAATACTCCAACAGACGATGCTAACTTACGTCACAGACCCATCGACTCCCTTGTATATTTCTCAAAGACTAAAGGCAGTACAATTGAATCATCAGGTGGCACAGCGCCGGTCCGATATGCCCTACGCCAAGTCCTGGACCAGGAATACCGCAAAGCAACGACACGCAAGCAACCCGACGCATCCAAACTAGACGTGAAGGGACCCAGGAAATCGGATGATAGCGCCGCAGCCAAAGCAATCAGAGATGCAGCTGTTAAGCGTGATTTCTTCGGTCGAGTTGTTGAGGCGCCCGTGTCTCTGGCTACGGACTCTGAGGGTGCCGATAGCTGGGCGGATGAGTCTTCGAAGGCTGGTCGGAAGGTCTGGGTTACCTTCCACGAAGGATTCTCGAATGCTGTCCGCAAACAGATATCGATGGGGGAGTTGTTGGATGGGTTGTAATATAAGTTGAGTTTTGTATGAAGCATATGGTTTTCAGCGTTTGTCATGGTGTTTTGGGATTGGGGTTTGGCATTTGATACAGATGCATCTGTTTTATGATTACTGCAGTTTTATATGAGGCAATGCATGGCTCTACTCGGATAAGAAGTTGAGATGAAGACCTTTTATTCAATATAAGAAGAACAATGAAGTTGAATTAAATGACGAACCTAGATATCCTTTTGATTCGACCGTTGAAGTTCACAGAGATGATCACAAGAAAACTGGAAAGTAGACAAATAAAACAAAGAAACTGGACAAACTGTATAGAAAGTCATCATAAAGAAGAACACCCAGAGAAAGCCACAGAAATGCAAATATTAAGCGCGTAAGTGGTATCGTATCTAATACATCATTTCATCGTCGAGGTCGCAAGGCGAAAACGCGTCCACCAAGACAACAGACGCGCTAGGTATAAATCCAAAACAAAAAAAAATGAATCTCAAAATCAAAGACTTGAAAAAATGCAAAAGGAATCCCTCCCTCAAATCATTTCCATGAATGGATCAGGATTTGAAGGATGCAGCCAATCCCACATGCATCAGGCCCAAGCTTAACGCAGGGCCAGATAGGTTGCAACAGCCTCATGGTGAATAGCCTTCTGGGCCTGATAGGGGTCGGGCTTGGGCTTGTATTCGGTTGTGGTTTTTGAGGGTAGCAGGGAGGACCACTTCTTCTTTGACGCGGCATCGGCTCCCTTGAGGGTCGATGCTGTTGAGATTGTGGAGGTTGTAGATGCGGCGCTAGACATGGTCTTTGTAGATGACTTGGAGGAGGAAGTGAAAGGCATTTTGATTGGAGGTAACGCGGCGGCGCGGCGTCGTATTTTAGAGTAATTGGATGGTGTTGGGTTGCGACGGTTGGGATGGTAGTGTGATGGTTGATGAGAGAGGTTGATGGGTTGATGTAAACGAGGTATAGTATAGAAGGTTGGCTAGAGGGGGAAACTGGCCGAAACGAGAAGTAGCTCTGTTGGATCTAGCTGATGATCTTGAAGTGTACTGGAATATGATCCTTTTTTCTACGGGGATGATCTAGGGCTTTATATGGAGATCCTGCTGATCATTCCTAACATCATTTACTCCGTGACTCGGACATGCTATGACGCTAAGAGGAAAAAAAAAAAAAAAGGCTGATACATTGGACTCAGACCCACGGGCGTGACTACAGTCGAAAAGACGCTACATGGCATGTAACAGCTCTAGAATCGACGTCACAGCCTCATGTATGTGGGGCGGAGGGTCGGAGTAAAGTTCGGAGTTCAGAGTTTGTCGAATAAGCTGCAAGAAAGAGGCCTTCGAAGGGCGTACATGACAGGCCAAGAGCCTCTGATAAATCAAGTTGCTTAGAATTCCTCCGATATTGACCATGTTGGGACCAATAGCCCGTGTCTATCGTCTTGCCTAAATGACGACCCCGACCAGAACGGCGTCCCAATTGGGCAATTCTCGAACAAGGCTTCGTGTATGGCCATTTATGACTCGTTAATCGTTCCGAGTTGAGAAGTATAATGCGAAAGGGCGCGGTAGATTAGCATTTGTGTGGGTCTAGTTCTTCTCTGAGCCACATTTTCGACCTAAGCCTGACGCTAATGTGCTATAACCACCTAGACATAATCACATCGGTCCGAAAGTCTGTACAGAGTACTTTGATCTCCGAGGATCGTGTGTTGGGGATCTGGACTCACGACCGATCCTCTCGGTTTTTCTGTTAGAAGTAGGACCCTCGTTGGATCATTGGAGTCTCGAAATTGTTGTGTGATGGTGACCTTTAACTCGGGAGTAAAAACGGCTTGCATTAGTTATTGGTAAGAACCTTGGAATGCGAGGGCTAGGTGTTTCTAAAGACGATCATAAGAACCCGACGCAGTACGTGTTATGACATATGACTTTTGATTTCCAATCGTCTAAGCTTAGATTCTAGGCGGTCATTTACGAAGAGTGGCTTGAAATGACTCAAACCGCGGGGTTATTTTCGGAATAGCCTCCAGGCATTCACATCAAGGCTCAACTGATCCGAGTCGGATGATCCGAAGTATATTTCTATTGGAGAGTTTCAAGGAAAGGGTACAATCCTGGAATGAAGTGGTAAGAGTGTGGAGATATAACTGTACAGGTTCTGGCCAGTAGTCCGATCTTACTCCGACATCTATTCCGACATATGGCTTTTTTAGTCCGACATTCAGTCCGAAGGATGTGATCTAATTATATCCAATCAATCATGACTTGTACACGCATTTAGGCTGCTAATTACATACATACACGCAATGTATCAGGCCAGCCTACACGTAGCTTTTAGGACGCTACAAGCTATACATGTGCCCAGATGCCCATCGGAGTACCCTGCAGGATTTTAGTCCGGTCGACCAGGGCGTTAGTTAGCACAACCTTTTTCTCACTGCATCTGTTGATTGTCGCCATTTCTATCCTCTTCAAGTGAGTCCCGTGGAGCTGAATGCTATTCATTGATCTACAATAAATCCACCACTGCGCAATCTTCTACTCTATCTAGCGCTATGTGGTCCTGGGAGTTGGTCTTATCCACCACATGCCCACTTTCACGAACATGGTGCAGCGGTCGCGTTTTTGGGCCTTTTTTTTTTTTTTTTTTTTTGGCAAGGACGATGAGAGGACAGTAATAGCCGGGCGATGCGTCACATATACTTGCAAAATGAAGAGTCATTCACCCTTGCGATCTTCAGACCGCCAGTCTTGCAGCTCAAAGAGTTTAAATGGTCCAGCAACGTTACCAAAGCTTACCAAAGCCAATGCTGAAACACTTTAAGTCCTGTCCCAGTCCAATTGACCAGACTTGGCTCTGACATAAATAACACTGGTCATTGTACACGCCACTACGATCAACCGTCTCCAATGTTGTCGATCTTAAAGAGCTTTGACATCATCAACTCCGGAGGCCCGTCCCGGACATTCTTGACACTGATTATTCAAGTTACCGATCTCTAAACATATTTTTGCCGTTCAAAATCGCTGGAATATGCAAGGAAGCCCTTGAAGAATATTAGATTACCAAGCATTGCGGTGTTCCATTCACGGTACAATTCCGCACCTGAAGTCTCCGAGGTCCCCGGAGTGGTCAGCCATTTGTCATCTATGACCGAGCGCGATTAGATTATGGTGGGGGGCAGTCCTGGAGGCCTTGGAATGATTTAAAGAGCGTCCAATTCCTCCTTAGTAGCTCATTCTAACCCGCATAAACCTGCATAATCACAATGTCTCTCAAGCCCATCACTGTCTACGGCCACGCCGGGGGTCCCAATCCCTGGAAGGTGATCATGATCCTCGAGGAGTTGAACATCCCCTACACCCATAAGCTCGTCGATTTCCCAGACATGAAGAAAGAACCATTCGAATCAATCAACCCCAACGGCCGAGTCCCTGCAATTGAAGACCCCAACACCGACTCCACCCTCTGGGAATCCGGCGCCATCGTCGAATACCTAGTTGAGACCTACGACAAGCAAAACACCATCAGCTTTGCCCCTGGCTCAAAAGAGTACTTCCAGGCCAAGCAATGGTTGCACTTCCAGGTCTCCGGTCAAGGCCCATACTTCGGCCAGGCCGTTTGGTTCACTCGGTACCACCCGGAGAAGATTCAGAGTGCAGTCGACCGCTATGTCAAGGAAATCCGCCGTGTTACCGGTGTGCTTGACCGCGCGCTCCAGGGCAAGGAATATCTCGTTGGAGATAAGTACAGCTTTGTTGATGCTGCCTTTGTGCCGTGGTATGCTATTACTGCCATGTTTGAAATTAATATCGAGGAGGAGTTCCCCAATACCGCTGCTTGGTTGAAGCGCGTGCAGGAGCGTCCTGCTATTGCCAAGGCTATTCAGGACCGGGCTGAGACTATGGCGAAGCACTAGACGAATAGCTTTGCTGCTATTATCATTAGAATTTCCGATCTTAGGGCAACAATATACAGTTGAAATATCTAAATGTCTCGATGAAAACCCCTTAAGATGTCACGTGTTAACTAGCGATATATACACTGGTAATCGTTGAATAGTGACTTCCACTGACTCGTGCAATTTGAACATAGTCGTGACGCTTAATATGTCTTGACTTTATTTGCGAGTAGAAGAAATAATCCTGACCAAGATATATCAGTCTGACCCCAGGCTATTTAAACATCGCTTTGGGCATGGCACTGAGACCAAGCTCGTGGAGTGATGGCCTTGTATGAACGTGTTTTAGATCTCTATCTCAACACAACCACTTGGATATTCTTCAACCCACTAGGTATCCGCATTGGTCCTCTGAAACATATACTTCTGAACAAAATGTCCACGTGACCAAACACTATACACTAGACCAAAAGAGGCTAGTGGCGATACAGCTCTTGGCGCTCACCGCGAGTTTTGCGTGTCGCGACATCAACTTCCCCCAGCTGTCCCCATACCCAATCATCACTTTCGGCATCGTTTTCCATCTTACACAGGCCCCATTTCAAGCCATTGTTGGCCCTTTACTCTTGGAACTCGCAACCCAGTTGCGCTTTGCAAGGACAGATTGACAGACGGGCAAGGAGTTGACCGGCCGACCGCGACAACCTGCTTTTGATCAATCATGGACGACACTTACAACAACCCAACCGGGGCGCCAGATAATGCTCAGTCCATGACTGGCATGGATGCCGCAGCGGATGCCAACCGCCCCCCAGCCATGCTTCAGGTATGTCCCTTAAATGCCCCAACGTTACATCGCATGCTCATACAATTGAATAAAGCGCAATCGCACCAGGATTCGCCTGTGAAGAAGGTTGAAGACACCGCTGGATCTGACGACCCGCTAGACGCCCCCGCATCCCCGAAACCCCAGAACGGCGGATCTGAACCCCAAGACGCCGAGATGGGTGGCACCGAGACCGATGCCAAGCTTGACACCGAAGGATTGGAGGATGCAGTGGGCGAATCGCACCCGCCAGTTGAAGGAACCGAGGGGCTTGAAGATGCCGTGGGAGAAGAGCAACCTGCACCCACCAAATCGTCTCTGGAAGCCGCCGCGCGCGAACAGCTCGTCACTCAAACACACGCCATTATCCTTCCCAGCTACGCCACATGGTTCGACATGAACACTATTAATCACATTGAAAAGAAAGCTCTTGCCGAGTTCTTCAACGGTCGCAACCGCAGCAAGACGCCTGCTACCTATAAAGATTACCGTGACTTCATGATCAACACCTACCGACTCAACCCCATCGAGTATTTGACCGTTACTGCCTGCCGTCGTAACCTCGCGGGTGATGTGTGCGCTATTATGCGTGTTCACTCATTCCTTGAGCAGTGGGGTTTGATCAACTACCAGGTGAGCAACCTTGCGCTCTTCTTCGAAGCCCCCGTGCTAACTTCCGCAGGTTGACCCTCAGACACGGCCTTCAAACATTGGCCCACCTTTCACCGGCCACTTCCGAGTCGTTGCCGATACCCCCCGCGGCTTGCAGCCATTCCAACCTGGACCTAACCACAGCGTGACATCTGGAAAAGCCCTCCCCGCCACCCAGCGTGCTGCCTCCTCTACCCCTGCACTCAAGGACGATCTCAACCTCGAACTCCGCCGCGGCATCTACGATGAAAAGATCAAAGACACTAGCGACAAGGAGAAGCAGACAAATGGCGAATCCAACGGTGTGGATGTTGCCCAGGAACCCAAGAAGAGATCACACTGCTTCTCTTGCGGTATTGATTGCACGAAACTTCGGTTCCACTACGCTAAGTCGACTGCGACGTCAGCCAATGCCAGTGTGCCAGATACCAAGTATGACTTGTGTCCCAACTGCTTCCTGCAAGGAAGAATGCCTTCCAGCCATAACGCTTCGGACTTCGTCAAGCTTGAGGACAAGTCCCACTCTCACGTCCCTGACAAGGACACCCCATGGTCAGACTCGGAACTGGTCTTGTTGCTGGAGGGCCTGGAGAATTTTGACGAGAACTGGGAACAAATTGCGAGCCATGTTGGTACCCGGACTCGGGAAGAGTGTGTCATGAAGTTCTTGCAATTGGAGATTGAGGACAAATACATTGAAGACACTCCCGATCTGCGCTCTGGAAGCGGACGTGACCCCATCAGCCAGTCCGAGAACCCGGTGCTTTCTGTGGTGGCCTTCCTGGCCCAGATGGCAGAGCCCTCAGTGGCTGCCGCCGCGGCTGGCCGTTCCGTCGACGAAATTCGCAAGGAGCTGCGTGCCCAACTGGAGAAGGGATCCGACAAAGGAAAGGGTTCAGTCAAGGCAGAGGACTCCATGGACGTGGATCCTGAGGCTGAGCAGCAAGTTTCTGAGAAGCCCAAGGAGTCACTCGGCACCATCGCTCTGGCCGCGTCTGCCGCCCGCGCCGGAGCTCTTGCCTCCCATGAGGAGCGCGAGATGACTCGTCTAGTCTCTGCTGCCGTCAACGTGACCCTGCAGAAGTTTGAGGTGAAGCTCCAGCAGTTCAACGAGATGGAAGAGATCATCGAAGCTGAGCGCCGGGAGCTTGAACAAGCTCGCCAGCAGCTCTTCCTGGACCGGATGACTTTCAAAAAGCGCGTCAAGGAGGCCCAGGATGCTCTCCAGACCGTCAGCCTGCAGGGCCCCAATGAACACACTAACTCCATGTTGGCCGATGCCGCTACCACTGGCCTCGGGCATCACTACAGCTTCCAACCTGTGGGTGGAGACATGCGAGTTGGAGCCCAGCCTCTGAGCGCTCAGGCTGGTGCCGACTACAAGACGCTTGATCTGTAGCTTTGCCCAATAAATGTACGATATCATCCCATGGATCTATACAGAGGGAGCTGCTTTTTCGTCTCGTTGAGTTATGAATATTCTGAACTTTCTGGCTAGGAAAAGGCGCACTTTGATTTTGTTCTGTTACCTGTTGGAGTTCTTTTTCTTGATTCACCCTCTCTCCAGAAAGTGGATTGTTCTCAAAGGGGTAGAACTAGGGGTTGGGAATATCTTTTCTTTTTTTAACATCAATGTGTTTACTTTTCTCTAATCATATGTCTTTGATGGAATTCCTTGATGAGAGTAGCGCTAGAGGGTATAGTCGTTGAGGTATAGTACATGTCATTCTGCCGGTTTCTGATCAAACTTCTGATCAAGAGGTTGCCCATACTGTGTACGATAGTAGTCAAGCCAGCTCTCTCCACCAGCTGGCCCGGTCTGCTCACCTGCAGACTCCTCCCCATCATCATCATCATCAGCAGCCGAAGAACTCTCGTCGATAATGATTGACCCTTGGGAGGGAGACGAGGGTTCATTGAACCTGGCCCTTTTCCGCGGATGCATTTCCACTTCCGCCTCCAGGTCGGGGAAGTCATATCCATATTCCTCCCAATCACTGCGATAGAGAGTCCGGGCCCGCCAGTCGACGATCTCTTCTCTGGCCCGGCGTTCTGGAAGCTGCTTGGATGCTTCATCCTCGGCGTCTTCTGCTTTGATAGGTTCGACGAGATGGGATGGAATGGGTTGCTCGATGAGCCTCAGAATATGAGCCTCTTCGCGACGATCGTGACTCGCGTCTACCATCTCTGCATGCTCTTCTTCTGGGTCCATGGCTAGTTCGTCTGGGTGTGATGTTGGTGATGAAGGGTGAGGGAGTTCTTGGGATTCTTGAGTGGGCAAGGGATCTGGATTAATATCCTCTTGATCGTCGTCTTCCATGTTATCATCCTCGTAGTCGTCTTCACCACTGTCGTCTTCGTCTTCGCTATTCCTATCCGCGCCATCTCCACCTTCCCCATTCTCGCTATTCTCCAGTGCCCTTTCATCCCTCCAGGGCTTGAAATAATCTTTGTCTTCTGTCAAGATCCTCTCCGCCTCCTCGTAGCTGAAAGTTTTGGGCACCCAGCCTCTGCGATGTCGGCTGTCTGATATAACCAATTGATTCTGACGAGCGATTTCCACGAAGCTGGGTGATTTGTGCTTCATGTTGAGCACCTCTATGGCAGCGCGCACATCTTGCGTTCGGACAGCGTTGGCTCTATCACGGCCACGACGACTCATCGTGCGCAATCGAGACATGGCAAAGAAGAGGGATGACTGGACCAGACGACGTGTGATGCTGACAGTAAGAGCGTAGAAGTCAATGACACTACCTGCAGTCATGGACGGCATTTGGTGACGGGCGGTGACATTTGTCGGCGATGTAGAAAGGTTCCACCAATTATCCTCTATCCGTGAGCCACCGTAATTCATGAGCAGATTTCGAGACATCCGAATCCAATCTGGAAGGTCGAGCAAATCGGCTGCTAGGCGTAGGTCACCCCGAGCTGTGCTGCCCTCCTCGTCCTCAACGAGATCCCGAGCACGGGATTCAGTGATAATCCAGTTGTCCCCGTGCTGCGACTTTCCAGCTGCAGTTTCAGTAAGAGTCTCCTTGAGTACCATGACATCCGCATATTCATCAAGAAGCCCAGTAGATTCCTGGCTGATCTGCGCAGCCGAGGGAAATTCACCCATGATGGCTGCTCTGGCATGTCGATCGGACAAATTATGGGCCTCCATTTTTTGATGCAAAAGCCTGATATATTCCATAACTTCCAACTCAGACTTGGTACCAATTGCAGCAGCAAGCTCTTTGATGCCGCCCTTGCCTTTCCGGTCGAGGCCATTGAAGAACACCTCTTTTTCCGTAGATGTCCAGACCACGGATCCATGCTGACTGACTTCGTATACCTCCTCATCCTCCCTGGTCGAAGCATAGTCATAATCGTTCTCTATTTCGGTGAGAAGCTTGTTGTAGGGTCCGAGTAAGGTGAGCGATGCGCGTATTAGCGGGGCGCGCGACCCAAGCACTTCGCCGAGTCCCCGTTCAACCTCGTCGGTAACATCGTCGGAGCTGGGCTCATTATTTTCGTGTTGTACTATTTCATTTATAGTTTGTTTGGGAGTCGGAGAGCGTCTGTTGGATGCGCGCGGTTCAAAGTCGGACTCGGACTCGGCATCGTCGGGCTCATAGGAAGTGTCGCTCATCGTTCGGGCTCGCAGATTCGCAGCACATGCGGTATATTTGGAAGCAGAACATCACAGCTGCCTCCAAACCAGATTGAGATAGGCGAAAGTTGTCGACTGTCGAAAGGTCAAAAAAAGTTGGAGAGCTGAGATCCACTATCGATAAGATATTTGCACTGTTTGCTCTGATTATCCTTGAGCTTCGCAACGAGCAACTTCAACCTCTGCATGGAGTTCTTACGCTGTGTCTCGCGATTGAGACTTCCGGGGAAATATTTGGCAAGGAGGCCTCTGGTGCTGAGTTTGTCGCATCATGTACGGTTTAATTCGACCAAGCCCTCCCTCCCAACGGGCATTGTGCTTCGCGACTACCAAGAAGAGGCCATTCAATCCGTTTTGAAGTACTTGGGCGAAGGCCACCGGCGCCTAGGAATCTCACTTGCAACAGGAGCTGGAAAGACAGTAAGGGAAGCCTTCCTCTCCTATCAAGCATAGCACTGACTCCCCGCAGGTGATCTTCACACAGCTCATCAACCGAATCCCTCCGCGAGATGCGAGAGCCACCAAAACCATGATTATTGTACATCGCCGGGAACTCGTTGATCAAGCTGCAAGGCACTGTCGTCTCGCATATCCAGACAAACTGGTGGAAATCGAAATGGGCAAGGATACTGCGACAGGCGCAGGGGACATTATCATCGCGTCAGTACAGACATTATCGCGCGGGCGCGTTTACAAGTTCGATCCTAGCGCATTTAAGCTCGTATTAGTGGATGAGGCACATCATATTGTTGCAAGGTCATACCGCGACGCTCTGGGACACTTTGGATTGAACGAGCAATCTGCAAATGGACCAATATTGGTGGGTGTCTCGGCCACTTTTTCGCGGTTTGATGGTCTCAAGTTGGGTGCGGCCATTGATCATATTGTCTATCACAAAGACTATGTGGATATGATCCGCGAGAATTGGTTGGCAAACGCCGTCTTTACGACTGTCAAGTCTGGGGCCAATTTGTCCAAAGTCAAGAAAGATAATTTCGGGGACTTTGCTCTGGCCTCACTTTCCGAAGCTGTTAATACCGCAACCATAAACAGTATCACAGTTCGTGCTTGGATGGCGAATGCTGCAGAACGAAAGTCTACATTGGTCTTTTGCGTTGATATTGAGCACGCACGTCAGCTCACTGCTACCTTCCGTGACCATGGTGTTGATGCAAGGTATATCACTGCTAGCACCCCTAAACGTAAGCGCGCAGAAGAGCTACGGGCTTTCAAAGACCAGGAATTTCCAGTCTTGTTGAACTGTGGTCTTTTCACAGAGGGCACAGATATCCCAAACATCGACTGCGTGCTTTTGGCTCGACCGACCAGATCTCGGAACCTGCTCATCCAAATGATTGGGCGTGGACTTCGGCTGTTCCCTGGAAAGAAGGATTGCCATATAATAGACATGGTAGCCTCCCTGGCAACCGGAGTCCTATCGACACCGACTCTATTCGGCTTAGACCCGGATGAAGTCCTGGACAACTCCAGTGCGGAAGATATACAAGAGAAACTGGACAAGCCCAAGGAAGAAGCACCCGGCCCTGATATTGCTGAGCTATATGACGGCTCAGACAACGACTTGAAACTCCAATTCACAACATATGATAGTATCTACGACCTCCTAGGAGACATGCAATCCGAGCGACATATCAGGTCACTAAGTCCGCACTCTTGGGTCCGAGTCGGCGACGACAGATACATGCTTTCTGATGCATCCGGCTGGATGACAATCGAAAAAGACGACGACTTATTCACCGCACACCACGTCATGAAATTCAAGGACCCAATAAAGGAAGTCCTGCAATACACGCGCCCGCGCAAGGTTGCTTCCGGGCCTGATTTGGAGACCATTGTGAGGTCGGCAGATACCTATGCCAATAGCAAATTCGATCAGCATTACATATCCACTCGGAAGCCTTGGCGACGGGCCCCGGCAACACCTGGTCAGATCAAGTTGCTGAATGCAGCTCGTATTCGTGACCGCACAGTAAAGGAGGAAGATCTGACTCGTGGCCAGGCAGCTGATATGATCACGAAGCTGAAATATGGGGGCAAGAAACGCTTCAAGGATTTGGAGACTGAGAAGCGGAAGAAGCTGCGGCAAGTGGATGATATGGATAAGCTGCAGAGAAGGGTCGATGTGAAGGTTGGGCCTGTGGAGGGTTGACCAGGCAATCTGTGTACAATATTCATCTTCTTATACCCAGTTATGTTAGCATTTACTCTCCGTCGCAACTATCAGTATTCCAAATGACAACATAAGGGTCATCAATGATCGGGAAAAAGGTATGAAATTCGTAATAAAGAAAAGCTAAAGGCGCAAAAAGAAGAATCATCAAAGGAAGAATCATCAAAGATCGAGCGCCCCAACATGGAACAACCCATCTTGCTCTCGCGTTCATCAAGGGAAAGGCTTCCTCCCATAAACAACAACCCTACTCAAAAGTCAGCCTGCAAACCCTCACATCCGCAATAACAAAAGGACTCACTCTTTAACATAAGAACGCAAATGCATAACCCTCAACGGCTTCTTAACCATAGCCTGAAAGATACCCGCGGGCTGCTCCCCCCAACCAAGCACCTGCGTAAACATCCGCAAAGAATAAGACTCAACAGCCTGCTGAACCATACAAACCTTAACCGGTCCAATTGCCCAATTAGTGATGGATTAGGAATTCAAATGCAATGAAAGTATAAGGCAAAGTGGCTATTTGTGCACATACAACTCCATGAGAAAGCCCAATCAGAGAGACAACCGTGTAGTAGCAAGCATCTCCCATCATACATCTCTTTCTTCCCGCTCTTGGACACACAAATATCCTGAAAGGAACCAAAGGAATCAACCATCTATACTTTTAAAGCATGACAGCAAACACAATCAGGGTGCGGAGCGAGAAACAAGGCTAACCTAATCCCATTGATCCAGGTCCAGATGGTTGTGACTACGCACACAACCGGAACCCGTCCTATTTACCTCCACGGCCTTAGCAATACCTACAGCAAATGCCAAAACACCCGACAGATCACGGTGGTATTTGACTCCGAATTTCCCGGGATCTCCAGCGGGAGTTCGGCGGATGTCTCGAGATACCGGGATGCCGATATAGATCGGGAAACCGATACATGTGAACGGATCTGCTGTCAAGCAGATCAAACTCTCGGCTGGTGCGTAGAGCAGTCAGAAGGCAAGCAGTCAAAAGAGATGTCTGACGCAGTAAGTCAATGCACCGGGTCTAGAGTTGGCAATGCAGGTCCAGCAGGGGGTACGAAAGATAACAATGAAATATAGAGGGCAGCATAGGTGGCTGGTGCCATGTCAGGGTTAGGCATATGCATGCAGGGATGGTGGGTGGAATGGATAGACAGTGATCAAGCATACAGGCAGGCGAACATATAAAGAAAATGGCAGGATGTCTCAATCTCATGTTGAGGTGCAAGGTACAAGACCCGCCTAGTGGAAAGAGCCACGGCATGAATGAGAAGGGAAGTTCTGGTTTTGGTTGTCGCTAAGCAAAAGAAATGCATGTAGGATACAACCACAACTCTACAAGGTTGACAGTAACTACGACATGGAACACTACCAGGGAATATAATAACGAATGTTTGAACAGGAAATGTATTTTGTTCTCAGCGTAAGCATATGAAATTCATCAACACATCATAATATGCATCCATCAATAACAGAACCGAAGCGAACGGCTTAGATGTCATCCTCATCAGAGAAGACCTCCTCACCACGCTTGCGGCGGGCAGCACGCTCCTTCTTCTTCTTGCGGAGCTCGGAGCCTGTAAAGAGGGATAGGTTAGCAAATGTAAATTTGAGAGAAGTGAGATATTGCAATGTGACTTACCAGTAAGCTTGACCTTCTTCTGGACAGTGATCTTGTTACCCATGGCATCGAACTTGTCCTCGTCATCGTCACCCTTGGCGTCGAGACGGGGGCCGGAACCCTGACCCTGGACCCAGTTGTGTCCGGAGGGAGTCATGACACCGTCGTTGACAGCCCAGACTTCCTCAGTGAGGTTCTCAGTGAACTCACGAGAGTGAGTAATGATGACAACACCACCCTCGAAGGACTTGATGGCCTTGGAGAGGGCACCGAGGGAGTCACGGTCGAGGTAGTTGGTAGGCTCGTCGAGGACGATGACGTGGGGACGCTGCCACGAGCAAGCGGCGAGGACGACCTTGACACGCTGGCCACCGGAGAGACCGCGCATACGGGAGTGAGAGACCAGCTCGGCATCGAGACCGAAGTTGGCGCAGTGCTGCTCAATCTCCTTGCGGACAAGGGGACGGAACTGACCGGAGGCGAGGGCCTCCTTCTGGTCAACCTCAGCGACCTGCTTGGGGTGAGAGACAATGATCTCGGAACGGGGCAACCAGGTGTTGTCGTTGGACATCATGGGAACCCACTTCTCGGACTTCATGCCGATGTTGTCACCCAGAGACCAAGAGATCTCGTACTCGTAGGTGTTCTTGAACTTTCTGCGGGAGTGGATGCCAATGACACGACGCATGGTACCCTCGACCTTGTAGATCTTGTCCATGGCCTTCTCGTCCTCCTCGGTGACGATCTTGTTGGCGCGGTCCATGGTCTCACGGTCCTCACCGGTCTGGAAACGCCACTGAATGTACTCGGAGGGAGTGGAGTTCAGGTGGTTATCGATGTGAGCGAAAGCGTGCTGCTTGATGTAGGCAATACGGATGTTCTCGTGCTGGTAGACATCACCGGAGGTGGGGATAAGTTCACCAGTCAGGACGTTAACGAGAGTAGACTTGCCGGCACCGTTGGCACCAATGACAGCAATACGGGAACCAAGGGAGACCTGGAAGGTAATTCCGTGGATCTGGGGCTTGGGGGTACCGGGGTACTGGAAGGACATGTTGGAGACACGGACAATGGCCTTGGACTTGGTCTTGACACCCTCAAGGAAACCGGGCTCAGGGAACTTGAACTCCATGTCGGAGGCACCGAGCTCGTAGTAGGACTTGGCAGCGGGGTGCTGCTTGACGAAGTCGGAGAGGGTACCGCGGTAACGGCGGAGCTTGAAGCGCTCGTAGTGGACAACGTGTTGGATGACGTGGTCAAGGAAGCGAGAGTCGTGGGAGACCATGATGGAAGTGCAAGGGGAAGACTTGAGGTAGTTCTCGAGCCATGCGACGTTCTTGACGTCCAAGTGGTTGGTGGGCTCATCGAGCAGGAGAATATCGGGGCTCTCGAAGACGGCACGGCACAGAGCGAGCTTCATCTTCCAACCACCAGAGAGGGCGGTGATGGGACCGGAGATCTGAGAGGGCTGGAAGCCGAACTCGTTGACGAGCTTGTCCTCGAGCTCCTCAACGGGAGGGTGCTGGCCAACCTCGGCAAGCTTCTTCTGGGTCCAGGCAATGACGGTCTGCTCGGTATCGGCAGAGTCGAGGTCGTGCTCGACGTAGACGGTCTTGACCTCATCCTTCTTGGGGAAACCCTCGAGCTGCTCGTTGTTGATAGCGCGCATGAGGGTGGTCTTACCGGAACCGTTGGGGCCCAGGAGACCGTAACGCTGGCCACGCTTGAGGCGCAGGTGAGTCTGGTTCAGCAGAATCTTGGCACCGTAAGCCAAAGAGAAGGTACAGTTGCAAAGATCCTCACCCTCCTCCTCATCAGAGGGGATGGCATCGGCAGCCTCGGCGTCGGGGCAGGCCTTCTTGCGGAGAGCCTCAGCGACGTTCTTGGCGTCCTCCTCACCGACGATGGCGGTGATGTAGGGGAGGGTGTTCTGGGTCCAGATGACGTGGTCGGACTCCTTCTCGTCAACGAGCTGACCGGAGACGGCACCAATGTAGTTGATGATCTCCTCAGAGGTGGGGATGACGTCCTTGTGCTTGGAAGCCTCGAGGACCTCCTTGAGGATGGCAGCGATGGTGGAGATGTCACCAGCGCGGGAGACCTCGGGAATCTTGCCGTCCTTGACATCACCAACACGGGCGAGAGTGTCAAGAGCCTGGCGAGTCTTCTCACGGGCCTCGGGGTCGGCAAGGGTCTCGTAGTTCTTGTTCAGACCCGGCAACATCTTGGGCAGGAAAGGAGCGACGAGCTGAGGATCCTCGACAAGCTTACACATGTTGTCGACGATGACAGCGGTCTTACGCTTGATAGCGGTCTCACGCTCAACGAGACCACGGTCGAGCAGGGGAACCATGATAGCGAGAGTAGGGCTGGTCACGTCAGTGACGAAAGTGGTGGCACCGAGCAAGTGAATGGTCTCGGCGACGTTCTCGGGCTTAGCAATACACTTGATAAGCTCGGGAATGAAACGCTCAATATCCTTGTTGACAATGAGACCGCAAACCTTCTCCATGGTGGAGTAGGCGGCCTTCTTGATCTCGGACTTGGTGTCCCACATGGCCTCGGAGATGACGGGGATGAGAGTGGGAACCTGGTAACCGAGCTGAGCGGGGGCAGTCTCGACGAGGATGTTGATGCAGTCGAGAGCGGCCATCTTCTCGGGCCACTTCTGGGCGTTAGCCAGAGACTCGAGGAGAGGAGTGACAACGGCCTTGACGGCGTTGGGGTTGACGGCCTGGACGATGGCGATGGCGGCGCTCTGAGCGGCCTGCTTGACGGGGACCATCTTGTCACCGACAGCGGCGAGGACGGGGCCAAGGAGGGAAATGAGGTGGGGCTCAACACCGGGAGCGACTGTGTTGTGGGAGGCAATAGCCCGGATGCCCTCGCAGGCACGCTCACGGGCAGTAGCATCCTTCTTGTTGGCGAGCTGCTTCTTGAAGGTCTCGGCAGCCTTCAGGGGAAGGGTCTGCTCGGGGATGGGACCGGAGAAGAGAGTGGCAAGGTTGCCAGCAGCAGCGAGAGCCTCATCGGCGCTGGTGGAGATGTTGAGGTTCTTGATGAGGTCCTCGAGGACAGCGACCGACTTGGCGGTCTCCTTGCCAGTGGTGGCAGGAGAAGAGGCGACGTTTGCGGCAGGCATTTTGGAAGAAATTTTGGCGGTTTTCGTAGAAAAACGGGGAAGGGAGTATTAGAGTAAAGAAAGAAGAATCCTTCCTTTTTTTTCTATGAGGGGTATCTTTTTTTTTGAGCAACAAGCCCAACAGCGTCCAAAGATCAGACGCGACGCTCAAAGATTAGAGCGGGGGGTATTTCTATCCTGTTCTAAACAGAAGAGAAATGAAAAATATAAAAGAAAGGAGGTCCAACCCTCGAAAAAAGATGCAGTGGAGGAGGGGAAGAGGAAGGGAAGGGGGGAAAGATATTTATCGTGTGGCTCTGGGCGGCAAACCCTACGAAAAAAAAAAGATTAAAATTTTTCATTGTCCTGCGCTAGCGCCGCATTTGGACTAGTGCTGTTGTTCACGGCACCCCGATTGGCTGAGATCGAGCTTGTGCCCGAATCCGTCCATTTTCATTGGCTGAACCTGTTGTCAGGCATATTTGGGCTTATATTTTCTATTATCGGCCGATGTCTATGGAAGTATAGAAGTAAGAAGTATAGCATTGTCTTGAACTGGTCGACTTTGTAGTTGTACATCTACAAGGCCCCATCTTAGCATGGACGCTCAGCCCCGTCTAGACCCTTATACTCAAATAGCCTTGTCAGTTGAGGCGTCTGGCGTCGCACCGTTCGCCACTCATGATCGGGTGGCGCAGTCTCATATCAGGAATCCAATGAAGAACTTTAAGATTTTTCGAGAAGACGTTCATATTTTTAGACGTTGTTTTGTGATTGTCCGGATTTGTCCGGCTAAATCCAGACTTTCTCCTCCGGATGGCTTAATCACCTTAGATACGGAGACAGTGTCCGGAGAGCTGAGTAGACATGTCAGCCAGGACATAAGATCTGCAGGTCATCTCCGAGTGCCTGATTCACGTGTATAATCAGGGGTATTAACCAAGTGAAAAATACCTAAATGTAGGCTACATCCATACTAGGGTTCCCAATATGAAACGGGCTACTTTGGACCGCATTTCTTCACCGCTTGGTCTTATCGCTTATCGCGGGCAAAATTTATATCTATGTAGTCCGGCTGTCGTACACCTACTTTGCGCAGCCTGTCACTACATCTGATTCGAAAGTCAGATCATGATGACTGCACAGCCATGTTGTACATGTCGAACTAACACCCGACTCCTGGGGCCTTGCTGAACGGGTGTTATCGTGACCTTATCCCCCGCGAAAAGTACCGGGTGGCAAAAAAAAAAAAAAAGAAGGGGGAAAAAAAGAGAAAAAAAAATTCAATAAATCCAATCAAAACCCAAAAGCTAAAAAAGCGTGGGAGATCGGTAAGCCACGGGAGTACAGAACGAATCCTTACTTTTCCCTTCAGCATTGTTCCGTTTAACGATTGCCGACTCACCCGCAGCGAATCATTAGATCTTGAGCCCGGAATAACTTCCCCTTTTTCTACACTACCCAGTGTCTTTCGATTCTATTCATAATTTTCAATAGTAGCGTTGAAACGCCACCGTTTACCATTCTTATTTACCCTACGTCGGGTCGAGGTCATCACTTTCACTTAGGTACATCTGCACCTCCCCGTCTCTACAGTTAGACAGTGGATCCGATCCGCATAGCACAAAGGCCCCAGTTGTTTATTTAATGGGGAAAGAAGGGATAGGGGCGAATTTTGCCCCCCTTCCTTAGCGTTAGTCTTACCTAGGGTTAGTCTTGATCTTGGTCTTGGTGTTTAGCCTTGCAGGACTATGGCCGCATACAATGTCTCCACCCCCGACTTACTATATTATCTTCGAGTCCGGGGTAGATGGGGCAAGGAGTAAGGGGAATAACTCTATTATCTTTCAATCTTTGATCCTGTTACAGTAGATCCCAATATCGCAAATCTACTGTTTAATCACTTCCTTTTTCTGCCTTGCTCGTATTGTGTCCTAGTGTGGCTTTGCCCCCTTTTCCTTTCAAGACCCCTGTCTCACGTTTACTATATTCAGCCCCTTTTTATTACATATTTTTGCTGGGAATGCGCTTTGGCCTTTGGTCTGTTTGTCTGATATATACTATGCAGATTACAGTACGGAGTAACCTATCGACATGTAGCCATGAACATGTAGCGAGCCCCCTAAGTGCTGATCTCAAGATGATGAGCCTATCATCTTCGAGAGGGATAATTACTGAACCTGGAAAAGGGGTAAGACGAAGCAACCTATCGGAGGGTCGGTCTTATGTTGATGCTGTGTGGCTGGACAGGTTCATGCGATGTGGAAAGGGGTTCTGTGTTCTGTGTGATGGAGGTACGTACCTACAGTGTATGTACGTACGTCACTACCCCTGGCGAGGTAGATTGGAACAAGATGATATTATTGCCGCGGATATTCTATTCACATGTTACATACTACGCAAATGAAGATCCATAGCCTATGTATAAATCCGCCTGCATGAGTATAAAGAGGAAGGTAACATGTATAGGTAAGGGTAATTTAATTAGTATGTGATGCACAGCTCTATAGACCAGGAAACAAAACACATACAAAAACCACGAATCGGAAAAACCTGCCCCATCCCATCCCATCCCATCCTCGCAGCAGACCCATATTTTATGTCCAAGATCGTGGTCGAACAAAAAAGCAAAGACACAAAAAAGACACAAGAGTATATACACAGGATTCCTGTGACCCAGAAACGAAGCCTAAGCGGAAAATCTGGGTTGCAAGCGTCAAGTAGTATCAGAGAGGATAAAAGAGTTTAGTTCAGTTCAGGGTAAGATGAACATGAATGCTGACAGGAACGAGGGATCACGACGTCTGTACAAAGGTACAAAGAGAAATAAAACAACAAAGACAAGAAAAACGCTCGAACTCCAGACCCAAATGCGCGGTGCAACTTGCAACTCCGAGGCAAAACAAACAAGGCGGATTAAAAATGGACTGGACTCATGGCTTTTTCTTAATGTGACTGCTTCCTGATTCCGAGGGAAGCTCGTCGCCATCGATGATGCGCCAGAGACGGCGCGGGGAGAAGTTGTTGCCGAATAGGTAGATACCGACGAACCAGGCTGCGAGGAGGTTGGCGAGGTGGTGGAGGAGGTAGGCGTAGGAGACGCCGTAGATTGCCGAGTAGATGGCGATGGCGAAGAAGATCATGGAGGTGATGTGTCGGAACCTGTAGAGGTGTTAATTCGAATTATATGATATAGGCAGTGATGGTACATACCTGGTTGTGATACGCGGAATCATAGCGCCGCTAGTCATGGTCTCTACGAGGATAAGGAAGGGCATGATGGAGAGGACGTTGTGGTGGGATGAAAAGGGCATGAACCAGTGCACGACGAGGTTGTGCGCCCAGACCAGGAGAACCAACACGTTGATAGGAAGGATCCACAGCATCAAGATCAAGATCGAGTGTGCATAGTTACCGAAGTTGAGGTGCGAGGTGGATCTGGTTTCCTTGGCATGCCACTGTGCCCGCACACATGTCGCCAGCTGCACAATACAGGCAACCATGTAGGCAAACTGGTACGGGATAACAGTCGAGACAAGGACCAGGAGGATGGCAGTGTGGACGATGCGTCGTCGAGGCGTTGGGGTATTGAATATCGGCAGGTTGCCGCGGTCTTCACGCCGGATATAGCCTGATTTACTATGCAGAACCCCGTACACCCACGAGAAGATGTTGACGAGGGCAAGGGCGAGGTAGTTGACGAGCACGCAGACTCCAACACTGATAAGACCAAAGACTGGGACCAGGAACCAGAAGAAAGCGTCTTGGGATCCCAGCAAGAGATCGTTCTTGGTGAAGTCGACTGGAGTCTCGGTAGAATTCGTCCGCCAGTGAAGAGTCTCGTCAGTCTGGGGTAAGGCTTTCGTGGTGGCCAAGGAGGTAGCCAACAGCGACATGGCCACCAGTAAGAGTGGGAAAGAAGATCGCAGAGCACGGTCAAGACCATCGGTAAAGGGGATAAAGTAGCCAGACTCATCATAGATCTGGAACTGCTTGCGAAGAACGAGAGCAACGACAAGCAGTGGGAACGCAGCGAAGATGGTTCGATAGCGCATAACCAATTCACCAAGACTACTGGTGAGGTCAACTTGAAGAGAGATATCGACTGTTGATTCGGAGCTTGGGTCCGTCCACAGATGGAAAGACACGCCTCCAAGAGCAGCATGCTCGCGAATCGCTGGCGGCATGTATGGTGCCATACCATGCAGGTTTACGTTGACCTCGTTGACATTAACAAAAAACTTCGACTCATGAGGGTCGGAGACAGACTGCCGAAGCAACGGAGCAAACAACTCCTCTTTCTGTGGGTGCCGGGTAATCTTCAATTTGTAGTCAAGCAGACTGGAATGTAGCGCGGGTATCTTGACCTCTGTGAGCATGGGCCGGTTCGCGGGTAGCCGCATCTTCAGACCAGCACTCAGCAAGCCGCCCAAGCCCACCTTAGCCCGAATCATCGCATCAGAGCTATCCGAGAACTCGGCGACAAGGAATCCCGAAGTCGGAACGTTAGCCTTATCCACGACAGCTACAAATTGATGTTCCGCAAGACCCTCCAAGTCATACTGGAGGTATGAGAACGGCGAGACACGGTCATAGGCATGTTTTGATGAGAGGGTTGAAGCAGGCAGGTAAATGCTGTCCTCGGCCGCGCTCTTGCAAGCCAAACGGGTCGAGCCCACCGTGCCACCAGAGAAATCCAAATTCAATGGGAAGTTGGTTGAACGACCATTGGACAGCGGGAAGACGCTGCAGAATAGAACCTCGATGTTTCCACTCTTTTCGAGTGTCTGGTCCGTGAGCAGTGTGAACTTCTTACCGGAGACTCCCTGAGGAGGAATCGGCAAAAGACGCACATCCGGACCATGTTGCAGGCCCAACTCGCGCAGGATCAGTCTTTGACCCTGGGCGAGAATGGTGTTTGCATTATCTTCAAGTGTCAGAAGGGTGTTTGCTTCCTTCTGTGGTAGAGTCCGCTCCGCTACCGGCTCCAATCCAGTCAAATACCACTTCTTCAGAACACGCATGCGCTCCGCTCGCGGTTTCGTTTGTGTAGGGCGTCGGGCATCGACAATCTCAAATAGAGATTTGATGATTGCTTTGCGGAACTGGTCACACCAAGTGATCGACAGGTGATCCATCCCAATCCAGACATTCGGGATCGAAGACGTGAAGACGGTGAATCCGTGTGTCTCGGGCACGAGGGAAGAGATACTGGCGTAGTCGGAGGAAACTACCGTATCACGCGCACCACCAGCGATAGAGATAAGAGTGACGTGCCACAGGGGGTTGTTATTAGCCCATGTCTGCGCATAGGCGTCGCGCCAGTAGTCGTTGATTTGTTTGTAGGTGTGGACAATATCGGAGTCAAAGGAGACAGGTGGTTTTGCATGTGGCGCGGACATGGTGATGATCGTGTTAACCGAATTGGCCTGGTAGTTGGCCATAGTCAGAGCAGTTCGAGCCACGATTCCACCCATGGAGTGACCGATTAGAACGACAGCACTCGGATCTGGCAAGCCAGGATCTCGGCGCGTTCGTCGCGGGTCGTGGTAAAGTGATAGAATGTAAGATATCGCCTCGTTCACGTATTCCGCCTGATCCAACAGAGTCTGTCCATGGAACGCCGCCATATCCTCGTTGAAGTCCACCATGAAGAAATCCAAGCTCCGCGTTCCGGCCGCATGTCTGCTCTCATCGTGTCGAACCACATCGTAGTAATGGCGCGAGGCCTCGGCGGCCAGAGACCGGACCTGTCGGTAGCTGCCGGCGTTACCGGGAAGGAAAAGAACGGGGACGCCAGTCAACTAGAAAGGAGTCAGCCCAGGTCAATCGCATGTCACAAATCCAGATCACCATACCCCGATGTTATCCGGAGTGTAAGGATCCACGCCTTCCTCCCGGTACACGAATAGGTTGTATTTGCTCGCAAAGCGGGTATGTTCCGTATCAAACTCCAACATGCGAATAAAGGTCGGACTCATCATCGGCACACCGCAACCATCACCGCCGACGTGCCGATCGGTGAAAGAATGGACAATGGAGATCAAAATCGCCACAGCGACGCAGGTCGTAAACGCCGTCAGGATCGAGCAGGACCACGGACTGCGCAGACGGGACTGTCGCGAGCGACGACCTTCGGGGAGGATGTCTCCATCGGGAGCCGAGGGGAGCCCAATGGCATGGTCTTGGTATCGTTGGAAGGTTGGGAGGACGGGGTGCGCCACATGCTCGAATTCCGGGAGCGCGGTGTCGCGCTGCCGTCGCGACGGAGGTCAAAGCTGGTGCCGCGCCGGGCTATCTGGGATCGCGATTTCTCGTCAAGGGCGTTGGAGCCATGGTCGTCTGGGGTTCGGGAGACCGAGGAATCTTCGTCCTCGACAGGGGAGCCCGACGAGCGTCTGTGCATTGGAGGAGGCGGAGCCGGCTCATCCAGCACTCACAGGCACAGGGACCGGGTTTCTTGGCGCAGGGGGTCAAGCCTCGCACACAAACCCTCAGGCGAGTAAGGATAGAGGATGGGGAGGGAAAGGGAAGGGGTGGAATGCGAGGGAAGACGGATAATGGAAGGGCGGTTGGTGGTTTCTCTGGGCCTTGGCATAGAGAAAAGTCCCTGAGTCCCTTATTATTGTGGGTACGCAAGGAAGTGGGATAGTGTAGTAGTGTACTGTAGCAGTCGGGGTAGGGTCTTTAGAGAAATGAAGTTCTAGGGTCTGCTTTTTCTTTTGGACGCAATTGGCATTGCAGGCTTGGCATGAGACATGCATCTACTTTACAGAGCTTGAATAGAGAGCAAGCCCCATGTTTTCAATTTTTAGACTAAATGCCTATGGTATATAATCTTCAATGATCAGCAAATGCGTACGTGGATATTGGACAAAGTCAAGGAATTTGCGGGCACAGCAGGCAACCGTGTATCGTAGCTTAACAGTTCCTGCAGGACGCGTATGTCCCTAAGTCACACCGAAGACATGCATATCTATGCTGAATCTGAGCTGCTAAAGGTCTGGAAGGGCCAACCAGGTTTGATTAGCTCTAGTTATGTCTCAGTCTGATTCGCACTACGGTAACACTGACCACCGACAGGTAAGCAATACACTGGCATCTCTGTGTTAACATTTCACCTTTTTACCTATGAAGCATTTTCTCATCCTCCTAATTGCACTCGCAATATAAACTCTCCTGATCCTCCATGACTCCATAATCAGGAGAAATTGCGTGACGAGACCCTGTACTCCATATGCACACGGGTAACTAACTTAACCTAACTCAGCGGGTATCTACAGCTAAACCTATGAAGTCATGCCATACCTAATTCTATTATTATCACGCATCTACAGTATATCTTAGTCGCCTGTAATTCTAATCCCTGTCCAACTCACGTAAGACAAGTGCGGGGTTTTGATGCTATAAAGAGCCTGCAGTCCGACCTGGTTTCCTCTGGCCTAGACACACCTCCACAATTGGCACTTTGACACTAATACACTTTAATTCACAGTAGCAGGTGGGTACTTTTCATATATTGTTGTCATTTATTTCGAATGAAGATACCTTTCAACCCAAGGACTAGCTCGGTGGGCTAGAGTGAGCGAGTACAATTAAGCAGATTCTGATTCTAGTGTTTCGAATAGTGTGTTGTCGAGGCATATATAGAGAGCCAGGCTAACTAGTCTTCTACATTTCCAGATTATATATATATATATATATATATATATATTTTTTTTTTTTTTTTTTTTTTTTTTTTTAATATATATATTCTATTCTGGAGCTATGAGAGCGAGCAGCGAACTAAGACGAATGGCCGGACACGATCCGCGACATACAGGTATAGGTATAGCCACGAACAAAAGATATCCAAGACAAACATTCCAATCACATAATCCCAGGGAAAATTTCAGAAATCATATGGATCAAGCACAATAATACTGTGAAATCTACTCCACAGTCTCTACCCTCCCCTTCTCCTCATCGGGATCCCCCTTCCTATCCATCCCCCGATGAGCAGCAACAACCTGCAAATCAGCATCATGCTCAGCATCAAAGTTCCTCCCCAATCTCTCAGGCCCAACAAATGTAATAAGAATAACATAAGCGAAAACACACCCCATAAAAATACAAATCACCTTGCCGTACTCATAGCGATGCTTCGTCTCCTCAGTAGGCGGCAAGGGGAACCGCTCACCAATAGTCGATTCAATGGTCGAACTAGCCGACGAAACAAGATTTCCAAGCTGGTAAGCCGTTCCAACAGCGAACGTGCGGATCGGGCCAGGAGACAATTCCATTAGATGGATGGGGATTACACCCCAGGCGCCTTGGACCATGAATTGCTCAAAGTAGGCGGCGGCAATAACGTTCTTGTTTGTGACGAATGTGTAGGGGTACAGCAAGGCGCCGCCGACGATGGAGATGACAATGATTGAGAAGCGGCGGCCGAAGATTTGACTCGCCCAGCCGCAGAGTGTGCCGCCTGTGAGGGCGCCTAGGTTTGCCACGACTTGGGTGACTGTGACTGCGTTTTTGGAGAAGTTGAATTGGTTCTCTAGCATTGTCGGGTAGAGATCCTGGGAGCCGTGGGACTGGATAGTAGGGTGATATGTTAGCAATGATACATGTGACCGCAAGTTGTAGCTGTAGCGTGGGTGTGTGACATACCATAAAGTTGAATCCAGCCATCAGCAATACCAGATAAATAAGAAGAAGCCAATGACGCTTCAGCGCAACCTTGCCCTCCGACAAGAACGAAGCAGCAACGCCACCGCGCATCTCCTCGCGTGTCTCCTGTCTTCGCCGGAAAGTCTCCGTCTCACCCAAGAACAAACGGAAGATGATAATAAGAACAGGCGGACAAGCCGCAAACCAATAAAGCGGACGCCATCCGTGCGGGGTCGTATCAACGAGCGCGCGAGCAAAAGCCGTGGCGAGCAGGTATCCAAAAGCATAACCCTGCTGCAGCAGACCGGAGATAATACCACGCGCCTCGGCGGGACAGTCCTCGAGCGCGGTGGCAGCTGCATTACCATACAGACCTCCCATGGCGATACCGAAGAGGGCGCGACAGGCCAGGAATTGTTTGTAGGTTTGGCAGAAGCCGGCGCCTAGCTCGAGGACGACAAAGAGCAGTTGGTTAACGATGAAGGGCCATTTGCGGCCCCAGCGGTCTGAAGCGATTCCGAAGATTATGGCGCCGACGGAGCGGAGCATTAGGACTAGAGTTATTCCCCATGTTATGTCGGTGATGGATTTGTCGAAGGTTTTGGCGAGCTGGGAGGTTGTCAGAGAGACGGTGAAGAAGTCGAAGGAGTCCCATGACCAGCCGCAGAATGCGACCTGTGATAGATGGTTAGTTTGATTTGTGTTCAGCCTTACGGGGGATCGGCGTACCAAGAAATTTAGCCACTGTTGCCGGTTTAGGAGGGTTAGGGCCTTGAACGGGTTTGGCGCGGGGTTCATCGGTGGTTTCAGTGAGGTCAAGCGCGTCGCGATGTATTTGCTGACGCTCATGTTCTCCTCCACGTCTGGCGACGCGATTGCATGTTGGGGCTTGGCATCGGTCTCCATGGCTGCTACTGGTGTGAACCTCAGGGTGTAGCAGTAGAGAGAAAGAAGGGGGGGAAAATCCTGAACTTATGCAAGGTTCCAACGGTAGGGAAAAGAAGGAGATCTTATACAAACGCGGGGGACAGCATTCTAAATACCAGGACCGACTCTGGGGCCCCGAGTCAAAAAGCAAAAAGTAAAAAGCAAAAGCCAAAATCCAAATGGCCACCATTCGCCTCAGGTCAGCCTGGAAACCTGGGGGAATGGATCCCAACGCGCCGATCCCTTCTCTACAGAGACCTCCTAGATAGCCTCCGTAACGCCTCTCAGCCAATCCAGAGAGTCTGGCCAATTTGGGTTCAGCAGATGCAAGGCACTATATCGGAACAAAGACATCCCTAGCTCTGCTGATTGGGTTCTACCGCCGTTACCTTTGGAGGCTTCCTCTGCCGGATTCGGGGAGATATGGAGAAACTCGGGCAAACTACGCTAGAGTGTAGCGTTAGGGCTTATACTGAATTCTTTCGGATAAGATACACAGTCTGACATCAAACCCCGGCCAAGACATACTCCGGATTTCTGCCCAGACCGGGGTTGTGGAGAAGGACAATCTTATGACCCACCTAGTAAACAACCCGACTTCCCACCCTCGGTATATAGGCTGATTTTCTGCGCATACCTGGGCACAGAAATATCCATGGATGTCCCCGCAGAATCTGGATATTCCACGTGGAGGAACCACAAGATGCTTCAAACCGGGAAGACACATTTAACCTTTCTCCCGTCCAAAGTCGAAGCTTAGCGCTGCTTCTCCCAAGTAAGACTTGGAACAGGCTTCGGTGGCTTGGGGGCATCCTCCGATGATGCCCGACAGTGGTCACAGTCAGGTGAACACCCACGGTAGAGCATAAGCCGACTATTCCTAAGTCCGTACGGAACTCAGTTTTATTAGCCGGCATCATGTATGTGGCATGGGACGTCCGAGACCCCGCAATTCCCCGTCACTGAACTAGAGCGGTTAACTGGCTACCTACCAAGGGTAGAATCCGCCTTCCCTTGGCATCCCTATACTTTCCCCTCAAAACCTACAGTATTCTTGGCTGCAGCTGCCGCCAATGCCAATACTTGCCATGCGATTGGCAAAAGCTTCTTGTAACCACGCTCGGACGGCTACCATCTATGCCATTTTGGCCATCCTTTGCTTTGCGTGCATTTTGCTATTGGTGCTCATACTGTGGTCCCCATATCGCTCAGCGGAGACTTGCTCAAGTTAGCGTGGCACGGGGAATTTCGATCTTCATGTAGCACTCTGAGCCATGTACCTAGGTGTCCAAGGATATCGTGGCCCTTTTCTAGATTGGGCATGTTAAGTCTATTCATGGGAGTAACGTTACAATGTATCTAGGTGCCCAGATGCGTGTCCCACCTCCAACTAGAGAAAAGAAGAGGGGATTTCTTCGCTTTCCATTTATCATGACCTGAAGGCGATCCCGATGCGAGGAAACTTGCCTACAACAAATAACACCACGGTTGGATACGTGCGCCCCTAGCCACTGAAGCTGAAAAGTTTATTCCAATTCGGCCCGGTCGGCCTCTAGCGTGGGGGGTGCCATGACTGTCCCGGCATCTCAGCCGTTGTATCAACGACACCAGCCCTTCATAATTAAATTGGGCATAACAGACCGCGATAAGATTCAGAACATGACCCAAGGCAAGTCTTACATGTTTACGGGAGACCTAATAAAATCAAGCAGAATGACGAGGTTATATCGTGTGTTTGCTCCCCTCCTTTCTGGTAGCCATTCAATAAGTAAATACTATGTAGCAACTCTTTCCGAGGTGCCCTCCTGCAAGATCCCAAATGTATAGATTGCATAACATCAGTTTTGATAAGATCTCCCGTGTTCTTGTCGCCAATTATTATAGGCCTAGCAACCGCAGTACATAATAAATTAGACTAGGCTGACCTAGCACGCATCGGACCAATGCCTTCTGTCACCGGTCTTACCATTGCCCTCCAGTTTGCTGTCTCTCGTGTTGCATAGCTAGGATACAGTCTCACCTAGGGCTTCCAGTCTTAGCAGCTCTAGTTTTTCATCGCCTCTATTACTACATATTCTCCTCCCCTTTCATAGAAGAATAGATTATCCTTCTCTATTTTAGTTCTCATCGCCTATCTTAATACCCCTAAAGTAAGACGTGGACGACATGGCTAAGACTGATTGAATAGTGCTTCCCTCCCTCTATGTATCGGTTTCTGCACGCGTCGAACGTGCCCGCTAACGGACTTGATAACTGAGGATTAGGAAGGCAATGTAATAGTGTTGGAAGCGTTCTATTTTAAAGTCAAGGGGAGAGAGGGGGGAGGAGAGAGGGAAAAAGAAAGGGTGTTACGTCGTCATATCACCGAAGCAAGCAACTAATAGTGATGTCGCGATCATTGTCAATTAAAAGGTACTGCGAAGTATATAGAGTGTCGGGGCTTAAATATCCTCGTGTTGGTCGAGGTCCCCATTATCCATGCGCAGGTGTTCAAGAAGTCTGCGTTGACAGAGAACATGCTATTTATGAAGGGTGCAGGCTTTTGTATCCTAGTTTGAAGCCCCTTGAACCGTAGCTAGCGGGCCTAAACTTGAAGAAAGATGCAGCTTGAAAGTGAGTGTTTTCATTCATAGTAAATCTAGTATATCGGAGTTGCCTCCTATGATTATCACTGTATCAAAGAATACCTTTGCTTCATAGACTCTATAAATATCTTGACCGTTCCGAAATGCATCTCGGTTCCTTGCAGCAAGAGTGCGGGGCAACAGTGGGCAACGGTCTTGGCCCTAAGTGGCCTATCTAGTCGTAGTTGTATGCCTACAATAATTTAGATCAAAGCACAGGCAATGCCACAATGTAGGTTCCAGCTGAAGAAGGTAAGCCTCAGGACGAGGAGGCTGTGCAGCCGGTCTGAGGGACGTGAGGCGGTGCTCATCCGCTCAGCCCCGCGGATCCCCTGATGCCGTGAGCATATTTATTGTCCCGCCTCAACACTTCCTTCCTTGTTCTCACTCTCCTATATACTCTCTCCATCACTGTCCTCATCCTCACCCTCGACCAACCGCATACACTAATCCCACAATGTCGCATTACGGAGGTCCCCCGCAAAACCAATACGGCGGCAGTGGTCAATATTACGACCAACATGGCCAAGGTTACTACCCCGCGCAACAAGGCCATCCCCAGCCGCAACAAGGCTACTATCCACCAGAGGTAATTCAACCCCAATCCGTCAACCCGCCATGAGACCCGCACAGAACTTCCTCACCTTTCGTATCTCGTAATTGTACCAAGAACACCGCTGACAAGTGAGCAGGGCCAACCCGCTTACGGCCAACAGGGTCACCCTCCCCCATATGACCAGCAGTACCAACAGGGTCACGGTCAGGGTCAATACCCGGGCGGTCCGGGATACGGCCAGCCTCCCCAGGACCGTGGCCACTCGCCCTATCCGCCTCAGCAGCAGCATTACCAGCAGGGTGGTGAGAGTGCCTCTTACTACGGTGGTGCGCCGCCTCAACAACAGCAGGGACACCCTGGGGCACCCGGAGCTGAGGGTGAGAGGGGCCTCGGATCGACGTTGATGGGTGGTGCTGCTGGTGGGTTTATGGGTCATAAGTTGGGCCATGGTGCGCTTGGTACCGCGGGCGGTGCTGTTTTGGGTGCTGTTGGAGCCAACCTCGTGAATAATAAGCTGTGAGTTGAGTTTTGTTTCTGTTGGGTGTGGTGATTGATGGCTGACTTCTTTTTTCTTTGGCATAGTGGCAAGGATAAGAAACACAAGAAAGAGAAGAAACATAAGAAGGATAAGAAGCATAAGCGCAAGGGGTCTAGTTCGAGCTCGAGCTCGTCTAGTGATAGCGATTAGGTTGTGTAACCATGTGTGATGGTTGGCAACTGACATGCTCTCTTTTTCTACTTTGATACCATGCGTTCTTCTGTATTTGTTGCTGTGACTTGATTTCATGCCTTGGCTATCTTTGGAGATAGCTGGGTGACCTCACGCGTTATGTTTATCCTAATGCCTTTGTGTATTCATAGTGAAATGGCAGTTGTGCATTGCCGAATTTTTGAAGGAATTCTCATGGTAATGTAGCAATCTAGGTTGCCCAATTGGGGTTGAGACCCGCTTGATTGGTGAGATAGTGTACATGTGTATTATAATATTGCTCGTTAATATGTTATTGCGGCTGCTGTTGCTCATCCCGCGGAGGTCTCTTCGCCGTCCCCCGAGGTGGCTGCGGTGGCTCTTTGAAGAAAGCCTCTGAGTCGATACTACTATCCAGACTATAGGACAGCGTGGGGACCATCTTTGGCGTATCCCACTCAAAACGCCACTTTTGGGACGTTTCATTCCAATACGGCCGAGGCACAAGCGCAGAAATACGTCTCCATTGCCGACGCATAAATCTGGCTGTGATGACATGTGGCCGACCATTGGCAAAGTCGGCAAAGGTATTTTCCTTCTCAGGACCCTTGACCAGCAACTTCAAGATTTCGCTTTCAGGTCTGGCGTCGGTCTCGGGTTTCACTCCCTTTCTCCGCTTGACAGGTTCCCAGGGTATTGTTCCCGAGACCAACCCATCAAGCGTGCGGAGATCATTCTCCGGTAACGGCGGCAGCAGGCTGCTCAACGTGGCGAAATACCACTTTCTTCGAATGTTCATTTTTCGAGACTGGGCCAGTTCCTTGCCCCAAATATTTTCTTTGGGAATTGGCGGAGATATAGCCTTGATCACAGGCCTAACTCGGACTGATGCAATCACTGGGTTCCTCGTATGGGAGAGTGCCAGGCTCCTCACGATAGATGGAGGTTGCCAACCTTCACCGAACTTGGTAGGTTGGCAGATGAGCTCTTTGGCTGATTGGGTGTCATTTGGGATTTCAGTTTCGGGCTTTAGAAATTCTGCCAGCATTTCATGTCGCCGTTTTCCTGTGCGACCGTATGATAGCAAGAGTACTTTCTCGAGGGGTCGCGAGTAGCCTTCATTTGCACGCCGTAGAACTGAAAGAGCATTTCGTGCCGCATGTACCATCTGAGGACCAGCCTTGTTGGAGCGACGGGAAGATACTGCACGGTATCTGGAGAGGATATGTTCTCGCATGTAGTTCCGGGCGACGGGATCAGGTAGGTAGGTACATTCGCGCAGCGTAGCGCGTAGTAAATGGCGCCATTGCTGTGGTGTTGAAAGATTGGCCAGCCAATGTGAAGGTTGTGGCCTGGCCATATTGATCTCAGAGTCGAGGGAAAAGTGCCCGACCCGAAACGGAGAAACGCGAAAACCTTGGCGTCCCGTGTCACGGGAACTCCGACGCGCCCTTTTCGTTCTCCTCACCCCGCGACTTGCCTTGCATTGAGCCTATCTTGATCTCGATCGGTTTCGATTTTTTGACACATTCTTCTTGCCTTGGGGCCTTGAATGGTATTTTGGTTTGGCGGTTTCCCTCCAGAGGGTTAGCCACGCGCCTATTTTCCGCGTCATTCCAACCGGCATTCGGTATCTCTGGTATCTCTCCCCTTGCTAACCATTCATTGGTATCCTTGCTGACATTTCTGGGGAAAAGACCAGCATGTCCTACTCACAGGGCAGTACAGGGTCGGCGAATGGAATGGCCTACAACATTTTGAATGCTTCGCAATCCCTCTCTTCCACCCCTCGCGCAACTCCTCCGCCTCCTAAGGGTTCTCAGATGTCCTCTTTTGGTTACGCGAACGGACTACCGAGAAACAGCTTTAATGGATATGATGGCTCCAACGACTATGGGTCGGTAATGTCATACCAGGAGGAGTACAAGCCACAGATTTATCGAGTTCGTGGCCTTCCACATCCCCACCAAACATTCCACTGACTAGCCTCGAACAGGCGGTTTATTCCAACGTCGCCGTCTATGAAATGGAAGTGAATGGAGTTGCTGTGATGAAGCGTCGGTCCGATTCCTGGTTGAACGCAACACAGATTTTGAAAGTTGCCGGTATCGTGAAAGCACGTCGAACGAAAACACTCGAGAAAGAAATTGCCGCTGGTGAACACGAGAAAGTGCAAGGTGGTTACGGAAAATACCAGGGAACGTGGGTTAATTACCAACGCGGTGTCGACCTGTGTAGAGAGTATCACGTTGAAGAATCACTCCGGCCGTTGCTGGAGTATGACATGAGCCCTGACGGCTCTGGACAACCCGCTCAAGGCACCATAGATACACCCACCAAAGAACAAGCAATGGCTGCGCAACGCAAGCGTCTTTACAATGGCGCAGAAAATCGCAGCACGTCACAGCCGCAGCAAGGAACTTTCTTCCAGAATATTTCGCGAACCGCTGCCACCGCAGTCAACGCCCTCAGCAAAGCCCGCTTCGACTCGCCCAGTTCCAATAGCCGTCGGCCCAGCGTGATTCGAAAGCCCTCACAGCAGATGAGCAGCCAGGAATCCGGGCTTCCATTCAGCAGCCAGCAGAGCATGTACAGCATGTCCGACAGTGGATTTGGCAGTCTGCAGAATCGGTACCAAACCCAAGACGATCATGACGACCTCGCAGAACCCCCGCGCAAACGTATGCGCTCTGCATCTCACCACGCTCCACCTATCGGTCTACCTCGTGACCCATCCAACCTGTCCATGCACGAACCTACCCCCACAGAACCTAACGACTCCTTTTACCAAGACATGGATCTTCCACCTCCCCCCATGGACGATGGTTCCAAACGCGGAATCGAGTCCCTGGCCCCTGCTTCTACTCCAGAGAGATTCCAAAAGATGAAGCTCATCATGACATTGTTCCTCGACAAACGGACCAAAGATTTCACCAACCACCCAGCTTTGGTGCAGTTAACTGGCGATGACCTTGAAATTCCTCTTGATGAGTACCGAAACAATGCCCTTCACTGGGCTGCTATGCTTGCCCGCATGCCACTCCTCAATGCCCTTATCGCTAAAGGTGTCAGCATCTCGCGAGTGAACGGTGCAGGAGAGACGGCTTTGCAAAAGTCGGTGGGGACTCGCAACAACTTAGATTATCGAAGCTTCCCTCGCTTGCTTCAAGTACTTGCTCCAACCATTGACATGGTCGATTACAGTGGGCGTACCATCCTGCATCATATTGCGGTTATGGCTGCTACTGGTGGTGGCGGACACGTCTCCGCAAAGCACTACTTAGAAGCCCTTCTTGAGTTTATTGTACGACACGGGGGCATTGTTCCAACTTCGAATGGAGATGCAGCAAATGGGACTCATGGCAGTGATGTCATTTCACTAGGGCGGTTCATCTCTGAGATTGTCAATCTCCGTGATGATCAAGGCGACACGGCTCTCAATCTAGCGGGACGTGCGCGCTCGGTCCTTGTTCCACAACTTCTAGAAGTTGGTGCCGATCCTCATATTCCTAACCACACTGGTCTTCGTCCGGCAGATTATGGTGTTGGTGTCGATATGGTCGATGGAAACTCTCAGTCTCAACAAGCGGGCAACCGTAACGACACATTTATCGACCAATTGGCGAAGTCAAAGAAGGAGATTCTTGATGGTATGTTTTCCCCTTTGATTATATTTGTTTCTTCTAACGACAGATCTAGCGGCAATGTCTCAAATCAGCTCAATTGTCGAGGAGACACTCGGTGGCATTGACCGAGACCTGGCCTCTAGCTTGACACAAAAGCAAGAGAGCTTCGACCACTGGCACACAAAGATCCGCGAGTCTGCCAAAGCTCGGCAAATCGAGCAAAAACAATATGATGAACTCAGACGCAAGAGTTCCGAGCGTGTGGAGCTCGACCGGCGTATCAAGAATCTAGAAAGATCTTCAGAGGGCTTGTTGGTTACTGTGAAGAACACACCAGGACTAGACCCTAACAGGACAGTCGTGGTGGGTGATGCCGACCTGGATTCTGGCATCGACGTCAACACATTTGATGCATTGTTCACCGAAGACTTTGACCCAGCCTCTGGCTTCTCAGAGCAACAAATTGCCTTCTTATCCGCTATACCAAGCACAGATGCCCTCAGACGTCAAGCTCAATGCTACAAAGAGTTTAACAGCGGGATACTGGCCGAAGTGGACGGCCTCAAGGCAAAGAACGCAGTTCTCGGTCAAAACTACCGTAGGATGGTGATGGCATGCACAGGCTGGACAGCAGAACAAGTAGACGAAGCAGCAGAAGGACTCACGCAATGCGTGAAGGAACTGAACGATAATCCCGTTCCGGAAGACGAGGCGATTGAGATCTTGATGCGGGATCGTGGGCAGGACTGGTAACGCAATACGTGGAAGTCTGATACCTTTTGAGCGTTTGGGCGACTTGGCTTGGCTTAGGCGTTGATGCTTTGTACGATAAAATACCCTGGTGGCATACGTTCATGCCCGTTGGCACATATCTTGTTATTGAAGCGAGGAATACATGGTATCCCTGTACACGTCGTTTGGTTCACGTATCGTACAACTGTCTCCGTACAGGCTAAAATGTGGTGAGATTAGCCGGCTCGTGATACTTCTGGGCTTGGTGGGCTTGGCTTGGCTTTCTGCGTGTCACCTACCAAGATGGCTTCGGGGGCATTTAGCCCTGTACCCCCGCGTTTGCCAAGGTGCTTTGATGGAGCTTGCGGATAAATTGCCAGCTGGACTGGGTGTTTATAAATAGTTATGGGCATCATGTAGGACACTACATTTTTGCTACTTGTCTCTCTACGCAGGCATCTCCAACGACTAATATATCTACCAATCTACAATATGACAACCGGATTTCTACGTGTCAAAGGCGACACGATCGTCAACGACAATGGAGAGGGAGTAGTCCTACGAGGAGCTGCTCTGGGAGGATGGATGAAGTGAACACTCTTACCCTATACGAGCCTTCCCGTCTGGGATTGAACTAACAGTGTCCATTCAAGCATGGAGAACTTCATTACAGGCTTCCCAGGCCACGAAGCCCAGCACCGCGCCGCAATGCTCCGAGCCCTAGGACCAGAGAAATACGAATTCTTCTTCGACAAATGGCTCGAATATTTCTTCACCGAGGCAGACGCCCAGTTCTTTGCCGGGCTAGGACTAAACTGTCTCCGACTTCCATTCAACTATCGTCATTTCGAAGATGATATGAACCCGCGCTCATTGAAGGAATCAGGGTTCAAGCACTTGGATCGAGTAGTGAACCTGGTCAGTCTTGACATCTATGCAAACCACCAACAATATTCAATCTGTGAACTAACTATGACTTTCGTCCATCTGATATAGTGCGCAGAACAAGGCATCTATACCATCCTAGATATGCACGCCGTCCCAGGCGGCCAGAATCCAGACTGGCATTCCGATAATCCAACCGGCTATGCCGCTTTCTGGGATTATAAGGATCATCAAGACCGAACTGTCTGGCTTTGGGAACAGATTGCCGCTCGATATAGGGATAACCCTTGGGTTGCTGGGTATAATCCGCTGAATGAGCCCTGTGACCCTGAGCATGTTCGATTGCCTGCTTTCTATGCGCGTATTGAGAAGGCCATTCGAGCGATTGATGGAAATCATATCCTTTGGTTGGATGGTAATACGTTTGCGATGGAGTGGAAGGGTTTTGATTCGGTTTTGCCGAATTGTGTTTATGCCATGCATGATTATTCGGTAAGTTGGAAATTCTCTGCTTGTTCTTGTCAATGTGGACATAGTCTGATGCCATTGTTAAGTCCATGGGGTTCCCTACTGGTGACCGTTACAAAGGAACAGCCGATCAGAAGGCCTACCTCGAGCGGTCATACCAGCGCAAAGCACAATTTATGACCGAGAAAAAGACACCAGTCTGGAATGGAGAATTCGGACCCGTCTACGCAGACCAAACCATTGACGTTGACGCCGAAATCGTCAACCAAGAGCGATATGATCTCCTCGGTGATCAGCTGCGCATCTACGACAAGTACAACATTAGCTGGTCAATCTGGCTATACAAGGACATCGGGCTGCAAGGCATGATCTACACCAATCCAGAAAGCAGATGGAACAAGACCCTCAAGCCATTCCTCGATAAGAAGAGGGATTTCTGGCTTGATAAATGGGGCCGACGACCTGCTCCTGCTCCTGAGGCTGCTTTGAGGCCTTTGGTTGATTGGATTGATAGTGTTAGTCCTACGGCTAAGGATACTTATCCTACCTCGTGGAACACTGAAATGCATGTTATGCGTAATGTGTTCAATACCTTTTTGGCGGCTTCTTTTGTGGATGAGTTTGCCGCGCTGTTTCGGGGAATGAGTGAGAAGGATCTAGAAGAGTTGGCTTGGAGTTTCCACTTTGACGTTTGTGTTCAGCGCGAGGGATTAAATCGTATTCTGAGGGATCATGCACATGCGTCTGGTTAGATGGATGAGCTATGGCTTGATTGGGAGTGATATAATAGTGTTTGGATCTTATAAATCGCAGTGAAGTGCAGTGTAATGAGGGCATTGTGATTTCTAAGTAGGGCGTGGCAACACCACGTGTTCCTGGAAATAGGCCTGAGGCGCCAACACCCACGCACCTTATGCGCACACTATCGATAAGCAGAAAAATCGAAAAAGATCGCGGGGTTGCGAACATTCTTGACTTCACAGAGATTTGACAATGGCTGAATCTCTTGCATACCCGTCTACCTTGAATGGTATCTTTGACGGCGCCTCCCATCTCAAGGACCGGCTCGATCCCATTCGATTGACGTCCGACAACATCGTTCCAATCTTCAGCCTGCCCCTCTCCCAAAAGGTCCTGGGCCACGATGCCTCGAACGAGTCCATTGCGCAGGTCGCACAAGGCGAAACATCCTATACCGCCTTTGTCGCAGAGCAGGCACGCGCCGCAATTCAGTCAAGTGACGACCTGACCACCGAACAAAAGCAGTCCCAGATGCTGCACCTCGGACTCGCGGCCTTGTTTAGCTTCCTGCAGTCCAATGTCACTGGACCTCCCCTCGAATTCAACTCGGCCGAAGTCTCGCTGCCATCGTCCCTGCGAAGCGAAACCACAACCCTCAGAACTGTCCGGGCAAAGATTATCCGCGACTTGACTGTGGATGGAGAGGCAGCATACAAGCTCACACCCAACCCGGAATTGTTTGCTATCGCCAAGGCCCTCTTGAGCGATGCTTTCACTGAGGGTCCGCTTGTGGCCAGGACAGCACGCATGCGCGTCAACTTCTTGCATCAGAAGATGCTGTCCGAGGTCACGAGCACCCTGCAGGATGCTATCTACAATGACGTCGAAGAGTTGAACAAGGCTGAGCTGAACGCAGACGAGAGAGGACGGTTCCTGCTGGAAAGGGCCATCATTCATACACACCACGGCTTTGACGTGAAGGCTCGGGCAGATATCGACGAAGCCGCCAAGGTGCGGCAGTTCGAGTTTGCACTGACCGGTAAGCTGGGTAAGCGGACGAAGTTCCAAAATCGCGATATCAGTCAGCTTGTTGTGTTGGCTAAGAGTGCCGATGAGGCCTCATTATCCTCGAAGCCCTCCGGCCCCAAGAATGTGGATCTAAATGATGATACGCTACTTGAGGCTATTTCTTTCACAGACTCAAAGCCCAATGAGCAAGACAAGGCAATTCAGGGCAAGCTGTCGGCCAGCTTGGAGGCCGTTGACGCCAACAACCAGCCCATGCTTAACCCTGTAGACTCTGCTCTTCTTTTGGCCCTTGCCTCGGCCATCACTAACACCGCACCTGAGAACGGCCTCACCCGCGAGGAAACACACCCCTACGCTACTCGTGTTCTCGATGGTGGCAGCTCTAACTGGCAGATCTACACACAAGGCCTTCTGGTCCGTAGTCGGGTAGAGGGCTACCGTTCTCGTACCGTTGAGCGTGCTGTTCTGCAAATGCAGGCACTTGTGGACCAGGTTATTGCCGACACTGCTACTTCTGACGCAGCCGCTCAGCAAGAATCAGGTGAACCTACGACCTTCTTGCCACGTCCTGAGCAATCCGAATCTGCCCCAGCCGCTGATCGTCTCGAACACATCTGGATTCTCAACTTCTCAACAAGGTGGAACCTCGAGGCTGAGCTGGCCAAGCGCTGGGTTGACCTCGGTGGTCTGCGTACTGCCCTCGAGATCTACGAGAGACTGCACATGTGGGCTGAGGCCGCACTCTGCTATGCCGCAACTGAGCGTGAAGGCAAGGCAAAGAGCATCATCCGCCGCCAGCTGTACCAGCCCACCGGACCAGATGAGGATGACGAAAATGAGCTGTTCGATGGACCAGAGCGGTCACCATTGCCGGCAGATGCTCCCCGTCTGCTCTGTATTCTGGGAGATATCGACAAGGACGAAACCTTGTATGAGCGTGCTTGGGAGGTTTCCGGGCAGCGATACGCCCGTGCCCAGCGCTCTCTGGCTCGCCACTACCTCACCCTCACACCACCCGAACTAGAAAAGGCCGAGGAAGCCTACAAGAAGAGTCTACACGTCAATCGCCTTAACCACGGAGCATGGTTCGCTCTCGGCTGTGTCCAACTCGAGCAACAAAAATGGGAAGAAGCCACCGACACCTTCACCCGCACCGTCAAAATCGACGACACAGATGGCGAAGCCTGGTCTAACCTTGCAGCCGCCATGCTGCGCTCATCAGCCCCCGAGTCATCAGGCCCAGAGGTCGTAGTCGACGAGGCCAGCGGCGAAATCACAACCCAAGAAAATGAGCCCCACAGACGCAAGCGCGAGGCCCTCGCCGCCCTACAACGCGCAGCGCAACTCAAAAACACCGATGCCCGCATTTGGGACAACGTTTTAACCGTCGCAGCCTCCATCCCACCTCCATCAACACCCTTCCGCGACCTGGTCACTGCCCAAAGACGGATCATTGAGCTCGTCAGCGCAAAGAAGGGCGAGAAGTGCGTCGATCTCCCTATCCTGGCTATGCTGGTCGAATTCTTGACCACAGCATTCGAATACGAGCGCCTTCTCATCCGCTCCGAGGATCCCTCCGAGGTTCCCATTGTTCGTACGGGTACAATCCCCGGCCAGATCATCACCCTGATTGACCAAAACATCGTTCCACTCATCACTCACTCCTCAGCCCTGTGGCTACTCGTCGCTCGCGTCGAGATCTGGCGTGAACGTCCCTTCGCCGCATTCGAAGCCCACGAAAAGGCCTGGCGCGCTACTGTTGCTGCTAACGCACAGGGTGCCTTCCAAATGGGTGATGAGAAGCCCTGGCTGGAAGTTGTGCGTGCTACCGAGAGACTTATCCGAGACGGATATGCCAAGTATGGCCCCATGGACCGTGAAGATCAAACCGTTGAGGGAAATGCCGAAGCCGAGCTCGTCGCTCGCGATTGGCGGTTCAAGTCTCGCAGTGCCGTGCGCGGAATCATGGGCAAGGGCAAGGACTTCTGGGAAGACAGCGAAGGCTGGGCTCGTCTGAAGGAGTTGCAGTCTGAAGTTACGGGTAACTAAGTACATGAAAAACGGATACTGTTATGAACCATAGAGATTATGAATTGCTATTTGCATTTTGATATTCATTTGGTTCGATTTTGTTGATTTAGCAACATGAAGCTATGCATGCCAATTTACCTTGTTCTCGATTTACTGTAGGCATGTAACTTATCGTATGTATCACTTTGCTTCCAGCTTTCTTTTCACCATCCCGCAGAAACTCTCGAATAGGACACTGTCTGTCCCCTGGGTCCACCGTACCAATGCTTGTACCTCTTCGTTTTCAGGCTTCTGGCGTCTGAGTAACCGTAGGTACACGCGTACTCCCAGCTGGACTCGTGCTGGTACCTCTTTCAATCTGCCTTCGCCTTCCTGGCCAGCGAGTTTCATCTTCCGGCGTGCTTGTCGAGACCATACATTCTCAGCGGCGAGACCAGTCCCCGCCGAGGTATTTTGATCCCAGCTCCAGAACCAGGGCAGGGAATCAAATTCGCTGTTTAAGGTAGCGCTAGCTGTGTCAATAGATGTACCGGGTGCCAAAGTGAACGCGTAATCAGCAGGGAAGGGAAGCAGATGCTTCGGGAATCCAGGTATTCCTCGCGCAACGGTCTATCGAACAGTTAGGCACGAGAACATATCAAAAATCTCGATGAAGATTGCATAAAACATACCATAATAGGCCGTTTATTCCCCCACGACCAAGCCAGAGCCCACCGCTTCGTCTTGCTCCCCTGCACAAACTCGGTGACGGCATAATTGTGATTATCGTGCTGCATCAGCATCTCAACAAGAACGGAGACACTACTGAGTTTGCCGAGCATGGATGTATACCACTGGATACGGTCACGCAAAACGAGACTCTCGTCGATCATGCGTTTCACGAAAGCTACTTCTCCACCGCGGGTGACCATTTCCACCTCGGCGCCGGTACATGCCTGAAAAAACCATTAGTACATGTATGTGTTTTGCTTTGTTTTTGGCATGACAAATATTTGGTGAAATATTATACTTACCGAAAATGGAGGCCGTGCCTTTTGCTCGGCGGATTGAATCAGTTCATCACGCGAGGTATAGAAGGGGGGATTGCACATGGTAAAGTCGAGACTGATTGGTAGCCAATGTTAGATCAGATAGATTCTAGCAGGGACTAGTTTCGGGAGAGACGCACGTTTCATGGCCAAGCTTGTTTAGCGGGAAGAGCGGTCCCTCAGCGTCAGTATTGATAACCCGGATTCGGTGCTCGAGGTTGTTCAATTGGACGTTGTGCTGAGAGCTGCATATGTTATTGGAGTCGATATCTACCGGGTCAATCAGTATCGTTTCAAGTAAACGTGACTGGCGAACATACCCGTTGCAACAAACTTCCAACCGGGCCGGGTTGTGCAGCCAAGCAGTGGGTAAATACTGATACACCCGGTCCCACTGTGATTGATAAGTTGTGATTTTCAGGCGGGTGGAGCGGGAGAAACATACATATCAAGACCGACGACTTCTCGGTTGGAGTCATATCCAGATTTGAGTTCTCCAGTGGTGGAGTCCAGAAGGTCCTGAAGCCAGAGAATGTAATTAAGTCTGTTGTTTGTGTTAGTCGTGTACAGGGAGGTATCTTGGTATCAACCCTGCGTGGACATACCTATTTGGTACCTGCAAGCGAAGTCAGCGCATGTGCATGAGATCGTCGCTGTTTAATATATATGCATACCGGTGGACATAGTCGATCTTCAGGAATCTCCACTTTCAAATGAAAGTCCTGCTCCAGGAGGGTAGTAGTGAGCTGCCTGCATGATGTTAGTTATCCACTGGGGCAAGGATTCCAGGCATTAAATGACTCGGAGTTACCGGACAGCGGCTGGGTCGCTGAAGTCTAATTGAGATTTTGGTTTCAAACTTGATATCCCGTTAGTGAGGGTGCATTTTGCGTAGTGATTGAGCACAGGCCAGTTCACGTACTACTTGGCGAAGTCGCGCGACTGCAGCGCTAAGGCTGCGAAATCAACGTCGTTTCTGTAGAGATTTCGTGCATTTTCCATTTTGCGCGTTGGTTTCACTTTGAAGATCCGCTCATTGTACTTTTGAGATATTTGACGAAACGTTGTTGTTGGTTACGACGGGGAATACGAACGGTGTGAAGTTAGGTTGATGGCGTCATGTGACTATGAGAACCCTTGAATTCACGACAATGTAAGAATCGTCTTCTATATACAGCCCAGAAATAAAATAATTAATCGCCAAAAGGGTGTATCGCTGAGAATTGAAACCATATATGCACTGTTTTTGCACTGAGAAGCCCAAATCGTCAAGTCGTTATAGGCGGGTGCCTGTTCTGTATCCTGTTTTTGTTGAACCATATTTCGGATATTCCTCCTCAAAGTCTCAGTTTTAGACCTTGTTTTCTTTCTTTTGGGAGCGCTCGTGACGCTCAAGTCGCCATTGGTATCCCCATCGCATTTCGGCCATCAGGAGTGGGAGCATGGCGATGGTAATACCCGCAAGCAGAACGAATGTCCACTGAGCAGTGATGGCATCGATGATAGGCTGGACGGCAGCGACACCTGCAGCGCCAATCAGACATCTCATCAGGTTGTTGACGGCTGTTGCGCTGGCGCTGGCACCGGGATAAAGATCGATGACGAGTGCACTGTTGATGGTGAAGATGGCAGTGGAACCATACGCAATAATGAATTGTAGAATGATGGGAAGTGCAAGGTGTGTGCGGAGGGACACACCATAGACAGCAACAGAGACAATGAAAATTGCAGTGATCCACCAGGTGTTGCGCATACGGGCGTATTCGATGGGGAAATCCGGGTGTGTCTTGGAGTTAATGCGGGTGTCAATGGGAAGGTTGTGCTGCTGGCAATACTCGTGCTCGGTCCTCTTGTGGTTGTAATCCATCAGGTATCCAATTGTGTAAGAGCCAGTCATGCATCCGATACCATTGCCGAGGAAGGTCAGGCCTACCTCCATAGAGTTGAGACCATACTCCTGTTCGAACAAGTCGGATGTAGAAGATGTGACCATGGACCAGACAGTGTATACAATGCTACCAAAGAACAATGTGATGAAGACGTCTTTCTCACCCAAAAAAGTGAGAGGTGCAACAACGGTCCTCCAGGTGACGTTGGACTTCTTTCCAGAAGGGGTTGAGCCTTCCTGGGCATCCTTTTGTCCGGTAATGGAGTAGATCAATGGCCGGTACATGCCCTTGAGAGGCACAGTGCCATTACCGGCGATTGTACGGAGGGTTTCAGGGAGGAAAAACAGAATGGAGAGGAGGCTGATTCCGGATACGATGATCAAGAACCAGAAGATGGACCGGAATCCGAGGTATTCAGATAAGATACCACCAAATACTGGTCCTATTCCTTGTCCCAACATGCGAACTCGATAATGTCAGCTTTGGAAGTACACATTGTTTGAGCGGGTAGCTTACCACCACCAAAGATACCAATCAAGCTGCCTCGCTCTGCTGAGGTGGTGATATCACCAATTACACCGGCACCTAAGTAAGTAAGTAATGAAATCAGGAAATGCTAGACGTTTCATCTTACCAATTGAGATGGTGGCTGCACTTCCGGCAGCCTGTAGGGCTCGGAAGACCATGAGTTGGGTATAGTTTGTGGAGACACCCAACGCAATATTGGCAATAATGTAGACAAGGAATGTTCCAATAAAGATTACACGACGGCCAAGGACATCGGAGAAGGAACCCCAGAAACTTGGAGCAAGACCTTGAGCAATCATGTATACAGTGACCGTCAAGGTGGCTAATGACATGGAGACATCAAGCTCCTATGTTATTGTTAGGATGATAAGATGAGGACTTACTGGAAGTGAACTAACCTTTGAAATCTCTGATAGCGCAGGGAAATAGATGTTTGAAGAGAGTGGGGAGAAGATGGCGGCGAAGGAGACAATGATGACCATCTGCAACTTGCGAGATCGAGTGAAGACATGGTATGGTGGTGGTGTAGCTGCTTGGTCTTCGAGGTTGATCGACTCTGCCGGCGTTGATGGTGTAGAGATGTCCTTCTCATCCTGAGACGAAAGACTGGGGCTTGAGTTGACAGAATGCTCTGTGACTCTGGGGTCCTTGAGAGTCTCAGTAGAACTGTATTGAGACATAATGGATAGTTATAAAATAGGAAGAACAACTTTGTATATATGGAAAGAGACACAAGTCATTGACAATAACGTTGATGGAAATGGGACTTCATCGGATCCAGACAGCTTTGGATAAATCTAAAGTTCAAAAATGGAATGATGGCAGCCTTTTGTATTCTGATTCCAGCCCAACTCCCCCTGATAACAATACAATTCGAAAATAGCAAAATATTAGGCGGAACATGCACCTGAGAGTCAACTAAGCCCGGTCCACTGTGGGTTTGACCAGGGGGGCCACAGACCCATCCCCTTGATGATAGAAATGGCAAAGATCAGACAGATCTGGTAAGGCCGACGCAGCTCAATTTGACACATACAGGCGACGATCACTTACATGTACAAGACTCAATGTTTGCAAAAGAATTCCCGTCATGCTGCTTACGATTGAATAATGTCTTCTGGCTTGCATGTATTGTATTATACCTCTAGGCCTCAACGCCTGGAGTTTATCCACGGAAGAGGCGCATTTTTAAGGACTACGCGAGTCATTCCGGGGAATTGAATGTAGTGAACAGTGGAACAGTGCCTCAAAAAATATCCTAGGGCGAATGCTACTACCCACTGTAATTCCTTCCGACGTCCGTATACGCTTGCACTATTTGACAGATGATCTGCAAAGCATGTGCAGTACAACCGGTTTCGCCCATAGGATGGGAAACAGTCCCGAAGAGCTCGTTCTGAAATCTCGAGGACTTTTCTACTTTCGGACTCGGCATCTTGATACAATACCCAAGTTCCCGAGGGTCCGCAGTCGGGGATGCACGATAAGCAGAAGGGTATACCGAAACCAATCATGGTCTAATGCCTAACAAGTCAAGCCTTGGCAATTTAGATATCTTGGATACGGGGAGGAGAAACCTGAAACACGCCTCTCTCTCTCTCCAGAGCTTCGTGACTCCATGAGCCCCGTTATTAGCGATTATGCTCATTATCTGTCAAGCAAGTCCCAAGCTTCATCGGTGCCCAAGCATTATTGATTCAGGGGGAATAAAAGACCAATGAACGTGGTGTAGTTACGTAGATAACCATCCCCTTGGATCTTTGTATAGGGGATCCCTTGCCGCACGCAGAATCCCTATCCAATGAAGACCCGCAAAGGGGGCATACGGTTTAGGTTTGGGCACTAAGGATCCAATGAGGATGCAGTATAGCACCAGACAAGCAGTATTCACAAGCTACTGACCAATGTTGCTGCATTTCAAGCTCCGGGAGCATCATAGGTGGAGGAAAGGCGAAGAATGAGGTCCACGACATTTCGGGACAGGGTTCGCGCTAAATGGAGATGATCGACACATTGAACGGCCTCTATGTCGACTGTGCACAATGGCACAATGGTGCCAATCTTCTACTGTCGATCAGCTCCACTGTTGCTTTGTGCTAAGTTGTGATTCTTTTCTGGTCTAGTCTTACAAGTACTGTACTCCACTGAGGACCACGCGCGCCACGTCTAGAAAATCCCAGCGGAGTAGCCAAGACCTCGTCATCGTCTGCGATTGATTCTTGACCTGCAATGACTTGCACATCTCTCAACTGACCTTCGATCATATCCTTTCGGGGTATTTCTTTCACTCCGTACTCAACCTTCCGCTCGGCTAAGGCTGGTTAAGGCTGGATAGGGCTGATCAAGGCTGATACTGTACTATCAGTTTACTTTTCGGCACGAGAAAGCTCTTCGATCCCTCAATTTTGATGCCCAACGCCAAGACCCTGAATTTCACGGCACAGCTCCCAAATCACTTCCCTGGCGAGCGCCACCGCCGAGAGATCCCGAGAAAATATCGGCTAGCCGAGTTTAATCGTACTTTGTGCACGTTTAGTGGTGGTTCTTGTAGACTGGCCCGGCAGTATACGGTAATCCGATCAAAGATGCATTTCCACTACATCAAAGTGATCAACATAGCAGGGTCTGGGCTTTTTGGCTTACATGTAGGGTTACAATCTCCAAAGGTTGCGAATCACATCATACATACATGCATTGGTTTTGGCCGGGCGACAGGGCAATCTCATTTACAAACTTTCAAACTGAGCCCAAAAGGGACAGGCACCCGTCCGGGTCCCTTGAAGAAGGTCCACCAAACAGTTGCAAGCTGAAGCGCCGAAACTTGCACTTCATGTGTCTGGTCTTTCGGATTTATTCTGTAGCGCCGAGGTCAAGTCCGTAGGTCTATCTGATAACAATTTTCTTTAGAGTTGTTGACACCGATTGCTATTGTTACTTGTCTCCCATGGCTTTCTAACTTGACGTATACAGCCAACCTTGTAGTTATTTGATTATTATTTTTTTAGCCACTCTCTTTTTCCTCTTTATTTTTCTTCTCTTTAGAAGAGTCAATTTTTGTTATTAATTTATGAAACAATAGTCCAAGTCCACTGTGGCTTCTAGCAGCCTTCTCGTAGATCTAGTAGTTCCCCCCTGACAGGCATGACAATCTTCATTTGAAACACACAGCCAAAACATGAATAGTGTAAAATATGTCTGCCTGTGTTACGACGGCATGAGGCTGTGTTCGATATATTTGAGTTGGCGCTTCAATAAAACGCATTGGCCAGGGGATTTGCAGATCCAATGCAACCCCTGGATTGCCCGAGGCCATTTCCTGACAAACTGGGACTTGCACTAGAAAACCAGATAAGAAAGTTCCAGACAATTCTGCAAAGAATGCAAGTAAGGCCGACGGCATTGCGACGGAAAGTTGCAGCGTAGCATCATCACATGGAAACAATGGTCCCATGTTCTTCCAAATCGCGGATCATATCCACCCACACCAGACACAGAAGAAATAACGTCACAAACATACATCTCAGCTAGACCGTCTCCGACCAAATCCGCTCCCAATTTTTGCGTAGCGCCATAACCCACCTTGGCACCACGGCTCCAGGACTGTTGGACCCGAAACGCAAATCCATATGGAACCTGTGGACCACGGAGACACACACGCGCATCTTTGTCTCGACTCAGCTCTTAACTTCTTCGGCCCTACAGGGCCCCTCGGAACACCCCTGATCGTCGACATATGGAGCTCGCGTGTGGATTTGGCAATAGCGTGAGAGTTTAGTATGGAAATCCCAATTTGATAGTGCTGCGATCGTGCAGAAATATCTGTGCAATCCACAATAACGGTCGGGTGGCCCTACAGGGTGAAATAGATTCATACGCGGCTTTTACATTGGCCTGTTGATCGTGCCTCGTGCACATCTGACTTGACTGTAGTATCTTGGTAAAGACCTTGGTTTCTTGGCGTCGCAAAAGTGAGGAATTGTGGTGGCAACTGTTGGTTGAGTCGGGACATTCATAATCTCAATGTACGATGTATAAATGGCGGATTCATAAATCGGTGTTATTGTCATGGCTTATATAGGTCGAACATATAGCTTCGCCGAATTTATATGTATGCAAGCTGTTGCCAACATATGTATACATCCCCTGCAACTGGGATACATATGCATGCATACTGCTGCTATTTTTAGACGCTTGAGCCAAGTCTAGAGTATCGTACCGGATAAATACTATTAATATTGCAGATCTAAAAATTCCTGGTCTTGATATGTTGAATACAACAATATTTGCGTTTTAACGTACAAGTTACTTGTGATGCTTCTGTATCAATGACGTTATGTTCTTCAGCGGAAGGTATATTCCGCCTAACCACTACATACACTCCAGCAAAATTGCTGGATTGCAAGAATTTATCTTTAATTGAATCTATTTGTTTCCCTTCCAACTGAAAACTACGACAATATCCCAATAACACATCGTATCAAGTCCCATTATCTACATCGATTCCAAGATGTCGCACTTGCAATACTACTGCTACGACGGCTGGGGCCAAAAGGCCAAGCGAGAGTTCAATTACAGCCAAGCCGTCCGCATTGGCGATCGCATCGAGTGCGCAGGCCAAGGTATGAAAGTCCAAGGACATCGCCCGAACAAGCATGCATGCTGACAGCATCTCCCACAGGCGGCTGGAACCCAAAGACCTTCGAGTTCCACCGTGAAATCAACGCCCAGATTGACCAAGCTTTCGCCAATGTCGATCTGAACCTGAAGGATGCAGGAGGGAAGGGATGGGAGCAGGTTTTTCGGGTGAACTCGTATCATGTCCCAATCAACAACGAGGCCCTCGACGCGATGGTGCGAAACTTCAAGAAGTGGATGCCTGATCACCAACCGATTTGGACGTGTGTGGGCGTTTCAAGACTTGGCGAGGATGATATGCGGGTAGAGATCGAGGTGGTTGCTCATGACCCTTGAGCATTGCGCTTGAATGTGATATAGCGTGAGATGCGTTTTTGTATGAGACCCAAGTTGCCCAGTTTCAAAATCAAGAATGGTATATAGGCGTTACCACGTGAGAGAAAATTGGCTCACGAATGCATAAGAGTTCTGATGAACATGATTATTCTCAACGGCTGCCGCCTCTCCCTCCACCTCTGCTTCCACCCCTCCCTCTGGACTTGCCCTTCCCTCTGCCACCAGTCATTCGGCGTCCCGAGGCCTGGACATGAGCAATATCTTGCTTGTTCAGGTTCAATGTACCCCCTGAGAATTTGCCCACGGAGGAACCTCCAACACCACGCTCTCGTCGCCCACTGTTCGATTTGGAGGCCTTGTTAGGTTTCTCGAGAATAATGCCGTTCTCCTTAGCTTCACGGCGGCGTTTGTCTTCCTTCGAAGCTGCCTTGGCATTGATGCCACGTCGATGCGCATCTGGCATCTTCTGCGCATAAAGCGAAGACTTAGCTCCGAGGGATTGCATGCGCATATCCAGAGCCTTAAGACGGTTCTTTCCAGTGGGTGCAAGATCGTCTGCGGAATCGAGGAGGTGAGATTCCTTGAGAAGTCGCTGTAATGCGAGATCGTGCTTCAAGTTCACAGCGTCGTGGGCATCGTCCTCCTCCTCCTTCTTGGTTGCAGGGTCGTCCGAGTTGGCACTCGGTTTCTCTAAATTAGATAATAATTTTCCACTCTGCAGCAACATTATTAGTATTGAACCCCAGCCTCTTGATATTCAGCAATTCAGCACACACCAAAAACGCTTTTCGAGTCTTCTTGTCCATTCGGTCTTCTGGTGCCATGTGGGCATCCGTGTGTTCCACCACCTCGACTTCATTGCTCACGTCGCTGAAGTCGGATAGATCATCTGAGCCAAGCTCGGATCCAGAGAGTTCATCCTCATCTTCATCCTCGTCCTCGTCGCCCTCGGAATCCGTAGAATGGGCGGGTTTGGCGGTATGGCCTGGCAAATCAAGAGGCTCGAACTGCGCTTCGAAAAGTTTGCGGAATACGTCCTGCGCATTGTCCGCGGGAGGAGGACTCTCCTTCTTTTTAGGCTTAGAGACAACAGTGGTCTCGCGCTTCCGTTTTCCGACCATGATGAATGTGTCTGTCGATTATGTAGAGGAGTCAAAACAATTGCGCCGCCCAAGAAGTTTTTCGAGCTAATCGCATATCACGTGTGATAAGAGATAAGCCCCTCGACTCGAGCGTCGCTGAATATCACAACTCTTCTCTCCAATTCGAAGACAATGACCAAATTCAGACCGTGCATTGACCTGCATTCGGGGCAGGTGAAGCAGATTGTGGGTGGCACCCTCAGTCAAGTGGCTGCCGACCTGAAGACCAACTACGTATCTAAGCTTCCCGCCAGCCACTATGCGGGATTGTATGAGAAGCATGACTTGCGCGGTGGGCATGTTGTGAAGCTTGGCCCGGGAAATGAGGAGGCTGCTCAAGAGGCGTTAAAGACATGGCCAGGTGGTTTACAAGTTGCTGGAGGTATTACCGACCAAAATGCCCAATATTGGATTGACCAGGGCGCGGACAAGGTATGCACCACCCTCTGCGAATTACGAATTTCTTGATTGGTACTGTGCTTGATTGAGAATTGAAGAGATCTTTTGGTCCTGCGGCTGCTTCAAAATCCTGTTCCAAGTCCTCCGTCATAGTAATAGTCCGATGACGCTAATCATGGAATGCGGGACAATAGGTGATCATCACTTCTTTCCTTTTCCCTGCCGGCAAATTCTCGCTCGAGAGGCTTCAGTCGGTTCTGTCTGCTCTCGGCGGCGACAAGTCAAAGCTGGTCTTGGATCTTAGCTGTCGCAGAAAAGACAATACTTGGTTTGTGGCCATGGACCGCTGGCAAACCATCACCGAAATGGAGATTAACCAGGGTACGTCCTTATATCTTTCAGCTTTTGACTGTTGTTGATATGTATGGTTTGCTCATTGATATTTTATAGAATCCATCGCATTACTCGAACCATATTGCGCCGAGTTCTTGATCCACGCTGCAGATGTAGAGGGCCTGCAACAAGGTGTCGACGAGGAATTGGTATCCAGACTGGCTGACTGGTGTACCATCCCTGTGACCTATGCCGGAGGTGCGCGCAATTTGCAAGACCTAGAAAAGGTCCACACGTCCAGCAAGGGACGAGTGGACTTGACAATTGGCAGTGCGTTGGATATCTTCGGTGGCTCTGGAGTGACATTCGATGAGTGTATCGAATGGAACAAGTCTCATTAAATAGAAACAAAAACAATAAATGCCCAATAAACAAGTTCAAACTTGCAAAATACCCCAAAGCACTAGGTTGATGTTTATAGATGGCGGGTCTGGGCTTGTCCGAAAGCGGGTTAGGGCCTTGCAAGTGAAGGTCCGCCCGCCTCCGTATCTTGAGACTTCAACCTCTCTCTTTACTAGCCCTTTAGCGACATACTCTCTCTACCTATTTTCTTTATCCGATTACCTTTCTCTGGATCCTCCTCTGTCTCCGCAAACATGAAGCCCGTCGTCTCTGCCCTGAACGCCTGGTCCTGGTACGCTCTTCCAACCCATCTCCAACAATCAACCCCATCGTTCTAACCTCTCGCCCGCCAAATAGTGTCGTTATCTCCCTCTTCGCAATCATCATCTTATCAGTCCTCGGCTCCCTATACAGCGTACGTGATTCCGACCCTCTCCGACACCAGCCCGCCCAAAGACCCGGCCCTCACAAGGCATACGTAATATGACATCGAGCGCTAACAAGAACTTCCCTGGTACAGAGCAACAACCACGCATACACCGGTTCAGAAGACGAGCCAGAAGATGGTCCCGCAGTCGCTGCTTCAATTTACACCGCTGTGATCGTTTACGCTGTACGTCATTCCCATACCTCGGACACAAGACCGATCACTGTACAAGAGAGAGAGAATGGGGAGTATTGGTTACTGACGTTCTATTTTCTGATCAATAGGGCTTCTTCGTGTTCTGTGGCTTCCAGGCTTTCCTCCACATGCGAAACAGCAGGGGAGGTGCTATATCACTGCATTGAAGCTGATATAGCATACGTCCTTTTTCTTCGGTGTCCTGACAACGCGTTTATCTATCGATTTGCAATATTTGGGATGAAATCTCGGTGTTTTCTATGGGCCAACATGGTCTTGGATTGATGAGTTTGATGTGCCTTGAAGCGGAAAGACAGCAGAGATGGTGTCCGTCCCTCGGCAGTCATCTTGCCTGTCTCATTGAGCGACTCGTACGTATTCGTCCATGAATGAGCAAGGATCTGCTTGGAAGTCGTTTGCGGGGCAGGTTTCCCAGTTTCCTTACTAGAACACACAGACGCACAGACGATCTACCTGCGACTTGTACATAGACCGCTCGAAGTATAGCCAGCTTCTTTTTTTGATATCTCATTATGTCCATTTGATGCATCTAGAGAGTAAACTTTTGTAAAGACATTTATTCATCATCATTGAGAAGTAGCATGATTTCATGACCGCCAACGCCAGTGGATGCAGAACCAGATTTAGAGCTCCAGCTCCAGCACCTAGTTTTGTTTTGTTTCTTTCTTCTTTTTCCAATAAATCACTCCTCATCTTCCCAAGGGTCCAGCATCTTGGACATGTAAGGACCATCCAAGAAGTACCCAAGGCGAGCATAGTAGCTACGCACGCCAACACCGGAGATAACACTGATCTTCGTACTGCCGTGCTCCTCACGAGCAATGCGCTCCGCCTCCTCCATTAGCAAGGTACCAAAGCCACGGTGCTGGAACTTGCGGGCATCACGTCCATGAAGTGGCACAGCAGAACCATAAACGTGCAACTCGCGGACGATACTCGTCTGCTGGCCTGTGAACTCAGGACGGAAGGTGTGGGTATCGCTGCACTTGCGCAGACGAAGCAAGCCAATGAGGATATCTTGCTTCGGGTCCTCGTATGCCAAGAATGTTTCCCAACCGCCGTTGGCAGTGTAATCACGGCGGATCAACTCGATCTGCGAGGGGCGGATCTTGTTCTTCACTTCGTTGATACCGACCTCTCGGGTGCGTACGTCACGGCAGGTCGTACCGAAGTCCTTCATGCGTGCCAATGCCAATTCGCGCAGGTTGCCGTTCTCCACGCCAGATGTCACCAATGGCATGGGGATATCGCGTTGAACTCGGTAGATACGAGTCCATGGAGGAACCAGGGCGAGGATGCGTGCGACTAAGTCGATCAGCGCATTGGGGGTGTAGTTCTTATAACGGCCGGTTCGCCACAATTCGTAGAGACCGGTGCCTCGAATAACAAGCGTGGGGTAGAGCTTGAGACCGTCAGTGCGGAAGTTGGGGTTCTCGAAGTACTCCTGGAACTGGAAAAGATCGCGCTCCATTCCAACATTGGGCAAATCGGGCATCATGTGGCTGACAACCTTGAAGCCGGCATCCTTGGCAAGCTTGAAAGTCTCAGCCACTGCTGCCACAGTATGACCGCGGTTGGTGTCTCGCGCAACATCCTCGTACAGACTCTGTACACCGATTTCCAGTCGAGTACAGCCGTAGCGGAGCATACTGCTCAAATGTGTATCCAGACAGTAATCTGGTCGTGTTTCAATTGTGATACCCACACACTTCACGTTGCTCATTTCGCCTGCCTGCACGGCCTCGTCGACATTGTCCGTTTGGTATCCGCTCAGTGCATTGTGAAGCTGTGAGATGAAGCTGTCACGGTAGTCTTCCGGCAGCGACATGAAAGTTCCACCCATAATGATGTATTCGACCTTGTCCACGCTGTGGCCGAGAGATTTGATCTGGTCCACTCGTCCTCGCGCCTGTTCAAATGGATCGTAACGAGCGCGGATCGCCCGCATCGAGGTTGGCTCATATCCGGTGTAGGATTGAGTCGAGTATTCGAAGTCAGAGTCTGGACCACCGGGGCAGTAGACGCAAATGTTACCGGTGTAGGCGATATGAGGGCATCGGTGAGGTTTGCACATAACTGCCACCACGGCGATACCAGAAGAAGTTCCTGCAAATCAAGTTAGCTGGTGCCCAGCACTCCCCCAGACAGTTGTGACATACGAATAGGCTTTGCGATCAGCTTCGGTAGAATGTATTTCTTGTAGTGTTCAGGTACTGCGGCAATGATGGCCGTCAGTGGCGGCTGGGTCGACAGACTGTGCTTTTTGGCGATCGTGCCGCGCAACTTGTTGAGGTTGACATCCTTCTTAGGCTGTGAGGAGTCCCTTGAGGACTCGTACTCCTGGATCAGGGCATTTGCAATGTCGGAGCACGCTCGCATGAACCGTTCGTTCTCCGGCACCTGCTTCGCCATCTTCTTGGCGTTTCGCTTCGTGTTCGTGGGGGTCATCGTCATGGTGGCCATGGTGAAGAGGATATCACCGCGCCGAGGCGGGAAGACGTGGAGAAAGAGTGAAGATGAAGCTGTTGAGCTGGGGTGGTGGGGGTATAAAAATTGTGGTCGCCGAGGCCTGCGCCCGAACAGCACTCGGATCCGCTTAAGTAAAAGATTGTCCCGAGCGAAAACTCCCGGGCGCGCAACCCGATCCCTTCACCATACCCGAATCCTTTTCTCTCCTTTCATACTCCTCAACACCTCTCCTCTCTACCTATCGCAATGCAGGCCTTCCGCCGTAACACTGTCTCGGCCCTCCGCCAGTTCGGTGCCACCCAGCGCCGGACTGAGGCCACCTCTGCCTACCAATCCACCGTGAACAACCTTCGCATCAACAAGGACACTCGCGTCCTGTTCCAGGGTTTCACCGGAAAGCAGGGAACGTGAGTGCAGATTCTGCAGATTCCCTGATAATTGTACGCGCTCGACGCTGACACTTCGTCTCGAAATAGCTTCCACGCAGAGCAGGCCATCGCCTACGGTATTTTCTTCTTTCGCCATTGCGACGAGTCACCCATTGCTTACACAGGATAGGCACAAATGTTGTCGGCGGTACCAACCCCAAGAAGGCTGGCAGCACTCACCTCGACCTCCCCGTCTTCGCCAACGTTAGCGATGCCGTGAAGGAGACCGGTGCTACCGCCTCTGCTATCTTCGTCCCGTATGATCCTACGATTTCGATGAGACCAGAATAATTGCGCTAACTGCAGTCAGTCCCCCTCTCGCTGCTGCCGGTATCGAGGAGGCCATCGCCGCTGAGATGGGCCTCGTTGTTTGGTACGTGTCAAACCAATGGAACTTTTTTTGCCTCCCTATTAGGAGCTTCAAACTGACGGGATTTTCTTCTATAGCATTACTGAGGGTATTCCTCAGCACGGTACGAATCGTTCGAATAGCACATGAAGCACGCAAACTGATTGTTTTGATATAGACATGGTCCGCATCACCGATATCCTCAAGACCCAGAACAAGACCCGCCTGGTCGGCCCCAACTGCCCCGGTATCATCGCTCCCGTAAGCTATCACCATACAGTCCTTCGAAACGCGCCGGGTGCTCATATATCTCGTTTATAGGGACAATGCAAGATCGGTATCATGCCCGGCTTCATCCACAAGCGCGGTCGTGTCGGTATCGTCTCCCGCTCCGGTACTTTGACCTACGAGGCCGTCAACCAGACCACCCAGGCCGGCCTTGGTCAGTCTCTCGTCGTCGGTATCGGTGGTGACCCCTTCTCCGGCACCAACTTCATCGACTGCCTGAAGATCTTCCTCGAGGACCCCGAGACCGACGGTATCATCATGATCGGTGAGATTGGTGGTTCCGCCGAGGAGGACGCCGCCGAGTTCTTCAAGGCCAACAACATCCACAACAAGCCCGCCGTCTCCTTCATCGCCGGTATCTCTGCTCCCCCCGGTCGCCGCATGGGTCACGCCGGTGCCATCGTCTCCGGTGGTAAGGGTGGTGCCGACTCCAAGATCTCCGCCCTGACCGATGCCGGTGTCATTGTCGAGCGCAGCCCCGCCAACCTCGGCAAGTCCCTCCTTGCTGAGTTCGTCAAGCGCGACCTTGTCTAAATTAGTCGCTGTTGATGCATCATGTGTCTTTTTTGCCTGTATCTTTATGCTACGGCTGGGGATCTGAGGTGATATTTGCCATTTATACTATGGGGTTTTATGGGCTGTTCCTTGGTAACTGCTCCTGTATTCTTTTTCTCCTTTGTGTTAGAGACCCTTGAAGTAATTACTTTCGTGTAACTTTACTGTATCCCGCTTTGTGCATCATAGGTGATCCAACAAGGTAGATTAGTAGACCAGAACTATATACAACCGGGTATTATACATCAACTTCTTCCTTCAACGTCCACGACGCAGACCCTGGGGGTGGTGCATCTCGCACTTTCCAGTTCGACCGGTCTGCGCCCTCATCCCACGATAGCACCTCCTCATAGTAGTGACGGTAGGCCCAGAACTTGGGTTCCTCATGGTAGACAATATCATTTGTTTCGAAATCCACCTGGCCCCAAGCTTCGTTGATGCGCGCCACTGCTTCCGCCCTCGAACATCCGAGCTTCTGGATTTCAGACGTGATTTCCTGGAAGAACTCGTACAAATCTTGGTCTAAAACAGGTAAGAACTCTGAGATTTGAACTATTTGACTCGACGTGGGCTGGGGATTGGTTAGTTGGTGTCTTGATATGTAGTCTTCATTAGGGGGTAGCCTTGCCTGTTTGTCACTGTTTCCAGGCATTGAAGCGCTGGGCTCTGTCTCTTTTGATTCCGGCATTTAGAATACCGAACTTATGAACGAGATTTTGGGAATTGTCGTCTCGGGGAACTGATCTCTCTTAAATAGGTGTTCACTATGGTAATACGAGGCCAAGCGGATCGACCTGACTCACTCAAGTACCAAGCGCCGGAGATCATTTCAGGATCGATACTATAGGTGTTGATCTTGATATAATGTCAAGAATTTTGCTAGCTGCTCTGTAATTTCCATTTATGCAATCATCTAGCCCGTCTGGATAGCGACTGGCCAACTTGGTTCTGCTGTCAACCACCTACACGGTCCTCTTTTTCCTCTTTCTTTCTTTCTTCCCAATACTAAACATGTCGTAAGTGTATATACCTTGATACCTTTCTATATAAGCCCTCTATATGTCTTATCGAACAGCAAATGTGCCTAGGCCGGCCTGTTGAGGGAATATATGGACAAGGCCTATACAAAGCCTATTTGGGAAGTATAGCATTGTGGCTCCCTGGGTATGCTCCGATTCCCAACAATGCGTGTATTTCATGGACTGAAGTATGACTTTTATCGATAGTTTTTTCTTCCATGGTATACTTGCTTGGGAAACAAGGTGCTAGCAGAGCATTTGGCATTTCTAAGGAACCCAGCTGAGCCGGCAGTAGCCACGCTCTACAATCTGGTATCAAAACATTATTATGACTCCTTATACACTTCGAACGAATATATAGACACTTTCTATACTTCCTTCATACCATGGTTCTAGATAATGGGACATATAAGAGAATTCTGACTCTTTCTTTCTTTTCTCCTTTTACCTACCTCCTCAACCATCCCATCCATCTAGATGTTCAACCCCATCCCCCTCTGGGTGTGGATCTACGGGGAAAAGGAGAGAGCCATCGAGGATTTACTCTGGGACCTCGAAGATGCAGAATCAGGAGCTATCAACTCACATTTTTCCACATTTCGCGTTAAGCTCCATAAAATGGACTTTGTCACCGGCGCGACCTCGTCTGACATGGTCGAATACTTCAAACCGGATCTGAAGACCAAATTCCAACTTGAAAACACCTTCCTCGACCCCGATGACCCAAAGGATGACAAGTTCCCATCCATGCTGAAGAAGAAAAACGACCCAACTTTCGATAGCCAAAAGCTTCATCAACAACTACGAATGTCCTTTGCAAAGTACATCACCCATTCGCCCAATGGCCGCAGAGCAGCTTCTGGCTGGCAGTTTATCAAGTAAGTTTCTATTCTCTCGGAATCCCACATAATCAAAGTGCATAAACTAACTCTAGACAAATGTAGCCCTGAACAAGGAGGCGATCTGTACAACAGCAACGACAAACATGGCTTCATAATCGATCAAGGAGCCGCAAGCGTCAGCGCTAGCGCCTCTCATCAGCTTGTGATCATGAACAGCGAAGAATGCTATAGCATCAATAAGCCATCCACAGGAGAGCTCATTGTTCTCCTCCGATGGATGCTTGAATCCGTCAAACCCCAAAAATTCAAATCTGGCGTTTCAGCTCGCAAGGACCCAGAAAACGGCCCCTTCCAACATGACATCCCGGTATGTTTATGTATTCCAATATATTGTATCTACAGAACAAGTTTACTAATTTGAATATAGACTATGGTCATCTCATTCCTACCCGATGCCAAGGTCCGCGTCTTATACGGCTACTTCGACAACGGTCTCCTCAAAATTGCTCACACCAAGGCAATTGAATTCGACAACATCAAATACGAAGAACGTATGGATACTCTCCTCCAATGGGCCTGGCCCATGATCTGCAAGGATACTTCCAAGCCAATCCCAATGCAGACAATCGAAGAGAGCGACGAATCAGACGAGTCCGATCAACCTTGTTGAATCAAAATCAAAACAATCACGTCAATCTGCTAGGTTAATCGGAGCTGAGGAAAAGGCGGCTTAGGTCCAGAGCGCCCTGGATCCAGGATTTCCCTCTCGGTGAAGGCAACCAAAGCACCATCAATCTCGAATTTCTTATTTCATATCCTTGTATTGGCAACCAGCCACAAATTTCTGTGATGTTCTATATGTTCTATATGCTCTTATTTCGCATCGCATCGCATCGCATGTATCCCTGCTCAGTTGCCAATTAGTATATAGCAGATCTTCATTGCAAATGCATTTGGGGATGAGAGAGAGAACACCATTCTATGATTTATGTAGTCCATACCTGTAGATAGTGTAGATGATTTGAGGCCGTTCGATGTTGTTACGGCAATATGTCTCAGTATTCTAGTATCAGTGTTCATTTTTTGTACTTTGCTTCTTCTATTTCTTCTTCGTTTCATTTACGAGAAACAGTGTTCGGCCCTGATACTCGATCTACTACGACATGCTCTATACCTCGGGCTCTTAGTAGAATGGACATCCTCAAACATCCACTCTATTTCTTAATCTTCCTCAAAGCCTTAACTACCTCTTCCGTCCCAATAGCATCAGCAAACTCCCCATCAAGGCTAGCAACAGTAACCTTCTGAATAGTCTCAGAATCAATCCCAGACTTCCCAAAAGTAGCCGTCGCATCAGCAACAAGCACAATCCGCCCCTTATCAACCTGGACGTCCCTCTCATGGGTACCATCCGCTCTCAACTTAACAGGACCATCCCCGAGATACCGATCCACAACCCCCAGATTAGCCGCCATCCGCACAGTAGTCGAAACACAATGATCAGTCGTCAACCCGGCAATAATGAGTTGACGGAAACCCTTCTCACGCAAATGCGCTTCAAGCCCTGTTCCAATAAAGGAGGAGTTAACACTTTTCCAGAATACAGGCTCCGACCCATCAGATGCAGGAGTAGCGAAGTCTAGTGGACGGATACCCTGTGCGGGGTGAGAGGGGTGTAGCGGAGATCCGGGGGTTGTGGATGAGTGGAAAATGTGGATGACTTCAAATCGAGAAGAAGAAGAGGTGGATTTTGCAGTCCGGAATGCAGCGAGAAGTGCTCGGAGGTTGACTTCGTAGAATGGGTTGGATCGTGTGGTGCCCCAGTGTGAGATTGTTTGTTGGTGGCTGAAGCCTGCTTGATTGTCGATCAGGATCAGGGCTGTTGGGAGGCTGAAGTCCAGTGGCGCTACCATTTTGATAATGTGAGATGCTAATTGCTCGATACGGAGTAGTTGTTAGGAAGTTGAGTGACGTTTAATTATGGGGCTATATGGGTCAATTTATACCTTGGACGGCTTTTCCGTGACTCACCCGGCTCACTAATCAGATCTATGAAGTTTTCATGTTACAAGTGTTGCTACACCAACGCCACAATTAAAGATAATTAGTCTCCGCTTCCTCGTACAGATATGGTTAGTCTACTGAAATAGTTTACTTATGAAGAAACGTCAAAGCTTCAGTCTTCCAATTTCTTAATTCCCTCTTCTAAAGAGGGGATTTTACATTTCCCAATACCAAGTCTATGTCGCCATTTAGTTTCCTCCTTGAGCTTCGCTCTCATGCGCCGTCTGGGCGCGTAGTTGATGGGAGATTCGCCACCAATAAAGATGAACGTATCGTAGAGAACGGCGCCGACAAGACAGCCACTAATAGTAGCCACCCAACCTCCCCAGAACCACCAGCCATTACGAGCAGTAAATGTTTCACCACCATATCCGACCATAAGAGCAACAAGACGAGGTCCAAAGTCTCGCACGGGATTCAAACACCTGTAGAGCCTAGTCAGAGCTGCCGTAGAAAGGAATTGCAGAAGAAACTTACCCTCCAGTATTAAATCCCAAACAAATACAAAGCACATAGATAACCAGACCAATGACAAAAGAATGCATACCAGCACCAGGTGGAGCATTACTATCATCACCCATTGCAAAGATAACACAGAGAAGAATCGCATCAGCAATGAACTCAGTGAAGAATGCCGTCGCAGAGCTGATGTGATTCATTGGCTCGGTATAAAACCCAAGCCCGGAGCTACCAGCAGAGGCAGTTGGTACGAAAGTGACAATTGAATCGCGATAGATACAGTATGCCAATCCTGCTGCAGTAATTGCACCAAGCACTTGCGCTATCACATAGTAACAGCATCGTCGACCGGGAAATCCACGGAATATCCAAAGCGCGATGGATATACCTGGATTGAGATGGGCACCGGAGACACCACCAGCTAGATAGATGTCGACCATCGATCCAAGTCCCCAGGACCAATTTTCTGAGAGCTTGGTTCCGGCATTTGTTCCTCCTGTGGATATTGCGAGGGTTCCGGTTAGGCCAATGAAGAGAGCGATTGTGGTCTGAGATAGAACATATTAGTTATTAGTATTGAGATATGTATAGCAGGGGATGTAAGCTTACTGCGAGCCATTCTGCGAACGGTTCCTTCAAGTAATTTCGGATTTTCACCCAGTTGTTCAGGAATTCCTCATGTTCCGACTGCCCCATTTCTGCCTCTTTCATAGCTCCCCCGCCAGAACCAATTTCACTTTCCATTGGCCGCAACATGCCATCGGGCTGGGTTCCATATACGGCATGTTCCACTGGAGCTCCCTGCTGGGCCGCAGATGCATAAGTGGGAGGATGTTGCGTCGGTGTAGCAGGTGTGGCAGGCGTATTGGTGGCATTCGAACGGGAGTTAGACAGTCCAGGTGTTGCGCCGAGTTCTGGTGCAGCTTCCGCCTCTCCTCGAGGCTTGGTATCGTATGTTTCCTGCTGGGTGTGTTCATCGCGACGCATCCCCGGTCTCACAACACGCGGAAGAGGTTTAGCTAATCCCCAGACGGGCTGCTCGTTGTTTTTGCCGTATCGTGGGTTCATGGATCTGTATTCCGGATCTAGGTACACAGGCCCTTGTGCTGATTGGTCGTCCATTGGACTTTGACCTGCCAGGGAGTGAGATGGTGCCCGCTGAACAGTATCTCGGGTTGGTGTTCTGGTAGAGGCGTTTTGTTGAGATTGGTCTCCATAGTATAGACTGCCTGATTCCGTGGGCTGTCTGTTTACAGCAGCTCTTGCACCGAGTGGGGTTGATGGTTGTCCTTGTGGTGTCGATGGTTGTTCGTGTTGAAAAGCTTCTGGTCGTGGGCGTTGTTGAGATGACAAGGATATTTGCTGCTGTTGCTGCTGTTTGACTTCCCGAGAATACTGCGTTTTGGGGGGTGAACTGCTGCTCGAGTTGTTCAAAGTGTCGGTAGAAATACAGAATTGGGACTGCTTTCTCGTTCCTCGATTGTATGGAGTGAATGTCCCGGTTGGTGTTTGTGAACTGAGTGCTCGCCCATATTATGGGTTGACGAGACAAGATATGCAAAGAACTATTCGAAGAGAATGTACAAGCAGATTGACGATAAAATCCTTTGGTACGGGGAGGTTCTTGTGCGTTTAAGACTCTTGAACTTAAGCACATAGCTTGATGACACATGAAACAGTTTCCAGTTTTCTTAAGATCGATGAGGGCAGCCTAGAAGCTTTACATTGAATTTAGGATTTTCATCCTGTCAAAATATGGGGGCATTTCCAACATAGGATTAGATGAAGTGCTTTGGCAGGCGATATCATAAGAGAGGGGATTTTTTCGATTCTCGGCCTGCGGGTAACATCAACTGATGCCCGATCGATCGATATAAACAAGACCTCTTCTGCATATAATATGAAGAATCGGCTTACCGGTCCCCTAGGCCGGCCAAACAATGAACGGCGGAGAATCTGGAAAATAGACTTGTTTGCCACTGCTCAGGTGTTTCGTCGTTCCGCAAATCAGATGTCCAGGTCCGTTGGTACTCAACCGCGCCAATCAGAAGCTCGGTTTCTATACTTAAAGATTGTCCCACTCTTCATGACATAGAGAGGTATAGGTTTTTCAAGTCTTCAATTTGTTCATTCATCTCCTTAGAAACATATAATTTTACCATCTCACTATTTATGTATCACTCCCAGGCCGAAGCCACTCTATCTACCCGGACTTTGACATCTCTAGTGCTGCCCTCCGTCGAAATAAGTCGAGCATTGGTAGAGTTACCATCAGGGAAAATCTGCGAAGTCAAAGAAACCTCACCCTGACCTCCTAACACCTCAACACTAGACCAATCAACAAATATCTCCAAGTCCACACGCCCGTTCGGACCTGCCGACAACGGCGTATGATAGATACTCCCAAAAGTCCCATCAAACGAGATATCCCCAGACTTCTGTCGATCAACAAAAACCTCCTTGCTAGTGAAATTATAACCAACAAGCGTCTGCTGCGAGAAATCAGAGCTAGCCCGTACAGCAATCGCAAACTCAGATGCATGACGATCATCCGAATCATGATCCGCAAAGCTCAGACTGACATGGAACGTCTTGCCCAGCGAGCCGAGATTCACCGACCCTTCTGATACAGAATGCCAGGAATGAGACACATCGTTGTGACCCGTAACACTTTGCAAACTCTCATGCGGCTTCTGAAGAAGAGTGATCTTCTGATCAACCATCTTCAAAGACAATCGACGAGGAATCGTCATCGCACTCCGCCATGGATCGGTCGGTATCGCGGCTCCATATTGCCAATTGTTCATCCAAGCAAGTTGAACCCTCTCATCAGCAGGAAGTCCATTATAACTAGCAGCAGCGTAGAAGTCCGGACCCCAATCGAGCCAGTTCGCAGTTTCATTTCCGGGATACACACTTTCAGAATCGGGGGTGAAAGTTGTACCGTTGAAATCACCGATGAAATACTGCGTTCCTGACCCGACTGTGCCTGGTGGTCCGCCCGGGTTGAGTCCTAGGACCAAGACCCATTTCGTGGTTGATTCATCATCGTTGGCGGAGAGAGGGAATAGATTTGGACATTCCCATACGCCGCCGACTGCATTCTTTGGTCCGAATTCACTGAGTGGAGACCAGTCTTTAAGATTGTCCGAGCTCCAGATGAAAAGCTTGTGGATTTTTGCTAAAGCTGTGACGGCGATCCATTTCTGTGTCTCGCTGTGCCAGAATACGAAAGGGTCTCGGAAATTCTGATACTCGGTTGCGTAGGTAGATGGGGGGTTGTGGATGACGGGGTTCTCGGTATCGTATGTAGTCCAGGTCATGCCATTGTCCAGGCTGTAGGCGATTGATTGGGATTGTTGTTCTGCGAGGACGTATTTTCCACTAGGCAAAGTCTGATTGATAGGATACTAATTTGGATATTGGTATTAGGTTGATCCTTGGACATCAAGAAAAGTGAGTATCATCAGGCGTACTTACCATGGAAGTATACATGGCCACCAAGGGGATCTTGCCATCAACGCCGAAACCGCTTGTATTATTCACATCGGCAACAGCACTCCCAGTGAAGAACATTTCAGTCACATCATTGGGATACCCCCGCGCAAGTAAAGCAACGGGCTGTTCCTCCCAATGGGTTAAGTCTTCGCTCGTTGCATGGCCCCATGACATATTTCCCCATTCAATTCCGCCGGGGTTATATTGGAAGAAGAGATGGTAGGTACCATCATGATATAACAAGCCACTTGGATCATTCATCCAGTTCTTGTTGGGCGAGAAATGGTATTGGGGTCGGTGCGGCTCGGTATAGTTCATGCCAGATGCTCTGCTGGCTAAAAGGCCCAATGCCATTAATGTCTCGAGTAAAACACCCATGCTGTTTGTTGTCTGCGTAGATTACTTTATTCTATGATATCCTGGAATTTCATATTATATTTATATGTGATATTCCCTACCTCACATTCCTCTCCTCTTAGATTTACCCCACGGCTCTGCATATCTTCGGGGAAATATAAACTTGGCCCTGCATTTTTGTAATTTCCCAACAGCAAAGGAGGCGGTATGCCCGGAGCCAAGTCGCTGAAACTCGGTAGTAATCTCGGAGTTCTAAATATCCCCACGTATATTCGGGCCCGAAGCGCTGCCACCCCGCACTACCCTGAGAGTATCGGTGGAGCCATGATGTTTTTTGGGGGACAAACAACATGCCTCTGCAAACAACGTGACGGAAGTGTCGGATTACAATCTGATATTTCCGAAGAATCCCGCTTTTATGCTGGCTGCGTCACATTGGACATTGCAAAAGTCATGTACAATGGTCACTAGCCATCCAGCATCCACCCCCTAGCCTTCAGTCAGTCTCCTTAATATTCCTAGTCACAACCTGGCTATAATCATTCGGAGCAGCCCGATTGCAAGGAATCCCAGATTCCTCCTGCCCAACAATATTCGTACACTGATAAACCTCATCCTGCAACGTGGTGTCATACATCGGCAAACCAAGCGTGCTGTTCACAGACTCAAGCTCAACGTTCTCAAACCTAATCCGAGGGCAAGGATGAACATCAGAACAGTAAATCGAAGCACCAACATTATACCTGGTCGTAGCCTTGATATTCGACCACGTAATATCCTCGATAGCCATCTTGGATGTATTGCAATACTTGCCATCGGCCTCGGTATAGATACACTGCGAGATCTGGATTGGCAGCGCGACATTCGTCATTTCGAAATTGCGCCAGGTAACGTTCTTGATTAGCCCGCTGCCTCCACCTCCGGCGTCGCCGTTGAGGTTGTCATCGCCGGCCGGGACGCCTTGCCAGGTTTTGATAAATGCGCCTTCCATGCAGTTGTAGCATTTCACGTCTTCGAAAGTGACGTTCTCGACGTAATCCGGCATATCGGGGTATTGGCCCACAGAGCCGATAGTCATGCCGAAGTTGTCATAGCAGGTGACGTTCTTGACATGGAGGTTTGTTGTATTTCCCTTGGCGGCGATGCAGTCATCACCGTTCTGGACGACGGCGTTCTCGACGAGGAGCGTGTCGCTGTTCCACGAGTCGTAGCCGTCTGTGTTCACCGTGCCCCATTGGTCGTTGCTTGTTGCGTTGACGTAAAGGTTTATAATCGAGACGTTATAACTATATGTCACGAACGTCGCCCAGAACTGGGGCTGGATAATCCGCAGACCGTCCACTAGGAGGTTCTTCGATTCGAAGAATGTGATACTGATCGGTCGACCGGGTTGGTTGCTTTGGTTCTGGTTCTCCGTGTACCACGCTTGGCCTTGGCCGTTGTACCAGCCGCCGTCTGCGCGGAAGGTCACGTTCTCGCCGCCGAAGAGCCAGGCTGTTGACTGGTTCTGGAATACGACGTCGTAGGAATGAGAAAGCCAGTAGTCGATGTCTGTTGAGAAGCGGAGCTCGCCTTGTAGAGTGACGTCGCAGTTGGCCAGGTTTGTTGTGTTCATAACAGAGTTAATGTTAAATATACCATCGGTGAAGATGACGTCGCCGTTTTGGCCGCATGTTTGGAAGGCCTGGTGGATGGATGGCGCATCGTCCACTGCTTCGCCGTCGTGTCTTAGAGACTCCGGGTATAGATAACAAGTAGCCTTGTCATTGACCATAGTCGTGACTACGTAGCCAGCAGCGGTAGTGGCTAGAGCCACAAAGCGTAACAAAAACATTATGTCGACAGGTTACCAATCGGATTGGTATTTGTTCTATTTGCTTTTTGGCGTCTGTCTCGGATGGCGCTGTCTCTCGTCTCTCCACGAACACGCCGGACCACACCGATTAAATACTTCCGACGGAATCAGACCTTCGGCCTAGTCATGAAAACCAAGTAAACAGAGGATGCGATGTTACGCCTTTCCCCGCATCGGGATATGAGCTGCCCCTTGATCGCGGATTGAAATTTCTCACGTGATGCCCCTTGGCGCTATTGGCGCTTTGCATATGACCTTTGTTTGTTCATCTTATGAGGTCTGAGGGTGAAGCAGATGATCGGCGTGGGGGTAGACGAAGGATCGTCGCGGCTTTTATGTGGAGTGCTATCGCTTCACCACGAGACCCACTCACAGTTAGTGTCCCGTGGGCTCTGAGGAATGATTAAATCTGGGGGAATCATAAGGGATTCGCTGTGAGTAGGTATAGCCAAGAAGAGCTACAGGGTTTACTAGAGGGAGTGATGCTTGTTCAGATGACTTTATATCGAGTCTTGGGGTTAGGGTCACGAAGGGGACTTCGGGTAAACAGGAACACACTCTACACGGACTAAGACACCAGGGCAAGGCCGAGCGTAACGAAGCGGAACGAGATTGTTGCCGATCTCGGCTCTCGGCAAAATGTATTGGCTGAAAGTTATGTTGTTACATTTGTAGACACATCAAACAGGGACCAGGAACAGAGCCCTGTCATCCAGGGCAGTAAATACGACTCTTCAAGACCTCGTTCTTATTGGGTCTTTTTTGATGACGGCTTGGGGAACTTCCGTGTCCGACGGCGCAGCATCTCCACTCGCTCGTCAAGGGTCATGTTGACTTGATCACCAATGGGGATCAGACATTTCGCGAGATACACGTAGTTCTTTCTTAATAGATTAACGGTGATGAAGATATAATCAACGTTCCGGAACACTAGAGCGTCTTCTTCGGCATAGCGACTCTTCTGCGTCAGGAAGGCGACGGGGTGATCTCTCCAGTGGCGGCGGGGGTTCAGGTGGTGGGAAGTGTGGTATCCATCATTGAAGGAGAATCGGTTACTCTGTTATTTGTAAGTGTCATGCAAGTATGATATTCGATATGAGCAACTTACCGGGACATCAATTAATGTGATACTCGAAAGGTAATCCGAGTCAGGGTCGGCCGGGTCCACGAAAGCATGTTGGCCCCAATTGCCAACCATCAAGCCCAGACGCATGACGGTGAGAGGAAGGAGGAACACGAACAATGTCGCACGGGCATTGACATAGTTGTAGAGCGTATAGAGAGCGACATAGTTGCTCAACTCCCAGAAGGCACATCTCAAAGCATACTTCGTCTGGCCCTTTCGGAAGAAGTACATCGGAAGCTCAAACCAGATGAAGAAGACAAAGCGACCCACATAGCAGAGGAAGTCGGGGACACTGTCGCGGTCATAGTACATCGTTGTGCTCAGATCATCTCTACCATTGCCCTCGACGTGGTGGTGTTTGATGTGGTGGTAAAAGTAGGAGTTCCATGTATGCCCGAGCATGGGGTCAAGCAGGTAAGGGAATAGCGTGTCGAGCAGGTAGTATTTCGGCGACAACACACCGTTCATGTGAATATGTTGATGTTTCATCAAAGTGAACGCGCCGCAGTAGAACAGTTGCATGAACCAATGCATGAAGCCATGTAAATAAGAAAAACGGTAGAATAGCAATATAGCACTGGGCACAATGGTGGTGAAATAAAGAATGAGATGTGTTACCATAACCACATCAGTCTGAAAGCGTACGACACCTTTCGCCCAATTGATGTACGGCGTCAGCACATATTTCTGGATAGGCGCGGGCAGCTTGGCCCTCAGCAGCGGGAGATCCCAGAGCTGGAAGACGGTTGGATCAAATTCAGGATGAGAGGGATCATTTAGGTTGTGAAGCTTCTCAATAGTTTCCTTGCTCAGCTTGTCCGGCTTTGCCGTTTCCTGATCTGGATGTTTGTTAGCGTGCTACTTGAGCCACGCTGCAGGGAGCTCACTTTTTGAGACCGACTTGGGTTGGACGATGGCATCGATCACCAATCGATCTTGGAAGGTGAGCTGGGGATCGGTGTAGGTGGATGGATCCATATTCCAGGCGTGGCTGTTGGCCTGATGTTGGGATCTAATGCGGGGTGGCTAAGGCGTGCCGATCCAGAGAGCTCCCGAGGAAAGTCTACTATGTCCTAGGCAGATTCCGGAAATACCAGAAAGGTTATAAGAATCAGAATGTGCTATCCCCAGTGTCAAGACAACGCGTCAGGGGCGCGAAGAGATTTCGGGAGCTTTGAAGTGGGTCCAGGATTGTTATGTTATGAAGTTAACGTTAATCCAAACACTCGATAATAGCTATTACGGTCATTTTAACCGTCCTATTCCTGTAGACTATTCTTTTTATTTAAATCCTGGTCGCATAATATACGCACAGCTTTTCGCTGTATCCAAGGGGTGCGGTAGAATCTCTTCGGGGGAATACCCCCTAAACATGCCATAGAGATGCATGTTCTATTAATACCCAATCCTCGTTCTAGCCTTTTCTGGTATGCACCTCACACATTGCAGTACAGTACATGTAATAAGGAAGCCTGGATATGTGTGTACATGTATATGCAAGCCCCTGATCGGGGCTCTAAGTCCTCTCAGCGCGACCGTGCCAAGACTTCTATCCAGGTCAGTATGGGGAGGATTGAAAGGGAAGACACCAGCACAAGATCCTGTGTTTTTATTGCAAATAAGTTAACTGTACTTTAAAATGATCTGTGTTGCTATTATCTCATCGTGATTGTCATTTTATTACTGAGTGTAGTCGCAAACAAATTGACAACATAACTCAAAATTCCACCCATTCAGTGCTTCACATCATTGAGTTGTTAGTGATATTAGCCATTGCAAGATCCATTTAAGCATCTTAATATGTGCAGCCTCGAGTTGGAGCATGAGTACAGACTCGATGCGACACTCTCCACATCTTGCTTATACCTCGACGGGCCGGGAAGGAGGGATAGCATGTGCCCTCAAATTAATTTCGGATATCCCTATTCAGAGGATCTACAAGAGCGAGTCAGACCACTATTCCTTTCTCTTGGCACGGGTGGCATGTTGTCGAGGCTTCCCACGGTAGGCCGCCGATCGTGATGACTTGCCCCATGAACGTGGAGGTGATAGAGTTGGTCAGGGTGTCTTCGAAGATTGAGCACTGCTTGATGAGAAGAATGTCTTATCATGCTTGCCTATAGACTGAGAGCCAAGTTTTGAAGATATGGCTGTGCGGCATGTATATGTATCGAGAAGGCTCTTTTCACCACGAGAGATAATATAGTAACGAGGATGCACATGGCATAATGAATTTAGTACAAGCTCGAGAGAACTGTTAGATTGACAGAGTCATAAAGGAAGAAAGTAAGATCCAAGTATGACTTCTGCCTCAGGCCCCAAACAGCCTTACCGACAAGTCATGACTTCAGAGTCTTACAGCATCGGCCTGGTGGAATTAGCCTATTTTCTTTCAATTGATGTCTCAGATTTCTTATAGACCCTACATATAGGTGCTTAAACGTACCCACAGTAGGCAATCGACTCGAGTCTCACCGTAAGCAGTGGTAAGAATAGGGAGGCGAACCCATGAGTTGGGTCCAATCGAGAATTTGCGAATGTCTTCAAAACCAAGGAATGAAGAACATCGCAATCTCATACTAAACCTTTGTCTTTGTGTAGATGCGACCCTGTGCTTATGTCGAATATCATGAGATCGGAATACGTCTCTTTCGCCAGCCACCCCTAACAGTTTTCAGTAACTGGTCTTTGAACAAAGCGCAATGTCTCAAAAGACCTCTCAAGAGGTTGCATCTGACCTCAAGAAACCTCCGAATATCAAAGGATACAGGCTGAAGATCAAGGTAGCTACCCGAAGCTGCAAAAAATGTCTCACACCCCCTCCATCGCCAACCCTTTAGTTCGCTACCCCAGGGCCGCTAAGCCTTGATGCAGTAAGATTTGCAATGGCCTCCACGCACTACTGATGTAGTCCCAGTCCCATCGACATCATTGCCATGGGTGATCAGCATGCGAGATGTCTTAGTGACTAGCAGTGTTCCTGGGTTGAGCACACCGTAAGTCGCCGACTGGGTGAAACTATACAGAATGGAGCTCGGAAGAAGTTGCCCAACACCCAAAGATGGGAAATCAGCAAGGAATTGTAGCATAAACCGAATATCCATGTGGTGTGCTGCATCTCCACTGTGCCTGCACTAGAAAATCATCGAAATCCGAGCTTTGGCATAAATTCAGTCTGTTCCTCCTGTCGATCGCGTTGGTTCTCACTTTCTAAGCTACCAATTTCCCCCAACCACATTTAACTTCAACCTTTCAACCTTCCAACCTCCAATTTTCCAACCTTTTTCCATCTACGCTCCATCGCAATGAAGTTCCTCACACCTCTTCTCATGCTGGCGGCCTCCGCCCTCGCCGCTCCAGTGGCCAAGACACAGACACCCAACCTCTTCCGCCTGAAGACCACCGGCGCCACCAACACCGTACACAACGACCTCTACGTCTACGGTTACCACACAGGCGCCGGCCTGAACGACGCAGTCCTAACCAAGGACGTAGGCACAGCCAGTTCAGCCTACCTAAACGGTACAAACGTCTTCTTCGACTACAAGACAGAGTTCCCATGGGGAATGAAAGCCATCGGCAACACGAACTATGCCTGTGAGTATCCGCATCCGCATCCCTTGAAAACATCGCCACCCGCCACCCGAATGAATCACTGACTTTTGCACAGCGTGGGAACCTATTGAGATCAACGCCGGTACGGGTAGCGACGGGTTCTCCATTCAGAATGGTCTCTTCCAATGGTCGGAGGATATGGGCTTTGGTGGCTGGCTCGGTAAGTTTTTTTGTTTTGGCTCCACGCTCCACGCTCCACGCTCCACTTGATGATCATGTCAAACTAACGCCCGACAGTTTGTGACTGGTTCCACAATGCGCCTCAGCTCTTCTACTTATACAAGTACTACGATGCTATTATTCCCTCCAGCTGCAGCAAGGTCGAGTTGGAGGCTGAGTACACGAAATAGGGGGGTTCTTCGGTCGCTTTATGATTTTGAGCTCCTTTCTTAGCCGTCTTTTTCACGTTACGTCACTTCACGATCTCATCTAGAAGCATAATGTCTACTTAATGGTGTTTTACGGACCTCTCGGAGGTATACATGAATTGAATATTTACAGCAATTGAAATAAATGCCTTGATTCTATGTACATCTTTTTGCTCGTTCATCATGGGGGATATCAAAAATGCCAAGTAGCCACAGCCACAGCGTAAAATCGTGTTCAACGTAAAGCCTTTTCCTCTTTTTTTTGGCGCCCGATACTCAAGCCGCAATCACCTCACCTGCGATATGCGGATTCTCATAATACCGCTTATCCATACCAGCCTGCAGGCGAGCCTCCTCATTAAATGGCCCACGGATCGGCCCGCGGAAATGCTTCTGCACATTCGACCGGAAAACCTGAACAGGGTCCGTTCCCTCTTGGGCACAGATCCACGTCAACCACCGATGACCAGTTGTAACATGCGTAATCTCGTCATTATGGATGACCTCCAGTGACTGCACACTATCCGCATCACCAGCTTTACGGAACTTCTCAATGGTCATAGGATTGACATCAAGACCGCGAGCTTCGTGGACAAGAGCGATGATACTGATTCTTGCGCGGAGATCGTACGCTGTTTCCGTCGCTGAGATCCAGAGACTGTGATGCACAGGCAGCGAACCAAAGCCGGAGCCAAGTTCTTCGAGTCTAGTGCGAAGGAGAGAAAAGTGCTTCGCTTCATCACTGGCGACTTTCAACCAGTCGTGGAAGAATGTGCGTGGCAGTTCTTGTGATGTGCCTTCTGTTTGGAATGTCGCAAATCGAATACAGATGTCGATTGCTAGGTCGATCGCCCAGAGTTCGATGTTGGCTAGCGCGTGCAGCATCGCAATGCGGCTCTTCAATGTCCCGCCCCTTCCGGCCTTTGGCATCGCACCCGGGTTGACGGTCTGCAGGTCCTCCCGTGGTGGTTCATCTGGAGGGAGTACTGTTCCTCTGCCAAGCGGCATCGGCGAGTCCGAGGCTTCTCTCGCAGTGAAAATAGCGAACAGATGCGTCGTCAGCTCGATCTTGTGCTCGGGATTGGCGGTATTAAGCACATGCGCCGCCCAATCGCACAGCGTGGCATCGTCGTCGAGGTATTTCGCCATGCCCGGGTCTTTGGGTGTAGTAGCAGCAGCAGCAGAAACAATAGCAGGTGAATCCGAAGGCCGCGCATGCTTCAACTTGACCTTCTCACTAACTGGCTCAACCTTAGCCAAACCAACACTAGCACCATCCTCAACGGGGAAATCCAACGCAACAAACTCGCCGCTCACATCAACCGGGAACGTGCAAGCTTTGATCCCGACGCTCGATTCGCCAGTTTCTACGTTGAAATCGTACGCGTGCCACGGGCACGACGCGACATATGCCGAGTCTTCAATGTCGACTTGGGAATCGGCCATGGGCCCACCGGCGTGCGGGCACTCGGCTTCCATGGCATAATAGGACCAGCCGTCATTTGTCTCGTTGACTTTCGGGTTTGATGGGTCGATAGTTGGCAGGCGGAATAGTACTAGTTTCTTGCCTGTCGTTAGGCGGATCACATAGCGCGCCTGTGTGAAATCGGATAATTGCCCGCAATTGATCCACATCGTGTATTTTCTTTGTTGTTTCTGCTTGGGGAATGTTGTGAGAGTGTGAGGCTTTCCGTGGGTTGATTTTATCAATCACGTGCGTTGATCGGTTTTTGCCCCACTCTTATGTGCTTATAAGTCAGTGTTGCCTTGATGGCTATCTATCACCCGACTAGAAAACTTAGTGTTTATGGGGGTTTGAGATTTGTTTGTGCCCGTTTTCTGATCAGTCGAGAAAAAATCAGACGATCTTGTATATATCCATGTGGCTTGTGGGGGCTTCCTCAAACTCGTAATTTGAAATTTAAGCGTTGCCCAAATTGAAAGGGGAAAAAGGAGAAAAAAAGCAAAACCATGCAAATTTTGAAAGTACGAATATAGACCCCTATTTTGTGGAACGTGGTAGTGATACAGGGATAAAGAAATAGTGTCTTGACCGGAAACAAAACATCAAAGAACAGGTGCTAATATCGTTAGATAGGTCTCATGTATACTTCTCAATTGTGGATCCTAACAAACCAGATGATTTTGATTATTTGAACGTGAAATTGTCGACGAATAGTTAACGTGCACGGTCTTTACTTAATAGCGGGTGACATACACAAAGGGTTCTATTAAAATCAGCCCCCCCACTGCTGCAACGGGATGTATTATTCGGCAGCCTTATATTTTGGATTCAGCAGCCTGCTAGTAATCGTATTACACAACATACTGTACATTCCAGATGAAACATACATTGTCTAACTAGGCAGCGGATCGGAGGGACCCCGCCTACGGCCGGGCTTAGGGTCACTCAATTGATTGTGTAGTGACTATAATGCTCAATAAAATACGATTACTATGTCTTTCCTAATCGGGTTAGCTATGAACAGGGGTGGGGTGTCATTTTAGTAAAAGCGTGTCATTTTAATACACGATAAAAAAAAAAAAGTGAATACGAAAGTGCATAATCTTCATTTAAAAGCGCGTGGCATATACAAAATGTGAAATTTTCTACGAAGGTGCGTGTCTTCACTTAATAGCGGGTGGCCTATACGAAAAGTGAATGGATAGGAATTGACTCGTAATATTATAGCGTATCTACGCATGAAATTCATGGTCGTCAGTTAATAGCGTGTGGCACATACAAAATATGAAACTGTATACAGAATGTGCATTTTTACTTAACAGCGTGTGGCACATACAAAATATGAAATTGTATAAAAAAATGCATTTTTACTTAATAGCGTGCGGCCTATACAAAGTTTCTGTTTGGGGCGAGTTTCTTTATAGCACGGTCGAAATCATGTGTTTGATACGGTGGCGCAGTCAAGATTGAGAACGTTAAAAGTCGAGTTGCGGTGAAAGAAAAGTCGAGATCATAGCCAATACAGTATTGTGACAAGTTTGATATTCGGCGCCTATGTACCCTGGTCTTCCAATCAGCACTGTGTGGGCCTCGCTTGTTAACGTTATTAAAAATGTATCTCTACCTCGGGGGTTTATTTATTGGACCCCCTAAGACCTAAAACTATTGAGAAAAGAAAATTGCGCTTACGTACATTTTACGTCTTTCCCAGGCAGAGAGTGATACTGGCGATTGGGAGACAGACTTGCCACTTTCTTAACTTGGGTGTTCCTGACTCGGAATTCTGCCTGAGAATTCTACGCTCGTCGACTCCCCGACCCACATACCGACTTACACACCTCTACGGACCGTACATGTGAGGCAACTTAGCCGAGTCCGATGAGCTTAACTGACCTTATGCAGTCTAAATCCTCCAAAATGGAGATTGGCCCTGGTAGCTCCATCAAGTGGGGTGTCTATCGTGAGGGCGCCCGCTTCCAGCTACCGCGATTCGAATCGCTCAAGCGCGAAGGCCCTGCCTTGATACAGGCTTATCAAGACGTGCTCGACAAGGATGAAACATTTACTCAGTATTTCTCCGATGAGCGCCTTCAGAGCTATGACCTGGAGTCAAATTTGAGAACGCTCCTGGGTATTCGTCCTCCGCTCGTGGACGAGCCCCAAGGATCCAACAGTCAAAGCGATGTATCGCTCAGCTGGGTCAACATCTTCCGGCACGGCAAGTTCGAGAAGAGAGACGATGGCTTCTACCAGTGCCGAATGCAGGGACGACTGGTTAAGATTGATGAGACAATGCACAAGACTATTCTAGTCAATCGGTGCTTCCTCCCACCAAACTCGGACCCCTATGTTAGCGCAGCGGACGTGGAGAAGGAGTCGGAAGTCAATCTGTCAATCGAGGCAGACGTGCTGAATGAACTTCACATTCAGATTAAATGTTTGTATTTTCCTACACCCATGACCCCCGAATGGAATGACATACTAACGAAAGCAGATGTTGAAAGACTCAAGCGACTGCAGCAATCACTGAAGAAGCGTCGTCACAGGCTGCGGGGCGATCAAGCACCAGCATCTATCAAAAGGTCAGGCACGCCTCAAAGCCTTCGAAGCAACTACCCTAGCCCGACCGAATCTGGCCTGAGACTACCAGTCCTTTCTCGCGCTGGGAGTGATACCCAGGCAGGATCTCGTGTCTCTCTCTCAGTTGAGCCATCAGTCGGCCTTACGAAGCCAGCCGCCTCGATCGAGTCCCGGGAGGCACAGGAACGGAGCGCATCCCCATCCTCATCGGATGTGTCGACTGGGGAGGATATACCTTTTTCTCCAAACCCCAATAGCTTAAAGAGGAAAAACATGAGTTCGGACTATGAGGAGACTGTTGACGTGGACTGGGATACACAGCACCAGACGCCAGCGCCATGCAATGCATCTACCCCGTTGGCCTCAGCTTCCAAGGGGAAGGAACCGCTGGCTCCCGAGGAGCGCAATACAATGATTGATGACAGCTATGCAGTGACTGAGAGTCGCGGTACAACGGCTGAAGGTCGCGATACAACGGTCGGAGACAGCGATGCAGTGGTTGAAGACAGTGATGCAATGGAGGTCCGTCGACCCAGCGAGGTCCCCAAGCCAGTGGCACCAATCCAACCCGTCAAGCAGCCCACGCTTAAACCTGAAACACCCCGCAAGAGCAAGCGAACCCTGAACTGGGCCGCAAGCTCTTTACGCCAAGAATATGAGAACGCAGGCCAGCCGACCGACCTCATCTCAAGTCCAGCCCCAAGCTTTGAAGCCATGCAATTCGGCTCGGACATAGCTGGACGGCAGGGGGGCATCACACCAGTTCCCCCGCGCACAGGGACAGTATCTATGAATGTCAAGCCGAAAAAAGCCAAGAGCCATAAGAAAGGCGTCCGAGTCCGGAACAACTTTACTCAGGAAGAGTTTGACCATGCGCCAGCCTGGTTGAGACCTCGATTGGACGCCGGCATGTCCCCAGCAAAACTCGAGCAAGAGTATGAGGCAAAGTTTGGGGTTCTGCACCGCTACCATACCTTGAAACTTTGGTTGGACCGACAGGAAGCAAAGGCCTCTCCCATCAAGGCACCCAAAGCCCCACTGGCAAGCACGCTCACCAAGATTGTGGTATTAAAAATTCCAATCCCATTGCAATTGAGGGAATCTTTCGAGTGACAATCCTTCATAGCCAACGCCGGAGTACGACCGCGCGATGCCCTCACCTGCCGTCTCTAGTTTTCGCCCTATCAATCCTTCGCCCTACGTGTCCCCGTATCCCCGCCCCTTGTCCTCGGAGCCTAATCAGGCCTCACTGATGGAAAATATGCCCACCTCTTCTCAATCGTCAACCCCGATACCGACCCAGAGCTCCGCGCGGAAAGCACATATCCCCCCATCTGCTATGCCCCCATCTGCTGAACTACCAACCCCCAAGTCAGCCCAGAGCTCTTCGCTGACTAAAATAATGCCCTCATCTGTTGCACATTCTACCACGATGCCAACCCAAAGCTCCCCGCTGACGGGAAACATGCCCTCATCTGCTGAACAATCGACCTCCAGGCCAACCCAGGGTTCCTCATTCACGGAAAAAAGGCCCTCAACTTTTCAACGGTCAACCCCGATGCCGAATGGTCTGCCAAACCCGGAATAAAGCCGTCGAGCCACCCAGTTTACCTTTGACAACAAAAAAGAACCCTCAGGTTTTCGGTATGGACCAGGTCTTGCGCGGTTTCAACACGGTCATTTAATTAATTCATCCCATAGCAATACACTGGGCTTCATTTCGTCAGAAGCCTTTTCTGTATCATACTCTCATATTTACTGAGCCCCCTTTGCCTGTTTCTATTATGCCCTATACCCAGCTCATACCCAGGGACTATTTGCGTCTTTTCTTTATTCTGCCATATCATATTATCAAGCGGAGCTTTGCGTTTACATAGGCGAATACTAATCGAAATCCTCTGAAGCAAGTTATACGTTACACTCCATCTAATAAATGCAACCCGTGTAGCAAATAGAAGTAAATCGAGTCTCGTGTACCAGGTGTATACTCATGGCGCTCTCTTCTACGGACTTTAGCTCGGTAGTTAACCATATATTGATATAATGATATATACCCTACAACGTATCTTGAGGGCCTTCATATACCCTTGACAGAGTGCTAAGCACGCATCAACACTGGTCTAGCTGGGCTAGAAGGTAGAAAGATGAGGAAGAAAAATAGCTGAGAGACTCTTGCCTTACAGACTAGCAGGGGTACGCGCCTACGCGAGATGCCCATGACCTGTCGCCCCCACCCGACCAACCTCCCCAAATCCCCTTCTTGATCGTCCTGGAATCATTCATTTCGTCGCACGAGGCTTAGCAAAGCTCTTCCTCATAGTGATCCTCACCCAAGCTTCGATTTCTAAAGGCATCTACCATAACCATACCGAATCCATTGATAGCCACAGCTAACACGCCATTCTGTCTCATGAACAGGATAGCCTCTCTCTTCCATATGGAGGATGACCTTGGCCCAAGTGCTTCTGGTCCAGAGGGGCCCCGAACAAACATCGACCTCAAACAAATTCAGTTCATGACCCAAACCCTACAAGAGTGTTATGCTATAGGAAAACTATACGAGAACATATTTCGCGGCAATGAACCCTTGGCCCCGAGGCTGATAGAAACCGCCAACCCCGAATTGGAAAAGATTCTCCTGAAGCTATTTGGTGGCCCTCCGGTATGCCTAGATGAGCCCGCAAATCCAGTCGCATGCGACCCAGTATCTCAGTCCCAACTTCTGGTGCAGTGGTCTGAGATTCTCCGCCAAAAGATGAAAGCGAGCGACTTTGAAGTCCAACCAAATGGCACCTATTGGTGTCGCGCACAGGGATTGCTCATTGAAGTATCTGAGGATAACTACCACATGATCCTCTCCGGACTGCCACAGCGGATGGTCAAGCCTCTGTCAGAGGCACAGAGAGAGCGCGAAATTGTATACAAGGCGAGGGATGACTTTTCGGAGTGCTTGGTTACTATTAAGAAACGTGAGGTTTTGCTGCTGCTCTATCTGGATTCATTGGAACTAACCATATTATAGTTTCTCGGATGCTTCCTGATCTCATTGGTAACCTGGAAATGCGGATCGATCGGCTTGTGCATAAACCCGGGGACGAAACGACCCAGGTGGATATTCCATCGTCTTTGAATCCACCAGAAAGATCACCCAGCATTCTCGAGTTGGGAGCTCGTGAGGTCAGCGGCGAACGATGCCTTAATGATCGCAGTTCAGGCATGCAGGTCTCGGATTTGGGCTCAACCGGATCTGATATTACCTTCAGACCTCAAAGAGAAGTAGGATCAAAATGTCGACCTAAAAAAGCTGGACGCCAGTTACCGCGCCGTTTCTTGACTCCAAACCCCTTTTCCAAGAGGCTGGGATCTTTGAATAGCAACAGATACAAATCTCGAGGGATGAGAATCACGAAGGCAGCAAAAACACCAAAGAGATTGCATGAGCGAAAATCGCCGAATATTCCCTATACTGAACAGGAGATAGCCGAAGGATATGAACTTGTGCAGTCTCTCTTGGACCGGGAAGTTTCCGCAGATGACATCCTACATGCGTATGAATCTACGTTCGGGATTCGTCGAACGATGCAAGCGCTGAAGGTAAAGTTCAAGGTTCAAGAACCAAAGAACTCTGTTACAGCTCGGAAACCAAAGCATAAAGTGAACAAAACAGGACAAGTGTACGTTCAATACTCTAGTCAGGAGGTAGCTGAAGGGTCTGACTTCTTGAAGTCTCTTGTTGACCAGAAAGCTGACGTGAAGACGATTTTGAATGCTTATGAAGCAAAATTTGGGGCGCGTCGAACTTGCATTGCTCTTTACGCGAGGTACAGAATACCGGAGTTGAACCCTAACAAGGTGTACTCTGACCAGGAGATCACTGAAGGATATAACTTCTTACAGTCTCTTCTGGAGCAGGGAGATGACATGGATGCAATTATGGACGCGTACGAATCCAAGTTCGGGGTTCGCCGAACTTTCAATACCCTTAGTCAAAAGTTTAAGCTACCAGGCATGATGCTTCTAAAGAGAACGGCGGCCCCAACAGCAAATAACCTCAAGAATGCACAAAAGCCCTCAGGTCCATTGACTGACTCGACCGGGGGGCCAGAAAAGTACACTCACCTGGAGATGGCCGAAGGATATGACTTCTTGAAAAATCTCATTGAGAAAGGAGCTGATGCGGCCACGATTGTAACTTCATACGAAGCAAAGTTCGGTTTTCATCGAAGTTACTTAAGCCTTCTGTTGAAGTTCAAGTTACGGAACTTGAATCCACCGAAGGGAACGTCTTCTCCCCGATATTCTGATCAGGAGTTTGCCGAAGCACCTGCTTTTGTGATGTCTCTTATTCAACAGGGCGCTACTGAGGATGAGATTGAGGCTGCGTACGAGGCAAAATTCGGAGCTGCTCGAACCTACCTCGCAATTCGGTGCAAATTTGGCCTACCATACTCATTGCACAGTGTCCAGAGGGAAAATCAGGAGGTACGGAGATTCATAACTGACATATCCTTCTGATGACATTGTTGACAAATAGTTATTCGTAGGACAGCATGCCACAGCCCGACTACGATGATTCGGATTTCTAGTGGCGAAAAGGGAGGATTGTCCCGGCTATGTTAATCAAGTTAGAAAGAGAAAGTTGAAGATGTTTTGGGAAACGAACGAAACATAGACCCGAGGAAATGATTTGGTCGGTTGATTAGGTTGTCCCGGTGAATAGAATGCATAGGCACTGTCTCTGGGACCAAGAAATTCTTATACACAGACTGTACAAAGGCCCACCAGAGTCTAGCGGAAACGCTTAATGTATTTCAGATCATTTGTGGACGAAGGCCATCGATTCGAAATGTAGCTTACATTGTGACTACCAGAAACTTAAGAGATCGGTGATACTTGCGGTATATCCAACCGCAGCTGTATTGACAAGTATTAAGTAGTAAACATCAGCTATCCATCAGACTTAATGAATCCATTACATCATGAGAGCCAGCGAGTCATTTATAGATATGCAAAACAGACAACATGAACTAGAATCAAAAGGTATCTAACGTAACGCTCTTAGAGGGCGAGGGCAAGTCCGAGGACACCAGCGGCGCCAGCAAGGCCCATAGCAACACCGGTAGGAGCAGCACCACCATCAGAAGTAGAAGGAGAAGGAGAGCCAGAGGCAGAAGACGAAGCTGAGTCCGAGCTGCCAGCAGTAGAAGAGGAATCGGTAGTACTGGCAGTAGAGGTCGTGACACCAGTAGACGAGGCATCGGAGCTAGAGCCAGTGGTGGATCCAGTGCTAGAAGCACCGCTGGAGGTTACCGATGGGCTACTGGAGCCAGAGCTGGAGCCAGAAGCGGAGCCGCTAATGCTGGAGGTAGCGGCGGCGACGGCGGAGGAGTAAGCTGTAGGTGACTCAGAGATGAGAGCGGCTGTGATATATGGCTTCACGCTCTCGGGGACGTTGGAGTACCAGTCGGGGTAGACGCTAGAGATGATAGCGTTGGAGATGGCGGAGTTGACGTATGAAGGGTCCGACATGACCTCCGCCCAGACTGAGCTTGGGATGGCCGTTTGGAGGGCTACGATGACGGAGTTGGGAATATCATCTAGATCCTCGGTCACTGAAGCTTGGGGAGCTGGGGAGGCCAGGGCTGTGGCCGAGAAGAGGAGGAAGGTGAGCGACTTGTACTGCATTTTGATGTTTGGAAGTATTGAAGTATAAGAGGGATAGGCTGTAGGAAGAAGAATTGCGATGAGTTGGGGATTTTTGAACAGTCAGATGTTTTGTTTCAAGGCTGGGGGCTTGATGCGTTAAATAGCAAGGCCAACTAAAATTATCGCAAGGCTGAGGCTCTTGATACGTCGTTGGTTGCTCAGCCCACCGCATCTGTTTCTCCACAACGCGCTTCACATCCAATTGTCTTTTCGCCGCCCCCAAACTTGCCGATCGCAGGAAGTCCGAATGTTCATGTCCTGATCCTGCGCCCCATTTTCTTGGCTTGATCATAGGTCTACTTTGTTGTCAGGATTCGAGGGATTTACGAGAGACACTAAAAGAACCCGTGTGCCTTTGAAGGCTGTGAGAGGAGGCATCGGTCTCCAACCTCCCTCCCTGGAAATCCCGACATTGTTTCACCGCTAGAATGTATATTGATGTTTTCAAGCTGGTCAGAGGTTCGGCCTTCTGTTGACGCTGAGGTCGGGATGCTCCAAGAAACATCATTACGCACGCTCTCCCAACTTCTTCATTGGATTTCATAGATCACAGAGGGGTTTGATGACATCAGATCTTGGAGAAGGCGATCGCAAACCAACCAACAGGCCCCCAAATATTGCTGCCTTTGTGCTTCCTAGACGCTTGGCTTTGCCTCTTCCCTGCCCCCAGGCCTCTGAGATGGACGTGTCGGGTCGATCCGAAGAGTAACCTTTGAACCAACGCATTACGCACACCCATAGGAATTTCTGCATTGTCTACGACAGCAGTCCGTCGATCAAAACTCTGGGGTTACATGTACACTCGAGGCGTCCGCGAGGTTTGTACGCAGGCTCCATTGTTTCTGTTATGCGGATGACCTTCAAACCCTGCATTGAAGTTCGGGCAGTGAATCGACACGCAATACCGCCCCGAAATCAAGTTTCAAAGCGTCGCATGTCATCGTATAGACGTGCTTTGATTCTCGGCATCCGTAATCAAATGTTCCAGATTTCCGACTTTTGTTGACAAAGGCCGAGCTCGGCATATGACATCATATCGCCAAGTTATATACCGCTGTTTAGATTTTCGTTCTTTTTCTCGAACCATGAGCCACAACGTACAGCCAGGTCTGCTTTTTGTGCTAGGTCAAAAGCAAGACCCTCTTGAACGAGCGCAATATATGTGAAATTTCATCTGCTAACATGGGCCGATCTGCGAGCACTTACGCGTAGTCTCATAGATTCCCGCGTCTTTAGTTCATACTTTGAGTTCCTGCAAGACCCTAAAATAGTGAGTCGAACAAATTTTTTGAAGGCAGATAAATCATGCAGTTCTTGAATTTACAACGACCAAAAACCCAGCCATAGGATCGGCGGCCGTACTCATAGTGTCGAATAGCCGTGGCAAGATCCTCCCCGCTTGACCTGAAACACCCATACATATCAATGTTATCAACCTTCATACCTTCATCATCTCTTGATTACGATAAAATTACTTCAATTACTTCAAAGAGTACTCCCGAGCCTTCCTCTAATGTAGTGTGAGCCTAGTTCATACCACCGGAAAGAAGGCCACTTAAGCAAAAGGCGGTTCAGACCGGAAACAATACATTTAATTGTCAATGCGCTAGTATCACTACTTTAGTGACTTGCAGCAACTTCAGCTCAATTTCAGTGTTTATAATGACGTAGGATAAATTCATTGAATAAACGGTATCCGGATAGAGAATCTCAACTAAGCTGGCCTCGAGCCTAGTTGCTTCTGACTGTAGTGGTTATATGCACCTGCAAGCCTCGCCCGGAACATCTTTCCATAGTAGATAAATAGCAAATTACCGGAGAGGGCAACAGTGACTATCAAGCCAAACGTCACGTAGAACCATGTCAGTCCCACTCTATTGCACCAGGGTTGAAGGGCGAAGACAAAAATAGTGGAGATGAGATTCCGAATGAAAGTGACACCAACTACTGAGTCCGCGATAATCTAATAACGAAAAGGGACATTAGCAGGCATACCATATATCCAATCAAGCCCGTCTTACCTCAGTGTATGAATCAGTAAGATAAGTTAATGCAGCACTGCTAGCCGGTACAGCACCCACAGAGCTGACACCCAAGCCAAACGCTGGCAAAAGCCAGTGAGAGCCGTTATTCAGTCCAATACCAAACATAAACAGGCCTGCTGGAATCAATGGAGTAAAGGCAAGAGCCAACCAAAGTCGCATCTCCGGTTCGAAGACACCGCCATTTCTCTTTGCAAGGAAGAGAGCAATCGAGTCACTTAGAGGCCCACAAATTAGAGCCCCTAAGGTTGTCCCAATGAATGGCGGCAATCCCATAAGGCCAATTTGAGATGCGCCAAAATTGTACGGCGGCAGTGTCATCACTGATGAAAGAGTTGTCACTGGGACTGTCGTGCAGGCGGTCATCAGTCCATAGACGAGGGCCATGAAAAAGACGCCTGGAAAGCTGAAGAGAATGAGGAACGGCTGGTAGCAGTGTTTTGCTACCTCTGAGAAGGGCACTGGGGAGTTAGACCACAATGCGAGTTTCTTCCAGTAGCTTTTCACTGGGATTGAGTAGTCGATCTCAACAGCTTGATATGAGTGAGCTTCCTGTGTTGACAGGGACTTCTCCATTGCCGATGGCTCGATATCCTCTTTGATAGGGGTAGGCTTAAGGTCATTCCTCTCAGGAACAGGTACACCCTCAATACGCGATGCATCAAACATAGTCTCCTCATACAGAAAAACAAATGCGCCAAGACCCACTCCAAAGAGAATAGCCATCCACCACCAAACCCAGCGCCATCCCTGGGACTGGGTGATAAACCCACCAGCAAGAGGGGCCAGTGTTGTTCCGACAGTCATGAACCAGAAGTAGATAGTGTTGGTCAGACCTCGCTGGTGAATATAGTAGACATCAGCAACGGTCATTTGAACCAGAACTTCAGCGAGTGCTCCAACAATGCAGCTGAGGATATTGACCAGCATCAAATCGGCGACGTTTTGCATCTTCGCAGACCAAATGCTGATTCCGCATTGGATGGCGGTGCTGAATATATAGATCGGTCGACGTCCGTATTTCAGGGCAAAGGGTACGAGGAAGAGTCCTCCAATGCAGAGGGAGCCACAGCCTGCTGCGTAGCTGTCGTTTAATATGGCGTAGCTGAAGCCGAGTTCTAGATTGACGGGACCCCAGGTTACTGTTGCCACGTCGATTCTTTGATCTGGTTAGCTTTTAGGGGCGATATGACCGGGATTGAGAGACATACAGTGCGAGAACCATCACGACATAGTAACATACAAGGCCGAAGTTGAGGTTTTTGCGCCATAGTGGCCAGTTCTGGTGTAGATTGATCCGTTAATACTGCCAATGACAGATTGCTCTACATTACAAGTACTCACAAGTGGATCGTTGGGATCTCTGGTAGGATTTGGCTGCAGAATTACTTCTGCAGTATCGCCTGTCTGTGAAAGATCTATTTTTTGGCGTTAGCTTTGTGTGCTCATTGGGGCGAAAAGGGTATGCCTCACCTTCAATTCGGACAGTCCCAGGAGGCCATTCTGGATCCAGAGATGACTGTCTGGGAGGCATAACTTAGGGTGATGGGATATAGAATGTATGTAAAGGCAAAAAAATGGAGTATGACGGTGCAAGCCTGAAAACTGGAATCGTGGTTTCTGAGGGCTGGCACAGAGCTCGTTATATCAATTCCACCTTACTGTGTGACCCTTCCAAAACCATCAATAATGATTTCAGAACGCGTCTCTTATCACCGTCGGTTATTAATGTTGGCGTTCTGCAGCCATTCACAGCCAAAAATAGGGGCGGAATGTGGAATACGCTTTGTCTGGAAGAGGAAGTTTGAAGCAACGTCCAATAGATGGCAGCAGATGAACGAGCTTATCATCCCTATGATTGATCTTCAATGCGGGGGAGGATATTTAATGATAATCTCATAACCTCGGGGTAATGGAGTTTACCTAAACTCGCCTATCGAACTGCAGGCGTTGACTAGCCATGCGCCTAAATGCCGGACCCTCTGCCGGGATCCAATGAACATCCCTTGCCCCCACAGGAGAGCTATAATAGAATGACACTCCTATTTCTCAAAGAAGCTCTCTATTGGCCAATACAAGCCTCTTACTGTCGAATCTATAAGTTAAGCATTCATGTCTATACAATGTGCTGAGATGCCAACTTGAGTATACTAATGATACTTATCTGTGGATACAAAGGTAAGTCCACCAGGCAGCCACTATTCGCACAACCCAGTCATCTGATAGCATCTAGAGCTCGCCTATCCTTCGCCTAAACCTCCAAATAGCCTCTTTGCCCCGGAAATCCTAACCAAATCAACCAATGGCGTCAATTTGCGCCGCCCCACTCAGCGGCATCAACGGGGCTCTGTTTCGCAACCAATCAACGCTCAGCTTACCGGCCGGTCCCGTATCACTTCACTACAGCTATCCTTCCGATATCTCAGTCAATCTCCCTTTAAATAATACTACCTCATCTGTGATTCTCCACTGCTGACTTTCTTAAAGGGAAACTTCTGGAGAACTCGGATTTTCGGATCCAAATACCATTCCGGACATCCCGCATGAAGCAATAAATACCTCAGACATAGCCGCCTCCTCATTTCTGCTGGTCAACAATCATATATTTATTCTCGGCACCATGGCATCTATCTTCAAGAATGGGCGTATCTTCGTGCCCTCAGCTTTGAACAACGGCAAAGGCTTTGCCGAATGCATGATCATTGAGGATGGCAAAATCTCATATGTCGGCGCTCCAGATGCAACAGCAACCCCAAAAAATGCGACGATCATTGACCTACAAAACAGGACTGTGATTCCTGGTTTTATCGATGCTCATGTACACATCTTACAATACGGCCAATCCCTCCGCAAGGCCAACCTCATTGAATGCACATCCCTGGAACAAATACGTGAAACGATCAAATCCTACGCTGAAGCTCATCCTTCCATTCCTCGGATCTTATGCCGAGGCTGGATCCAATCCTCCACAAATGGGGTCGCATTAGCCAGCATGCTAGATGACATCGACCCACGCCCCATCTTCGTTGATTCCTTCGACCTCCACTCCATGTGGTGCAGCTCAGCTGCCCTCGACGAAATGAAGGCCCACACTGCCCCCGATCTCCCAGGAGGAACTATTCACCGTGATGAAAACGGGAAGGCGTCAGGCCTACTCGATGAATCAGCTCTCATGAACCTCGCATGGCCCCATCTAGAAGGTGTCACCTCCACAGCGGACAAACTAGACGCCCTAGACACAGCCGTCAAGGCCTACACTGCAGCCGGATATACCGGTCTGGTAGATATGGCCATGGACGAAGTAACCTGGGAGATCCTAAACCTTTACCGACAGGACCACACCATCCCCTTCCACATCGGCGCCCACTGGCTGGTCCCCTTCGCAGCCGACCAAAGCGCCAACTTCGAATACGTCGATCGAGCAATCGAGTTACGCAAACAATACAATCAACCCGACTTCTGCATTGTAGGAATCAAATTGATCTGCGATGGCGTCGTCGACGGCTGCACCGCCGCTCTTATGCAGCCATACACAGGCAAATCAGACCCAGTCGACCCAATCTGGCCAGAAGATATGTTACAAGAAGTCGTGCAGCGCGCCGACGCCGCCGGAATCCAATGTGCCATCCATGCAATCGGCGACAAAGCAATCCACCAAGCAATTAACGTCCTCTCTCGAGTCGGTACACCAGGCGCCAGACACAGAATCGAGCATTTGGAATTGACGACTTCGGAAGATGCTAAGCGACTCGGTCAACTTGGTATCACTGCTTCAATTCAGCCCGTTCATTCCGATCCTATGCTTTTCAAGGCATGGCCTGGTCTTGTTGGTCCGGAGCGTTGTAAGCGTGCGTTCGCTTATAAGGAGTTCCTGGATGGCGGGGCTCCTATTGCTATTGGGACTGATGCGCCTACTGCTCCTCATATGCCTTTCCCCAATTTATATAATGCTACCACTAGACGGTCGGCGCTGGAGACAGAGAGTGACAAGACTGTTAATCCGCATTTCGGGCTTGGGCTTGTTGAGGCTGCTACTGCTGCTACTACTGGTGCGGCTTATGCGCGCTTTGCTGATGATTGGACTGGTAGTTTGAAGAAGGGTCTCTTTGCGGACTTTTTGGTTGTTGATATGCAGTGGACGCCGGAGACCTTGCTGGAAGCTAGGGTTTGCCAGACTTGGTATCGGGGGATGAAGGTATTTGATTCGCAAAGTTGATATAGGCTAGACGCTATACCTGAGAATCAAATTAAGATCAGATTGAATTATCGATAAACCCGTTTAAAATTGGCTGATATCTCTTACTGGGACTCACTGTTCGAGTGTCGTTAATGCGGGTGTATCATAGTGACATCACCAGGCAATTGTACTTTTGCCTAACAAAAAAAATTCAAGCTCATTTTACAGCTGTCACATGGAATACATAATGTCAATTTCTTAATTTACAAGTCATCACAGTCTCATCACGACATTCGCTTCTCGCTCAAATCCAAGATTCGCTTCACCTCCAATAGAGTCCCAAATCCAAGCCACATGTATGTGACTACCATTCAACGTTACTCTCCAAGCTCCTCGGGGTGAGCTTGGAATCCACGGTCGGCGGTTGGGTCAGACAACAGGTTGCCTAGTAGATATCATGGTCAGTGATGTGATCTAAAATCGACCTGTCGAAGGCAAAAGTGCATACTGTGCTCCGCCATCTCCTTCTGAGACCAGTGCTCGGTATTCTCTTGCAAATGCTCCAAGGCATGCTGATGTGCCAGCTCTGAACACATGGTGTGAGGGGATCTAAGTTAATTCCATATATCAGTTATAGATTCAGAATGGTAAAGCTGGGAGATACCAAACATACGGCGCGACATTTCTGTCCACGAAAATATCCATCCCTTTCCCAGCCGCTTTTGCTCTCTGCGACTGATCGTTTGCATCGAGGGAGCTGCGGCGCTCGACGTAGTTGGGGTCCAGAGGGTTACTGTCGATTGTGGTGTTGACCATTTTGGAGGTGGATAGGTTGTTTAACGTTCAGATGTGGTGGTTATATAGCTCCGATTTGTAGCAAGATATCGAGTTATAAAGGAAATAGGAAGGTGTCTAGGTGGATGAAGAGGAAAAGAATTGAGGTAATGTTACATGCGGGGAGCTTAAGCTTGCCTCTATTGCCGTCAAGGATTGGGCGTGGCAAACCTATGATATAAACACTTTACGGCCGCCACCTATCACAGCTATCCCGACCCTGGTCGCTGATCCAACAAACGTCACTTTGTTTTAACTTTTAGGAACGGTGTTGGTTATATTCAATGTGCATGTTGAGTATTGTTGTCCACTTTATGACACAAGCCAAGATAGTATTCTTATGACTTAAGAGATAATGGGCAACTATAACTGATTTGGGCTTGTACCACCGTTCTGGGTGTAGCATTCATCCATAATCGCTACTTGACTCGTAGGAGTCAAACTGACATTTCTTGCTTCGTTGTCGATTGAGTCCACGTGTACTCTATGCTGAGATGGATAGACGAAAGAGGATAGCAAGAGATGATGAATGTTAGACGAATTGAAGAAATCAGAGAGAATGAGAAGAATGGAAGAATAGAAAATAATTTGAAGAAATAATTAGATGATTTCATCAAAGTCGCGAAAGGCGTTCTTTCTCTGGTTTGTTCTCCTAGCATCTTTCCCACCTTTGGCTCTTCCTTTTGCTTTTGTTTGTTGCACCGTCAAATCTGAGCTGCCAGTTACGAGGCTTTCGCTATCACGGTGAGCGACATACACATTTAATTTTCGACAAGCCAGTCATCCCCCGTTCTTAGCAGTATAAGCCTTTGAACTAGTTCCTCCACAAAGGCAACACTCCGATGACGCCCCTCTTCGCAGCATACCGTCACAATAAATGAGATATCGCCATCCTCAGAAGCGCTGCCTCTTTTCTCCTCTGGGCCTTCGCCGGTTTATCGCGTATCAACTCATCTCTGTGCGACAGAGCCTCGTAGCTTTCTTTCAATGATGCGACAATCTGATCATTAGTTCTTGTAAGAAACTGCTGCACAACCTCGTTTTTCGAAACTCCCCGTTTGAAGACGTGGCGAAAGACCAGTGGTCATCGCGCGCAAGTTCCGGGGTGGATATAGAAGATGATGAATGTTGAATGATAAGAGCTTTGCTTTCTCCTTTTATTCATCTGATGGTACAAAAGGACCATTTGAACGACCGTATGAACGAGTGAGACTGTAATTGACGGGTACCGTGATGATAGTTGCGAGGACGAATTTTTCCTTGTGGTGTACCCATGGTGTCTTTGATATAATGATGGGTTGACATCTTGTATTTCTCTCCCCAATGATTGTAAATGAGGGTGTGATATAGTAGTTTTGACTGCAAAGGTACTTCAGGACAGCCCTAAAGGCATGGCGTCGGGAACATATATCTAGCCCGCAGCAGGTGACTCATATGCGGCTGAAATGCTGCTCTTAATAGATTAGCTATAATTTCGTAATGTTATAGGCCTCTACAATGCATTGAAACTTCCTGTACAATCTCTGATGAAAGAACTTCTGTCAATCTTGCTTTGTGCCTAGAGTACACGGTGGTGGCGTACGACAAATGCACTAAACCAAGACCTCGAATATACGACAAACATTTGGGAAACGAAACCGTGTAAGAGTGCTCTATTTTGACAAGTATCGATCGATAGCGATCGGTCAAACAAGCATTATTTTTGCTATGCTGTATCAGATCCAACACCTTGGCAACCAAATATACATGTAGCTTGAAACGTAGCTTGAACAAATACCACATCCATCATTCGACAAAACACAGACTATATTAATAAATAAAGCAAACTCCCGGGAACGCACCCGATGCAAATCATCTAACCCACGGAAGCAGCTACTTTCGCTAAGCTAACCCGCGCATATTTAACGATTCAGACTGGAAAGGCTTCCACACCAGCAAAGTAACTGTGGGGTGCAGAAAACGCAGATCATTTAGCTAATTGCATCAACTAAGAATTAAGAAAAAGAAGGTCAGAGCAACGTCGTAGACCAACCACGTTGAGTAGAGATCACAACGACCTCGGAGACCGATTTCCACTAGTCCCAAAATGGTCATTGTCTGGAGAACTCGATTCTGTTCGGGTCCCCAACTCACCACCGCCATTGAAAACTTTTCTTCCTTTGACGGCAGTATAAATGGAGTTTATTGCTGTTCTCTTTTGTGAGATGCAAAGTGACGAGATCTTTGTGCGAGTGAACAATCTCTGTACCGGTCGAAGTTGCGCGACGGAAAAGGAAAAGTGATATCATACCCTCAACTCGGTCACACGGGATTTTGAAGAAGCCCTACACATCGCGAGCATCGACGAAGAGCCTCGTCAAGAGTGAGATAGCAATGGTATTTTCTCGAGGGGATGTCTCAGGCCACGATGACCAGACAATAGGTACATATACTCTGTCCAGCCAACGGGATATGAATATTGACAGGTACAGATCATCAAGATCCCAACTTAAACGTTCAGATCGTGTCTTGGGATGGGCCTCAAGATCCGGGAAACCCATACAATTGGTCTCTGCGTGAGAAATGGCTTCTCACAGCCCTCGCCGTATTCACCACCTTCATAACCATGATGAACGGCACAATCATCACAGTAGCTCACGAAGCCATCAATGAGCGCTTCAACATATCCGACGCAAACTTCCCGCACTCTTATTGGCCTGTCACGTCCTGGGCTGTTGGGGGCGGATGCTTTTCTCTGCTCGTCCTGCCACTCATGGAAGACTTCGGCGTTCGATGGGTATTTCTGGGAACATACCTGATCTTTCTCTGTTTCGTCGTCCCTCAAGCAGTAGCGCAGAACTTTGCCACGTTGATAGTGACGAGATTCTTTGCTGGAGGCTGCGTTTCCATTCTCGCTAATACCTCAGCCACTGTCATTGGGAATGTGTGGGATAGTGAACGGTCCCGGAATGTCCCTGTCAGTCTATACATCGTCGCCTACCTGGCGGGGAGTAGTATTGGCCCTGTGATTGGGGCTGCGATTTTCCAGGCTCTGTCGTGGAGGTGGATTGGATATGTTCAGTTGATCTGGTATGGCGCTTTCTTCCCCATGTACTTCTTCCTATTCAAAGAATGTCGTGGGATCGCCATCTTGGGACAACGGGCGAAGGCCCTGCGCCGTGAGGGCAAGAATGCCTATACCCAGCACGAGATTGATACCCAAGATCAGTCGATGCTGAGTTTAGTAGGCCACAGCGCTAGCAGGCCTCTCGTCCTCTTCTTCACTGAGTCGGTGGTATTCGTATCGACGTTATGGTCTGCCTTCACCGTTGGCACGTTATACATGTTCACTCAATCCGTTGAGCAAGTCTTCGCTGACCTGTATGGCTGGACACCCTCACAAGCCGGCTACGTACAGTCAGCAATCGTAGTCGGAGAATGTATAGGCTGGGTACTCACCCTATTCTCAGCCAAACTATACTTCGACTCAGCGTCGCGCAACACCGAAATGCCCGGAACCCCTATTCCCGAAGCACGACTGTATCTTGCCATTGTGGGTGGAGTGTTTGGCATCTCCGGAGGGATGTTCACGTACGCCTGGACCTCGTATCCGTATCTCCCGTGGATCGCGCCGGCCATCGGTCTCGCTATGGTAGGCGCCGGCAGCGTTATTGTGGTCACGGGTATCTCCGACTATGTTGTCGATGCGTATAGCAAATACGCAGGCAGTGCTATCGGGATTATTGCCACTGGTGAAAATATACTGGCGGCTTTTTTGCCTTTGGCTACTATGAGTATGTACTCGACTCTTGGCCTTCGGTGGGCTAGTACTTTGCTAGCTTTCATTGCGTTAGCTCTATCTTTTGCGCCAATCCTGGTGCTCATCTGGGGTAAGGATATCCGAGCTCGGAGTCCGTTCATGAAAGAGGCAATGGTTGAGAGAAGGAGGAAGAGCTTTGACTCTGTTTGAATTGGCTAGACGTTCGACTGTACATAGAATCTACTCGGTCATACTTGCATATAAAAATTCACTCAAGTGTTTGTTTCATGTTCCTGTCCGAGTTTACCGTCAAAGTTTACTTTGTTTCACATGTTCATGCAGGTATGAACCTTCTATATAGTACCTAGGGTTCCGTAAGAAACCATGCATATGGAGTACAAGGTAGGTCACAAGACCTGCAAAAAGGCTCTTTGATATTGATGACCTTAGAACTGTATCGAAAGCCATAGAAGCCTTGCTCGGCGAACGACACCCCTGCATGAACAGCAAGTCGGGCAAACAGTGGAATGGGTGGACTCATTTTTCATGACTCGAAACACGAGATAACAATAGACTGGCCCACTCGGCACTACTGACCGGAGAACAAAAAACTGAGGGGCGAGACAAAGCCTAGTGGGACGGAATCGCAAGAAGCATCAATATAATTTGAGTCAGGGGAAGTTAGCATGCTTGGAAAAAGAGCCGGAGATATTCCAGATTGCGGTTTAGAGCGGACATGGCGCCACTAGCCCGAACCGAAGTTCCCCCTAAACGTGCAGTATGTTTACCATATTGTGGCATAAGTTAGCTACTTTGTTTATTATTCGGGGGAGATCGTAATTCTCCTAAACACGGACCAGGAGGCGTCCTGGAAACAAGCCCATTCCACGCTCCAGCGACGAAATCCCGGAAAAAATAGCCGACTAGTGGCTATTCCAACGGTTTCTTCATCTGAACAGGGGGTTTTCACCTGGCACAAACCCAACCACCCCTTTTCTTTCCTATAGTACAGTTAATGGTGATCTATTTTTCACATGAGACTCCGCGCAGGAGGAGACGAAAAAAATACCCAAAGTTCATCCACTCGTCCCAGCAACCAGACCCGACACTAGTACACTAGGACAGGGCAACGTCCCCACGTTTCTCGAAACGGCTAAATCGTCGAACTTCTAGATTGTTTCAGGTCGGACGATCAAACGAGCATGTATCACAGGATGCTCTGTGCAGTACTAACAAGCAACGC